TCATGCTCGACCAGGTAGCCCCAGCCGCCGTTGCCCTCCGCAACACAGCCGCCGTCCGAGGCAAGCAGCTCACCCGGGGGTGAGAACACACCTCCACCCGCTGCAGCCTCTGCTGCTGCTGATGCTGCAACGGCCGCATCACCAGCCCCCTCCTCCTCCTCTTCCACATCCGCCTCCCGGCAAGCCCTGAAGCCTTCCCCCGCGTTTCCGCGGGCCACACATCCCCCGCCCAGCATCAGGCTTCCTCCAGCCGCGCAGTAGCCCTCGGCACCGTTCCCCTCCGCCACTCCGTCTTGGCCCACTTGCATGCTTCCCCGTTGGGTGGCCAGGTAGCCCGCGTCGCCATTGCTCCTGGCGCTGCTGCCGCGCTCCAGAACCATCTTGCTGCGCGCACCACCCGGTGACAGCACGCCTCCTGCACCGCTCGGGTGCCCCTCACAGCCAGAGCCCTGGGCAGGCGTACTGCCCCCGACCCCGGCAGCGAAGCCCGCGGCCCCGTTCTTATCCGCCTGGGAACCCTGCCCCGCAGTAAGCTGCCCCGCCTCCCACGCCAGGAAGCCGCATTCCCCGTTGCCCTCCGCACGCGCCCCCGCGCCCGCGGTAATCTCCGACCCTGCACCGCGCGAGTCGAAGCCGCTCCCGGCGTTACACCTTGAGACACAACCCCGCCCTGCCTCCAGCCTGCCGCCTTCTGCAGATGCAAACCCCGACCCGACGGCACTGCCCTCGGACACGCAGCCGCCGCCGAGCACCACCCGTGAGCCCCGCCCATGCGCCAGGACGCCGTCCGCCGCCCGGCTGTTGCGCACGCTGCACCCCGACTCGCCCACCTGGACCTCGCCGCCGTGGAGCGCCGCAACGCCGCCGCCGTTGCCGTCAGCCAGGCAGTGCTTGCTTAGGCTCAGGACGGCGCCAGGGCCGGAGCAGCAGAATCCGTACGTCCTGTTGTCGTACGCCTTGCACCTCCGTACGGTGACGGTGGGGCAGACAGCGGCGGCGGTGGAAGCACCTGCTGCTGCGGCGGCGGCGGTGGCAATGCACAGCAGTCCGACACCGCCGGCGCCCCTCAGCGTGCAGCCGGCAAGCTCCGCCGTCGCGCCCCCAGCCACCATCACGCAGCTCCGGCGGCCGCTGCCGCTGCCGCCGTTCCCTTCCTCTGCCCCAGCTGCGGAACCCGAACCATGCGGTGCACCCGTGCTCTCTACCTCCACTGTGCATCCCAAGAGGGACACGCGACCAGGACCCCGGACCTCCACAACACCCGCAAGCCCCTCGGCGTTGCTGCCTCCCGCGCCGCCGCCGCCACCGCCGCCGCCACCCTTGGCGCATGTGGCAATGGTCAGGCCCTCCAGCACGACCCCCGGCGCCGCCACCTCCAGACAGCAGCCGCGGGGCAGCAGCAGCCCGCCGTTGCGCAGTACCAGGTGGGGCCGGGTGATGCGCAGGCGGCGGGGAAGCGGCCCCTGACTTGACAGCGGCGGCGCCCTCAGCTGCGCACCAGCCAGGTCAATTGTGAGGGACGCCGCCACCGCCGCCTGTCGAGCCGCCGCCACCGCAGCAGCAGCAGGGGTGGGGCTGTCAAGCAGCGCTGCGAGCTGTGTCAGGCACCTCGGGTGACGTACCGCGCCCGCGCGGGGGACAGACTGCACCGCGGGTCGCCCCTGGCTCGGCGCTGCGGGTGGTGCCTGGGCCGCTGCGGGTGGTGCCTGGGCCGCTGCGGGTGCTGTCTGGGCCGCTGCGGGTGGTACCTGGGCCGCTGTGGGTGGTGCCTGGGCCGCTGCGGGTGGTGCCTGGGCCGCTGCGGGTGGTGCCTGGGCCGCTGCGGGTGCTGTCTGGGCCGCCGCACATCGCAATTGCGGCTGAGGTTGCGGACCTTGCAGGTTTGCTTGAAGTTGCCGTTGTGGTTGAGGTCGCGGTAGCGGGCCTTGCGGGTTTTGTTGTCGCTGTGGTTGCTGTTGAGATTGCGGCTGGGGTTGCGGGCCGTGCGGTTGTGGTTGTGGTACTGGTAGCGGGACTTGCGGTTGCGGTTCCGTGGCCCTCCCTTGCATGCCAGGGCGCGCTGCTGCTGCCCGTGCCACCGCCGGCGGTGTTCCAGGGAACGAGGAGTCCGCAGCCGCAGCGGCCGATGAAGGGCGGGGGCGCTTTTGTGGAGGCTCCGTAGGCTCCGTAGCCGGAGAGGGCGCTGGATGCCTTTGTGGTTGTGATTGCGTTTGCGGATGTGGCTGTGAGTTGAAACCCGGTCGCTGGGGCCCCGGCTGATGGTTTGCTTCACCGGAACGGCAACCCGCACCTCCGCCGCTGTCGGAGCCTCCGCCGGTGCCGCCTTGAGTGCTGGAAGCTGCCCCGCTTGGCACCGCAGCCGCCCTCAGCAGCACTGCATGCGGTGACGACGGTGGAGGCGGTATCGGGCCGGGAGCTGTCCTGGGTGCCGCTGCTGATACGGTGCTTCCACATCCGCATCCGTCCATGCCAAGCAGTGCAGCAGGGGCGGCAGGAGCGGCAGCTCGGGCGCGGGTGGCGGCAGCAGCACCCCTGGAAGCCTGGCATTCCCCAGCGCGCCCGCCACCGCCAGCCGTGGTGGTGCCGCGCCCATAGCTGCCGCCGCCAGCTGGGGCGGTGCTATAGCCAATGCCGCCAGCCACCGCTTTGGTTCCCCCGGCCGCGAACGGTGCTGCTACCAGCATGCCGTCTGGGCGCCGGCCCAGCGCACGAGACGGGGCCGCTGCTGCCGAGATGGGTGTTGCGGAGGCAGCAGCAGCTTGGTCGCCAGCAGGGGCGGCATGGGCAGCAGGGGCGGCAGGTGTTGTGGGCGCGGGAGCAGCATCGATGCCGGGAGCGGCTCCTTGGGTTTTCAACCATTGTTGCGCTTGAGGTTGTAATTGCAGTTGCGGCTGTGGCTGTAGCTGCGGTTGTAGCTGCTGCCGCAGTCTTGTCACTGGTAGCTTGATCTTCGGATGCAGCAGCGGTGGCAGGACCTGCGGCTCCTGAAGCAGCGCTGGCATCGCTCGCAGCTGTGGTAGCTGCTTATGGTGCTGCGGTGGCTGATGGTGGGGATACACATCAGCAACCGCCGCCGCTGCCGCACCGGCACCCGCGGCCCTCCACGGCACGGGACCGGAGCCGCCGGCGCCGGAGCTACCTGGCGGAACGGGAACGGGAGCTGCTGCGACGGCGGCGTCAGTAGGGTTGGAGGCACCAACAGCGGCAATGGGCGCATGGCCGCTTGTGCCGGCAGTGTCGCCGAGGGCAGGAGCCCTGGCGGCGGGGGCGGCGGCTGCGGCGGCTGCGCGCACTGCCTGTAGCGGGTCCTCCAGTCGGGCGTGGCGGCGGATCCAGCGGTCGATCTGTTGCTGCAGGTCAGGGTGCGGTTGGATGTCGTCCAAGGCCATTGGGCTGCCTGGGATGAGGAAGGCGGAAGGGGAGGAGGGCTGGGTGGCGGAAGGTAGTTACCCTAGTTGGTTTGGGGGCCGGAAGCAAACCGGATTCGTGCGGGTGGGTGGTCCAACTATACCGGGTATCTACCGGGAAACAAAACATGCTTTATATTTGCAAGGATTGCCGCAACATAGCCAGGAGCACGAGTGTGCTGCCGTTGCCGTGACCGCCCTTCGGGCTGCCCAGTGCCGCCCCACCTGTCAGCGGGTTCCGGCTGTGCTCCGCCACGTATGCGCGCAGTGCCGCCCCCTCCCACGCAAGCCGCGTGTCGCGTCCATCCACCACGGCTTCACGCATGAGCCGCCGCGACAGCGGGCAGAAGAAGCGCGCCGGCGGGCCCTTCTTGCCTAGGAGCAGCAGCTTGCGACCCATGGGTCCGTCCGTTCGGGCCAAAGCGGCCGGGCACAGCGGCGGCAGCGCCGTAAGCGGCTCGCTCTGCTGGCTGCCATGCTGGAGGATGGCTTGGGGCGCGTTGTCTCGGATGAAGGCCGCAATGGCCGACTGTGAGCTGGCATGGGTTGGTAGTTGGGAGATGTTGATGCCGCGCACCTCTACTGCGAAACGAAACGCGTTGGGATAAAGTTAGCAACCTACAAGGTTGCATCGTAGCATCTCTGAAATGCTATGCTTAAGGGACAAAAGGTACTAAGGGAAAGCTTTTCCATGTTCATTCACCTGAAGTCGGTCTCGAGCCGTGCTCCCGCTGGTAGTCAGCCATTTCCAGAGTCTCCAGAGTCAGAGGATCCGGGCAAAAGCGCCAACTTAAGCAACATATGAACTGTGGCGGCACCAGTTTTGCCCCATCTAGCAATAGCAGCCAGGGCATATCGCTGCCCGTAGAAGTATGCTGCGTCTCGGAAGTCATTCCGTTACAGATGCACCGGCAATCGTTAAGGTTTGACTGGGAGCAATTAGGAGTGAGAAGAAAAGCTGCTTTTTGACGGCGCACGGTTCCGTAACGAGGATGAGTTGCCCCGGCTAAGGACACAGGCCCTGGCTACGGCATTTTGGCTGCGGCATGCAAGTTTTTAAAACGTCATCCCTGCCGCATCCCTGAAGCCGATCCCTGCTGGAGCGAGCTGGCGTCCGCCAACGACATCCCTCTTAGGCTCAAGGCGTGTCTACAAGGCGCTTCAGCCAAACCCGAAAGGCAGGCTGTCCAACTTGCCCGGTCCAATGCATATACAAACCGACACGCTGCTTGTGCAATCAGCGTTAACCCACCGCGCCTCACTGCGCTCAGGAACTGAATTCTAAACTTAGGCAGTGCATTGCGTGTTTCAGCGCGAGCCTACCCTACCTTGCGCCGCGTTGCCTGTGGTCGGGGCTGCTGCCCGCCGTGACCCGCTTAGGTAGGTCCATGCGTGATGTAGCTACTCCGGCACCTCAGTCCATGCATCTACACCGGCGGGAGCATTGCTGGCCACATGTGTGTCGTGTGGGGTGTGCTGAACGACGGGCGCATCTGCCCGGTGGCACCCCCCCCCCGTGTACGGTACCGGTAAGGGCGCGCAGCACCCTGAACGTGATGGCGTGGGATGTGCACCGCCGCGCAGCAGCTGAATGCTCTTACATGCATAGCAGCAGGTTGCAACGGGCCGACTTCGAGGCCCCGTTCATCCGCCAACTTCTGCATGCATGTCTATCTGCGTCTTCTGTGGATCAACATGTCGCCGCCTCCGCACCGTCAGTCCTCCAAACCGGTTGCCCCCTGCCTCCTTGGCTAACGTCTACCGTATGCGTGTTCTTGTCTCCTCGAAGATTCCTCTTCCACCGCCGCCGGTGTTTCCTCCACCCGGCAATCCGCCCTCCGCGGCACCAGCACTCCAATACAAGTGCCTGCACATCGCCACATGGGCCGCATTCCTAGTACAACACCCACACACGTCTCCAAGGCAAGCCGCAGCTGCAAAACGCTACCCCATGCCCCATGCGGTGGCCACCAGCCGACCATGATGACCACCGCGCTTGTGGTATCTCACACTACACGCCGAACATCTCTAGCTACTAGCGCCTAACACATGCACGTCCTGCTAATGCTGCTACTGCCTAGCAATAGCTGCAGGCCCCGACGCTTGTCCCACCATGGGTTGCTCAACTATACGTCAGGTTATCTCGAAAACCTAAACAAACCTAAACCTCAAGGTTGCTCCACAGGGTAAACGCACAAACACAACTCGTGTCTAAAGTATTTCCTCGGACGCTGGTGCGCCTGCCTAGCTCGTACGTTGCCCTTCAACCCCCCTATCCCTCTCGCCTTACAAGCACTACCACTCCCTCTTGCTCCCTCTCACACCGGGCCGTCAGTAGTATTCGGATGTCTCAAGCCGCCGCCACACCGCCAATGAAGCGGATTCCCATCCGCCCCAGCTTGCCGCCTTCTCATCACCCCCACCGAAGGCCCCTATCGTACATCGTACTGCATCCCCCCAGCAGTCCATCGCCTCGAGCTCTAACCCCCTTCCCGCCATCACTCCTCCCCCTCCGGCGACTTCCGCACAAGCACGCGACTTGGCCTCCGCCGAACCAGCGACTCCCGCAGCGCCTTTCGCCTGCTCAACCGACCTATGGGTCGCAACAACACTACGGCCCCCTTGCCCTTGCACTCCTTCCCTCCCCTGCTCTCACCCTCCACACCCTCCACATCTGCAGTTGCTGCTACAGCAGGCGCCCGCGCCTTCCTCGCTCTCGCCTCCCTGGCCTCCTCCTTCTCCCTAGCCGCCCGCTCCAGCCCCCCTCGCACCCTCGCCACCCACACCCGCCTCGCCCCGAAGCGCCGCTCCCGCCGGTCCGCCGCCCGCAGCCGCCGCTGCAGCACTCCCAGGCAGCCGCGCGCATGTGCCCGCAGCTCGGGAGCCATGAGGGGCTCCTGCGCGGTCAGGGCGGCGGAGAGCTTGCACAGCAGGCGCCTGCTGTAGCCCAGCCTGGGGGGTGGGGAGGAGGCGGGCAGGGATAAGAGAAAGGGGATAGGAATAGCCGTGATTGCGCCGCTGGTATGTACGGTACATCTTTTCCTTGCTACTCTGGCATCTTCATTTTCTTCCTCATCCTCTTTCGCCTCCTCCCCCCCCCCACCCCCCACCTGAGCCACACCAGCCCCGCCAGTGTCATGGCCAGCTCCCGCGCCCGCAGCTCCGGCAGCACCGCCTCCACGCGCACCACCGCCGCCAGCCGCCAGCCGCCCGGCGCCCACAGCCGCAGCCGGCCCGCAGACCACAGGAAGCAGGCCAGCAGGCTGCCGGGCAGCGAGGGGAGCAGCGGCTGCGTGTGGCTGGGGGGGGAGGGGAGGGGGAGCGGAGGGGAGGGAGGAAGGGGAGGGAAGGGGTTAAGAAAGGGATTGACAAGGGCCGCACAGGGCAGGAAGGGAAGGGAGCGGGGAGTAGGAGGAAGAGGAGGTGGAGGTGGGGCGGAGGTATTATATCGATAGGAGGCAAAAACACGGTGAAGCAGAAGCTTAAGGAGCAGTACTACAGATGCCCCTTCACCCACCGCCCTTCAACCAACCGCAGCCCCTCCTTCCCCCCCCCCCCACCCCCACCCACCTGAAGAAGCGGTCCCTGAAGCCCCGCGGCAGCATCCGCATGCCCACCCGCACCGCCGACCACAGCAGCGCACCCAGCTCCGCAGCGCGCAGCGAGGACACGCACACACGCCGCGACAGCTCGCCAACACCCCCCGCTCCCGCAGCATCCGTAGCAGCACCGCCGCCGCGGCCACCGCCTTGCAGCCCTTCCGCGCTCCTAGCAGCCGGAGCAGCAGCGGCCGCCTGCAGCTGCAGCCTCCGCAACTCCTCCCCCTCGTCCTCCTCCTCATCAACCCCGCTGTCGCCCCCTGCTGCCGTAGCTCGCCTGCCGCCTTCCCTGTCCTCCTCCTCCTCCTCCTCCTCCTCGTCCGCCCCCTGCTCCCCTCCCCCCTCCGCCAGCAGCGCTATGCACCGCCCCACCAGCTGCAACCCCGTGTGCCCGGCTCCCATGCACCCGCACGAGTACGACAGCAGCACCAGCGACACCAGCGGCAGCCGGCCCAGCCGCGGCAGCAGCCGCTGCTGCAGCAGCTCCTCCGCCCGCGGCCGCAGACTGGCATCCCGCGCCTGCAGTCGGGACAGGGAGAGCAGCACCACGGTCCAGTCGTGGGGGCCCATTTGGCGGCTGAGGGCCAGGACGTGCTGCAGGGCCTCCTCCAGCCAGTCGGGCGGGGGCGTGTGGCGCATGCCGGCGAAGCCACTCAACATGGCAGCCAGCTCGTGGGAGCGCATGGAGGGCATCTGGGGGGGAGGGAGGGGTGGTGGGAGTGGAAGGGAGAGTGAAGGCTAATGGGATGGGTGACCCATGGGTCGATGGCGTGCATTTAGAGGTGATGACACCGTACACACCGCTGGTACTAATCCGCTCCAGCACATATCGGGCCCACCATACATGCACGTATGCTGTAACCAGTGCGGCCAACCGCGGCCTTATGCTGCCCTACCGCGCAACCCCACCCTCATCCCCCTACCCCTCGCAACCAACAACAGCCCCCACCACCTCCCCCACCACCCTCCCCCACCCCCCCAGCCCCCACCCCCCCAGCCCCCACCATGCGGAACGTGGCCACCTCCAGCTGCACCGCCATCCCCTCGCTGGGCCGCACGCCCCACTTGCCCAGCGCCCACACCCCCAGCGCCAGCTGACCCGGCTCGCAACCCCCGCGACTCAGCGCCACCAGCCGCGAGGCGAAGGCAGCGGCCAACCGGGCACCCGCACCCTGCTGCTGGGGGTGCTGGGGCTGCTGGGGCTGCTCGGCGGCACTCGCCCACCGCCTCCTTCCGCCCTGCATCCTCCTCCTCTCCCGCTCCCGCTCCTCCTCCCGCTCCTCCCGCTGCTGCTGTCCCACCGGCACCCCCAGCTGCACCAGCGCCCAGGCCAGGTTGCACAGCTCCTGCGCGCTGGCGGAGGGCAGCAGGCGGGGGGCGGCGTGCAACGCGGAGGACAGCCAGCGGGAGGCGGAGGAGGTGGGGGGATGCGGAGGTGGGTCGCTGGGTGCGGCTGCTGGTGGTGGTGCGGGCGGATGTGGGTTCGGGTGAGGTGGGTGTAGGTGTGGGTGTTGCTGCTCGGGTGTGGCTGGCGGCAGTTGCAGGGGCAGTCGCAGCTTGGCAGCTCCGTACAGGGTTTGCGCCAGGTCGCCCGAGTGGAAGTGCGGCAGGCGGGCGAGGGCGGCGGAGAAGAAGTCATCCAGCCAGGCGTCGGAGGGGCGCAGCTGGGGGGGGGGGAGGGGCCGGGGGCAGGATTGGAGAGGGAGGGCAGGAGAGAGGGCGGGGGTTGAGGCGGAAACCGGGAACGTGCTGTTACTTGAGCGCGCAGTCACGGGGTGACACCCCACTCCTGCCCCTGCCCCTGCCTCCCCTGTTGCACTCATCCCGAGTGGTTACGGGCACAGTCAGTGTCCAACGCGGCTCACTTGAACCCTCTCCTCAACCCCCTCCTCAACCCTCCCACTAACCCTCCCTCCCTCCCTCACTTTACCTAACCCTCCCTACCCCTCCTACCTCCAGCGCCGCCAGGCTCCACATCATGTTGCTCAGCTCCCGCGGCCCCGCCTCGCCCAGCCGGGCGCGTGCCGCCGCCAGCAGCAGCCTGGAGAGGGGCGGCGGCGGGGGGTGGCGCAGCAGTGCCAGCGAGTAGAGCAGCGAGGACAGCTCGGGGGCGCTAAAGGGGGGAGGGGGAGGAGGGGGAGAGGGAGGAGGGGTAGGGGAGGGGGGTGCATGCGGGGGCGGCACCTGCTGCATGGTTGGCCGCTGGGAGGCTTGCCGTTGTGGGTGCTGTTCCTGGTGCTGTGAGGGCTGCTGGGGCTGCAGCCATGCTGGGGAGTGTAGGTGCTGCTGCTGCTGCTGCTCGTCGGGCGACCGCTCCTCCTGCTCCCGTTGCTGCTGCTGGTGGTAGTGGTGGTGTAGCAGTGGCCCCTGCTCCTGGCGTTCCCGCTCTTCCCGCTCCTCCTCCCGCTCCCGCCCCTGCTGCTGCCAGGCCTGCCTCGCCTCCGCCCAGCCCGCCAGCCTCCCGCCCACCAGGCGCCCCAGCAGCAGGTCCATGCCCTCGGGCGCCAGCCGGTAGCCCATCTTGGCCAGGCACCACAGCACGTTGCTCACCGACTGCGAGCTGGCCTCCCCCGCCAGCCCCCGGTGCAGGTGGTTCAGCAGCGCGCTCATCCACCCCGGCGGCGGCCGCACCCCCAGCTGCCCCAGCCCGTACAGCAGGCTGCTGGCGGCCTGCGGGCCCAGGCGCGGCAGGCAGCCGGCGGTCGCAGCGAGCAGCTCGGATACCCAGTCGGCGGGGGGGCGGGGCTGGTCGGGGGGCGCGGCGGCTAGGGACCAGACCTGGCGGGGGTAGGACATGGGATAAATACAGGTTGGTAGTGCTACGGAGAGGCCAAGGGGAGGACTTAAATTAAGAAAACTGACGAACTGGATGACGAGAGGGGAAGAGGGGAGGTGAAAGGGCGTGGCGAAGGGAAATCTGGACATCAAGGGAAAGCAAGAGAGAGACCGCACGACCCTCTAACGCCTCTACCATCTCATACCCTAACCGCCCGCCACAGTAGCCACCCCCCCCACCACATCCTTCACCACTACCGCCCCCCTCCCCACCACCTCCCTCACCCCCCACCACCCACCATGGTTGCCAGCGTGCGCGGCTCCCACCCCGCCAGCTCCTGCCGCCGCACCCCGCCGTACACCGCCGCCATCACCCGCCCCGGCAGCGCCCGCTGCAGGGAGGCAGCGGACCACAGCAGCAGGCACAGCGCGGCGGGGGACAGCGGGGGTGGGGAGGAGGGGGAGGAGGGGGGTGTGGAGGACGTCGTCGCCGCCGCGGCTGCTGAGGAGGAGGCCGACGAGGGCCGCAGCGCTCGCCGAGATGAGGAAGGTCTGCCGCTGTTACCACTGCTGCTGCTGCCGGCGTCGCCAGCACTAGCAGCACCAGCACCAGTACCCCCAGAAGCAGCAGCAGCAGCTGAGGAGGAGGAGGAAGACGAGGAGCTGCTGGCCCCCGGCTGCTGCAGCCGTGCCAGCATGGCCGCCCCCACTGCGCCCCACAGCGGCTCCCCCGGGTCGCACCCCATCACCGCCAGGGCCCACATGCTGTTGGCAAGCGACTGGTCACTCACCGCCACCACCCCTGATGCCGCTGATGCTGCTGCTGGTGCGGTGGAAGCTGGTGTGCTGTCGGCGGCGGCGGGTGAGGGCGCTTCGGAGGGACCGGCGGGGTGAACAGCCTCAGCCTCAGCCCCAGCCCCCGGGCCGAGCTCGTCACCAGCCAGCCCGCCCACCAGCACACCCGGGCGTGTGGGTGTGGGTGTCAGGACGGCAGCGTCCAGTGCGGCTGACGCTGCGGCTGCTGCTGATCTCGAGGGAGGGGCGGCACCGTTGCTGCCGGCTTTGCCGCGGCTGCTGCTACCCGCAGGCGCCTTCTCCCTCGCAGCCCCCACCCCCGTCCCCGCCGCCTGCTCCTGCAGCAGCAGCTGCCTCAGCCGCTCCCCCAGGCCCGCCGCCAGCTGGCGGGTGGGTTGCGGGTCGCGGGCGTGCAGCCCCAGCAGTGCCAGCGCGGAGAGGATGTTGGAGCAGTCCTGCGGGTTGCAGGCGGGCAGAGCGGCGGAGACGCAGTCGTAGTAGGCGGCCAGCCACTCCTGAGGGGAGGGAGGGGAGGGAAAGGGGTAATGGGAGGGGAGAGAAAGGGGTAAAGGAAGGTAAGGGAAGGTAAAGGGAGGTAAAAGGAGGTAAAAAGGGAGGTAAAAGGAGAAGAGGTTAAGCACCCGAGTCCGCCGATTCCCATGGCCGCGCCCTTCGTCCCTCCCCCACCTACTACGGTAAACTACGGTCAGGGTCAGTGTTTCCGCGGCTCAGTTTCCCTCCCTCCCCCCCCCACCTGGTCCGGCATCACCCCCAGCCGCTCCAGCGCCCACAGCACGTTGGCCAGGTGCTGCGGCGCGAAGGCCCGCCGCTGCAGCACGGGGAAGGCGGCCGTCAGCCACTCCGCCAGCCAGCCGTCGGAGGGGGGCACACCGGCGGCTGCCAGCGCCCACAGCGTGTTGGACAGGTGCTGCGGCTCGTACCTGACAGGGGGGAAGGGAGGGGGGGAAGGCAGGGGCAGGGAGGTGCGGGGAGGTAAAGAGGAAACAGCCAACAGGCCGTGTGATACGGCTTCATCATGGGTTGCACAGGGGGCAGGCGCCCCTGCACCACACCGCATGCACAGCACGAGTACGCGCTCTCCCGGTGTCAGCCCCCATGCCGGCCGCATTTGCTCCCCCTTCTCCTCCTCCCCCCCGCCCCGCGCTTCTCAGCCCCGCCCCGCCCCGCCCCGCCCACCATGGCAGCATGGAGGCGGCTGCCGGCAGCAGGCGCTCCCGGATGAACGCGGCGCCCGCCGGCAGCCCCAGCCGCGCCAGCGCCCACGTCACGTTGGCCAGCTGGCGGGCGCGGTAGTGCGGCAGGTGCGCGTCCACAACAGCCAGAGCAGTGGACTGGAGGGGAGGGGCCGGGTGGTGGGGAGGTAGGTGCGATGATAGGCGGCAGGAAGCCAAGCGACACGCACGTCATGAGGCCCCGAGTTAACCCCCCGGACCCCTTCCTCCCCCTCCCCCTTAACCTTAGCCCCCCCCCCGCCTGCCTCCCTCCGCCCCTCCCCCCTCCCCCTCCCCCACCTGCAGCTGCTCCAGCAGCCTCCGCTCCTCCCCCTCCAGCTGCCGCCCCTCCAGCGCCACCCGCTGAGCCAGGTGCGTCAGCAACGCAGCCGCGTTGAAGGGGTCCAGTCCCGCTGCTGCGGCCGCCGGCTGATGCTGGTGGTGCTGCAGATGCGGCAGTCCTCCCTCCCCTCCAGTACCAGCAGCAGCACCACCACCAGCAGGGGTGTTGGTCCCCAGCTGGCTGAGCAGGTGCGGCAGGCGGCGCCAGTCGCGCACTGCCTTGATGGCCAGGGTCAGCTGCATGACACCCGAGGTGGAGGAGGACGGAGGGGGGGCGGCAGGGCGGGGGCCGCCGGGTCTACCAGGGAAGAATTGCTGCTGCGACCGCGCATGAGGGCCTTGCGTGCGCGGGTCTGCATGGTGGTGCGAATCGTGGTGCGGCTCCTGGGGGCGTGCCGAGCGGCGGCGGCGGGCGCTGCCGGCCTGGTTGCTGGAGGGAGGTAATGCGGTGCTGGCGCGCTGGTGCAGGTGCTGCAGGTCCTCCAGGGAGGGAATGGAGCTGGGGATGCGGGTGGAGACAAGCAGGTCGGGGGTGGGAGGAGGAGGGGGGGAGAGGGAGGGGGGCGGGGGCAGGGGGAGGGTGCGGTGCTGCGGGGAGGAGGAGGGGGCCCAGGCGGTGCTGGCGGACGCGGCTGCCGGGCGGGGGAGTGGCGCGTGGCGGAAAGGAAGGGCCTGGAGGTGGGGCGGGAGGGGAGCGCGGTTGGGTTGGGAGGGAGGGAGGGAAGGTGAGTGGACTAGGGTTTGAGGTGGAGGAGAGGGAGACAGCTGGCCGCTATAAGGGATGCTCACCTGCTCCGATGAAGGAACGACATGATGAGGCCTCAATTGGGCAGAACACCTGCATAATATAATTGGTTTGCAAATTGAGTTGTGGACCAGGGACGTGTGTGGCTGGCTGACTGGAATTGCGTGTGGTCGGCGACGGGTCGACGAGCGCCAGAGCACTTGCCTCACTCTCTGCCGTCGCTTAAGGCGTTTAAGTGACGAATTCTGTTCTGGAAGAGGAGTATATGATGTCGAGCATTGCGCCGAGCTCTGCTGTCGCTCGAGCAGCATTCCTCAATTGTACGTGTGGCCGGGACCACTTGTCTCCAAGCCGCCGGGGAAGCGTCCAGATAACACTAATTGCAGCAAAGCCTATGCTAGGTGAACATGGCAATTGAGGTTACCATGAGTTGGGAAAGAAGCAAGCGGCTTCCATGGAACAAATGCACCAGTGGAATAAAGTTTACCAGTTTGGAGAGCCTTTAAAGCAATTGGTAAGACCCATAACCACTTGGCGCGCCCATCACAGGCCCAAGTTGCCCTTACTTACTATATCCGTACGAAACACGGTTAACTTATGGCTGTTTTAGTTTCATCGATGCCATAGGATCAGGACACACGCACAATGTATTGTTAGTTAGGACCACTTTAAGGCAAGCGCTTTTACTACAAGCAAGCTTGCTTCAATATGCAAGCTACTAACAGCTTTGGTGACCATTCACCTAGGGCAAGGCTATTAGATATAGTAAACGCTAGTAATGACGAACGCCTACTTGATGCTCTGTGCAATGCGGCGCTGGCTTTCTTATCAGTCAATGGCGAAGGTCAAAGCTACTGCCCCCTATCAAGCCCGGACTGCCCTTACCATTGTTAATACTAATTTTACAAAATTGTAATTGCAGGGGCGAGCAGCGGTGCTGCCTGCACTTCCTCCTGTGGTCTACCCCCTGACGATGTCCATCGCTCGCCCACAAAGGGTCATCCCCAAAACAAGGGAGCGTCTAGGGAGCGGCCAACCCAACAACGCGAAACTCACAGCCAGGTGACCGCCGCTCCACCGTGTGACAACACTGCGACTGGGCGGGGTACAGCCAGCGGTGGCAAACATCGGCCCCATGTATACGGCTCCGGTCCCTCCCCTGTGCTGCGACGCCAGTATGAGCGATACAGCCTGAGGCCTGGCAGCGCCACCAGCAGCGCCCTGCGACACCCCGGTAATGCTGATGGCGCAAGCCCATCTTCCACTGCTGGTTGTGCCATCCCTGCAAGCAGCAGCGCCAGCAAACCTGCTGCCACTACATCCCAGACGTCTCCCAGCTCTTCCGTAAACACCTCCGCCACCGCCACTCGGCACCGCCTGGCCAACTCCACCAGCCATGCAACAAAACAACAACCCGCCGCTCACCCCACCACCACCACAGCCGCCACCGCTTCCCCATCGCCCTTCCCACCCACCGCCTACAAAACCCCCGAAACGCGCGTGCTGCTTCGCGCCCCGCACGCCACCACACCCGCCACCGGCGGCACCGCCACCCCCTTCTCCTACAAGACCTCCCAAAGCAGCGCCGCCAGCTGCTCCGGCCCCACCCCCCACCGCACCTCCACCTCCCACCACCCTCACCCGCAACACACTTCCACCACCTCCGTAGCCCGCCCTTCCGCCTCCGCAGCCCGACCCTCGCCGTCCTCCGGCGCCCGCCGCCCCGGCGCCGGCGGCTTCACACCTGTTCAGTACCAGCCCCGCGGCCTTGCTGCCCTGCGCCAGACCGCCGCCGCCAGTGTCACCCCTGGCGGCGCCATCACCGGTACGGCGCTCTCCAGCCGCCATGGCACCCCCACCTCCGTGTCGTGTGGCGGTCGCCTGGGTGCTGGTGGCGGAGTCGGTGTGCGGGGTGCGGGTGCGGGGGGTGGTGCTTGGGTCGGGGATGCGGGACTGGCTCGCACGTTGGACGCGCTGATGGTCGCGGAGGAGGTGGTGGGGGAGCTGCTGGGGAGGGCGGTAGAGCTGGCGCAGGAGGAGAGGGTGGAGGGGAAAGAGGCGGGGAAGGGGAAGGGAAGGGTGGAGGGAACGCTGCATCAGCAGAGGATGCGGCCGCAATGGCAGGGCGATGCGCAGGAGGGTAAAGGGGGGCAGGTGGAGCAGCAGCAGGGTGGGGAGAGGAGGGGCGCTAGTGGCTGGCGGGGGATGGCGGCGAGTTATTTCGCCAAGGCGCGGTTTGAGGCTGTAACGTGGCTGCCTCGCAGGTCGGAGGCGGCGACTGTGGTGGTGGAGATAGGGGAGCCGGAGGGGGCAGAGGAGGGCGGGGAGGAGGAGGAGGGGGGCGCTGCGCGGCTGCCGGGGTGCAAGTGCGTGGTCATGTGAGGGAGGCGAGGTGGGGGTGGGGTATTAGGTAAACTGAGCCGCGAGGAAAGACTGACCGTGACGATAGGTTGGGGTGCAAGCTGGGGGAGGTAGCGGTTGGGAAGGGAAAGCTTTAGCAGGTGGTAATCAGGGGAGAGCAGTGAATGAGGGGTGAAGATTCGCCTAGTCCGTTGGCAGCTGGGCGTATGACAGCCGTGTCCCGCCCCGCCCGTGGTTACTTTGTGGGGTACAGCAGGATTGCAGCTTGCGGGGATGACGCCGACTGAGTTGGCTGACTCTCCGTTTTGGAGATAACATTGCATCATTTCGCGTACGTATCTTATACACACAGGGCATATGTCCCATGCCCCCACGCATAGCCTTGCAGGACCTTTGCAACACTGTTCCGCCCGTTACGAACTGTGCGCTGGCACTGTCTAGGATTAGGTCATGGGACTTTCCGTTCTCGTTGCGGTTGCGTCTTCTTCGTGGATGCGCTCAGCGGCCTGCAGCAGCACATGCATGCCGGGTGAGAAGAGGGGGGTCATGTAGGATGTGCCTCGGTGCATGGACAGGGTATGCACTGTTGCAACAAAGTCGTGTGCCGCTACGAGTCACGCAGTTGCGGGCTGTCTCTCTGGCAGGTCTCCATACTTCAACCGCACATTGCCCGTCTCAGCCCTCCCCCGCTCCCAATCCCCTTTCATCAGGTACCAGCAGCTGCTGCCCGCATGCGCTGCGGAGCAAGCCGCAGAAGGAGGCAGGGAAATGAGAGTCGGGAGGGGTCAGCTGGGAGAGGGGGTGAAGGAGTGGCCGTGTAGGGGTGGCGGCTGGCGAGAGATGGAGTCCTAGCGCCGCGAGCGCAGGATCGGTGGCTGCAGTAGGGGCGGCTGGGAAGGGCCTTGCTCCGGGAGTGGATGTGAGGGGACATGCAGCGTATCATGTCGCAGGATGTAACGTTTGGGGTGGTTTCCGCTGGGGTTCAAGATTCACGGAGAGGGCGGCAGGCGGGCTTGGGAGGCTGCATGCAGGGGATTTGGTGGCCGCGGGCGGGGTGTTCTTTCTTTTTGTGCCCTATCTGCCTCCCAGTAGGGCCATGCCTTCTAGTGAGGGTTTCATGATGTAGGTATGAGGGCGGGGTTACCAATTCAGGTGAAGTTGGGGGCGGGTTGCGGGGTTGCTAATGGGAGTATGTACAGGGTATGATGGCGAGTGCGGGCGAGCGGAGGGCAGGTGTTATTGGTTGTGAGTAGCGTTGGGACACCAGGGGCTATGGTTACTACGGTCGTTGTTGGCTGTGGTGACCCCGAATTCCAGGGGAATGGCCTCTGTCCCAGGACCCCTTGTAAATTGACGGGCCTTACTCTGCACCGCGGCTACTTGCTAAAGCAGCGCGTTTGTATGACGTCTAGGCTTGGCTAGGCGGCCTCTCCAAGCTTGCCCACGTCACCAATGGACATGACGCCGACAGCGACATGCCCTAGCAGCCCTACCCGACACCAAGCAAGCATGTTCAGGCTCTGTGCATTGCCCAGGGAAACCTTAATTCACATACCTAGAAGTGAAACTCCCGCTGCGCCATGTTCGACCGAGCGTCCTCGGAAGGCTTTATCTCCTAGCGCGATTCGCAAGTGCAGCCATTGGAAGACCCTTCCCGACTGGTGCTGCTGGTGGGGGCCAACGTGCTGTACCACGACGCGCCCCACTAGGTCAGCACAGCGGTGCGGCGCTACGAGGTAGGCGGTAGACGGTACGGCAGCGGAATGCGACAATGGTAACGAAGACCAGGACGGCGGCGGCGGTAGACGGGGCCGCCGGGGTGCATCTTCCGAAGCTCGAGGCAGCGGTTGCGGCGCGGGATGCAAGTCTGAACCAGCCGCGGCGCGCCCTGGCGTCGGCGGTCATGGAGGTCATGCTGCATGAGTGGCTAATTCGGGATGGGCGGGTCGGGCTGGCTCACATGTTGCAAACTATGAGGATACCTTATCACACGGTCAGTGTGTTGTTTCCTCTTTACCCCTCCCGCTCCCCCTCTCAGAACGCTGACCGGGCGGTCAAGGCTGCTCAGCGGGGCGACGGTGACAGCGGGGGGAGGAGTCGTACGGCAGCTTCACACGGATAACGCGGCGGCGGTGGAGGAGGAGGAGGTGCACACGCCCGCCTAACTGAGCCGGGGACCTCACTGATCTTCTTCGCGGATGCGCTGAGCGGCCTGCAGCAGCACAGTGCCAGCTAGGCGAGAGGGGTAGAGGGGCGGGGAAGGGAGGGGAGGGCCCTTGGGCTCTGGGAGGGGTGTTGAGAACTGGCCGCGAGTCGGACGGGTGTTGCATGTGGAAGAGGGAGAGGGGGTGGCGGGAATGGTGGTTAAGGGGTGGCAGGTGGCGTGGGAGCCCTTGCGTTGCAAGCCACTGGAGGCGGCGTATGGCCGTGTGGTTGAGTGCGGGTGTGTGTACGGCAAGGGCTGTCCACAGTGCGACACATACACCTGGCGTGCCGTAACTACAATGCGGTGTCGAGCAAGGCGGGGGCGGGGGTTGTGTTGACCGCAGGTGGAGGCAGCGTGGAGTTAGCTTCCGAAGAAAAGAGGTGTTGTTGAAAACGGGCTGCCGAGCGTTGCAGGCCGATTGACTGCAGCAGACCCTTGTAAGGGTCGTAACATGGGGGAGAGGAGAGCTGCTCCGGCAGTCAAACACGCCTTCCAGAATCCTCATACCCCTCTACCTCTTCAGCCCACAAGGATACATGTTTCGTGTTTCATTACAACTCTTCCACGCGTTGTTAGGCAGCCGCTAGCCGCTCACAACCGCCAACCGCTAGCAGCGCACCTCCAGTGCATACACGCAGTCGTCCCGGCAGCCCACAAACACGCACACAGCCGCCCCCCGGGGGGGCCGCCTGCTGGGGTGCTGCTCCAGCGGGCCATCCGTGGCGGAGGAGGTGGAGATGGAGGTGGCTCCGAAGGGAGGCACCTGGCTCCCCGCGTGTGCCCCCAGCGGTCCACCTCCCTCCTCCTCCTTCTCCGCAGCAGCAGCGGCAGCAGGCAGCACCAGCGGTGAGGAGAAGACCTCCCCTGTGTGGCACGGTAGCGGGGACGGGGGCGGGGGCAGTCGGCGACTCCTCCACGGCAGCGGCGGCACCATGTTGTGGGGCCCTACTTATCCTGGCTCAGGCCACAGCACCAATGCAGCCCCGACCTCCTTCCTGTCTACCATCTTACCGTACGTTGTACGAGTACAGCGCATTGCGACATAGGCCGGACACAGCAACCCAGACCAGCTCGCGGCCAGCTTTCCTCACACACCAACTCACCGGGCAGGCGCGCCGCCGCCACCACCGCTGCGCTCCATGCCGCCTCCGCCGCCCCATGCCGCAGCAGCTGACCTACCGGCTCCGGCTCTCCGGCCCCCGCCACCATCACGGATGGCCCCGCGGCGCCCTGACCTGGTGCCGTGGCTGCTGCTGCTGCGCCAGTCCCCGCTACCGCTACCTGATGCGCAGCGCCTGCCTGCAGCTGCTGTTGATGACGACAGGCCACCTCCAGCAGCAGCACAGCACCGCTGCTGGCGCACACGACTACCATCAAGCGAGCAGGCACCGCGGGAGCGGCGGAGGAGGTGGAGGAGGAGGCATCGCTGGTGACCGGCAAGCCCTCCTCCTCCGCCTTACCCTCCTCTTCCTCCTCCGGCCGCTCCCCGCCCCTGCTGCCACAGCTCAACGGCAGCCGCACCCATACCGGCACCGGTGCCGCGGAAATGGCTCCACACCCCAGGTCCGCCTGCCACAGCACGCGCCCGGACGCGGGGTGCAGTCCGTACAGCAGCCCGGCGTGCGTGGCAGCCAGCAGCAACCCCGCCACGGGAGGCGGCGAGGCAGGGGACGAGGGAGGTGTTGCTGCCGCAGGGCCCTCCCTGTGGTGGGGCCCCTGCCCGCGGGACCCCCATGCTGCCCGGTGCACGTAGGAGAGGTCGGCGAAGAGGTTGCCGCGCAGGCGGGTGCTCCAGGCGACCCGGGGCTGCTGCCGGGAGGGAGGGTTGGAAGGGGGTGGGGGCAGGAGGGAGGGTTGGGTGGAGGCGGTAGAGGTGAGGGGCAAGCGGATTCGCATATAACTCAATGTAAAGGTACCTCATGTAGGCTTCTGAAGCTTTTACCACACCATAGGACTCTATCCCGTCTGTCCCCCTCCCTTCGCCCCCTCACCATTCCACCATCACCACCGCCACTGCCCAGTCGGAGCGCCCGCACGCTGCCATCCACGTGGCCCACCACCGCCGCCAGCACACCCTCCCCGGCCGTCGTGCTCCCCGATCCAAAACCTACACCCCCATGCGCCTCCGCATCCTCATGCGCCCCCGCAGCCTCCTCCGTGCCCGACTGCCAGGTCGGCGGCAGTGCAATCAGCAGCGGCGCGCTGAACAGAGGCGCAGGGCCGCGCACCGCCCACAACCACTCCAGGTGCAGCTCTGCTGGCATGGGGTCCAACCCGCCCTGCCACCCCACTCGCAGTCCGTGTGTACTGCCGTCCAGAGCTGTCACCAAGGCCAACCCGGCCTGGTGCTGGGTATCCAGCTGCGGCTGCGGCTGGGGCTGCGCTTGCGGCTGGTGGGAGAAGGGTCCAGCGGCGGGTGTGGCGGGGAAGTTGAGCGGAGACGCGGACGGCATGGTGGCAAAGATGACGGGTGTGGACATGGGGGCGCCGATGTTGAACCTGGGGATGGGTGGTGGGGCACACAAGGGGAGAGCGGCAGAAGGTGACATGTCAGCCACTGCACGCGTACAAGGATGTGTGACCTAAGCCCTAAAGTCCTCAAACGTATTTATACTTTCGGTCATGACGCTTACCGCGCCAGCACCTGCGACGGGGGCCGCATGACGGTTACATGCCGGCCATGTCCCGTCGCCCACACCGCACCGACCCATGGGTCCACCACCGGCGGGCACTTGAACTCCCCGCCACAGTCCACTGCGTCTCCACAAACAGCTCCACTGCCCAGGTCCAAGCTGTAGAGCCTTTCATCACCGCAGGCCACCACAACGTACGGCTGGGGTACGGCAAGCTGATGCGGCCCTGTCGTAAAACTCGTTCCAGCAGCAGCTGACGTGGAACCGGCCGCTTCCCCCTCGGAAGCCGTCACAGCCGCTGGTCGCCCCCACGCAATGGCCATACCCGCCTCAGCTCGAGCCGGCAAGCGCACATGCCAGTACGGCACACCGGTTGCGGCATCCAGACATGCGACGTCGCCGTCATGTGAGCACGCCAGCAGCGCTGACAAGGAACGTTGCGTCGAGTGAGACCCGTCACCCGCCAGCATCCCTGACGCATGCAACTGCTGATCCTGTCGTACCTCGCCAGTCGTACGGTCAGGGCTGCAGCGGTACGACAGGTCGAAATGTACGACAGGCGCGTCGACGCAGCGCCCCAACTGGTAGCGCCACCGCCCTCGCACCCCTACCACGGCACCCTCTGCAACCCCCACCCCAGGATGGGATGCGACCTGGGAGTCGCGGTGGGCCATGTGGTCAAACTCCTGCTGCTGTCGCTGCTGTCCCTGTGAGTAAGGTGGCTGGGGATGCGGGCCCCATGGTAGCGCCCGCTCCATGAGGCCCCGCTCTGGGCCGCCGCAGCGCCAGGAGAGGCGGCTGCACCAGCGGATGGCCTCGCGGAGGTGAGCGCTGCGCTGCGCTGCGAGAAGGTCTGGCTCCTGCACTGCCCCGCCCTCACCCTCTACCTCCATGCCTGACGCAGCTGCAGCCGCAGCCGCCCCTTCGCTGCTCCTCAACCCAGCCGCCCTCGTCACCAGCGGCGCCTGCAGCGGCAGCTCTTCGCTTCCCGGCCAGCCACCCAACCCGTACCCCGCAAGCCTCTGCCGTTTCGCAGGCGGCGGGCCCCCAGCCGCTCCGCTCTCCCCTTGGAGCTGCCCCCCACCCCCGAGGGCCCCAGCACGACCGCCACCACTGCCATCGTCGCCGTCAACACCGCCACCTCCCTCGCCCACGCCGCCGCCCGCGCCCGCCCTCCGCAGCGCCGCCGCCAGCTTGCGTGCCGTGGGGTACGACATCAGCAGCCGTACATCCGCACACAGCAGTCCCGCCACCTCCGCCGCCTCCAGGGAGGTCGCCCCCGCTGCGAAGATGTCCGAGGTGGCTTCCAGACCCGTGAGGCCCGTGACTGACACGATGGCACGCATCACCGCCGCCTCGCTGGGAAGAGCAGGAGCCGCAGGCGGAGGTGGCGGAGGCGCTGCAGTTGCGGCGGCGGACATGGCGGCAGCGGCGGGTGCGGAAGTCGACTTGTTGCGTGGTGAGGCCTGGTGATGTGATGTGAGGGGTGGTGGAGCAGGGGTGGTGGCATTCGATGTGCCCATCGCGTCTACTGAAGTAGGTAGAGCATGGGGGGTCTCAAAGTTCGGCAGCAGCGATTGCGGCGGTTGAGGCGGTGGCGGCAGCTGCCCCCGCAGCAGCTTGCCCGCCGGGTTGCGAGGCAGCCGCGGCAGCGACAGGAAGCGCAGGCGCAGGCCGCCCCGCACGGGCAGCTGCCGCAGCACCCACTCCCGCAGCTCCTGAGACAGCCCCTCAGCAACGGCAGCGGGCACAGCCGGCACCCGGGTTTCGGAGCCCACGCCAGGGTCGTCGTCTGCCTTGCTGGCAGCCCCGTGCAGCACCACATACGCCACCAGCTCCTCCACCGCTGCCGCCGTCCTCCCGGTAACAGCACCAGCACCACCGCCATGCAGCCCCGCTTCTGCTCCCTCAACCCCCGGTTCACCATCGATATCAGCAGCACCAGCACCAGCACCAGCACCAGCAGCACCAGCAGCTGGGGCTGTCCCCACCCCGCGGGGGTCACCTGCATGCGGCCGGCGGCGGAGCAGCCGTACCGCCGCGTCCGCCACCCTGGTGTGTCCCCTCAGCGCCGCCTCCACCTCCGCCAGGTCCAGTCGCACCCCCGCCAGCTTCACCTGCAGGTCCACCCGACCCAGCAGCTGCAGGCAACCTGCGGCAGGAGGGAGGGGTGAAAGGGAGGGAGGCACCGCGGGGGCAGGCACACAGGCAGGAGGTGCTCAGCACTTTGTTGTTGGGAAGTGGTATGCCCCGGGTGGTAGCAGTGCGGTGTATGCCGCCATCCTAAAGGCCAGACCCCGGGCCTGCTGCCGTCGCCTCCGCAGCCAGAGCTCACCCCATCTTCCTCGCGCCGCCCCTCCCCGTTCCACTTCCCCGCCCCACCTCCCGGCCCCACCTCCCAGCCCCACCTCCCAGCCCCACACAGCCCAGGTCCCCAGTGCGGAAGTAGGTCGCCTCCGGGGCCGCCTGCCGCCCCTCCGCCGTCACCACATGCCGCAACCCCTCCGCCGTCAGCCGCACGCGCACGAAGCGATCTGGTACCGGAGCCACACCGGTCACACCGGCCGCCGCCGCCGCTGCTGCTGCTGCTGCATGCACACCTGCATCCCTGACAACAGCAGCAGCAGGAGCGACTGTGGGGCTGTCGGCGGCACCAGCATGCTCTTCATCCTGTCGACTAGCCGGCCCGGTGGCAGCCGCTGCTGCTGCTGCTGCTGCTGGCGGCGCGCGGTGGTATCCTGCTGAGAGGCAGCTGCCCGCCACCCACACCTCACCCACACAGCCCGCGGGCAGCGGCACCACAGACGTCATGATGTCGCCGGGTCCCGCAGCCGCAGCGGCGCCGGCGCCACCGCCCTCCCCTCCAACCCTGGAGTCAATCCCACCTTGGCCACCCTGCAGCGCACTGCCCCCACCGCCGGAGTTCCCACCAGCCGAGGCCAGGACCGGCCTGGTGTCGCTCCTGCTGCTGCTGATGTAGCTGCTGTTGTCCGCATCCGGGGGCGGGGCGATCAGGATCTGGGTGTCGCCGATGGGCCAGCCGGCGGGCACCCAGGGGGCAGGCAGGGGCGCACTGGTGGTCTCCGCTACCTGGCATGCAGCGCCCCTGCCGCTCCCGACACTCCCGGCGTGTGCGTCCCCCCTTGCACCCGTGTCCAGCAGCCACTCGGGGGTCACTTCGAAGCAGGTGCAGTCCGCCGTGAGCTCGGTGCAGCCTGCGGGGGGGGGGGACGGGAGGGGTGCAGCAGCATGGAGGGGGGCGAGTACAAATGCAGCATGGGGAGCGCGGTGCTGGGTGCTGGTGCAGCAAGGAAGGGGTAGAGTCCGAGCTCGTACCACAGAACTCACCGTACAGGTTGAGCAGCCTTGCCCCCGGCGGCAGCGCCTCCCGCAGCGCCCCCGCCAGCCCCCGCTCCAGCGGCTCCCCGCTGCTCACCAGCAGCCGCAGCTGCAGCCTCAGTGGCCCCGTGTGCCGGCAGCGGGCGGCGCGCAGGGAGGGGAGCAGGTGGCGCAGCAGCGAGGGCACCGACACCTGAAGCGGTGGGATGGGGGCGGGGGGGGGTGCTTGCCGCAGCAGCGCAATTGGCGAGAGCCGAAACGGGCGCAATCGAACAAGGTGCGAGCAGGAGGGGAGCCGGAAGGAGCCGCAAGAGGCAGCACGCTTTCCTGGACCAGGAGACGGCGTCTGAGGTACATCATCATTACTTGTCATCACCAATGCCTAACGGTAATCTCCAACTGCATTCCCCACGACGTCCCTACGAAGTCCAATCCCTCCAGAGCTCCAGCCGCCCCCTCCACCCCCCCCGCCCCCCGCCCCCTGCCCGCACCAGATGTGTCACGCGGTGCGCCGCCAGCAGCCCCACCAGCACCTCGGGCTGCAGCAGCGACCCACGGGGCGGTATCAACACACTGCAGGGACCCATGGGTCTCACTGCTGCTGCTGGCAAGGCAGCAGCCACCGAAGGCGGTCCCCCAGGAGCGTGGACGTCGGCAGAGACACTGCCGGCGACGGTATCGGCTGATGTCGTACTGCCTGTTGTCGTGCACCCTGCTGTCGTACTGCTGCCGGAACCCGTAGCACCGGTTTGCGCTTGCACCTCCGCCATCCCGGGCGCCAGCAGCGGGGCCAGCAGCTGCCACAGGTGGTCCACGAAGCTCACCGGCGTGCTGAAACACACCACGCTCCCTGCGCCACCCGCTTCCTCAGCACCCCCGGAGTGACAGGAGGAGCTATGGACGCTAGCAACGCCGGTGGTTTGCGACAGCGGAACAGCCGAAGGGGCGTGATCGCCTGCTGCTGCGGTTGTTGTTGCGGCTGCGGGTCCCAGGGGAGCAGCTGCTTGGGCATCCGCCTGTTGGGCTGCAGGCTGCGTGCTGGTTGCCTGCGGCTCTCCTTGCAACTGCGGTTCAGGGTGCTGGTGCTGCTGTTGATGATGCTGATGCTGATGATGGTGCGTGTTTTGCGTGTCCCGTGTTGGCGGGGATGGTGAAGCTGGCGAGTAAAGAGGGTATCGCGCCTGCATCCACGCAATGCGAGCCAGCCAGGCGGCCTCACTCATGCACACCCCCAACGGTGCTCCTGTGGATCCCGACGTGTACAACACCGCAAAGTACGGCAGAGGCATACTTTGCCCCTGCGCCGGCATGCCGCAATCGCCGCGGGCTGATACCATTGGCGCACCCACTGCGGTCCCTTCCTCAGCCTCACCCGAATCAGCTGCTGTTTCAGTTTCAGCAGACCTAGCACTAACACCGGCTTGCAGGGCATTCGCGAATGAAAGCGGCGGCTGTTGCACGGGTCCCTTTGTCAAGGCAGGCACCGCTGGGTGTACGGGAGCTGCCGGCGTGACAACGTGGACGGAGCAGCTAGCAGGGACAGCGGCTGGCAGCAAGTGGCGGTGCGCTGGTGTCGTGAGCAGCAGGCAGGGGCGCGCCAGCTGTAGCACCAGGGCGACCCGTGGGTCCGGCCAGGCGGGGTCCAGAGGCAGGAAGGCGGCACTGCGGGCCAGGATTCACCGGGAGTGGGCCGCTCAAGCGCTCATGCACTGGAGTACGGGACGGGAAGGACATGCCAGGCGTCGTCTACGGATAAAGGGGGTGTCGTGCGCTAGAAACACGACTCCAAGGAGCAGGGTGCTGCTGCATGAGGTGTACTGCTGAGGAGGAAGTCAAGATTGGCAGGTCAGGCAGAATAGGAACGCACAAGGTACGAAAGTTGCAAGCTATGTCCACGCCGCATAGGCTTTGCCCAGCTCCACGCCTACATCGGAATTTCATGTTCACAAGGTAACCAGCTCACCTACCCCGCTGCCAGGACAGATAGCGCCATGCATATGTAGTCCGCTGACTGGTGGCAGAAAATTGCTACCAGCGGTGGTTTGTCCTTTCCGCCCGTGTTAGCCCCAACGGTAACGCTAGCTGCCAAGGTGCTGTACGAAGAGCCGGTATGCAGACGTCCTGCCTCTACGGACAGTCGTTGAGCACAACCTGCCTCTTCCAGCCATTTGTTTACGTGAGCTTGGAGCTCGAGAACCTGCACGGAAGACGAGACGTGCACCCCGCTTGGAACAAGCTGCTGCAATTTATAACTACTGCCATGGCGATTTCGCTCGTTAGCGGAGACGTTTCAATTGCCACGATAAGCGCGCCTTTGGTAGTAGCGCTCTCAATGGCAACCGAAGTCCCGCATCGATGTCTGTTACCGCTGCTGCCTCGGCCGACGGAGCCAGCAGCGCGGCGCGAACCCTAATCCAAAGCTCAGAATGCCAGATCATTTAAGCACATAATGCATCGCAGTTCGACGTTGTGGTGTGGGGCGAACCGGAACGTAAGGGGCGCGTAAAGGTTGATTGCCGGTTGTACGACAGGTCACCGAGAGACAGCTGCGAAAGGAGATACCGCTACGTTCAATCTATAATGCTAACAAGTTATGTTTGAATAGATTATGAGTGATGCTGTCCTGTTAGGGTTCGGTTAGGTTGCTTCTCATAGGGCTGCGCGTGGAGGTATTCCCTTAATATCTGACTCCGGTTCAGGACTGACCGTCGAGAATGACGGCGAAAGCGGGCTTAGTCAAAGGGCTGCGTTTTGCGATGGGTCGTGGCCAGCCATCAATATCGATGGCCAGTCTTGCCTTCGGTGGCGCAGCCCTGGTTGGGGGAACGGCATACTTCACATACCGTTACACAAAGGCGCACACAGCAGTGCAGCAGGAAGGCGATGGGCCTATCGACCCGGGAACTAGCTTCCGTGTGTTCGACCAGATAGCCCAGAAGTACGACGACGCTATCGGCCAGGAGGAGGCGGCTCTCTGGTAAGCTAGATGCGCGCTGGGAGCGGGGATGGAGCCAATCCTGACAATGGCGTGCCCGGCGTGGACTCTGGTGGGGGTTGCAGGTACGGCATGATGCGCAAATGGCTCCTGCGCGAAGCTCGGGGCGAGGTCCTGGAAGTCTCCGTGGGCACGGGTCGTAACTTCGAGGTAGGAGCAGCTGCCGGCGACTTGCGATGACATCGTCGTTGTTTTTGCAACCCGTGGTCTCCTCTTTGACCCTGACTTGCACTCGTGTTGCATCCTGTTGCACTCTATAGCGTCGACGTTTCAGGGATGCGGATGCTGATTCCCCGTTTGGAACCGCTCACATCCTGTAGCATGCCTCCAGCGCCCTCCTTGACCCCCAACAACTTACAAACCTCCGAAGCAAACCCAGCACCATACACCGACCACCGATTACCCCAGTGTCGCGGCTCCCTATCAGCGCCCTGCCCCACGGACACACGCACCTCTTCAGTGTTTTCGGACTCGCGGCCAGTTTTATGAACACCACTCCCCCCCCTGCTTCCCCCCCCCCCGCTGCTCGGCTGCAGTACTACGACTTCGCCGCCAGCGGCATCAAGTCGCTCACGTGCACGGACCTCAGCCAGCACATGCTGCTGCGCGCGGAGGATAAGGTGCGGGACACTGGGGGAGTGGATGTGTAGGCGGGGCGGGTGCAATCCTGCCTTGCAATTGGGCGGGGAATGCAGACGGCAGAGGTTAACCGGAAGGGCATTGGGAGGGGGGAGAGTAAGGAAGTACTAGTCAGCTGCCTCTCAGCACTCAGTTGCTGCTGTTGGTAGGCTGCTTGTCCAAACTCTCTGTGTTGCTCCACCAACCGCCTTGCCGACGCCCCCCTCCCACCCACTTCCTCCGCAGTTCTTCGACGAGCTGCATCTGGGGCACAAGCACCCCAACGTGCGGATCAACTTCTGCCTGGCCGATGCGCACGTGAGTAGGCACGCGTGGGGTTGGGGCGACGTGTGCCACAGTGCATGGCTGAGCCGCCCTCGTACGGCGAGTATGCCCTGAAGCCTCCAACCGCATGTATGCTGAGTTGAAAGCCTGGTGCCGTAATCTGGTGCTTATGCTACTACGCAGCTCGTGACCTGGTTTAATTGTCCCGCTTTGGCTCCCGAATTCGGATGCCGTGCAGTGCCTAGTGGACCCCAATGCGAAACTGCCGCCGAAACCCGAACCACCGGTGGAGAAGAAGGAGCCGAGCGCCGCCGCTGCGGTGGCGCCGCGGCCCCGGCCCCAGCCGCTGCCTGAAGTGGATCCCGCCAGGTGCGCCTGGGGTGCTGCACTTTGGCCTCATGGTGCATGACTATGACGGGAGGGTTTGACGCAAGAGCGGCACCTATGTCCGCGTGCCAAGCGTGCAAGATAACTGCTTCGACCTTCGCCACCATGGTTCAGACGCGTGTGGGTGCCAATCGTACAACTTCTAGCTTGGCTAACCGTGCAAGCGCGTCACTGCACGCAGCGCTCCTTGGTGGGCCTACTGGAGGCGGCTCCCGCCCGTGGAGCGGCCCAAGCCGGCGGAGGCAGCACCCAGCAGCGCTCCCAGCGAGGCAGGACAGCCCGCCAGCAGCACGGAGGCTGCGGTCTCAGGAGATGCCATGCCCGGGTTACACGCCGGGGGCCTGCTGAACTTCTTCCGCGTGCTGTTGCCCTCTTCTGATGGATCGAAGCAGGCGCCAGCAGCGGCGGGCGAGGCGGCCAGTGCTGAGGCAGCGGGCGGAGCCAGCTCACATGAGCATGCTGAGGCCTCGTCGTGCTGCTCTTGCCACAGCCACTCGCGCGGCTATAGCCAGCGGTGCTCTTCAGGCCAGCATGAGTCGGGTGCGCCGCTGCAAAAGTTTGCGCCGCGCCAGTTTGACACCGTGGTAGACACCTTCGGCCTGTGTTCTCACGAGGATCCCGTGCAGGTATGCCATGGACAGACTGGGCTCAACTTGCTGCTGTTCGTTGTTACCATCCGTCCCCCTAATCTTGCAGGCGCTAAAGGAGATGGCACGTGTCTGCAAACCGGGGGGGAAGATCCTACTTCTCGAGGTACGATGCTCTTTGCTGTTGCGTGATCTAATCCCGGGTGCTATCGTTGCTAACTCTTTCCTGTTATTCAGCACGGGAGGTCACACTACGACTGGCTGAACGATAAGCTGGACTCCTCGGCGACGAACCACCAGCGCAAGTGGGGCTGCCTTTGGAATCGTGATATTCTGGGACTTATCAAGGAGGTACGTTGCAGCGTATCAATCCCACACGCTGTGCTACTTTGCCCCTAGGAGGGTGACTGTTGTTAACAAGCCTCGTTATAAGCAGCTGTGTTAGCTATACCAACAACTGGCTAATACGTTCATCGCCGCCTAAACATGCATCGTATCCGCCGCTGCTGCAGGCTGGGCTCCAGGTTGACAAGGTCACCCGGTGGCATTTCGGCACATCGTACTACATCATTGCCCGCCCATCCGTCCGCTGAAAGCCAGCTGATATACTGCTCAACTCAAGAGCAATTCGCCTGTAAAACTGCATTCTGTAAACTGCTACTGGAGCGTCTGTTGGCTGTCATCCGCATGACCATAACCACTGCTGGTTAGCTTGGCTTAGCTGACCAATATAGCTTGGCTGACCGAGAGGAAGACCCAGGGGACATAGAATTGTCTGAGCAACCGTTACACGCGCAAACGTTGGTCAACAGCGACCGCTACGGCGGTCTACCAGTCATGCACAACTAATGCATGCATACCGGCCGGGGACGCGGGGCCTGCCGTCAGGCGGCATTCGGGTCCGACGGGCTCCTGATAGAGCCTGCACGCTGGTTCTGCTTATGTGCTGGCGCCGAGCAGCAGCTCCAGCGAACTGTTGCCATGTCCACGGTGAACCTGCTCTAGCTGCCTGCCACCCCAGCCGCCAGCCCGGCTAGGAAGGCCTGGCCGTCACGGCGCTCGTCCCGAGCGCTCCACGCGTCCCGCTTAGTCGCTCTTCTTGCGGAAAGAGCAGCCTGAGGATGTCACAAGGTGGACACATCTTGTTAAGCATGGTATGCAGACCCTTCGAAGTAGCTATTTGCATGTCCATTCCTGCATTAGGCTAGGTAAAGTTCATGGCTCCATCGTAAAAGCGAACGTGCTAAGACATCTGAGCGCTAGTTCTAGCTTAACATCTTGCTGTAAATTAAGAGGTAGTAGCCGAGGCTGGATAAGGCCAAACTCACCCTCGGTGAGGCGGGCACGGCCACCGGTCGGGGTGCACAGAACAGACGAGCAGCTCCCGCACATGACAACGGTCTGGCTGTGGGAGAAGACGGTGGTGCTGCACAGCAGGAGAGCGTGAAAGCGAGTTCAGTGGTGGCGGCCGCAGTCGGTACAACGTTGCCAGCACATATCCAGCAGATAACAACAATGTAAGGCTAATCCTTAAGCGAAAGGCAACTTACATGTTGAAGCAGCCCTGGCACTTCACGTCCATGAAGAACTGCGGCGCACGGCGGCAGGGATTGGGGTAAGCCGCAGCTTGCAAACGTAAAAAAGCAAAATAGCTACACATACCGAGTTGGGGCTCTGCACAAGCCGCTTCCGCTTGTGCTTGGCCTTCTCCAGCTCCGCTGGAGGGTTGAGAAGATCGATATCGCTGTGGAGCACCTGTGCCGCGGAAAGGTAGAACGCGTAAGAAAGGCTGCTGTTACTGTTGAATATAGTGGGCCATAGTTTTGGCAGCGGTAGGCACTTTCTAGGTCGACTGCTCTGCGCCGCAATGCCTAGGTATATTGCGCTTCTAGGGGTTCAGACGCACCATTTTCGCGCGGAGGGGCAGGCTCCACGTGAACAAAGGAGAGAAAGTTTACATGGCTGTGGGACCCATTATTACCGGCCGGAGCCCCCTCCTGGAGGTACGGCAGGCGTCCATTTCCTTAATCGCGCATCGGATTGCTGCATATACAGTGTATAACGTAAGCCAGTGAGCTCGCGACGTAAAAGGATTACAGACCTAGGTGAAATGACTTCGGGCAGGGATGGCGACTGGCGCATCGCTTCCAATGGTTCCTTACACATTCTATTTTGCGTGCCCAATTGCTCTATGTTTATAGTTCTTCAGGATTAGCTCTTGCTCATAAGAGTCGCTGCAAGTATTAACCGCTTTATTAGGGACCCATGGACCACCTTCTCAGCTTCCTGGTTATGCGGGATAACAGGGCATTTTCTAGTTGGCCAGGGGTGGCTACGCCCTTTCTGCAGCCCGTGCGTCAAGCCTTGTAAAGCTAAGCTCCAGCTCCAACTTTGCTTTCCACTCTAGACATGAAGGCAGAGGTTACACTAGGTGCTGTTTGCACAAAATGTTGCGGACGCGTAAGACATAGGACACGTACGAATGCCGTCCCAAGATAGTCTGTACACATCTTTCCCTCCAAGCATTATCCGTCGACATTATCCAGTAACGTGTCAGCGTGCGGCCCGGTCTCCCTTACCGGGAAGGATACAGGTTGCCGACCCACATGACGGACACGAGTCAGCACGAAGGCGTAACACTAGCATGGGTCAGGCGGGAGCCGGCCACCTTACGGGGCTATGTACAGGGTAATTCCTAAGGCCATGCCAGAGAGCTATATAACAAGATCCTCCATATTCCTAACCAGCCACTCTATTTACAAGTAATTCCACTACCTAAGGTCACTAGTAGCGCGCATGGGGATACCATGTATAACCTTGATGCCCACCGGTTTCTAATTTGTATCCGTAGCGTCTAAGTCACATCCTCTGATATCATCGGCTCACACCCCAAGGATAGAAAGATACGTGCGCTGCCGTCCAGACATGCACAAGGCGCTGTCAAAGCCACGTACACAATGTCAGAACTTGATGCCACAGGATGCACCTACATACAAATTACGGTGCCCAAGACGACCCATTCCAAGCCTTGCCTGAACGCTGCAGCGTGCCCCAGAAAATCTCACAGCCGATACGCTTCGCACCCCATGCAGTAAGGTCACAGGAACTGTGCAGCTGCTGTCCCCCTTGCGCATGCGGGGTCCATCTCACAGGCACTTGGCCAGCTCCTGGAACTCGTTCTTGCACTTGATGAGCCCCTCCACGCGGCGAGCGAGCATGTCACGCTTTGAGGCGAGCGCGGCAACAGCGCCAGCAGCTGAAGCAAGGAGAAAAGGTAAATGCAATGTTAGCAACGGGGTGAATACGATCGGCATGCATTCGATGCGGAGATGCTAGGACTTGGTTGCATCATGTCAGTCTCTTACCCAGTAAACCATGCCCAACAACATAAACCCACCGCTGAACATGCCGGCGAAGTCCGCGTCGCTGCGCGCGAAGAGGTCCAGCGCCACCTCCAGCCCCAGCCGCTCCGTCATGGGGTCCAAGAACGTGTTCTTCAGAGTGGTGGGGGCGTACTGGTCGGCCACCGCAGTGCGAATCTTTCGGAACAGCTTCTCTGCTGAGGAAACCACGTCCCAGGTACCGCTCGACGATAATTCGTTGCCGCCGTTGCTCACCATGGCACCCGCAGGGCGTTCTGCAGTATAAGCAACATTGTCAGGTAAACGGCAAGTACGCTTCGATAGGCAAAGGGTCTGCCAAGAACTCTTAGCAACGTACTGCCCAAGTCACATGGCCAATATCTTCCCCATGCCCCCGCCTTCCTACCTCCGTTTGGAAGCCCAAAGCGGCGCGACTTGGTTGCCCGCCGGCTAGGCGTGTTATCCTCGAAGCGGCCAGGCCCTGGCCCTGCTCCATCGGCTCCAGCAAGCTGCACTGCCTTCAGCCGGTCGTTCAACACCTGGTTGGTAGCGGCGATGGAGGCGGGCGTCTCAGGTACCGTCATATGCGCGCGTACCTGTACCGGGGTGGGCATTACACCCTGCGCAGGACAGGGTGTACGGCGCCGTGCGAATTGTAGACTAGGCTGTGGCTTTTCAGAACGCATAACTGGAAAGCTCTGTTGCATGCTTAGTAGCTCGAACTGATTTGGTGATATAGCCGTGACGCCTCTAGCGCGTATTATGTTTGTTGGACATGTAGCCTGTCATGGGTTATATAAGCTTACGGCACCTTTCCCTCCCATGTAAAATAGCTTCCCTACACCTAGGGTTTACGACGCCGTTGCCCTATCGGACAACGTACACATCAGAAATGCGTTATCGTAGTGTAGTACAGTGAAGGCCCCACGTGCCCAAAATGCTTGCGGCGCTCAATTGTGCACATACTGTGGACCCGAACGGTCAGGGCAAGGGCTTGCCCTCCTACAGCACAGGCAACAGCAGTGGCTTGAGCACCCCACGACCATCTGGATACCACGGCGGAAACCCCACCCATTAGCCAGGTATCTTCCGCTTACTAAGAGCTGGCACAACTCTGTCCAAGCCTACCTCGGCACCATCCACTTGGCGATCGTCCGCTGCGGCGCCCTCCTCTTCGTCCCCTTCCTCCTCTGCGTCGCTGCTGCTGTTGCTGGCCGGTACCTCCGTGTCCCCCGGGTCCGGCATCATCGCGTACATGTTCATAGCGAACTGGCTGGTGGCGGCCTCCAGGTGCGTCTTCAGCATGCTGCGCGCCTGCTCCTCCAGCCGGTTGATGAACGACTGGTGTGAGCTCCGGAGAGCCGCGTGGAAGGAGATGTAGGGGTGCAGGTTCTCCTTGCTGCCCACTGTGAGGCGGGAGGCGGTGTGTCCAGTGAGGCTTAGGTCAGGCAAAGGATAAAGCACTGAAGGAGCAGCATAGTACAGCCGTCAGCTAGCAGCAGGGCAATTGGCCACAGACCGTCGGCGCCGTTTAATTCAAATGGAGCCAATAGGTGAAAGTCAACAGCAACCCCCATGCATAGCAAAGGCTCAATCCGCCGTCATACGCACATACTTAGCGCTAAGCTGTGATTATACAGCTACGGTTAGCAATACCGCATTCTCCCAGCTTCTTACAAGACACACCGCATGCCTATCGTGGAGGAGAACCCAACGCATTTATAAAAACTTACTTGTGGCCGCTGCCCGGTCTGCAGCTATGTCGTACAGCCGGCGCAAGATGAAGGCCATGCGCACGCACGCCGCGTCGAGAAGCGGCCCAAGCGCCTCCTTCGCTGCCTGTCGCGCAATGTCCTCAGCTGCCTTCGCACCGCCGCCTGTTTGGTGCCTGCCCTTGTACGAGAGCATGATGTTACGAATCCGGTCCTCGCCCATGCCTGAGGCGCGTGGGGCAATGCCCTCGGTTCAGACCATGGTTATGTGACGTTGCATGTACACGCAATACCCACCATGACAACTTTTTCTACTAGATCCACTAGCAGTGTCAGTTTTGCGGCCAGTTGACTTGCCGCACATGAGGGCGTGTCAGTTGACTGGCAACTCCTTTGCTGCACTGGTTAGCCCCAGCTTCCAGGTGTAATGGGAGCTCCTACCTTATGATGGCTAAACCTTTCGAAACATCTCATCACTTACTGCTCGGGAAGCGCATGGAGCGGACGGCGAGGTTGAACTCTTCCAGGCAGCGCTCAAATGCAGCACCGCCGAAGAGCTTGCTGCCGCAGTGCTGTGGTCGTACCTTCTTGTTGGTTAGCCCGGGCCACTGCATGATAGAAAGACACCCACATGTGTAAGGCACGAATGAGCTGGGCTTCTCGAGCTTCAGCACTGTCCCCATGGCATCATTTACACCCATGATTACGCCTTTAGGTACTCGCTCTATCGCCGTACCTGAGGAGCTCGCGAAGCAGCGCGCTCCTCCGCCGTCGTCAGGCCATGCTGCATGGGGTCGGGCTCCGCTGAGCCCTGCAGCAGCAGCACCACCTGCCGGGCCACTGTGTCCGCGTACTTCATGGCTGCTCGTCGCAGCGCCCCCACGTCCTCCGCCGCTTTGAGCCGGATCTCCGCCGCCATGAGCTCTGCTGACACCGCGTCGCAGCGCTCTTGCAGCAGCGCCAGCGTGGCCGGCGCCGCCTCGCGGTAGCGCCGACTTAACTCCTCCTCCAGGAACCTGCCAGAGGCGCAACAGCCGTTATGACGGGAAGTAGCAGAAAAGGGAAATTGAAGGGAGGCGCTAGCTGGCAAGCAAAGCCTGAGCAGGCTACGTCACGCTTACTTCTTCAAGTTCGAGAAGCCGATGCGGGAGGCGAAGCGCTCCTCATCGAACCCTCCCTTGATGCCGTCCTTCAGGTGCTTGAAGACGGCCTGGTCCACCTCCGACATGCTGCGCCGCCACTCAGCACTGCTCTGAATGGCCCGGTCCTAACGGAGCAAATGGGACAGTTCGGGGCATGCCGTGAACACACGTAGTTACTACTTGTTCACAATATGCCGACAAGGTGTATATGAGGTGTCCGGCCGCTTGCTGCTGGTCTTGGCTGAAGTGACACATCCCAAGGATTATGCTGCCCATCTACGTGCCAATGGTGGCTCGCATCCGGACGGTGTGTTAAACCAACTTCCGACCATGTGCACTACGCCATGCGCGTCACTTGCCTTGGGCAAGGCCACAAAGAACGGCCGCACGTTGGGCGGCAAGTAGCCGGTAGCGCTGAGGTACTTGTCCACTTCCCACCTCTCCGCAAACTCCTTCAGTCGGTTGTCGAACTTGCTCGCCACGATCACCTGATGTACAGCATGATGAACACTACGGTTACGGTGGGCTCCACAGCTTGCATGTTTGCCAAACCAAAATCTGTGCAGCTGGCTACGCAGCATAGTTGCTTGTCTATCGCACCGTTCGCTGGAAGTAGGGGTCCACCTCCTGCACCACCCGCAGCCACAGCGAGCTAGCCCACTCCACGCTGGATTGCTGCAGGAAGAGGATCATCCTGGGGGCCAAGGGCGCAAGGTGAACCAGCATCAGCTCTGGCGCTTCCAAGCAATGTTTCCATTTGGCCGTGGCCACTTTTGCAAGCCCACACTCCATGAGATGGGAGCACGGAAGCTGACATGGATTGCTCACCTGTGCGGCGGCGACGCCTGCGCCTTAACCATAGACATAATCTCGTCGGGCGTGTTGTCCTGCTCTCCCGTCTTCGCCTTAAGGATGAAGCCCGGCGTGTCGATGATGGTTAGGTTTGGGCAGTAGGCGTACCTGCCAAGCAACGCACAGGAAGACAGCGTAGGTAGGCAGCACGGACCTAAAGCGAAACCCAAATTCGCCGACTAGCCTGAAGTACGGCCATCAATGCGCCCGTTGACTGTTTATTCTTAAAGTGTTGGAAACTACGCGACCCACTTTCAAGCCCAAACCCAAAACCCTGGGTTAAGCTCTACGCCACTTACTCCGCACGCATAACGATGGGTTTTGACGACACGGCAATGCCTCCCATCTTGCGCAGATGCTCCTCCGTGCGCCGCTGGATGGCATCAGCCACAGCAGTCTCGGGCACGATAGGCGGCCCTAGGGCGGCAGGAGCAGCGTGCTAGCATGTTACAACGGTTACCCGCGGCCACAGAAACACATGGGAGGGGGTAGGCCCTTGACATAGCTGTGCACAAAGCACATAAGGGGGCTTACCGTACTCATCGGAATCCTCCTCCTGCAGTCTGCACCGGGGCTCGTTGGCGGTAGGGTCGTGCACCATCTGCACTATGAGAGGCCGCCGCGTTCCCATCTCAACTTCCCGAACGTTGAAGCGGAACTGCAGGCAAAAAGGATAGGAAACTATGGTCATGGATCCCGGGAAGTACCGTAGCAAAAATGAACATGGATAAAGGCAGAGGAAGACCCATATCGAGTAGGAACACCGTCGCTTCTCGGCTACATGCAAGAACAGTGGACCCTTGACCGAAGCGAACTCACGCCGAGGAACGCTTCCAGGAGGGAAGATTTGCCGTCGGACTGGCCACCAATAGCAACTATCTCTGGAATGGCCAAGGACTCTCCCATGGCGACTGCAGCCGCCTGCAGCCGGCTGCGGGACAGGGACAGAGCGGCAGCAGCAAGGCACGGATGGCACCCAAAGGGTGCAACGCGTCAACCGCCGGTGCCTGCAAACTCTCGGTCTTCCGTGCACCACCACGCACAATCACAATTGTCCACGGCTGCTGCACTTGACAAATTATACCTGTACGCATCATAGCGCCTGTACTCAGACCTGGGGGCCGCGCGATACATCAGGGTATGCGCGCAGAAGTTGGCGCAGGTCACGCAGGCGGTTCCAAACCACGCGACCACGAAGCCTTATGTAATCGTAATTGCATAGCGTAAACTTATGAACAGTAATATCGTATCTGGGGAAGGCGTTGGCAACCGGAAGAACAAGCGGCTGCTTGACTCTCATTTGTAATTCCGCTTTACTGTTCTCTTGCGCACCTGTAGGCACGATAGCGGATCTGGGCCTCGCTCGTCTCAAAAAGCTCTTGTGTTGATTCCCGTAGAGTGTTGGCGTCCGCAACCGTCGACCGGCGCACGAGTCCATTTCCCTGGACAGCTGTCGCTGGCACAGGCTTCATCTGACCTGGCTGCGCAACCTGCATCTTACTTAAAGTCTGATGAAAGGATTGGTCTGGAGCAGCAGCGTCCCTGTCAAAAACAGCGTTATCGAATACCCTCGAACTGGACATTTCCAAGCTGTCAGTATTTGTTTCACCACACCATCGCTGATACTCTAATATTTTATGCCTGTATGTTTCACCTTTTGCGCTGTGCAGGAGACAAGGAGACCCGTCAACTACTCAACTGCATGGCCTCTGTACAACACAGCTGTACGGCTCTTATGAACTGAATAGTCGCGTTTCCAAGCCGCAGGTTGTTTCCTGCCACCTTTTCCAATTTATACCTGTGGACTTTATTTTCTTCTTTTTGACATCCACCTAAGTCTTTTACATTATACACTTGCGCTAAGATGGCGAAGAAAGCAAAGAAGGGAAAGAATCGCTTGGATAAGTTCTACCATCTTGCCAAAGAGCAAGGGTGAGGGGGTTGCCGGACGCGGCGCAAGCGATTCGACGGCCTAGGCTGCCCTCGCGTAACATAAAAGCGCGCAGGGTTTTATAGCTTTTATAACTAAAGAATAGTGTGCTGAGTCCTATGCATACAAGCGCGGATTACGTAGCGCCGCCGCCGGCAACGTCAGTCATTGTCGCTCTTCGGCCATGCATACCGTGAACTGCTGACTGCAGGTATCGCTCCCGTGCGGCGTTCAAGCTTATCCAGCTTAACCGCAAATACAACTTCCTAGGGAAATGCAGAGCTGTGCTGGATCTGTGCGCGGCGCCAGGTATGGCACAGCACGCTTCCTGCCCTGCGTGGTGGCGGCCCATATCATGGCAGCCGGGGTTTACGCACTCGGAGGCAGCCACGTATGGGATTTCGCCATTAACATTTGGTCAAGGGGCTGGCGCCAGCCATGGAAGCCGATTTGGTAGAGGAGCGTAGGGACAACCTCCTGTTGCCAGGGGAAACCCTACCCGCCCACCATGCTGGCTCTGTGTCATGGTCAGCACTGGACACGGCATTAGCGTTCGGCTATCCGGGCGCTGTTTCTTCTCTGTCCTTTACTCCCGACGCTCCTTACGCCGAATGCTCGCCAACACGCAGCGTATCAGCCTACCACTTCGTGGCATACGGCACGTCTAATCTTTTCCACCCTCCGCTCTCGACCCCCACCTGACCCTCAGGTGGCTGGCTGCAAGTTGCGGCCAAGACCATGCCCGTGGGGTCGCTCATCCTGGGTGTGGACTTGGCGCCCATCAAGCCCATCCGCGGCGTGAAGACGTTGGTGCAGGATATCACCACCCAGCAGTGCCGCACAGCCATCAAGCGGGAAGCAGGGGGTGCCAGGATGGATGTGGTGCTGCACGATGGTGCACCCAACGTCGGTGGCGCATGGGCCAGCGAAGCATATAGCCAGGTGGGATGTTCAAGTTGGTACGCTTGGGGGTTGCTAGTATAGGGAATGGAACGGGCAGCGGTGTGTGCCGTCGGATGAGGGAGCAGCGTGGCTGCCTGGGTTTAACGTGCCGGGGCCATGCGCCGATTTAGGCTACCGGTAGTAACTACTTAGCTCGAAACATGCATGCGGGCGGCAGCGGGCGGGCCGCATCAGCCGGCCTTGTGCGCACATAGTAAGACCCCACAAGCCTCGCTAGCCGTGAAAAAACGGCGGCTGGCCGGCTGTTCTGCATGTCAACAGCTATCTTTGCAACGAGGGCTAACCCCATCTTCGTGCACCCTGCAGTCGACGCTTGTGCTCGATGCGCTCAAGCTGGCGGTGGACACGCTGGCGCCTAAGGGTACCTTCGTGACCAAGATTTTCAGGTACGGTACGCGTCATCAGAGTCCAGGAGTGTTTGCTCCTGTCGGGGAATCTCAGCATGGGCCGTAGCCCACAGCCAAAGCCAAAGCCCAGTGCGGTCATGTAGGCCCCACGTCCGGGTGACCGCATGCAACCAGCAGCTCATGTCCCTGCCGTCCCGCATCTGCCACTCACTGCGCCGCCGCTGCTGCTGCTCCCGCCGCTTGCACGCAGGTCGAAGGACTACAACGCGCTGCTGTACGCCTTCAACCAGCTGTTCGAGAAGGTGGAGGCCACGAAGCCCGCAGCCAGTCGTAACGCCTCGGCTGAGATCTTCGTGGTGTGCCTGGGCTACAAGGCGCCAGCCAAGATTGACCCGCGCCTGCTGGACCCCAAAGTGCTGTTCCAGGTGGGGTTACGGGATTGGCATTGGGGCCTACTTAAGCACCTTGGACTGGGGGGACTGCTTGCAGCCTAAGGGCTAAGATGCAGCCACTGCATGACCTGTCGTTGTGCAGCTTTAACTATATATCCAGCGGATTATGGATTGGCTTGGTGGGATGCATCGGCCACTGCTCATACGTATCCCTGGCTTGCCGTACTCGCAGGAAGTGGTGGAGGCCAAGAAGGTCATGGGCCCAGAGGCGCTGCTGCGCCAGAAGATTAAGCAGCGGCGTTTCAGGGAGGGCTACGAGGAGGGCGTGACCACGCTGCGCCGCTTCACCTCGGCGCTCGCATTCCTGGTCAGCGATACGCCGGTGGAGATGCTGGGCAGCTACACCGAGGTGAGCTAGGGGGCGCCCTTTCGGACCACACATCGGTACAGGCATGAAGACAGTTGACTCGGCGCGCCGCAATAGGGAAAGCAGGCGCTAGCGCAGGGTAGCGCTGCCCGCCATGCGTACGGACTTTAACTTCTGCATGCCATCCACATCTGCTAACAAGGACTTCCTCATCCCTGACGTGCCCCGCAGCTCGCACTGGATGGTCCCAACTCGTGGGCCCCGGTGGAGGCTCTGGGCGAGGGCGCCGCGGAGCCCAAGGAGCTGGCCGCCAAGATCCGCAGCCACGAGGCGACCACTGCGGAGATCCGCACGCTCTGCAAGGACCTGCAGGTGCGGAGGCGGGGGCAGGGCAGGGTGTCAAGTGGGGTGCTCCATGGGGCTCCATGTGGGTCGGGCACTCGCTTGCTCGTAAGCCGCAGTTTCCCAGCGCACTGTCTTCACACGGTTGCTTCTTGCGTACGCAGGTGCTGGGTCGCAGTGACTTCAAGCAGCTGCTGCGCTGGCGGCTGACGGTGCGCAAGGCCCTCAAGGCGGATCTGAGCACGGAGGAGGACGCAGCAAAGGGCAGCCACAAGAAGGGCGCCAAGGCGGCGGACGGCAAGGCGCAGGCGGGTGCTGACGGCGCCGCCGCGGCAGCCGACCCCGAGGAGGCTCTGCTTGCCGACATGGCCGCGCTGAAGGACAAGATGGCTCGGGAGGCGAAGCGCGATAAGAAGAAGCGGCGGGAGATGAAGATCAAGTCGCGGCTTCGTGCGGCACAGGCAGCGCAGTCGGAGGGCCTCACGGACGACCCGCACCAGGGCGGCCCCGACCAGCTGTTTAACCTGACGGGGGTGGAGGCGCGGCTGGGAGACGCGGATATTCCGGATGACGAGCTGTTGGAGAACCTGGACTCCGATGAGGAGGTGCGTGGGGGGGAGAGAGAGACGTGGCTGCGACTGCCGTGGGGTAGGGTACAACCGGCACCGGTGTCCTTCGTCTTGCTGAGGACTCTCCGGCGTCGCTCGTTACCTGTGCGGTCGTCCCCCTCTTCCCGTTCCTGTCCCGCTGCAGGAGTCGGATGCTGGCGTGTCAGACGGCGAGGAGGGCAGCGACACGGACAGCGAGCTGGCGTACGAGTTGGAGCTGGAGGATGCGCTGGAGCACTCGTACAAGGAGTACCTGGAGCGCAAGGTGGGCGGGGCGGGCAGGGGCTCGGGCGGAGGGCTCCACCGTGCTGTGGTTGACGAGGGTCGTGTCTCTGGCTATGAGAATGGCTTGAAGGGGGGGGTCCTGAACCGAAACCTACCGTAAGTGGGGCTGCTGATGCCGATACTTGAAAATCGTTCTTTTTGAGATCACTGTAACGGGCGCCCATTCCTTGATTCATCTTTGGGGTGTTCGGTCCATGCGCATGTGGCCATCCCTGCATACTGGGTATCAAGTTAGGAATTGGCGCCGTGTGTGTGTTCCTTTGACAGGGTGTGCGCGCTGCCGCTGAGAAGGAACGGCGCAAGCGGTTGGGTATGGACGGCGAGCTGGGGGATGAGGATGACGAGGACGGTGCCGCGGCGGATGACAGCGGCGATGAGGATGATGTTGAGCGGCTGAGCGACGGGGACGACGATGAGGACGGCGACAAGGCCGGTAAGTCTTGGACAAGTGCTCTGCTGCGTCGGCCCAACGCACGAAGACCTGCAGTGCCGGCCTCATGCTGGGCTGCCGGGAAAGCCCTGCACGTGGCAGACCCATGCTGACTTTAGCATGCCCCGCTTCCTGCCAGCTGCCTGCATCCCTGTATCTTCGTTCCGCTGGGCATGTCCTCACCTCGCTAATCCGCGGCGGCTGTGCAGGCGGCCTGCTGGTGTCGCTGGATGAGGACCGTGCGGGTGTGGCCAAGAGCGCGTCAGCCATGGCGGCGCAGTGGTTCAAGCAGGACCTCTTCGCGGACCCCAACCTGCTGGACGATGACGAGGAGGAGGAGCAGCAGCAGAAGGACCGGAAGGCGGCAAACGGCGCCGCGAGCGCTAAGGACGGCCGGCCGGCCAAGAAGGCACGCATGGAGGCTGATGCGGGCACGGGCAAGGGGAAGGCAGCTAAAGGGAAACAGCAGCAACAGGAGGATGGGACGGAGGACGAGGAAGACGATGACGAGGAGCCGGTGAGTGCGGTAATAGATTTGCATTGTTCCTTCATCCGGCTTCCAACTCTCTAGCCTCCAGTTATATATATCAACCGACTTCGTGACTAGTACCCAATTGCAAGCCCGCTTGTCGGTTAGGCCCGAGAGTAAACCCTTATTAACGTGACGTTTCTCTTCCGACGCGCAGTCCGACGCCGCGCGTGCGCGCTCTGGGCTGACCGCTGGCACCTCATCCCAGCAGCCTGCCCGCGGGCGGCGCGGCAGGGATGAGTTCGAGGTGGTTCCGCAGGAGGCGTCTGGGTCGGGCAGCGACTCGGGGACGGACTCGGAGGACGAGTTTGACATGCTCGATGACCAGGTGGGGCCTTGCGCACTATGTCGGCGGTTGGGGCCCTGCGGCCCTGCAAATGCATGCCTGGTATCTTGTTGGTGTTTTCGGGGCGACTGGCGTCAAGGTTCTGGTGTGCTTCGACCTGCCGGCGCGGGGGTGCGCGTGGCATGGGCAGGATAGTGACTGCTTGTTCGGGTTGTGAGTACGGTGCTCAGCAACGCGTCTTAAGCTATTCAAATGCACGACCTCTCCTCCTGCTTCAGGGCAAGGCGGAGGTGCTTGCGCTGGCCAAGCGCATGCTGCGGCGGAAGGAGAAGGAGTCCATCGTGGATGCCGCGTACAACCGCTTCGCCTTCCACGACTCGGGGCTACCGCGCTGGTTTGCGGAGGACGAGCGCCGCTTCATGAGGTGCGTGGGGGCTGAAGAGGAAACTGACGAGCTTTACGACACGGCTCGACCATGGGGTGCAAACATGGTAGCCGTCCATCCCGCAGATGGGGGGTGGCTGGACCATGGTGCTACTGACAGCAGCGGGTAATTGGAAGCGGGTGAAAGCGGGCAAGGGCGTCAACATAGCGGCTTGCTAGCCACCTCGCGGAATGCTTGCCAAGGCTTCGTGTATGTGTTAAAATAACTGGTCGCGAGGCGAAACGTACTGGGATGTCGGAAGATGAAGTCCCCACAGAACCGCCGCAGGAGCCGAGGAATATGGTAGCGTATGTACATATGTGTATGTGTAGACGCGACACGACATATACGATGCGGGTGCATGTACCAAACATAGCATGTTGCTGTGCTTTGCAGGCCAATTCCACCGGTCACCAAGGCGGAAGTGGAGGAGGAGAAGCAGCGGTTGCGAGCCATTGACGCCCGGCCTATCAAGAAGATCGCGGAGGCCAAGGCGCGCAAGAAGCAGAAGCTGGTGAAGCGCCTGGATCAGGCGCGGCAGAAGGCAAACGTGAGTGCCTTTCTTGGGTCACGGTGTTCGGAGTTGATTAGATTTAAAGGCTGCGGCTAGCACCATGGCCCCACGCGGAAGTAGGATTGCTACCGTACCACCTATGATTTACCTTGCACTGCTACCACCTTCTAGCTGAGTGCATCGGTGTACCGGTAACTGCCTACGGAAGATACCGAAGGTATCCCGGACGCCTATGTGTGCATGCTAGCACCTAGTACACCCACGTCCTAGCCCACACCAGATATCACGAATTTCCCCATGGTGTCGCTGACCACCTACATTACGCACTTCTTCCCCCTCCGTGCAGGCCGTTGCGGACCAGGAGGACGTGCCTATGAAGTCCAAGATGCGCGAGATCGAGAAGATCTACGCAAAGGCACAGAGCACCGGCAAGGGGAAAAAAGGAAAGGGCAAGCGCGGCGATAAGCGGAAAGGCCCGCCCCTGGATAACCGCATGAAGAAGGACAAGAAGTCCATGATGCGCGCTAAGCAGAAGCAGATGAAGAAGAAGGGCAGGAAGGGCCGGTAGAGGCGGCCGTTTATCGAGGCACGGGGGTCGTTGAAGCCACGTCGTTAGCCAGCACATTCACCGTGTCATTGAGCCGGTGGGTTGTGGGCAAGTGCTGGATGCTTTGTCTTCTGCGACCTGAGCACGTGGGTAGTCGATTGGGGTCGGACCGGAATTGGCGGGTCGAGTGGCACCCGGGGTTTTGCTGTAGACGTCGTGGCATGCGAGCATGTTAGCTCCTTTGGGGTCGTCGAACGGGAGGAGGCCTGCGCGGGGCAGGCTCCAGGAAAGCACCTTGCCCCCGGGGTTCATCGTCGGCTCTGTAATGCAGCCGTGCTGTCGGACGTGTGATCCTCAGGACAGGGAGCGAGCATCAAGTACCCAGCGCTGGGGCAGTATGTCTGGCGCAATGCTGGGTGTTTTATTTGGCAACATTAGCAGCTTGTTACCTAAAGGGCGGGAGCAGGTTGCTTGACGCTGCAATAGTGTAACACGGGACACTGCATCCCCCGCTCGCACGTGTGCAAGGTAAACAGGGGCACTTGTCTACAGCGAAAGGAGTACCGGTAATGACGCAGCCAGGACAGGCCAGCATCGCCAGGTGTCTGAAGGACTGTTTGGGTTCACCGAGGGGTGGTAGGAAAGACTATATAGCCGTCATTAATCAGGAGGATTGGCCAGCACGGAGCACGGACTTAGCATACCCTGTGCAGCGATTACACACATGCGCACACTACCGGTACTACACTCGCCCTCTACACGTCTCCGGCTCTCTGCCCTGGCATTTTGCTGTGACTAGATGCGCTAGGCGCCTAGGCCTACGCCTTATTTTACAAGAAACACGGAGCGCTTGAAAAACATAAGCCAGCTCTGAACCTGTACACGGATACCACGGCGCCTGCAGCAACAGTACCGTCTTGAGGGGCGAGGGGCAATTGGTGGATAAAAGGTGCATGTCCAGGTGCTATTGTCAAGGTGCTAGGCCGGACATAGCTACAAACCTGTTGTGCTAACAACATAGGCGAAAACATGTGGGATGAGGACAAGGCGGGCGGGGGGCAGAATGGGGGGTTGAAGGGGAAAATAAAGTATAAGTGCAGGGGGATTGTAGGGGAGGGAAGCGAATCAGGAGAAGCGAACGGAGTGAAGATGGAAGACATAGGGAAGCTAGGGGAAGGGGTGGTGGCAAGGAAGGACTGATTGGGTTGAGGGATGGGGACTGGGTGTAGGGTTTGGTGTCCGTGTGAGGCGGGACGAATGTGTCACGAGTAGCACATGTTCGCTCTTGTCCAGCAACCCCTAACCTTGTGATGCGTTGTCGGTAAACTTGTTGCATGCAGCTGCCGTTCGCTATGCATAGGCGCTCAAGACATGGCCCATCCCTGTACTCAGCAAGCGCTTGAGGATGACACCCTGTAGAAGCCCAGAGACATATGTGCCTAGACACCTTCACGCCCATCAAAGAACGTCACCCGTTCCTCATTCTGCACAGCCGTTTCTGGCGAGCGCCTAAAACCCCAGGACGCTAATATACATTGTCATGCGGATACACTCGTGAGTGCCATGCTGGGCGCAAACGCAAGGCAAGGGTTTGGGACCCCTCAAACCCTTGCCTTGCGTTGAGGGCAAACCATCCTGAGTACACTAAGCCCCATAGCCCCTCTTCGCTACTTCAAATGGTATCGCAGAACGGAGGCCTACAGGTAAGCCCGACGATATCGTGAACACTTGTAATATACATACCCTCGATGGCTCTTGGCTTCTCAGCTTGCGTCTGTGACACTTCGGTGATGCACGTTAAGGCGCAGCGTGGACAGCCAGGTACTCGTTACACTGCTACCACTTTACCACGCTGCCTGTTCTAGTGCTCGACTCCCATCTGAGCAAAACCAGTACTGTACGGCAGACCGTGTAGGCCTACTCCTGTTATCGATAGCAACATACTGTTATAACTGCTATTAATATTATATGTTCCTATCGCTGCAGAGGTACCATATGTATAAACGTTTCGTCTCGTTATGACAACTCTGCTTAGCTGTGAGGCTATCGCAACCATCGCTTGCCTAGCGTGACATAGTGAAGATGGAAACTAGGTGCGTTGTCCTCGATAACCGCTGCTGCTCAACATGCCGCACGTCAGCATACGAAGCGCCTGACATTGCTTGCTTCGCAACTGACAGGACGGACGGTGCTGCATCATGTCGGACAATAACAGTCACACAGCACTGTCCTCCGGCCATGCGGAAGCGTGATGTTTGGTAAGCTTAGAGGGTTAACAGGCCTGTTAACCCCCATCACCTACTCAGGTCTATCCCGTTATCTGCGCAGGCGGGTTGACCATTTCCATCTGCTGCGTAAAGTTGGGAGTGGATATGCAAGTACAGTTTACCTGGGCACTTGCCGCACGACGGGAAACCAAGTCGCTGTAAAGTTGTATCACAAGAACAAGCTCTCAGAACTAAACCAGTTCCAGGTTGCTCGTGAGATTACTATACATAGTGGATTGGATCACAAGCACATCATCCAACTGGTAAGTGTACTGCCTCGCAAGACATGCGTAGCCATGCGTTGAGGGCTTGCTTTTGGTACTGCAGTGGGCGGCGTTCGAGGACCAGTACGGTATCTACCTGGTCTTTGAGTATGCAAGCAAGGTTAGTTCCATCGCTGTCAGGGTTTAGAACGTACACACCTTTCCTTTATCTTTCCGTTCCGTTGCTTGCTTTCGCTGCAGGGCGATGTCTTCACAGAAGTGGAGAGGAGAGGGGGGCAGCTCAACGAGGCGGAATCTGTGCGGCAGGTTGGTCTGGGTAACCGAAGAGTCATCGCTTTCCAACCCTCTCTTCTGCCGTTTATGGCGGGGCCTACGTCAGCCTAGCCTTCACGCTTACTCCCCTGTCCACCCGTTGGACGGTATGCGCAGGTGATCTTCCCATTCCTCAGTGCGCTGGACTACCTGCATAGCAACTACATAATCCACCGGGACATCAAGCCGGAGAATCTGCTCTTCACGGCGACGGGCGTGCTCAAAGTCGGGGGTGAGCGGAACACACGTTTGGGGGAACGCTTACTCATGCTCTTGCGGATGCACACAGTCCTCCGCCATTTCAAAGCTGAGGTTGCTTGCGTGTTTCCCTCCCACTGCCCCTGTAGATTTTGGGCTGTCGATCAACTTCAGCCAAGAGCGTCCGGTGACGCGCGTGGGGACCCTGGACTACATGGCACCGGAGGTGGTGGTGTGCCCAGACAAGCACCGCCCGCAGGACCACAAGGAGCTGAAGCACCTGCACTACACGCCGCTAGTGGACGCATGGGCGGTCGGCGTGCTAGCATACGAGCTGATCATGGGCCGGCCCCCGTTCGACAAGGTACCCGTTGGGAGAAGCTGGGGGACGAGAGCGTGGCAGCCGACATAGGGCTCCTTTTCCTGGTTGTATGCTCTGCGGTTTGGGGAGATCATTGGGAAGGGCCTCCGTTCGTGAGGAGTGATGTGTGCACATGAACGTCGAGGAAACTCCTAATACCTGGGTCGCATTTTGTCGTACAGGGTCAGAAGAAAGCAACCATTAACGAGATCCTGAATGGGGAGCCCTTCATTCCGCCGTGGCTGTCGGAGGGCGCAGCGCACTTCATTAGGTGGGCGCTAACTAAGGAGCAGGGCAAGCGGCCCTCCGTGCGGCAGCTGTCGGAGCACCCGTGGATCGTCGGCCACATGAAGCACAGCGTGCTGAACTCGGCGCGCCGACAACTGGTCAAGACAGGTAGGCTGTCAAGGGCTTGCAGCCATGAGGCACTGGTCCTTCTGCGCATTGCCAGTACGTTTTTTGTTAACTGAGTACAGAAGCGACTCCCTGGGGTGCTGCTCCCTAGGCCGTGCTAGCCTTAAAGCACGTCGCAAGCAATCCGTTTTCCTTTCGGGCCATGCAGACTCGTTTGTGGAGCCGCGGCAGCTGGGCTTCCGAGGCAGCACCACACCCGCGGACAGCCCCATGGCCAGTAGCAACAGCAAGGAGCCGCCGCGGCCACTGCAGGTCACATCCGTAATTCAGAACGGCCGCACACTAGGCCACTCGAACTCCATGTCTGCCGTGGACGGCATGCGCTACCGTGACGTCAACCTAGATAGCGTCACGGGAGGCATGGCGAATACGGCGGAGGCAGCTCTGAAAGCCGTAAAGCGACTTTCCGACGGCGATGGCACCACTGGCGGGCGCCCAAGCGCTGCCGGTGGTCGCGTTAGCCGTGCAGGGGCAGCGCGCAGCAGCGGCGCTGGTGGGTTGCACCGAAACAACAGCATTGGCCCAGCAGCAGTGGTAGTGGCAGCGGCGGCAGTTGGCGCTGAGGACAGCCCGAAGTCCGGCCGGCTTACGCCACGAGAGGAGCTGCCTGCAAGCCCAGGGAGCAACCGCAACATGAACCTCGTGCGCTCCTTCACGGCCGGCCGGTCGAGTCCGAATCTTCAGCACTCGTCCGTTGCTCAACCGGTCATGCGCATGAGTGGGGGCGGTGTCAGCGCCGGTGGCGTGGCGGGCTCCGTTTCACGGTCACACTCCATGTCGCCGGGGTCGCTGCTGGCTCGCGGCAGCGTGCACGATCAGCATCACAGCCATCCAGATGTCACAAGCGCCCACGGCAGCGATGTGGCGTCAGACATGAGTCGCATGCGTGTTGACTCGAGCCACTCTCACAGTGCCGGCGGCACACCAGGCAGTCCCCGGCTTTCAAGCACACCTATACGGCCCCAGCCACCGCAGGTGCCGTCACCGTCTGCGCGCGGCCTGAAAACCGGCTCCCCGCTTATTCCAAGCCGATTGTCCCAATCCTTCACTAGCCCAGTGTCGCCATTGGCTTCCGCCGGCAGCGCTCCGCACCCGGCGCCCAGTCGACTTGGGCAGCCGTCAAACTCCGGGGCATCACACATCTGCGCCGCAACCTCGACACGGCAAATGCACCCCTTGGATATGTCCGCATGCGCCAATGGTGGCAACTCGAGTATGGGCATGTCCAGCCCTCGCCTCCATTCGGCATCCATGTGCTCTCCGAGAGCTGCTGGAGGGCCCCTTTCCCAGATGTCATCCATGGCGTCTCTTAGCCCGCGTGGCAGCCCGCGGGAGCTTCCTGGCGATGCGGATGACATGGAGGAACGTCCCAGCGGCGGTAGCAAGGGCAAGGGCTTGTTCACGTCCATTAAGAAGGTGTTTTCGTAGTGCTTACCTTGTGGTTTTATGCATGTGGGCTTTACCCAAGATTGCGGATTTAGGTGCGACCTCACTAATGCAGTAATGAGGACGGCTGAGGTTTATTATAGATACATGGACTCAACGAGAATGGCGCAGGCAAATAGATAAGTCAGGCGGGAAGCAGTGGTGGTACATACGGTGTATGTCGTGGCTGCAGCAGTGACGTGAATGCGGATGGAGGTGTACAGCGGCTCGCGGTGTTTGTTTATCGAATTGGCAAGGTTATGGTTCTGGCAGGCTTGGACAGTTTGGAGCACTGTTTTCATTGCACCAATGGGCAGGCATTTGGCAGGCTGCAAGACATATATTTAAACAGTAGCACTATTTATGAGGTATGCAAGCTCTGGAGTCTATGTGCGTTGCGCTGGAAATGCGTCGTGGCGTTCCTCAGTAGCAGTGGTCTTAATTACATTGGTGATCAGGATGTAGTGCACTTCATGCAAGATTGGCCCAGCTTGGCTCAGAAGCTCTCTGTCCTAAAAAGTCTGTGGCGCATTACCTAATAAGGTGCATGTGATGGCGCGTGTATCTATGTGGCGCGTGTATCTATGGGGCGCGCCTGCCGTCGGTTCCGGCACCGCTACCCAAGCGCCATACTGGTTTGTATACGAGTTGCATGTTTACACGTGCGGCAGATATTTCTGCTACGCTATGTTACCCTGATGACGGAAGTGGTGCAAGGTATGGTCTATCATCATGTCGTAGGCCATATCGCAAATGGAGGAGCAAACACCCTGACACCTTACAACGCATGCTGGTCATTTGGCTTGCAACCAGTGATGCAGGAGTAACTCAGCAGAAAACAGTTGCAAAAATCCAAGCTCGAAGTTGGAGCCTGCCCAGCACGAACTGGAACGAATTGATCACCTGCTCACAAAACCACCTTGCCCAACCGAATCCACGCCCACTGACCTCGCCGTCTTCGCACGAGCTGCTGAAGTTAGTTCGAAGTAACAGTTATCAAATACCTTCACCCACACGCTGTCCTGCCTAGTACATAAGGAAATGTTACAATGCATAAAAGGGTTCAACTATACTGTACTGTTATCGCACACGCCAGACCAGCATGCTGATCGCCTCTTACGCGCTAAGTTCTTGCACTAGCTCAACGCAGCCCGTGCCAACCTCCACTACCCTGCCCACACATAGCCGGGCGGCAGGTGACTTGAGGTCATCAATCGACCCGCGCAGCGTGGCATCTGTGAGGAAGTGCGCGGCCGTCTCGAACGACATCTTGAGGAACGGCGACACGCTCGACTCGATGCCGACGCGGTTGCAGGCCCGGTATCCACCCTGCAAGGATAGGACAGTGTGGGAAAACGTTATTCTGTAATTGCGGGTATCATTGCTGTCTACAAGCGCCAAGCACCATGGAGTTCGTAAACAAGAAGGCCCTGTCTAAAGGAATCACAAGCAGAACTCATTCCTCCTGTCGGCCTACCTGGTGGGTCATGAAGTCTGCGATGAGGCTGAGGTGGCGAGGGTCCACGCCGATGCCGTACGCGCTGAACACTGACTGCACCTCCCGCATGATCGTGGCGCGAGCCGCCTCAACGCCGTACGTCGTCAGCACGGCGTACACGTCGTTGGTCGTGATACCGTGGATGTCCGCAATGTCCGAGTTCACCCAGGCACCCTCAAAGTTGACGCCATCGGTTTGCAGCTTGGGCGCATCCTTGCCCTGACCCTCGACCACGTACACCTGAGGCAGGTACAAACAACAATTGCCACGGTTTACTCTTTGCGTGTCCGTTGTGAGCGATGTTGCTATCTTCGCCTGCATGCCCTGTCAGCATCCCCGCCAAGATGCTCAACCCGCGGTCGCACAGAATTGCCCGTTGTTCGCCTCACCTTGTCAATACCAGGGGTCGACCGCACCAGGGTGTTGGCAGCGACCCGTTCCACAATTTCCAGCATCAGCAGCTTGGGGCTGCTGAGCGGAAGGATGATGGTCAGGCTGCACGTGTGGTTCTGGTAGTCGACGTCAGCGCTGCCAGCAGCAGCACCGACGGCACTCTTGGGGCGGCTGGGGCCCGCAGCCTGGTGCTTCTGCAAGCAGAGGGAAGAGAGAAATTATCCAGCTGCTCGCTGTGTGCCACCGCCCAACACATGCCCAGCTCGGCAAAAGCATGATGGGTACATGCAGTGTGGGGCGCTGATAGCAACACGTGCCAGGTAGAAGCCTCAGATAGTGGTGCATGTGAAGTTGTCCTTCAGGATTAAGGTCAAATTGGTGTGGTTGTGATCATCTTTGGCTCCTTCCCGGACATGGTATATGCAATTGGCGGTGCTGTACGGCGAATGCTGGTGCCAGCGATGCAGAGAGACGATAAGGGGGTCAGAGTGGTGCATGATCAGAGTATCAACACCGGGCGTAGGCCCGAATCAGAACAGGTCTGTGTGGTGTGATGTCTATCATCATTCCCCCATTTCGCCTCGGCCAAGAGATATGCGAGAGTGCACGATATGGTATAGTGCAGGAAACCTGCTGTATGGGTATAACGGCCAAAGCACTGACCTCTCCGGCCTCGGTGCCCTCCGCCGCCGCCTCATCATCATCATCCTGCGCCAGGTCGTCGTCCTCATCGTCCACAACGCCCAGGCCGCGCCGCTCCGCTTCCCGCCGAGCAGCAGCGGCGGCCTCCTCGTCCTCCTCATCCCCGGCATCGTACGTGGCTGCCTCGCCACGACCACCGCGGAACCTGGCAGCACACACAAGAGTGGACACGACTTTGGTAAAGAGACAGAAAAAACGCAGGCGGCATTTCCTTCCATCGAGCAGTACTAGCCACGGAGTGGACTAAGCACACAGATGTCAAAGCGGGGAACCTTGCAAGCTTACCTTAGCTTGCCCTCCCTGAGCTCCTCATTCTCCTCGAAGTCCTCAAAGTCATCCGCCTTCTCGCTCTTCCGGGCCTTGGCCGCTGAGCGGTTGCTGCCGCCAGCTTCACCATCGCCGTCCTCTTCACCTGGAGGGACAGGCAATGGGGTTAGGAAAGGAGGTTAATGCATTGCGCCGGGATCTGTAGCCGCATCCTTGTCACGGGTACCCAGATCGTAAAGGGTGTCGGGGCCCCCGCGCGTCAGGGGGGCATGTTGCAAGGCAAGGCTATTATTGCGGCCTTCAAACAGCAGCGCAAGGGGTTGCTGCAACCATGCCGGCATGCCCTTACATACTGCCGCTCTATCACTGCGCAGCAAGCCGCTGCGGCGCATGACTATGTTACCGTGCAATTACTATCTGTCAGGACCTTGGAATGTTGTCAGCACATAGTGTGCTAAGATATTGTCAGGTGAAGGTCATGATTGGTCATCCTCCAGATTTATGCCAAAGATACCAAACGTTATGCTATAGAAGCTTGCTTAAGTGCGTCTGTCAGGACCTTGGAATGTTGTCAGCACAGAGTGTGCTAAGATATTGTCAGGTGAAGGTCATGATTGGTCATCCTCCAGACGTAACCTGCTGTGCCAAATACATTGCTACCAAAGGCTCACATCTTGCACATGTTGCCACGCCATTATCACACGCGTCCGTTTCGGAAGCGGGCGAGCGTGGTCTTTGCGTGGCACGTCGATATCGGCGCCACGCGGCATCCCCCCAGTCACGGCATGGACAGGCGAATGTTTGACCGTGTGCCTTTTTTAACCAAGCTGAACGCCCCAACCCGGGTGTAAAGGAGTGTAGCCATGATATGTTTACACACGAATCCGTTGGCGGCGGAACTCGTGTGCTCTTTCAATGGCTTAAAACATCTCTCTTGGCGCCACGCGGCATCCCCCCAGTCACGGCATGGACAGGCGAATGTTTGACCGTGTGCCTTGGATACGTACTGTGTATTATCAACTGTTGCCCATTTTCTCTAGCCCATGAGCACATCAACTATACCCGGTTGCGCTGACCCGCCCCCCGCGCAAGCCTCCTTGCTGAGACCCACCTGTTCCTCCAGCCGCCGCCACCTCGCCGTCCTGCACCAGCGACACGTCAATCTTGCCCACGCCCACACCGGCCTTCCGGCGCGCCTCCTTCTCCACCTCGAGCTGCAGTCGCCGCGAGAAGATCCCCTTGAACACCGCCACCAGCTCTGGAAAGCCCAGCTTGGCCTCCGAAGGATACTGGGCAGGGCTGCGGGCAGGCCAAGGGAAAAGGAGATCGCCTTGAGCATAAAGAAGCGGCATACTTGCAGGTTGCAACGTCAAACTCTCAAAAGGCCAATAAACGAAAACGCACAGCATACCGTTACATCCCACTTCCAACTCCGCTTACCTGAAGAAGTGCAGCGTCACTCGGTACTGCCGGCCAAAGCCCTCCGCCAGCGCCGGCACCAGCGCCACCGGCTGCTCTTCCACCGTGATGCCCTGCAGGCACTCAGCCAGCCGCAGCCGCCGCATGCGGTTGGCCAGCACCTGCGCGTCCGCGACGCCCAGCCCCGGCAGCAGCGGCAGCGTCATGACGGGCGTCTTGATCTTCTTGGCCGCCGTCATGAGGATCTCACGAAGACGGGGGATACCCAGCGTCACGTTGGCCTCACCACGACCCGCCATGTGGAAGGTGTTGAGCGTCATTTGCGTGCTGGGCTCGCCTGGGGTGCGATGGGTGATGAAAGGGATGGGGCCGGATACCGTTCAGATGGGATGAAACACATGGCGGTGGTGTCGAAACGCGTGGTCAATGTGTGACGAAAGGAAAAAAAGAGGACGGAGCTGAGTGATGGAAGGGACTTACCTACGGACTGCGCTGCCAGCACTCCCACCGCCTCTCCGGCGGCTGCTAGCGCCCGCATGTACTTGAGCATCATCAGCTGAGCGAAAGTGGCACCGTCCACGGCGCCCTTGCTAGCGCCGCGTGGCCGGCCCGGCCCGGCGGCCTCCGCCTTGTCCTTCTTGCTCTTCTTCGACTTGCCTTCTGCAGCACATGCAGAAGGGACACAGCTCAGGAAGGGCTGTAGTGGCAGTGAGCGCTAGGTGGCAGTGAGCGCTAGCTGAAGTTTCAGCTAAGCCAAGGATTACGCATGCAGGAGCAATACACAACTGCATCAGGGCGGACCCACTAGCGCGTCCACACCTGCTGGGGGAGCCAGCTGCAATGCGCCATCCGGGTTCGTCTCCACGTAGCTCAGCAGCGCGTCGCTAAACGCCTCGCTGGCGGCGCCGACCACTGTGGGAGGATGCAGCGCACTGATGGGCAGACCACCCAGGAGCTCGTGAGCCTTCTTCCGGGCGGCCGCGGCGGCGGCGTTGTTGCCGGCCGCCTTGTGCTTCTCAGCCTCCGCCAGCAGAGCAGCCCGCGTGCGCAGGGTGGTTGAGACCTCGCCCTCGCGCTCCGTCAAGGCCGCAGTCTGGAAGGGGTAAGCGGAGTTGATAAGTCGGGGTCTGTACGGCTGTAGGCTGTTGCCGCCAGGGGTGCTATTATCGGTGCGCACATCAAGGGACCAGAAGCACCGCAACAGCAAAATGCGCTTTCATGTTCCCATTCACCTCACCCAGCCCACCAACCGCGCAAAACAGCAACCCACCTGGCTGGCCGCCATGGCAGTGCCCCGGTCGACCTGCTGCGAGAACCGCTCGGCGTTGCGGGCCAGGAAGCCGAACTGCTTCATGTACGACACGTTCATGACGTCAAGTCCGTCCTCGCCGTACGCAAACTGCACGATGGAGGCGTCGCAGTTGTCACGCACAGTGCCGTCGTAGTGAACCCGCAGGGACTCGAGGTTCTTCACCAGACACCTGAGGGTAAAGCAGACGATATGAACAATTTTGTCATTCGGCTTGCTACTGACATATTCATGCACCCAGGTTAAGAACCTAGGCGGTTTCTGTGGGGTGTTGCCGCGCCATTATCACACGCGTCCGTTCTGAATGCGGGCGAGCGTGGTCTTTGCGTGGCATGTAGGTCGATATCGGCGCCACGCGGCATCCCCCCAGTCACGGCATGGACAGGCGAATGTTTGACCGTGTGCCTTCCCTAGATATCTAAACGCCCCAATTCTAAATTCAATAGGTGTAGCCGTATCTGCGTACACACGGTTCCGTTAGCAGCGAAACCGTGTGCTCTTTCAACGGAACGAACGTCTATATTGGCGCCACGCGGCATCCCCCCAGTCACGGCATGGACAGGCGAATGTTTGACCGTGTGCCTTCTCTATTCAACGCCCCAACCCGGATGTAAAGGAGTGTAGCCACGATATGTTTACACACGAATCCGTTGGCGGCGGAACTCGTGTGCTCTTTCAGTGGCTTAAACATCTCTCTTGGCGCCACGCGGCATCCCCCCAGTCACGGCATGGACAGGCGAATGTTTGACCGTGTGCCTTGTAAGTCAAGAAAAGTGGCCGCGAGTAGGAACGTATTGTATGCCGTGTATGTGTACGCATCCACATCATCACTTTGTACTGAGCATTGGGTTGTAAGTTGCTTTGAACATGTCGCCGCTTACGAAACATACCGGACATGTACCGCATTCCTTCCCGGCATGCTCTTGGAGCGGCGCAATTCAACTTTGCTGTCGACAGCACACGGCATTCCCCCAGCCACATCAAGGACGGGCGAGCACAGTGGATTCGGTGCGTCGAGCCCAGTGACGTTTTTTGACAGTTTCGCGCGTGTGGCTGCAGTGGCAGCAGGACTACCCGCCCAATCATTTCCCACTCCCGCTTGCCCACCTCTGCAAGTAGCCCGAGCGAGAGGTCTTGACGGCCGTGTCGACCAGACCCTCACGACCCGCCATGCAGTGGAAGTAGTACTCCTGCGGGGGCGGGAGACAATGGGGAGCATACACGTTTAAAGACGCTTCCAGCATAGCATACGCACTTGGGAAACGGGGGTCGTGGTATTACACGTGGCCTCAGTCCCTTAGATGAAGAGCATCAAAGAAACAGCTCAGATTGAATATTAGGTCTGTTGTTTGTCTTCGTCATCGGCCACAGTGCAACACGCTGAAAAGTAAAAGGCACCATGTTCCCTCCCAACCCACTGGCCTCAGTCCCTTAGATGAAGAACATCAAAGAAACAGCTCAGATTGAATATTAGGTCTGTTGTTTGTCTTCGTCATCGGCCAGAACCCTCACACATTAGTCAACTCAAGTCATAACAAGCCAATCCATCTTCCCGCACGCAAGTACGCCCAACCCACCCACCTGCGGCCGCAGACCCGTCAAGAAGCGGTCGCCAATGAAGCCGTTGGAACGGCCGCCGCCATCGTACGGCCGGAAGCACGGCAACGTCTTGCCGCTCGCCATGCGCGGCGGGCGGCGACCCTCCAGCTCCTGCTGACCCAGCAGACAAGAGATCTGGCTGAAGTTGACCAGAGAGCCCTTCGCACCCGTGATGGTCATGAGCGACAGGGTGTTGCGCGGGAAGGCCTTCCACTGGCCTCCGGGCAGGCAGACCTTGATGACCTCCGAGGACAGCGCGTGCATGGCGCCCGAGCCCTTCATGTCGTGCGCCTTGCCGGTGTCGCGGTTGGCGCGGTAGCGCTCACCCAGCGCCGCCGCGACCTGCAGGGGTTGGATGGCAAACAACGTCAGCGACGAGAGCACGCACAGAAGTAGGCACATCTGGGTTCCACACGTCATTTGCTGGCCAAGGAACGTGTCAGGCACCACCACCCACGCACCTTCAGTTCGTGCCTGAGCAGTGTCCGCGCGTGCTTCAGCGGGTCCGCCAGCGCCTCCGCCGGCAGCCCGGCGCCCGCCGGGCTCCTGTCGCCCAGCAGCTCCGAGCTGGCCTGCACGGCGCGCGCCTCGGCAGTCGCCAGCAGCGCACTGCGGCGCGCCTCCGAAGCGGGCACCAGCAGCAGGTCGTCCATGCCTGCATGCAGGCGACATTATGAACACGTAAGGGCACGTAAGGGCGGATTCCTTGCCAGCCAGCACAACCAAGAATATGCAAGTACCGAATGGCCCCAGCCCTATTTCAGCGTGGCCACTCACCGCAAGTGAAGCCGTGCCACTGCAGGTAGTACGTGAACAGGCGGCTGAAGGCCGACAGCAGCTTGCCCGCCGCCGCGTTTCCGTACAGCTCCTGCACGGCGTGTACGAGACCAAACTTGCCAAAGCTGTTCTTGTCCACGACGCCGCGCACCAGGGCGCCACGGTGGAACTGCAGGTCATCCTCGCCGCTGTTGGCGCCCCAGTAGCTGGCGGGCACCTTGCCGCCCGCGCTAAAGCTCAGTGGCGGCATGCCGCGAGTGAAGAACGACACCACCGTGCTCACAACCTGCATGGTGCGGGAAAATATGCACCTGTTAGGCTTGGAACTCACATCTGCAGTCTCCGCACTGGCATAGTATCCAAAAGACAAAGTACGTGTGAATGTTAGCGACAGAAGAAAAAGCACTACGGTCAGTCACTTCACCGCATTCGCTACGGGCAGGCAGTGTCTCACCTGCTTTCCACTCCACAACCTCCGCGGCTTCAGCATGCACGGCGGCTCCAGCTCAATGTCGTGCGTCTGCCCCACAGCCGTCACGGTGACCTTGGCGGCGCGCTTGCCGTCCGCAGCCGCCGCTGCGGCTGCCGCCGCCGCTGCCGGGCCCTTGCCCATCCATGGCGTGCATGCCACGTAGACAAGCTGGCGATACTCCTCCGCGGTGAACCAGGTGCCTCGCTTGGTGAGCAGCGTAGCCGACACGACGTGGTCCTGGATGAGACCGCGAATGGGCTTGCCGTCGGTGGGGACAATGTACTGCTGGTCAGCGTGTACGATCACGTAGCCCTCGGAGCGGCCCAGCTGATCCTGTGATTGGAAGATTGTGAGCAGTGCACTTGGGTAAGAAATTGCGTAGAGACTCTTTATTGCGTTTCAATGGCGCGTTTACAATACTGAAAGGCGGCGGGCATCAGCATAGGACAGGGTTTACGAGCAGACAGGAACGTACTTGGATACCAACGTATTGAGCGCACCTGCGGAAGGTGCAAGTTGATCTCATCACCGTCGAAATCGGCGTTGAAGGTGGAGCAGTTGGCGTAGTGCATGCGGATGGTGCGCTCGCCCTTGAGCACGCGCGCGCGGTGAGCCATGAGGCCTGCGGACATGAAGCGCGGACACATGCTGGTAAGTCACTTTGCCTTGTTGTAGCAATGACCAACGAGCAACAGCAGCAACTGCCGTCGCGAACAGCCGCAGCTTCGTATCCCCACCTGGTTTGTGCAAGGTGGGCTGGCGGTTGGTGAGCATGAGGTCTCCGTCCTGCAGGTGGCGGTACACGATGTAGTTGCCGGCCATGGTGACGCTGCTGCTGTGCGAGGAAGACGTGGCCGCGCTGCTGGCGCGACCCAGGCGCGACGAGGCTCCCGTGCGGCCCAAGACAGCGGTGTTGGAAAGCAGCTGCTTCGCCAGCGCTTGGCGACGCTGTGAAACAGGAAGAGAAAAGGGCAAGCGTTAGGATACATTGAGATGTAAACTGGACTGGTAAGGGCAACTAGAGCATAAGACCTAACCAATACCATGTACCCGTGTCTGGCCGCGGCCCATCCTACCTGCAGCGGCATGTTGGCGAGCGACAGCATGCGTCCCGTCGCAACCTCCTCGACCGCCACGGCGCCCGGGTGCTGGTCGGCGCCCGCAATGACCGCAGCACGCAGCCGCTCCACATTGAACGCCGTGACGCGCTCGGGGAAGGACAGGCGCTTGGCAAAGTAGGGCGGCACGCCGATCTCACCTACATAGCGGTGAAGAGGGTCAGGGTTAATAATGGATTGCCGACAACGCGGTGCTCGATTGCACATAAAAGCACCCAGAGGACGGATGCGGGTACCAATCGAATGCCAAGGCACAACGCACGCGTCGTACCTGCGCCAATGTAGGGATCTGGCGAGATGACGGAACGTGCAGCAAAGTTGACACGCTTGCCCATCATGTTCTTGCGGAAGAGCCCCTCCTTCTTCTCCAGCTGTTGCCGGATGCCCTGGACGCCCGCGCTGTTGTTCTCCGCCGTCGTCGAGTCCATCAGCGTGCACACCTCGTTCTGCAGCTCCAGCCACTTTGCCACACGCCGGGAGAGGTCCAATGCGGCGGCCTGCGCGGGATCGGCGCCCACGCCGCCCGGGGCGGCCTGCGCGGCGTCCGTGGCGGGCGCGGTGGTGGTGAGGTCCAGGCAGCAGTTGATGACCTTGCAAAGCGAGACGTTGTGGGCGTGCTCAAACCTGCATGGCGGATAGCAGGTGTGAGGGGATCGGTCAGAGCAGCCGCCACAATGGAGGAGGCTAGATCTAAAGCAGGGAGCTTTACGGAAGGCATGCAGGCGCATATAACCATCCTTATGGCAACGATGAGAAGTAGTCAGGAACGCTGCACTATAGTAGTAGATGCCACCATCCCAAGCAACTTCAGACTCATAGTCGGTAAGCTATGGGCACGAGCCATCAAGCCTCGCCACTTACAGATCGTCGCCAACCTTGGAGGGCGGGCGGAACTTGTTGGGCGCCACCGGAATCGCGCGCAAGAAGAACATGCGGTAGGCTGAGCGCGCCTCCGTTTCCGTCATGAGCCGCGCGCCGTGCTTTTGCCCCGGCTTCGCAGCCACCTGCGCACTGTAGATGAGCGACAGGATGGGCCACTCGCGGTCCCAGAGCAGCCGCATGTGCTCCTCCACCTCCAGCGGGGTCATGTACTTGGTGGCGACATCACTGCAAGGTGGGATGGCCGATGTCTCGGTTAGGGTTATGGACTGTGCATAAGGGGACGCTTGGACAATAAGCATGAGCATTCAATTTGAAAACGTGCAACAGCAAGTTTAGCACGTTAGCACACGTTATCATGCACCAGGAAGCATATTGGTAACCAAACAACACAGTTGCGACTTACAGCTGCTTCACCGGGGAGTCGCTGGCCTTCTTCGCCCGGCCTTTCCCCTTAGCGCCACGGCCCTTTGCCTCCTCAGCATCACGTCCGCTAGGCCCTGCATCGCCAGCGGCAGCAGGCTCCCCACCGTGCAGGTCGTCACCACCGGCAGCCTCCTCCGCCTCCTCGCTCCCGTCGCTCAGGTCAAAGTCGCTGTCGTCATCCTCGCCAACCTTGACACGCTTCTGCTTGCCGTCCGCCGCCTCCGTGTCGTCTCCCGTGAAGTCCTCGGCGTTGCCGTACGCTCCCGTCTGGACCACCGCCGCCGGGTTCTTCGCGTCGTTGGCGTTGCCACGGGCGCGCTTGCGGCCTGCGGCGGACTTAGTCTCCACCTCCGCCGCCATGCTCCGCTCCAGATCGCCCAGGACCTGTACGGCCAATGTACAGGTTTTTTAGCGCCGAGTTAACATAGACTTTGGTACGTGTGTCTCCACGGGCGTGCGGCATATGCCAATCTGGGCAAGCATAAACGCGACATGCCTAAGCCCCACCAATCTACAGTATACCAACCCCCAAACCCGTCTTACGTCTCCTCCGCCCGGCCCCTCGAGCACGTTTCTGATGTCATGTCCCTCCTTGACGTTCTCGAGGAGGGCCTTGCGGCTGGTCCAGACGCAGAAGAGCTTGGTGGTGCCCTGCTTCTTGATGGCGGGGTTGTGGATCTTGCAGTTCTGGCAGCGGGTGCTGTTCATCTTCTTCATCATGTCCGCGATAGTGTCCTGCAGGTAAAACAGGGATAGAAGGCACACAAGGCACCTCAGCATGTTTGTTAATTGTTACACAGCATGCATGCCTTGCCTAATCGTGTGCTTGGGGTAACTAAAACGTATCGCAGTATCCGGGATGCAGGTGTGGGATACCGAAACTACACACCCGCCCATGGTGGTGTCGGCTGGCATGTCCAGATGGATCCGGGTTCCTATACGCAGCGCTAAGTCACATCCCGACCACAAGGGCTCGGCACGCCGGCTTATTTGGCTGCGATGGCTACATTGTACTGGCAAGTCACGGAAAACATGAAAGGCAGTTTCAGCGTCTGTACGAGCAATAAACTACAAGCCCCCCTTGGAATAACTCGGTGGGCATGTCCAGATTGACCCGTGGTTCCTATACGCAGCACGAAGTCACATTCCGACCACAAAGGCGCGGCATGCCGGCTTAATAGGCTGCGAGACACGAAGTAAGATGAGGTCAGGCAGGATACCGCGATGTGCATGCACCAATTGTGTGTTAAAATAACTGGCCGCAAGGCCAATTGTGTGTTAAGAAAACTGTCTGTGTGGGCGATAAACTAAACGCCCTCCTTGTGGAGTAACGGCGGGCATGTCCAGGTCAACCAACATGATCCCTCTATGCAACACGAAGTCACATTCCGACCACAAAGGCACGGTATGCCGGCTTAATAGGCTGCAAATGCATCCCGGTTCTTTGTCACGGTGCAAGCATGTAAGATGCAAAACGTCTATGAATATGCGCCGCACATACACGCCAGCATCACAGTACATCCGCAGGCGTGTCCATGGCGGCTGAAGGCATTGCTGTACGCAGCATGAAGTCACATCCCGGCCACGAAAGAGGCGCGGCACGCCGGCTTAATCGCTGCGGTGCACCGTTGGGTGCCGACACGGAGGCAAGGCAGCCGATAAGCGGTCGTATCAAACGGCAGCCCCTATTTACCTGAATCGCCTCCAAGGTGTGTTGCGTGATGATGCGGCGTGCCCCGGGCACGCGCGCACCCGCCTTGGGGTCATTCGCCACATGACGCCGCTTCTCCGGCTCCACTGAGCTCATGAACTCGGCCAAGTCCTTCGACTGTTAGCAAGAGGAGGGTGAACCGGGGCGGGGCACAGGTCATAAGGCGGCATGCCTGAAGAGAAATGATGGCATACTGTGCTAGGGCGCAAAAGTTGGAGCAAAGGAGCACGGAGCCAAGCCTGGAGGCACGACAAGCGTGCAATTATTCAGCGCTGTTTATATTGGTAAGCATGTCGCGTACCTTGGGCGCGCGGTCAGTCGTGATCTCCACAGCACGTACAAGCTCACCCTCCACAAGCCGCCGGAGCTTTGCCGTATAGGTGTCGACCTGTACATGAAGGTAGCCACCGATGTAAGGATGAGGGAATGGTCAAGGGAACGTACAAGGATTTAAACAGCCAACAGCCAACACCATAACTAGCTGTGTAAATGTCGTTAACCTCCTGCCCAAGATTCAGCAGCCTCAGACAAACCCTTCCAAAAGCCGAATAGTGCACTCACCGAATCTTGGGACAGCTTGAAGCGGTGGCAGTGGATGCAGGTGCACCGCATGAGCTTGTACAGCACCCTGTGTTGGCAAAGTACACAACGATAAGGTTTAAGCCATCGACTCTGGCTTGCCTAAGGTGGTAATCAAGTCCTTCACTCTGGCATGCGTAAGGTGTTCTTCAGGCAATAAGTCAGGAAATAGAAGCCCCCCCATTGTTGGCCTCCATAGCATGCTGCTATCGACACGTTAGGATGCCTTCCCCCCCACCCCAGCTTCCCAGCCCATGCTCACTTGAAGACCAAGGGGTTGTAGACCGGCACCGGCAGCTCGATATGGCCGAAGTGGCCCGGGCACCGATCGAAGCCCAGCTTGCAAGTGGCGCACCTGCATGCATGGCAAGCAGGTGCGAGGCACAAGCGGTTGAGTCGCAGCACTTATACTAGCAGTCCATAGTCCCTACTCGTGTACCCAAGTATATGTCCCCGACGGATGTGTTTTAGACAACCACCTTGCCCCCTTCCCTGCCCCCGTACATGCCTACGTCCGCCCCTTTACAAGCTATGCCCCTAGCCACCGGGACGAAGTGACGACACACCTGTCACGTATGTCCACAGGCCCCATACGTGGGTCGTACAGGCCGTCAGGCACCGCCACCTTCATGTTATCGAAGATGATCGGGCTGGTGACCTTGACGACGCTGAGCTTCCGGATCTGCGTTGCATGCCACAGACTAGCTTAGTGTCTTGTGCCACGTGATAAGCCGCCGCCACGACACGGCGGCGCACGTAGGCGCTTGGGGCCTGAAAACACCTACCTCATCTTCGCTGTAGAAGCCAAATCGCACCGCTGCGACCTGCTTGGTGGTCACCTCCTTTGCTGGCGCGGCAGCCATCTTGGCTAGAGTTAACTAATCGAGGACTCTCTTGCGAACGTTAAGCGGCTTTCAGCCGCGGCTTTACGACAAGTGTGTATCCCTAAGGTGGAAAAAATAGGAAAGCTAGTACAAGGCTGCGCACTGCGGCCTAGGTTGCGCTGCTTTGCAGGCCCGTTCGGCCGTCAGCCGACAGGCCGGCCTGTAACTGTCATGCAAGACATGTGAATTACAGTGTGTAAACAGTTTTTATTACGAGGAAGAGACAGAAGGTAGAAGAGGCTGCATTTACCTCAGGAAAAGCAAAGCAGGAGCCATTGCTCCAGGGCAGGGCCCAAGGAGCGGTCCGGGTTTTCTCCGCCAAAGTTCCCACATCAAGTCTCTTTCCAGCTTGTCCCACTCTCATCTGTGGGCGATACAATGGTGAGACTTGTTTTGCTTTTCGCTTGCCTTATCAGCGTGCGGACTTACTAGTAAATGGCCAAACCGGCGGCCAGGCTTCATGTCACTATCAATAGAATACTTAGCTACCTGATGTTTCTTTGTAGGCGCCTAAGGGCAAGAAGGTGGCTCCCACGCCGGCCGCCGCGAAGAAGGTGCGGCCATCCCGGCGCCGCTTACCCTTGCTAGTCGCTCCCTCAGCGCATGTTAAAGCACAATAGGGAAAAGAACAATCGCCATGTTATTAAGAGCATTGATTAAATAAATGCTTTCTTGTGTAGGCGGCCGCCCCTGCTAAGCAGACCAACCCGCTCTATGAGAAGCGTGCCAAGTCTTTCGGTAGGTATAGAATTGTATGGGGTTATGCGCTTTAGATGCTATATAAGAGCATTTAGCTCGGGGAGGGAGGTCGTGCCGCCGCTCGGCATTTCGGCGGCTGCTTGGCAGGGCGGCATAGGCGCAGCTTATTTTGCTGGTGGATTAACAGTTGCTGGAGGCAGCCGAACAAAAACAGGACAGTAACGCAGCAGCGGCTGGGCTTACGGACGCAGCATCGCTGGCGAGCAGCAGCTGCGGCTGCACAGTACAGTACTGGCAGCCATCGGAGGGTCATAGTCAGGGGAGGAGAAGGGAGCAGCACGCGGACGCTCGTTGGTTTCACGCGTGTTTACCTCTCGCACATGTGGGTTGGGTCGGCTGCTAAGCCACACTCGGTTGCTGGTGCTATGCAGGCCTGGGCGGCGCGCCCAAGCCGAAGCGGGACCTGCACCGCTTCGTGAAGTGGCCGCAGTACGTGCGCCTGCAGAGGCAGAAGCGCGTGCTGTCCATGCGCCTGAAGGTGCCCCCGGTGATCAACCAGTTTGTCACCCGCGCGCTGGACAAGAACTCGGCGGAGACCCTCTTCAAGCTGCTGATGAAGTACCGGCCTGAGGACAAGAAGCAGAAGGCTGAGCGCCTGAAGGCCGAGGCCGCTGCCCGCGAGGCCGGCAAGGAGGTACGGAAGGGTATGGGATTAAGGCAACGGGGGATGGATTGGGCTAAGTCTCCGTTACATGCATGCCAGGTGTGCTTGGCAAGTGATGGGGCAGGGATTGCGCTTGGGTGCGTTGCTTGGTTTGGGATTAATATGTGGGATATCTCACGGCAAAAGATCCTAACATGCGACTGCCCATGCACCCATGCAGGCTGACAAGAAGAAGCCCATTGTTGTCAAGTACGGCCTGAACCACATCACCACCCTGGTGGAGTCCGGCAAGGCGCAGATGGTTGTCATCGCGCACGACGTCGACCCCATTGAGCTGGTGTGCTGGCTCCCAGCCCTCTGCAAGAAGATGGGTGTGCCGTACGCCATCGTCAAGGTGGGAGTGGGGTATGACGGCTCGTATTTGTATGGGTGGGGGAGGAGGTTGCAAGTGTAAAAGGCGAAAGGAGTTCCATGGATGAGGGGCGAAAACGGCATCTCTGCAATCCCGACTATGCAACATTTTGACAGCATTAGTTGCATTGCCGCATGGGTGTAGGATGACCATGTAAGAAAATTTCCGCTTACCGCTTCTGCCACAAGCGCCCCCGTTGTCAGGTGCAGCCCCCACCCCTTCACCTCCATTAGGCATGCATACACGTACTGGGCGCTGTGGGCACGTTATCTTCTATCTTTCAGGATGTGTTTCTAATTTCTTTCGGGCTGCTCATCTTCCTTGCAGGGCAAGGCCCGTCTGGGCACTGTGGTCCACAAGAAGACCGCCACCGCCCTGGCCCTGACGTCGGTCAAGAACGAGGACCAGCGTGAGTTTGCCAAGCTGGTGGAGAGCTTCAAGAACCAGTACAACGAGGGCCCGCGCGTCAACTGGGGCGGGCACATCCTGGGCATGAAGAGCATGCACAAGCAGAAGAAGCGGGAGCGGGCCATTGCCAAGGAGCTGGCGCAGCGCGCCAACGCCTAAGCTGGCGTCAGGCTAAGCGAGAGGCGTGGACGCGGGCTGGCGCGGCTCACGCTGCTGCTGCTTGCCATGGGGCTCATTGGAGTGTAAAGAGAAAACCCAATTCCTTTCGTATTGCCTATAGGGAATTTCGAAACAGCATACTGATTACAATACACAAGTCTTAATCGCGGCAGCCACTTATAGAACCAACCATGGGAAGCATTATCTAGGTTTCACGATTCTGCTCCAATTCCACAGGATGGCACAAACCCCTTGTGTATGGGTTTAACACTGAGAGCCAATTCGCCTAATTTTGCAACAGCACTAAAACCACGGACACCTTTAGTTCTAGTCACGAGCAGCAGAGCTTCTGGTAAACGGTTAGGTGGGCGACGTACGGTTCTATATCCCCGTGCCTATGATGAAAGCAACATCATTTACTGTCTGCCTGAAACTAACTGATGAGGGGTGACTGGAAGGCCCAACAGGAGTGTGCTAGAACGGCTAGAAAGGACGTGGGGTAGAATGCGAAAGTTACAAGGGGGACCGGAGTTTCTGAAAGCCTGTAAGCCGTACAAGAGACCCAATCGCTAGCGGTACACGCTAGGCTGCCGCAACAAAGCAACCTACCCCAGGGACATGCCCTGCAAAAAACAAGGGGCCATGCCCGCAAGGCCTCAGCACCACAAACACCAAGCCCGCTAGGGGAAAACATCACTCAGGCCAAGCCCGCGAAAGAAGCAACAATGGCAGAACAATCCAGGGTCAGGGGGAGGCCGTCCGTGGGGTAGATAGAATGCGAAAGTTACAAGGGGGACCCATAGGGGGACCCATATGGGGTAGATAGACCCATCCCATCCCGTACCTATGTATCGTACCTAAACGTCAAGTCCTTCTGAGCTCTGACAGTGACATCGAAGACCAAATTTAGTACGAAGTTCTACATTAAGGCCTAGTACATTTATGCGCTTGCGTGTCTATACTGGGCTTTCCAAGTCCCACGCGCTCAACGATTCTTCTTCAGGCTTTTCTGTCTGGCAAAGTATCTAGATTCATAATTGATACGCTTTAGAATGCGGTCCTAAAGAATTTCCAATAGTGACAGCAACGAAGACGAAAGCTGCAAGCATCGCAAGTACCTTGGTTAAAAGCACTCAATACTACAACGATGGCGCCTACATAGGAAACTAGCACTTCCTGGGGAGCCGCGGCCCAGGCTGCGGTTCTCCATACTCGGGTACATGCAATGGATAAAGTTGTCGCACACGCAACACCAGCTCAACTGCGGCAACTGGAGTTGCAGCAGGAGGAGATAGAATGTAACGCGGCCAAGATACAAGGCTTTTTTCACTACTTGGTACGCGGTCTAGGGGCAGTGGCATGGAGCCTGTGGAGAAGGCAATTCGCTCGCATTATGCCGGGGGCCACCCTAAACCTCGCTATGTCGCCATGCAGAACTTTTGCGATTCTGCGGCCTTCGAGAGGTGTTTGGGCCGCTCGGTGAGGCAGGGTTAGGCGGCTTTTGGGCCAGTCGGGGGAAACCATAGTCGGTTGGGATGAAGCAAAGTTCTGAGCTGGATGGGATATCCGGTCGCGGGGTTGGTGAAGCCGTGGCGGCTTGGTTTATGCTGGTTGAGCAGTGCGCGCATCCTTACCAGCGGATGTAACCGCCACCAAGACTGTCCTCTGCGCAAGGTTTGGCACTAGTGTTGCATGGCCGATGGCTGTCCCTTTCCTACTACAGGGGAAGAGCCCTGAGTGCCTGTCACGTGCGCCTGATGGAGGCCCCACGCCCCGCAAGTTTGCGTCCATCACAACCGTCAGCCAGAACCGGAAGATACGGCAGATGGAGGTGTCGCGGCCAGTCATGCTCCTGGCGCAGCGCAAGGACCTTGCGCTGTTGACTGCCGAGGAGACCATGGAACGGCTCAAAGAAGTATGTGACGGTATTGCGGCGGGGATTTGCGGGGTGAATGGAAGGACATGGCTGTAACGCTTTGCAAGGGCGTCACTGCCGTGCAAGTGAGGGCCATGGACCCTGTGACCCTGGTGACCGCTTCCTCAGCGCACGGGCGCGGTGTTGTGCCTTCGTGTGTAACTGACTACACCGACTGGCCCATTAACATCTTACATCGCACTGTGATACAACGCCGATCCTTCCATGCCACTCAGGTGTTTGTGGCGTACACGGACCCCATGCTCCACGCTCAGACGGGTCGACGTGAAATGAGCATCGTGGGCTTCTGTCGCCTCATGCGTGACTGCCGGCTGCTAGACAACCGGCTCACGCTGGTGGCTGCCGATGTCATCTTTACCCGGGTGGATGCGCACGTGGAGGGCGGCTCTTGCGACATGGGCCTTGGGGTAAGAATGTACACGGGGCGAGGCAGGAGGGAGCCTCTTCACAAGGCGGTGGGAAGGGCCGAAGCATTGCAGCTCGGCTAGCAGTAGACTAGCGGACGATGTATAGGGCGGTTGCTGGCGCCCTGATACGACACACATTAAGCTCAAGTGCCGCATGAGGGGTTTACTCGCTCATGCGATACGCAGTCGCACTAGGGAAGCACTAACGACTACCGTGCAATCCTGCATCCCCACATCTCCGTTTCTTGCTCCATTTGCCACTCCACCGCCAACACCGCATCCACGCTGCCGCAAATATGTCGCAGGTCATGCACGTGGACTTTGACGGCTTCATGCGCTGTCTGCGGGCCGTGGTGCGCGCCAAGTTCCCCAAGGCCCATGACCACGATGACGCGCTGATGCTGCTTGCGCGGAAGTGGCTGTTGCCCTTTGCGCGGGACGCGGGCGCCGGCGGAGGGCTGAGCAACTCGGTGGATGGCTTGTTCAGCCGCAGTACCATGAACCTCGTACGGAAATACGACGGTCAGCTGAAGAAGTTATTCGCATGGTAGGGTGTCAGCTGCAGCCAGGCTGCGGCTTGCGTGTTTTGTGGGGTTTCCCCTCCTCAGTACCGGTACCCCTTTGCCGTGCGGAATAAAGCGTCACCTTTAACCTAGCCCCGTCAACCCCGCAGGTACAGCAGCATCGAGGAGACCGACCCTGCACGCGTCACATGGGCATGGGCTCGCGACCACAGCGGCACCATCAACGGCAGCCAGTTTGTGCTGATGCTGCTGAACTTTAACGTGCTGCCGGTGCTGCTCTCCAAGAACACGGCGCACGAGGTATTTGTGCGCTGCGAGGCGGAGAACGACGGCGATGAGCTGCCCAACTGCATGTTCTATCCCGCCTTTCTGGAGACGCTGGCAGAGGTAGGGAAAACCCGTCGGGCTTGATGTGACGGTGCATAAGTAGCTCGTGATAGGTGCGGCTGGCACAGTTGGGGATTCTTCAGGATTCATTGCTTGTCAATGTCTATGTACTTTGCCTGAGCGCTGCTGCCCGGCTTTATTGCCCCTTATCCACGCAGGTGGCGCTGGAGGTGGGCAAGGATGTTATACAGCACCTGCGTGCTGCGACCTCGCCCGACGATCTGAAGCTGCTCGGGCGCTACGCCGAGTGCTGTCCGCCGCCGTTTGGACCCAAGGTGCTGCAGGTGGGTTCCAGGAATCCGGAGTGTGCTGGAGCAGTGAACGCATTGCCGTTTGGAGGGGGCTTGCAAACGGAGAATTACACCGCCTGCTGTTTTCTCCATGGAAACTGCCTTTGTGCCGGTAAACGGTTTCCTTCTTCCAACATGTCTTTCCTCCTACCCTCTTCGTGTGTGCGAAGGTGTACCAGGAGGTGCTGGCGAGCCGCGGCCGGGACGCCTCATCGCTGGACCAGCACAGCCTGTACGACGCCGAGGGTGTCCGGCGCAGGAACGAGCGGCAAGCGGCTGCGGCGCTGCAGCGGGAAGCGGAGGCGCAGGCCAGCGGCGTGGTACAGAGGTCAGTGCTAGGGCACCATGATTGCAGGCTTAGACTCAGAGCACACCAAGCGTGTATTAAGGTCAGCCCATTAGAGCTACATCGCTTGTCATCGCGTCCCATTCTTACTCCCAATGGCTAACATGCTGCATATGAACTTCATGCCGCTGTTGTACTGGGTCCCTCGCGTTGCCAGATTAGTCATGAAGCATCTCCACGATGCGCGCCTGCCCCCAAAATTTGCCAGTGGCCGTAATTGCTGTAATTGCCTATCACTGCGGTCTGCAGGCGTGAGGGGCTCCGGCAGCGCTTTGCTTTGACGAGGCTTCGCAACTTCTACCGTGACGTTCGCACGACCAACAACAACACCACTTGGCCACCTGAGCGTGACGTCTCACCGACCAGTCACCGCAACGGTGGTACCGGCAACGGTGACGATGGCGAGATCCATGTGGCATTCTACGACAGCGAACGAGCCATCAAGACGCCCAGGCCCGTGGTGAGTGGAACACAGGCAGATGCGTCGTAGGAGCCTCCTGGAATGCATGTGAGCATTCAGCGTGCTGCCACACATGAAAGCAAAGTACATGACGCCGACGCTACCTGCAGTAGACCGTTTCCGTCCCATGTTCCAATCGCTGCCTTGCTTCTCAACTCTGTCGCTGCTGCAACCTGACTTGCCTTGCAGTGGATCCCCGTGGGCAACGCCGTGGCGCGCCGCCACAGCCACGTCATCCCCGTGGAGATGCCGATGCAGTCCGGTCCGGCTGCCGGCATCGTGCTGGGGCCCGCTGGCAGCAATGTCCTGCTGGTGGATGCGCCGGCAAGCGCTGGTGGTGGCAAACTGTCCATCCTCATCCCGCCCAGCAGTCATGCCCGAGTGACGGGTGGCCCACATAGCGGCTTTTTGCCAGTATCTCCGGGTGCCTATGTCCGCTCTCCCAAGCCATGCCAGCTCGCGATTGAAGACCGCGACGAGGCCGAGAAGATCCTCCATCTTGCGGACCGGCTGCCGTACCTTTGCACGCCGCCAAGCCTATCGGCTCGCGAACGGTCGGAGGGATCAGGCTCGCCTCGGCAGCAGTACGGCAAGCCGCGTGCCGTCACGGCACCGGCAGAAGTGCAGCGTAAGCGGGATAACGACAACAGCGGACCGAGCGTGGATTGCGCGCAGCCCCCGGAGCAGGGTGCAGCAGGCCTGGGTGGTGGTGGCAAGCAAGGGCGGCGCAGGGGCCCTAGTGCAGAGGGCTCTCCAGGAGACATGCCCTCACGGCCACGCCTGCCGCCCGTGCAGCATCAGCCGCACCGGGCGCAGGCCACTGCCGCCGCCCTGGCGAGTATCGCGGGGCAGTCTCCCCCGCCCCCCACGTGCGCCCACTGCCAGCCCGTGCACTTACCGCCTGCTTCGATTGGCGCACCGCTGCGCTCGCTGCCCTCCGGTTCCCTGGCTCCTTTGCACCCGCACCTGACGTTGGGGCCATCTCCATCTCAGATCAGTATCCTGGGCGTGCTGGGCTCCAGCCCCAGCAACTCGCAACGGCTAAGTCCACCCACATCCCTGCGTCGCCGCCAGAACTATCGCCGGAAGGCTGACATTGGGGGCTTGCCGACTTTCACAGACCCTGCGGATCTTGGACCCAGCATTGAGGTCACAGCGGCGCTAGAGGAGCTAGACCGGTTCGACGGCTCGTCATTGTTCGCAACGACAGGCTCGGGTCCTGGCCCCAGGGTGCGGCCTTGGCGGCGCGGGCTCTCCTTGCATGCTTAGAAGCGGGGTTGCATGGGCCTTTTACCTCTTGACTAGATCTGGACTGCAAGCATAGACAGTACATTTCGCTGTGTTGGCGGGGGCGTTACGGTGGCTCGTTTGGCTGCACTTCCCTGCTCCCGGCGCTGAGTATTGTTGCACATGTGACATGACCATGTTCATGCAGTGGCTGTGATTGGCCACAGACTAGGACTCCCTACATGTCGAATATTGATGCATATCCAAGACTCTATCCATGCATATGTAGTTGTGAGCGGTGTACAGAGATAGGGGCGAGATCCTCCGTATCCTAGGGGCGGCTAGCGCTAGCTTGGTGAGCATGGTCAGTAACCTTGTATTCCTGTTTGAGGGTCAATGCATGTATTTATGCGGTGTTTGCCGCTGAGCAAGTAATGTCGCTATGCATGCGGTTTAGGTTTGTCGGCTGTTTGCTGAATAGCAGTAGTATAGCGCGGTACACACGGGTACCATTCATTTCTATTTGGTCAGGCATCGGCTAAGCACATACGTGACCCTATCCTATCTGGTGATAGGTTACTGTGGAAGTTTGCTGCGACGTATGGTGCAACTATTCTTTGCACATGTCTCATTACGGAAGACAGTGTTGCCGAACCTTGTAAGTATGCAAGTCGCTTATTTTTTCTCGCGCAATCCCATTAAGCACTGCTGCCGAGGGGACTCAAGTGCTAAAGGGGGGAGCTCCGGGCACAGGCGCATAAGCGCAGCAAGACGCAACCGTAGGGGTACGTAGTGCGACCCATGGGTCGCCTCATGTGTCCTAAATATCGCAGCTGGTATGGCCAATAATGGTAAGCTTGCAACCTGCATTTGAGCGCAAAACACCACTTGACAGCAACTGTGCTGAAGTTTGGCAGTGCTTCTACAGTACCGGTATGTGGCTGTCAGTAGCACTGCGATCGCTTCGGGAATAACTCTTGCCAGCACCAAACGGTTACCGGTCCATTAGGCAGGTGCCCTTTCCGTCCCTCATCGCTTTCGCTGCCCCAAACCAAGAGGCGAATGTCGAAAAGGCACGGCGTCCATTGAGAGAACCTGTTCCGGCGCGCACCTGACCACCTAACCCATTGCACATCCAACCATATGCACTTGCCTCCGCGGCACAGCGTTGTTACCCTTGTCAAGCATTCACGTAGACTGATTGTTTCAAGCTTGCAGCTCGTCCGAGCCCCACAACGCGCCCAGCAGGCACGCCACACCCGCCCCATCATCGTACGACGGGCGCCGGGTCATCCCCCGACCTCCAGTACACCGCCATATCTGGCCGAGCAGCGCGCAGGGCGTCCAACCGACCCACGAAGTCGTCATCTTGCGTCGCCGGATTTGCCCCAATCTCCAAGCTCTGTTAAGGACAGGATGAAGGGGCACCAAAATGCGTGTGAACACACAAAGCGAGGCGCCAACAGCAACCAGAAGCGAACCTGCAGGCATGCAAGGCTCTCAAAGCTGCTAGTCCCCTCACCTTCAGACCGGGTGCACCCGCGCCCGCCAGCGCTGAGAAAATCGCGTCCACATCCTGGGAGCCTAGCCCGGTGCCTGACACGCAGAGCTCCTGCAGGCCCGCCCAGCCGCCTGCGGCCAGGCTGGTCGCCAGGGCCGCCGCGCCGGCCGCCCCCAGCGGACACCCCACCAGGCTAAGGTGGCGCAAGCCGCTGGCTTGGGATAGTGCTGCCACCGCCTGGGGCCCGGCCTGCGGGGTGCGGGATGTGGCATGGCGGGTTATGTGCACATATGGTGGAAGGCCCTGTCCGCATGGCTCTGCCCTTGCCCGGCGGAGCCTGCCTCCCCATGTGCTTCCCGCAAATCCCGGCGCTCATCGCCGACATGTGGACGCCGTGTACGAACCAAGTACCAGACTACAATGGGCGGAAAAACCGCAGCTGCCCGCTGCCAGAGACCCAACTCCAAAACGAAGGCAGCAATCGCCTTGTTGGCCGCAGCGCACCTGTGTCCCGGACAGCTCCAAGTGCACAAGTGGCCCCTCCGCGCTGCCCTCTGCTGCTGCGGCTGCTGCTGCTAGGGCGCCGCCTAGTGCTGCTGCATCCGCATCGCTGACGGCCGTGTTGCCCGCCAGGCTGAGGAGCTGCAGTCGGGCGCCTGCTGCGAAGGCTCTTTGCAGGGCCGCCCTGCGAGGATGCGTTCGGAGGCCATGGGCAATGTTGCGTTAGCGATAGCATGGTTGCCACGTGTGAGGGAGGGTGAATACTACGCCCAAAACACGTGAAGCCCGCACCGCCCCCCTGGTGCGCATGAGAAGCGGCGTCAGTCCTGCTACCGGCAGTTCGCTCCTGCGCCCCACCCTCGCCGCGGCAACTCACAGTGTCCGGCTGCCGGCTCCGCACTCCGCCATGTCCAGGTGCGCCAGCAGGCCGCCCCCCGCACCCGCACCCGCACCCGCACCGGCCCCACCGCGGGTGGCCGCAGGCAGCCCCTCCGCCAGCGCCTCGCCGCCCTCGTCCCCCAGCTCCGTGCCCCGCAGGTGCAGCTCACGCAGCTGAGAGGCAGCCTGCGCAACAACGGGGGGTGGGTGGGGAAAGGAGAGAAGACCAGCGGAGATGGCGACAGTGGGGAAAGGGTGTAAGGGGGCGGTGAGTGGCAGCCTTGGGGCATGTGTTCAGAAATCTGGCCGCAAGTGGCGTGTGGGAGCCTCCAGGAAGGCGGGTGGGGGCACGCATGCAACCCGGGCTATGAGCTTTAACCAGGGTGGCCAAAGCGTGTACCTAGTACTTGACACCAAACAAGGGCGCAGCTGCAATCGGCAAACGCGAGCTCAAACGTTGGGAATGGGCAGAGCAGAACAAGCGTGCGCCCACCCCACGCCAGCCCTCCGCGTGAGACCCCTAGCACGCCCCGCCCCCTAGCCGCACCCCAGATCCGCCTTCACCCCAGTCCCCCGCCCCCAGTCGCACCCCGAAGAGCTCCCTCAGCGCTCCGCCGCCCGCCACCCCCAGCGGGTTACCCTCCAGCCGCAGCACCCGCAGCCGCCCGCAGTTGGGCGCGCTTGCAGCCAGCGACCGCACCCCGGCCGCACTGATGCCGCAGCCCTGCAGCTCCAACGTCGACAGCGCCGCCCACACAAGGGGCTGTCCAGCCGGCCCGGCAGCCGCAGCAGGAGGAGGGGGTGAGGGAGGACCCGCTGTCGTACAGCCCTCGCCGTTGGTGTTGTTATTGTTGTCGGGGGCGGGGGCGGGGCTGGCACCGTTGCAGAGCGCTGCGAGCCCGGCGTCTGAGAGGCCCGGGTTGGCGCTGAGGATGAGGTGGGAGAGCGAGGTGGAGGCGGCCAGGGCAGCAGCCAGCGCCTCCGCACCTCGCACGCCCACACCCTAGCAGGCACGACGAGAGAGGGGAAGGACAGGAGGGAGAGATGTGGGGGGGAGAGCGCAGGCTGTTGTGTGGGAGGTAGGGGACGCTGTGCTGGTTTCGGATTGATAGCGCGGCACCCTCCTCCTGGACACCAGCTCCTTACCAAGCGCACGCACGCAGCCCCCCACCCCACCCACCCACCTTGCCTCCTAGGTCCAGCCTCTGCAGGCTGCTGCTGCCCGCCAGCCCTCGCGCCAGCTCCGCCACGCCCTCGTCCCCCAGGCTGCCGTCCCCCACGCACAGCGCCCGCAGGCGGCTGCCGCCCGCCGCCAGCAGCCCCGCCAGCAGCGCCGCAGTGCGGGGCGCTAGCGGGTGGTTGCTGGCGTAGAGCTCCGTGAGGTGGGTGTTGGAGGACAGCGCGCGAACCAGCGCGGTCACGTCCTGCGGGCGTGGAGGGGTTGTGGCAGAGGGGTGGTGGAAGGAGGCGGAGGGAGAGAGGGAGGGCTTGTGGCTGTGCCCGTTTAGGCATAAGAGGGTTTAATGGCAAGCAATGGTTGAATGTGGCCCTGGCCATGATGTATGCAAGGGTCCGTGGTGGGAAGGGCACGACGACTGGCGCAGGTGTCCCCAGTTGGGGCAGGAATGGTGGTTCCGGGGCGGAGCTATCCTAGACGGATTTGACCACAAACCTTGTCAGAAGCGCTCAGTTGCTATCACAACTACAATAGAGTATGAATTGACAATCACGGTGCGTGGGGCTACGTGCAAGCCATTGTTCTCACGTCATGGTTGAAGCGCCGCTGACGTAGAATGGTAAGCGATTGCAGCTTCGGATCATTGTCGGCTATGCGACGAACCAAGTCGTCGATTCCACGGGCACCCGCCTGGCCCCAAGCCATGTTGGCGGCAGGTTTCGGCGCCTGACGATTGACAGCTAGATGGCTTATGCGCACCGAACCCTCAACGATATTTGCGTCGCTGGTATAGCTTTCTGCAGTAATAGTCGGTAGGGTCAGTGAAAAAGGAAATCGGAACATACCGTACATACAGTACTTTATTCATCGTCGGGTACGTTCCTATAGGATATACAAAGGAAACTCAAAGTGTATCAGTTGAAGGCATATTTGTTAGCGCTCAACTTTCACCACCTGCCTTACGAAAAGACTCACAGTCCTACCAGGCACCTTCTGGTTGGAACATTTTTCGTCCATTCGCTAAACAAATACTATCATAAACCAAATGCGACATGCACCTTAACAATGCAGATGAGGCCACGGAAGCCGAGTCATCGGGGTCGCAGCCAGTCGTCGCTGCATGGACGGGAGCGGCATCGCAACTTTGCACGGCAGCAAGCTGCCGCAGCCCCACACCAAGCACTTCACCCCTGTCTGAACCTGCGGCAGAAGCTCTCGGTCTCGCGAGCAACATGCAACCTCCGTGCCTAACGGTTAATCGAATTGACCCGGTCGGCATGCCTAGCGCTGACGACGCCACCGCCAGCTCTCCATCTCTCAATGCACAAGACGTCACTCTCACCCCAACCAGCAAGGAGGCCTCACCAGCTTCCCACAACAGCATAACCATCCTACATGCTTCCTCGGCAGCCCAACAGGGTACAGCTACACAACAATTCGGCCACGCACCCTTGGGGCCAAAGCTCGCCCCGGCAGATCCCTACACCCCAGCGGATGACGCGTCTGCTACATCTCAGTCCAGCTCCGCCAGCACAGCAGCGCACATAAAGTCCTTTGGAGCTAGGGCCGCGCCCTCCCTGGTAGCCTCCTCAGTCCCAACCTCAACCGCACAGCCGCAGGAACCGCCCGGGCAGGGCGCGGGCAGCCTGCCCGTCAAGCGACTGCTGGGTATCGCGCCATGCACCCTGTCTCCCGCAACTCTGGGACTGTGTCCCAAGTCAGGGAAGGGCTTGTCAATCACTGCCTCCGCTGCCACGGCCCCTGAGGGCGCGGAGGGGTCCAGCACCGGCACGGGTCCCGCACGTGCGGCTAGCGGGACCAGGCAGGCGCCGGCGCGTGCGCCCACCTCGGGAGCGACCTCGCTGACGTGGCGCTCCGTCAAGGTGGTGCAGTGTGGGCTGGCGGGCAGCAGCGGCTCTGCGCTGGTGCCGGCATCCCGCTGTTTCCCCATGGCAGGTACGGCACGTCGGGCTGTGCGTGTGAGGGCTGTTCCATGTCGAAGCGTCGGGCGGTCCCGCTGTCAGGCCCCCACGTGCGGTGGGGGTTGTGCTGCGGCAACGGTTGGGTTGCGCGGCTGGCCTACCAGGGGCATTTGCGCTGTGCTAAGATGCGGCTTCTCCTCTTTCCTTACCAACAGCGCAGTACGACTGAGCTGAGCTGAGTACCTTTTCTGCGCCCTGTGCCTCCTTACATCGCCCCAGACCCGCAGTACGATGAGACGCGGGAGCCGGAGGCGGCCAACCTAGCCGCCAAGTACGGCGGCCTGTGGCTGCGTGCGGCGCTGCCGTACCGGCTGCAGGGGCGGCGCCACCCGCTGATGATGTGTCTGCTGCGCCACGTGGACGGCAGCCTGAGCCTGGTGCATGCGCAGGACATACGGCCGCTGCAGGTGGGGGGGGGGCTGGGTGGGGGAGTGGTGGGCAGCTGCAGGGGGTAGCTGTGCAGAGGTGCAGCTCCTATTGAGGGACATGCAAGGCTCAAGAACGGTTGCGGTAACATACGTGCAGCGTCGTTGCAAATGTGGTATAGCAACGGGGCTGTGCACATCGTGGTTGCCTGGGGTTGGACGGGGCTGTCCTACTGCCTCTTGCTGCTGGGGTTGCGCAGCGCGTCCCCCAGCCCAGCCCTCCCCTCCTCACCTACACCCGCTCCCCATGCCCCTTACCCCTCCTCCTCCCTCCCAGGGCGGCTGCCCGCTCTACGTGCGCAACGAGGCCCACCTGGCCTCGCTGCACCCGCAGCTGCCGCCCCACCTGCACTACCTGCCCGCCAACATGCACGACTGGGGCACCGCGGAGCCGCGCTACGTGACAGCGCACTTCGCGGCGCCGGGGCGGCTGTACGTGCTGCTGCCGGAGGGAACCGCGGAACCCAGGTGGGGGGGCAGGGCAGGGCGGGGGGGGGGGGAGGGGGGCAACTGGGGCACACAGCCTGCCTCTGTGCGCAAACTGGGCATGGGTGGGCACAGCGCCTTGGTGGGGTGCGGGCATCGGTGGATTGTCCTCTTTATCAGGATTGGATTCAGGTTTACCTTTCGAGCATGATCGCAGATGTCAAAGTTCGCACCCTGTCTGCCGCCGCTTGTGGTTTACGTCCCGGCATGTGTCTGCATGCATGCCTGCGGTCTGCAGGTGGCTGCGGGAGGGGTTCTTCAAGCTGCGGGAGCCGCTGTACGGCATCAAGGTGTGCGGCGGCTGGGGGTTAGCGGGGTGGGTAAAAAGGGTTAGGAGCGTGCGGACCCTCGAACAATCTAGCGGGTCGTGTCACCCTGAGGCCAGCGACTGTGCTCCGTAACTTGCATGCAGCGGTTGCTTGCATGCGCTAGGTGGTCGCGTGCATCTGCTCGCGTGCAAACCACCGTGTACAGTTCGGTATGGTGTACCACAGCAGCTCCCAGGCCGCCCGCTGCCCGCTCCTGCGGATCCCCTCTTCACCGGCCCCTCCCCTGCCCTATGCTCTGGTGTGATCTTTGACCCCCGCCCCACCCCGCCCCCACTTAGGTCCGCCTGCCCGCGCTGTGGCACATGAGCGCCCTGACCTCGCTGGCCTACCGCATCCTCAACCCCGCGCACCGGCGGCCCAGCGAGGAGCACCTGCTGGTCTACAAGTCTAAGCGGGTGGGCTGGGGTGGGTGGGTGCGGATGAACAGAGTGGGTGAGAGTGACGGGGGCCTCAACACCGGCAGCTGCAGAGCTCCGAAGCCGGCTCCTTGGCGCACGCTTCGCCACCCTACCTAGCGGTCTGCTAATCATCGAATCGCAAAGTAAGCCTGCGCTGCCGGCTGCAGAAGCTCATGGACGCGTGTCTGCCGACATTTCCGACATGTAACCTCCCTCCCTCCTCCCGCCCTCCCCCCCTCCCCTTCCGCAGCTCTACCGGGCGGGCGAGGTGGTGTACCTGGGCGGCCTGCCCACCGCACACCTCACGGACGCCATGTACGTGGTGTGCGCCGGACTGGAGGAGCCGGGGGAGGTGCGCCTGTGTGTGGAGGGGGGGTGCTGGGGGGAGAAGAAGACCCAACGTGTTGAATTATGCTGGCAAACTCGATGACAAGCCCCTGTTGAATTAAATTGAGTCAATCGAGCCGGACGTGAGGGAGGGCGTCAGGGTGGAGGGCTGAGCGCGAGGGGAGGGAACCGAGCAGTTCGTAATAGCCCATGACAAGGCTGCGGGTGCTTGCTGTAAGAGTGTGTCCATCTTGCATGCCGCAACCGTGCTGATTGGGTGCTGCGCGGGGGCCATTTACCTTCATCGCGCATGCCAGGGATGTCACGGTACGGCTGCGCCACGTTGTGCTGTGTGGTTATCACCGCTCTTACTCGTAACCTGTACAAACATGCACCCTCAATCGCTCTACATTCCGCCCTCGCTCCCATCGCCGCCCTGCCCTGCCCCCTCCCAGCGTGCCTCCCAGTCCTCGGCGCCGGCGCTGCTGCCCTCGCTGACTGCGAGCATCAGCGACTGGGGCGTGTGGCAGGCGCGCATGATCAAGTCCATTCGCCGCAACCGGCTGGAGGAGGTGTGCGCGCTGCTGCAGTCAGGTGGGGCCGAGGGAGCGGGCGGGGCGCTGCCGGTACCTGCCTAGCAGCGGTACCGGTGTCGCACAAGCAAGGCTGGCTGGCCTTGTCGGCCTGTCCAGCCGCCCAAGGTCTTGCGCCTTGCCTGGCTGCTTCCTCCATCATACCCTCCCATCCCCCATAGCATCAACAATCACTACCATTCAACGCACCGGGTCTTCTTCTTTTCCCCCACCTCGTCCCCGCCAGACGCCTGGACGCAGCGCGCCATCCGCTCCGACCCGCTCAGCTGGCTGCCGGCGGGCGAGCTGGCGTCCAGCCCGCCCGGCTCCTCGCCGCTCACCTCGGACCTGGTGCTGGGGTCGGGCAACGTGCGGCTGCTGGCGCTGCTGGTGACGCAGTGCCACTGCCAGCTGAGCGCGCGGGGGCTGCGGCTGCTGGTGCGCAAGTGGGAGGAGGTGCCGGCGGCACAGGGGGGAGCACTGGTGAGGGGGGCGGTGGGCGCGGGTCTGTGGGTGGTGATGCGCGGGGTTGAGTTGCGCGGTAGCGCGGGGTAGAGGCCGCGGTGGTCTACAAGTCGGGGGGAGGGACGAGCTGCATCTTGTGCTCAGCAACACAGTTCAGGGGAACGGAAAGCATCCCGCATGGCTCGCCCCACCCTCCCGCGCTCCGTGCCCTGCCTGCCGGGTGCGCTGCCCGCTGTCCGCTGCCCTGTCAGGAGGTGCTGCTGGGCTACGTACGGCGCTGCCCCCGGCCGCTGGGCACGGTGGCGGTGGTGCTGGCGACGTTGCGGTGGGAGGTGAAGGTGCGTGACCGGTCGCGGTCCAGCAGCACGCTGGAGCTGCGGGCGGTGCTGCGGCGCTTCCAGGAGCTGCAGGTGGGGCCGGGAGGTACCGAGGGGGGCTGGGGAAGGGGAAGGGGAAGGGATCACGGCACCTGGGGAGGAGCAGGGAATGACGCGGAGGTTCCATTTCACGCTATCCGGCAGGACTTTGCACCTGGTTAAAGTCTGGTTGCTCAGCCAATTGTTTACCCCCTTCCCCTTCCCTTCCTGCCCTCAGACAGCCCTGCTGCAGTCTCTTGCCGACGCGGCCCGCAGCCAGGGCCTGGAGGGCGGCGGCGCGGCCAGTCTGAGCTGGCTGGCGGGCGTGCTGGACCCGCCCCGCCACCCGCCCCCGCTGGCGCTGTCGGACTACAGCCCGCTGCGCATCGCCTTCGAGGACCGCGACCTGGGCTTCATGGCTACATCCGTCACGGAGGCCTACACGCGGCAGAAGTGGTGAGGGCGCACAGCTGTTACCGGTACTGCTGCTGCTGGCGCGCAAAGCGGTGCAACTTGCCGTCGCTGCTAGGATGCTAGAAAGCCAAATGGCTACGCAGTGCAGCACGGGAGCCGCTTCATCCTCCCATTTGTAATGCCCCTATCTTTTCTTTGTAAGCCTGTACCCCCGCCGCGCCCACCTGCCTTTTCCTTCCTCCTGCACCTTCTCCCAGCCACCTCACCACATCGCTCCCGCCCCCGCCGCAGGCTGGGCGAGGCCTTCCTGTCCCTCACCACCCGCGACGGCTCGCGCGAGCTCACCCCCCTGGACCCGCTGGTGCTGCACACCGTGCTTTTGCGCATGGGGCTGGTGGAGGAGGGGCCGCTGGCAGCTGCGCTTGAGCGGGTGATGCAGCTGTGGTTCTTGTGCTGCGTGGTGCCGGGGGCCTTCTGCGGCAGCCCGCGCGGGCGCTGGTGGATGCGGGTGGTGGCGAGCCTGGCCTTCATCATCATATACAACATGGTGGGGTGGGGGGGAGGACATGGCGGGGAGAGGTGGGGGACGGGTTTGGGGTGGCGTGAGCGCTGCGGGGTGGGGTTAGGGTGGGTAACAGCTGTAGAGTAGCGTGCCACCTGCCGAAACAATTAGAAGGGGCAGAGGTGCAACATGGTAAGGGACGTAGGGACGCCATGGCTATGGATTTCGTTGACGGTAACACAACTGCGGGCGTCCTGGCACGTAAAGCTTTGCTTGCTTTCGCGTGAAGTTCGCGTGAAGTCGCGTGCATGCATGGCCCATGGAGTCATGGCGGTTATGCTGATTCCATGGCTACGTTGAAAGCGTAGGAAGCGATCCACGGCCTGAGTGTCCTTCCTGCCATCACCTTCGCTGCTCTCAAGCCACGCAACTCCCTGCCCGGCCCCCTACCCTCCGCACCCCCCTGCCTCCAGATCCTAACCACGGACCCGACGACCAACCTGTGGTGTGCACTGATGCTGATCACCGCCTTCTGCGTGTTCCTGGTGGGCTCGCTGGTGGAGGCGGTGGAGACGGTGGCAGTGGCCTACAAGGGCAGCGTCACGAGGTAGGTGGACCCCCCCGCTGCAAGCGTGCATGTGCGCCACCCTCTCGCGTGACCCGAACACGGAACCAACCACACGCACCCACCCACCCCGCAGGTTCGCCAAGGCCAACCCGCTGGAGTTCCTGTTCCTGCTGTGCGACGCGCTGCTGCTGGCCCTCACCACCGTGTACGCTCTGAGGATCACCGGCAGGTGCGGGCGTGCGTGCTGGGTGGGAGCGCATGGCTCCCAGCATCCTGGCTCACGGCTAGCCATGCGCGCCTGCTTGAGCGTTTGCGCTGCCTTCTGGTGTCGCAATTGGCGCAAAAGTGTCCCAATTTAGGGAGCTTGCCCATGCCAAAACCTCTTTTTTATCCCTGCGTTTTCCATCGGACGTCGTCACAGTGATGCGGCCTTACCTGCGCCGCAGGTGTCCGATGGACGACCGGCTCTTCCTGAAGTTCGTGTTCGTGTGGGCCTCCATGTCCATCTTCATCTACACCAAGGTGAGTCGCGGAGCGTGGCACGATGCCACCACCCCTACACACGTGTACTTTCCGCATGCACGTTTGCATTGGGCGCCCCTCGTCATGACAGAACCTCTTTTCAGAACCCTTCCTGCCCACCGTCCGGCTTCTTACCCACCCCCACCCTTTGGTACGATATTTGAACCACCCGTCCTACCCCCCCCCCGCAGCTGCTGTACACCCTGGTGCCCCTGTTCCAGCGGCTGGGTCCGCTGCTGCACACCGTGACCAACATGGCGTCCGAGCTGGCGGCCTTCCTGCTGCCCTTCATCATCCTCACCACCGGCTTCGCAAGCACCTTCTCGCTGGTGTACGGCTGGGCGGGCACCGGCGACCTGAGCACCTTCGGGGACGCCATGCTGATGCTGTTCCAGGTGCGGAAGTGGCTTGTGGCGTGCAACCTGCCTGGTTGTGTGGATCAGTTTGGGGGGGCTTAAAGTGAGCTGGGTAGGTAGCTGGCTGGCCCGGAGTGCTGGTGCAAACAGCATCCAGCGAGGCAGCGTCCCCTGCGTGATGGCGTCCCTGTACGTGCTCCTCACACCCCAGAGGAGCTGGGCGCTGCGCTCAGCAACCCGCGGCATGGAGCCAGCAGTCTACAGGAGCAGTACAGGAGCAGCGCAGTCAGCTGGGCGCAAACCATGCCTGCCTCGGAAGGCCCTAACCCACCTCTCACATGTAGCCTAGCTGCATACGGGCACCACAACAGCCCCGCCGCACGTCCTGCCTCGCTTCACCCCGCTTCACCCCGCTTCCTCCCTCCGCCCTCCGCCCTCTGCCCGCCCCCCTCCTCCGGGCTGCCAGGCGTTCCTGGGCAACTTCGACATGACCCGCTGGGACGACTCGCCGCTGCCCGAGTTCCGCAACTTCGGCATCGCCATGATGTGCATCTACCTGGTGGTGGCGGGCATACTGCTGTCCAACCTGCTCATAGGTAGCACGGGAGAGGGGGGAGAGGGAGAGGGAGGGGGGAGGGAGAGGGCAGCAGGGGTGGGAGCCTGCGGGGCCAAGGCGGCTAGGGCCGGGGTGAGGCTTTACCTTAGTGTCGCGGCATGGCGTCGTTACGTCTGCTTCTGCATTGGGTTTGGGTGTCAGTCTCAGCTCCCAAGCTTCCACTGGTGATCCTGCTGAGCTGCCTGACCGCTGCTTGACCGCTGTTTGACCGCTGTTTGACCGCTGTCCGCGCGCCTACCACGATACTCCCCTTACCGCGCAGCCATCATCACCTACAAGTACCGGCCGCATGAAGTGGCCGCGCAGTCGGTGTTCGGGCTGGCGGAGGTGGTGGACCGCCACAAGATGCAGGTGGGCTGGGGCTGGCTGGCTGGGGGGGGGGGAGGAAGAGGTGAAGCCATGCTGTGAACGATAACGGGCTGGGAAGAGGCGGGGCGATGGAGGCTGGGATGCAGGACAGCTGGTCGGATGGGGTGATAGCGGCCGGTAGGTCAACACGTTCTAGCAGGTCGGTAGGTATTGAAAGTCGCAGAGGGCAGCGAAGCTACGCAACCTGCGACCGCATTCGCCATCTCGTTTCCCAAGGTCCCTTACCCCTATGCATACGTACACGCCCTTAACCCCGTGAATCCTTGGTTACCTCACCCCACCACCAACCCCACGCCCCTCCTCCCTCCTGCTGCCCCCTTATTTCCACCCACCCCGCAGGTCGACGGCGCCATGCTGTGCAGCCCCTACTGCCTGCTGCAGGCGCCCTTCAACCTGCTGCCCAGCGGCACCCGCCCCGCCATCCTGCCGTACAGCTTCCTGCGCCTGGGCATCACGCCGCTGGAGGGCTTCCGACCCGCCGCACCGCACCTGGACTCCGTACCCACTGGCCGGGCCGCCGTACCGCAGCTGCTGTTCCACCTGACGCTTCACCCCGTGATGCTGGGCGTCATGAACGCCGGCTTCTACCTGCTCAGCCCGCTTCTGGTGCTGAACTTTACGTTAACGGGACACAAGCGAGTGTGGGACATCGTTTGGTCGGGCGCCAGGGACGGTCGCAAAGCCACCGCCGCGCCGGCAACTGCAAAAGGCGGCGGCAGCAACAGCGGCGGTGGGAGTAACAGGAGTGACGGCGCTGGCAGTTCGGTGAACGGCGGCTTGCCTTCGGAGAGTGGCAATTCGCGGCAGCCGCAGCGAAGCGGCAGCGGTGTTGCAGGCGGTGCAACCATGTCGAGGAGTGTGTCAGGCTTCTCCAACAACAGCGGCAGCAGCAGCAATGAGAGCAAGCTGTCCGGGAGCTTTGACGGCGACCCGCTGGGAGCCACGGGCGTGTTGAGCGGGCGAGCTGGGGACCCCTGGCAGCACGTGGGAAGCTACTGCACGCTGAAGGTGAGGAGGGGGTCGTCGCGGCGTTGAGGGCGATATGTATCTTTCGTCGCTCATGTTGTCGTCGTGTGGGGCTGTGTGCTCCCCTTCAGTCTGCCCTGGGGCCACGTTGCTTTCCATTGTGAGTCTTGCACTCCCATCTCCTGCGCCTCCCCCCAAACACGAACTTACGCTCCCTCTTCCTCTCTCACTCTCTCCCAACCTGTACCTGCAGGGCCTCCTAGCTCTATGCGCCCTGCTGGGTCGCATGGCGGTGGCCTTCCTGCTGGGGTTGCTGCTGTGCTACGGCGCGGTGGGGCTGCTGCTGATCTCGGGAGGCGGCCTCTACATGTGGGCAATCAGCACGCTGCTCAGCGCCCTTAACGTGGCATACGAACCGCTCAAGCGAGCCGCGGACTCCGCTGCATGCGGCTGGCGGCACTTCACGGCTTGGCGGGCGGGGCGAGGGCGGTGGAGGTGCGCAGTCGTGGCAGACCGGGAGTGCGACCTGGCAGCAGCAGCAGCAGCAGCAGCAGCGGCGGCGGCGGCGGCGGCTTGTGAGGAGGATGAGGAGGCGGTCAAGGGGGATGTTGGGAGTGGCCATGGAGGCAAGCAGGTGGGGGGGCCGCAGGAGGGGCAGTCGCAGCCGCAGCCGCGGCGGGCCCTCACGTCGGCGCAGGTGGCGCATCGCTGGAGCGAGCTGGCCAAGGCAGTTCGGCGGGTGGGTGCGCCGGGTGGTGATGCGGGTGTGCTGCTGCAGGGATTCCCCTGTTAGACGTTGACGGCGCAGGGGGGTCCTGGGTGGGATGCAGCGATCATCCTTTACCTTTTCCTCAGTCATGACCCTCATGGGTAGCCTGGCATAAGACCGTTCATAGATCTGAGGCAACCTCGCCAGTCGCCCCGTGTCCGCTCACCCTGCGTGTGCCCCTGCCCCCCGCAGCGCACCGCCGCCAGGTACCTCACGCAGCAGCAGGTGGACAGCGCGGTGGAGCGGGTGTTCGGACACCGCCAGCAGCCCGCAGCCGGGACCGCAGCACCCGCCGCGACCTCCGCTGAGACCGCTGGAGGCGCCTCCGCTGCAGCAGCCCAGAACCCACACCTCTACGGCGCCACCATCGCCGCTGCCACCACCTCCACCACCACCTCCGAACCTGCCACCCAAGCCCTGCTCCCCAGCGCACCTGCGCTGTCGCTCGCAGGCCCTGCGGAGCCCGCCAGCGTGCACCGCCTCCACACGCGGCACCTGAACGTTCTGGAAGCCGAGCAGAAGGAGGCGGCACAGGATCTGGTGACGCTAGGCCGGGAGGTTGGGTTGGCGTCGAGTGCAGGAGCAGGAGGAGCGGTGCGAGGAGCGGTGCTCCTGCCGGCTGGTGGTGAAGGCGGGGCCGCGGATGCGGTGGGTGCAGCCAGCGGTGCCATGCATGCAGACTGGAGCTCGCTGGCAGCCGCGATGACCGCACCACTGGGGGCTCAGCTGCGGGAGGTGGGGCGCTGCTGCGTCTTACGTGATGCGCGTGTGACTCGTCCACTCCGTAGCCAAGGGGGCGTAACGGTTGTCCCAACGCATGATGTGCTTGCCGTCTGCTACATGCCGCGCATTCTGCGTGTTGCGCACGCTTGTCTCCCACTGCTGGCTCCCACTGCTGCGCTTATAGCACTGTTGTTGGGCAGGCTGCCTCAGGGTATGAGCCAAGCGCACCCCCTCCTCTCCTCTCCTCCCTGTCACCGTGTAGATCCAGGAGGTGCTGTGTCGCCAGCTGCAGCAGCAGGCGCAGGAGGTACGGCAGCTGCGGGAGGAGGTGGACGTGCTGAGGAGGAGCCTGAACGGTGGGTTGGGGTTTCGGGGCGGGGCACACCGCCTACCGTGGCACGGCCATGCAGCGCATGTACGGCACGCAAGTGAGGCACCAAGGCTGAACTATAACTTTTAGCGACAGCAACATCCGCAGCATCCCGGTATACGGACGCATTCCAGCCATTCTTGCGTTGCTAATGACATATGGTTGACATGCCGTGTTGCGAACGTGTGCTCGCAGACGTCGGACATGTCAGCCCTCCGTCACGTGAGGAGCACCTGGCCCAACAGCAGCCACCCGCTCGGTGATGACGTGCGGGACGGGGGTTCCTCGGATGGGGGAAGAGCGGCAGGTCTGTGTCCACTTTGGGGGCACTTGGCTGGTTGGCCCTGTAGGAGCCATGTGGCGCAAGGCGAGGAGGTTTTTGTAAGGGTTTTGTATGGTGTTAGCCTGCGTTCACAGGTTGGCTTTTGGGCGGCATTTGGGTTTTCGTGCGTGATGCCGCTGGGACGGCGGGGCGTAACGAACACAGCTAACATGTCAATGCTCGTAATGGTGACGAAACTGCTGATGGTAACGAATTTGATGATCTTTGGGGCGCCGTCCCAAACTTTGCTCGCGACTGTACTGCACCTTGCTTGCATGGTGACCACATGAAGGGGACACTGTAGCTCGTCAAGCAGTTGTAGGAGAGGACACGCGTGCTGGCATGCATGTACTGTATTATCGTACGAACCTACTCGATGCCTTGAACCCTAATAGACATGCTGGTAGGTATGCATACCGTATGTAGGCACCTGGTCTACTAGCCCTCAAAAGGGAGCGTTGGCGCGTGCAGATCTTGATGTTCTAATCTGTTAAGCGCGGCTAAGCTAACGGGGAGATGTGTTATAGGCGCCCGTTTGGTGTACAACCGGGGCTTGGCGGAAGAGCTGAGCATTCTCTGTGGATGTCGAGTAAATCGAGGGGCTGCGCTGCTCACCGGCAGCTGTTGCGCATGTGTAAACAGGTGCACGCACCAGGACGCGTACCGTATGTACATTGTACATTGCGTCCGTTCCAGGCACAGTCGTGCTGGGCCGTCTTGGCATCCAATGGGGCCATTGGAGTTGTACGCTCAACCAACACTCCTCACTGGCTACCGGTGCCCAACACACCAGGACTTAGCTGCTGGCTGCCTGACCGGAAATCGTGGTCTATTGGTGTGGGGCTCGCGTACTAGCGGGTATTTTGTCGGATATTGCATGTCCTCATTAAATCAACGGCTTCGTACGCCTTGCTGCTTCGCCCCACCTGCAAAGTGTCCCATGGGACAAGGCAGGTATTTCGCAATGGCTGAGTCTCAGTGGCGACAGTTTGCACGTGGGTCAAGATTGTTAAACCTTGAGCTGTGACACTGACCCGAACCTTGGCAGGTTGCCCGCCAGCTCGATCGCCCTGCGGCCTAGATATAGTCTACGTTCTCCCAGCACAGGCCTCAGCGTGGCGACACACACATGCCGCTGCGTGATTCTTTGATTGTTTCAGGGGCATGGCACCATCCTACCATATCAGTGCGGGACACGAGTGGCAGGACGGCGCATTAGTGCAGCAGCAGCCGTTTGCACACCAGGTTTTCATAAGAACATCGCTGGCAAAAGGGTAGGAATAAAGAATGCGAACAAGATAAGATAATGATGTACTTCACATTTTATGCTGGATTTCAGTGCAACGGTGCACTGAAACAACCTCCAGTGCCGCGATCGTTGCCGTACGGCACCGATTTGGGGAAAAAGCTGTTAACTGACCAAGTTTCAGGGCAGCATCAACTTCAAGACTTTGCAATTTTCCTGCCGTAGGAACACAACCTACAGCAGCCAATGACAGTCGACGATGAGGTCAGCCTCCGGCCCCTAGCCCTCAGGCCGGGGGGTAACGTAGCTAATCCTTTTGCAAGCTTCGGCAAGGGCCTTGGCTTCGGCATCAAGGGCAAGAAAGTACGTTTTAGACGCGCCGCCTTGGAGGATCCTTTCCCGCTTTGTTTCTGCGACTTACAGCGGCGGCGCCCCGTTGTAATTTCTGGTTCAGGCCACTACATCGGCAGCAGCTGAGGACAAGCCGCCGAAGAAGAATGGCGAGCGCGTCCGTTATCCCAAGGAGTTCTTGCTGAAGTTCATGGAGGTGCGTCCGCAGGAGTTGGGCACCGATCACTATATATGCGTTGCAACTCATGCTAAGTACTTTGTTTATGCCGCTTACAGAAGTACAACAACTGCCCAAGCGAGCTTGAGCAACTGAACCTGGAGATTGTTGTGACAGGCGAGGACCGCCAGGCGCAGCAGGAGGTTTTGCAGGCAAGTAAAGAAAGATTGTTGAACGGCAGTTTAGGGCATATATGCTGCATGGCCGTGGCATCTCCCATAAGACATGCAGCCGCCAGGCGGTGGTTGGGTTGCGAGCGCTTCCCTAGGCAAGCTTCAGGTCGCCAAAGCTCCATCCGCGTATAATGAACCGCAGAAAGTTGCGGAGGAGATCGACGACCGGGACTGGCGCTCGCGCACTGTCACCAATTACCGTGAGGCACGCGAGGACCGCGATTTCCGGGAGCCACGCCAGCAGCGTGAGCCAAGGTAGGGCACCACGATTAGTACAAAGGCTCCTAGAGCACTGTGGTGCCCAGAAAGCGATGACTCTTCATGTACAGTGTGTTTGGTGAGGCCTGAAACGTGAACATGTGCGGGGTGTTTTCGGTGGCTGTTTCCAGGGAGCCCGCGGAGCCTCGTCAGCAGCGGCAGGCAGCACCCCGGCAGGAGGCGGCAGCGCAGCCACAGCAGCCAGCCCAGCCCGCTCAGCAGGCCCCAGCACAGCAGCCAAGCGATGCGGCAGGTGCCTCTGGGCAGGTACGTTTGGCCGGGCTGAGCAACCTGCCTCGTGTATGGGCATCCCCAGGCAAGGTGTGTGTCGGGAGCTGAGTCCTGGTTTTTTTACCAGATGTGCTGTCTGTGCAGGATGTCTCGCGTATTGCGAAGGCAGCGGATCTCGGTCGCCAAGCGTATCGTCCCGGAGGCACGCTGTCGGCTGAGGAGCGGGTAAGCGGGGTGTTGGGTTGGGCGGGAGGCGGATTCTAATGGCAGGCTGCTGCGTCTGGAAAGGCCGTTGGCCTGCTTGCCGCACACGGCCATGGCATGCCTCATAGTGCAGCTGGTTACCTTCTTGGGATGACCATCCCGCTGATCCTGTGGGAAACGATACGTTATTACCGCATGGCACCTCACCCACGACTGACGGCCCATAAGTACAACAGAACGGAACAGTTTGGCGGTGCCAGGAAGGCAAATGTAGCTTGACTGGCTACTTGCCACCGGTTGTATGTAGTAGTTTATTTCCCTAGGCTACAGGCCGCAATCGCCGATCTATGGTGACCCACCCCTCAACAGGCGGTCCGCTCGGTCAAGGGTATCCTGAACAAGCTGACGCCGGAGAAGTTTGAGCGTCTGCTGAACCAGCTGCTGGAGGTCATTACCACGGCGGACGTCCTTCAGAAGACGATTGCCCTGGTGTTTGAGAACGCCGTAGAGCAGCCCACCTACGTGGCAATGTACGGTGACCTGTGCGTCAGCCTATCAAAGGAGCTTCCGCACTTCCCACCGCCGCCTGGATCCGACAAGCCGCTGACCTTCCGTCAGATTCTGCTCAACACGTGCCAGGACGAGTTCGAGGGCGCAGCTGACGCGCGTGAGGTGAGAGCTTGTTGGTAGACCTGCAAGGGGATCTAACGAGGGCTTGCAGGTGTTTGCTGGAAGGAGTGAGGTAGAGCGGTGACGAGCTCATGTCATCCCTCCCTCTTACCGGTCGATTACCGGCACGCATACGGTTCTTAAAGAGCATATCGCGCATAAGGGCACGGACAGCGGAAATAATTGAACCCAAGTAACAGTATAGCTGCCACTCGAGCTTGCGATCGACAGACAGCCCGGAACGCTCTCCGTCAGCCTCCTCCACTCGCCCCATGCATGCTGGTAACCCAACGACATGCTGAAAACATGTTCCTCAACGGTGCTGCCTGTGGCCCTCCCTCCGTAGGAGGTTTCGACCATCAGCGACCCCACGGAGCGCGAGGAAGCGGAGCGGGGCGTGAAGAAGCGCGTGCTGGGCAACATGCGCCTCATGTCGGAGCTCTATAAGCACGACATGGTGAAGGACTGGATCATGGTTACCTGCATCGACGAGCTGCTGACCGCCCGGGCCTCCAAGTCGGCGAAGACGCCCCCGGAGGACAACATCGAGGTGAGGAGGCGGACGGGGATGACAGGCATGCTGACCGCCACGTTGTCATCCAGGGCAGAAGACGACTTGTTAGTCACAGGATGCGGCGTTGGCGTGCTGCCGTTTTCGGCTCGGCAAGCAAAGGGTTGCATGCTCGCTGGCAGGCTTTCCGTTCAGCCATCATCGTTGGGTAACGGCGCCATGTCGCATGGCTGAAGCATTGCCCCTGGCCCCCACTGCCCCTGTCCTCGTCCCGTTAGGCCGTGCTTGAGATCGTGAAGCTGTCGGGTGCCAAGCTCTCAAAGAGCGAGAAGGCCGACACGCTCAAGAAGCTCGACAAGGTGATGAAGGATCTGGAGCGGCTCATGGGCGACAAGGCCAACGGCATCTCCACGCGTGTGCGGCTGGCCATCAAGGACGTTATGGAGCTCAAGCGCGCCAACTGGATTCCCCGCCGCGAGGCCTACACGGCCAAGAAGCTGGACGAGGTCCGTGCGCAGGCGGAGGCGGAGCTGGGTATGATCAGTTCCAGCATTGCCGCGTCGCTGCCGCAGCTGCCCAGCGCCATCCCGCGGTACGGGGATTCCATGGGCGCCGGTGGCCTGGCGGGTGCTGGTGGCCGGGACGAGGGGCTCTTTGGGCTCATACCGCCGCTGCGCTCGGAAGGGGATGTGGCGCTCTTCCCGGCTTTCCGCGGGGACGCAGCGGACCGGGGCTTCACCGGCAACAGCGCGCTGCTGGGCGACTACACGCCGCCGACAGTGCGTGTGCAGCTGCCCATGGCGCGCCAACAGCCCGTGCAACAAGCGCCACAGGAGGCGCCGGCCCCTTCACGGTGGGTTGCGGAGCGCATTGGGTTCTTCGCAGGGCACGGGTCATAAGCACAGCTCCCGGGGGCACCGGGGTTGGGGTTCACGTAATAGATATTGAGCGTGCTTGCACGACGCTGAAGCATGCCCTTAGTTGAACTGCTCATGGTAAGTGCCGACATGGTGCTACCGGGACGCTGGTAGGTTGTTTGTGCCATGTTGCCATGCCCTCTACTTATCCGTTGCGGATTGACATTCGCAATTGGGCATGTCGTAAATGTGGTTTGCCGTACGTTACCGTGCAGGCCGGCCGTCGCCCCGGGGAAGCCGCTGAGCGAGGAGGAGGTGACTCGCAAGGCGGAGAGCCTCTACCAGGAGTTCACCAGCACACTCGACAAGGCGGAGGCGACGACATGTGTGCGGGAGCTCGGGTCGGAACACCTAGCGAAGGTGGTGGAGATTGGTTTGAACCAGATCTTCAACTCGCTAAAGGACAAGGAGCAGGACGCCCTGCTGGACCTCTTGTTGCACCTGCACGAGGCGGGGGCGATCAGCAGCGCCAACGTCGTGGACGCGCTCACCACGTTCACCACGCAGCTGGAGGACCTCAGGTGCTTAGGGCTGCTTGGGGAAGGCTGTGGGTGGGATTACATAAGGGGGCGAGGTTATATCACCCAAGAAGCATGTCGTGTTCGTGGGCTTAGGGCCGCTGTCCTAGGAACCAAAGCCAACTGGCGTCATCCCTTGCCCCGTGCAGTATGGATGTGCCCAAGGCGCCGCAGCTGCTGGGCCGCTTCTACGGCTCCTGTGTGTCGCGGGGCATCGCTTCTCTGGACCTGCTGCCCCAGCTCATGGAGGGCGACGCGTCCGTGGAGCCTAAGCGCCGCTTCAGCGGGGCAGCATTCAAAGTGCTGCGCACTGCCAAGGGCGACCAGGGCCTTTCCAAGTTGTGCGCGGAGGTTGGGCTGGCTGCGGGCGCCTTCCTGGCGGCAGATCCGGAGTTTGACCAGGGAGAGCCAGCGGTGGAGGAGTGGCTGAAGGCGGAGGGTCTGGCGGGCATCGTGCCGGTGTAAGCGGCTTGACTTGGAGCGCGTGGGGTGATGGGATTGCTCTGTCGGGGATTCATGAGTGTCAGGGGCATGCGGCGTTTCACTGTTGCCATCCCTGACGGGACTTGCACTGGGTCAGCATACTAGGCGGACCAGTCCCCTAGCCACAACGGGACTGGGCACTTGGGAACCGAACATATGTGGTCGGACAGGATGTGTTGCACAGTAGAGCGCGGGCTTGGAAGTCCGGCTTTCCTAGGTGCAGGATTTAGTTTAGAGCGGCCGAGGGATAAGGGGCCGCGCGTATGTGGCCTAAACTGGTAGCATGCCTGCGATGCAGTTTTCCGCATAACGATACATTATCAACCGGATCGCTGGCAAGTTGCATGGGGATGCAAGTACAGTGGACGTGGATGCTGTCGGCGTATGGCGGGTTAGAGCGAACGTGGCTGGAACGCCGCAAGGCAGGCTAGCGGAGAAGAGAGCGTCATGAAGACGCAGTTGAATGGCTAAACATGCCAACTACCTGGGAGTGCTCCGTAAGTCGTGCGGCTGCACATTCCCCGTTAAATCGCCAAGGAAATCCTTGCTTGCTCCACAGTACGACTCTGTACGGTTACATTATCTGGCCACCTTGGCATAGCGAGCTTGCTAGACTGCCAGCTGCGGACCACTCCAACACCAATCTACGAGTATCTTAAGCGACTCTTCTTCCAGCTTTCCCAATACGACGCAGTCATGTACCCTATATCTTAGCGACTCTTCTTCCAGCTTTCCCAATACGACGCAGTCATGTACCCTATATCTTAGCGACTCTTCTTCCATCTTTCCCAATACGACGCAGTCATGTACCCTATATCTTAGCGACTCTTCTTCCAGCTTTCCCAATACGACGCAGTCATGTACCCTATAAGCGGAATTGTTGTTAAGATGCAACATGGATACCTTAGGCTATACTACTATGCGCCTCCTTCGTTCCAGACGGAAGGTTCATCGACTTACACTGACCCCTGGGCCAAGGCCCTCGAACTCAGCACTCGAAAAGGGTTTGTCTATCTGGGAGTAATCTAGATCGCTATGTTGCAAACGAGCTAACAGCAACACATGACACCAGAAGCCACACTTCTTATCCGGAACGGTGCGGTCATGCACTGACATTGAACAATGCCGTATGCCATGAGCCGATTCCGCCAGATTAGAACCCATAATGCACATGATATTATACAGACGTCCGCATGCTACGAACCCAACAACATTTATGCATGCCAACCGGGCCTCCTCAACAGGACCTTCCAAAGCCCCCAGCACGCCCCAACCCTCCTACGCGCCTGCTACCTCGCATGCTGCGACCGCACCACCTTCATGTACGCCCGCCCCGCAGCGGAGGCCTCGTCCATTCCCGGCGGCACCAGGGTGACGCCCCACGTCCCGGCGCCCTGCTCCCGCCGCTGCAACGCCAGGGAGGACTGCGTCCACTCGCCGTGGCGGCCGGCGGACAGGTGCTTCTCGGGCTCCAGCCCCGCCGCAGCGGCGTCGGCGTGGTAGGGTATCCGCTCGTAGCCTGCAGCGGGGAGGGGTTGCGTGCGCGCTGAGGGTCAAGCGGGGAAAGGCAAGCGGCGGGCCCTACAGCGTACGATTCAGGTGCGGCGCGCACTCCCTGCCCTAAATCCTTACAACAAGTGGGGCAAAGATTCAGCTCACCGATTAGCGAGGGGTCCAGCTGCTGCCCTGGGTCAGGCCGCAGGTGCCCGTGCAGCGCCGCCGCGCTCGTGCCGTGCATCTGACCCTCAGCCGGCCCCAGCCCGTCAGGCAGCCCGGCAGAGTTGCGGCGGAACGTCCCCGCACCGCCGCTGCCGCTGCCGGCCGCGATGGAGCCGCCAGCCGACGACAGCGTGCCGCGCGCCTCCTTCGCGGCACCGCGGCGCATGGCGGCTCGCGCGGCGTGCTCCTCGCACTCCCGCTCCAGCATGGTCCTCAGCCGGTCCTTGCACTCCTCTATGGATGCCACCGCCTCGGCGGATGGTACGGCGGAGGCGCCGCGTGGGGCGCCGCTGCCGCCGTTGGCAGCTGTCGCGGTGGCGGGTGGCACGGCGCTGTCGCTCGGCGGCACTAGCAACGCCAGCTCGGCCTCGAGGGCAGCTAGCGCAAGGGCTGGTTCGTCAATCTGCCAAAACCTGCAAAGCAAGATTCGGGTGAGGGTGCAACATAGGTGCTGAGGGAAGTGCTCCACTCCCAGGCGCTCAAGCCGTTGCGGCTTCCATTAGTACGTCAGCGCGCCCTTGGCACCGCTCAGCATCCGTGTGCAGCATCCGTTTGCACCTGGCCGTTCTGAATCATGCCATCAGCCGCCCAGAGCTTACCGGTAGCCTTTCTTTGTCACCAATTCCCCTCACCTGAGCTGAGCTCCCCCATCCCCCATCAGATGCTGTTGACCCTGCACCCGGGCCTGCTGCTGCTGCCGCGCAGGCTCCTCCGCCTCCTCGCACTCCTCATCAAGCTGTTTCCGCTTGGTCAGCAGGGAGAAGGAGCCCCCGCCTACGCTGCCGGCGCCGCTCGTGCCGGGCCGCGAGCCCGTGCCTGTTGCCGTCGGGGGTGCCATCGGCACCTGCGCAATCTCCTTGTCGGCCCCCGCGTCCGACCCCGCTTCCACATCCATCTCCTCCGGGCCCTCGGGCACCCCTGCGGCCTCACTGAAGGCGCTTCCGCGCTGCGGCAGGGTGCGGCCCGGAGGCCAGGACGGCAGCCGTGTCGCCGTGTCTAACGCGGTGGTCGCAGCAGCAGCAGGTGCGTGGGCTGCGGCGTCAGCGGGTTCTGTAGGGGACGTGGATCTTCGGTAGAAGCCGCCAACGCCGCGAGCTGCTTTGCCAGCGGGCGCAGCACCCACGGGAAAGGACCGAGGCGGCCGCCCGAGTCCATCGGCCTGCGGGGCCAGCTCAGCAGCTAGGCGGAGATACAGGGGAAAAGGGGGCGGAACAAGTCGCTACCGGTAACAAGGGGGGAAGAGGAGGACCGCCCTTTGCCATCCAGGACGACCCTGGACAGCTTGCTTGGTATAAGACAGGTGGGATATACAGCTCATGTAAGGGTGCCGATAGCTCTACATCTTGCCCCGCTACAGCAACTCCCTCGCGCAGGTGGCCCCGCCTCACCCGCCATCTGCGCCTCCATGTGCATCATGGCGAAGTACTGCAGCGAGCAAGTAGGGGCACCCGGGAGCGCGTGCAAGACCGGTCAGCAGCAAGGACACATGCAAGTCGCACGCTAACGAGTCATGTCCTCATCTGCATGTCCCCACCTTCCGCGCCTAGTCCCACCCGTCAGCTGCCCTCCCCTCCTCCGCCACCAGTTCCCTCGTCACCCCCCCCCCTCCCCTCCTCCGCCACCAGTTCCCTCGTCACCCCCCCTCCCCTCCTCCGCCACCAGTTCCCTCGTCACCCCCCCCCTCCCCTCCACCCCGCCCCCCGCCCACCTCATGCGCCATGGCCTCCTCCGCGCTGGCTCTGCGGCCCGGGTCGAACTGCAGCAGGCGGGCCAGCAGGTCCACCGCCACCTCGCCCGCCTGGCCGAAGCGACGGTGCAGCGTGGGGGCCCTGCCAACCAGACAGCATGCGGCACAGCAGCATAAAGCCTTTACCAGCTCACCCACACTTCTAACCTTAACCTAAATCCCAAGCGCATATGCAGAGACATAAGTCAGCAAACGCTTCACACGCGCTCTTGGAACGCGCTGTGCTGTGCTGAGCTGCTTTTGCACCACTACTCCCTAGGGAACCCATGTAGCTGCGCTCGCCACCTCACGGCGGCGCCCACCTGCCGGGTATGTGGAAGAGGTAGCGGCGCCACGCCTCGCTGGGCACGCCCTCGATGCAGGCCCAGGCGGGCGTGCCGATGACGGCGAACAGCGCCGACAGCTCCGCGTAGGCACCGCCGCAGCCGGGGCCCTCCGCCGGCCCGTAGCGCTGGCCGGCGTGCGGCGTCAGCGGCTTACCACTGATGGCGAACACGGGGGCCACCTTGCGGGCGAACAACAGAAGGGGCAAGGAGGGGCAGCAGCAGCAGGAGGAGGAAGAAGAGTCGGGAAACATGCATGAGAAAGGAGCTTGCCAAGGCCTACATGACAAGTCACTACCAGCGTGACCCAGCGTGCCTTTACCTGTACCTTCCCCGCCCCCCCGCTCCTCCTCCTCCTCCTCCTTCCTCACCTGCAGGTGCGGTGTGGCCGCCTTGCCCACGTACGCCGCCCGCTGCAGCAGCTCACCGAACACGCAGCCCGCACTCCACATGTCGATGGAGCTGCTGTAGCCGCCGCGCGACATCACCACCTCGGGCGCCCGGTAGCAGGGCGTGCACACCAGCGATGTCAGCGGAGGCTGGTAGCCGCCCTCGGGCGCGGGTATGGCAACCAGGCCGCCGCCAGGACACCCCGCAGCGCCGCAGCCGCCGCCGCGGCCTTGGCGTGAGGAGCTGCGGGCGCGGCTGCGGGGGGCGGTGGCGGCGGCGGGCGGCTCGGCGCTGCGGCCGCGGCCACGAGAGGCGCCGCCGTCCGCGGTGCCTGTGGAGTCGGTTGCCGCCTCGCAGTCCATGTCGCTGGCGGTGTCGCCCTCCTCGCCGGCGCCCTCCTCGCCGGCGCCGCTTTGGGGCGGCAGCGTGAGCTCTCGGGAGAGGGGAGCCCTGCGGCGGAGGGCGGGGAAGGAGTTACGGTGGCCGGGAGGGCGGTAGGTTGGGTGGTTGCCGGAGAGCTGCGGCAGAGAGCGGTGTCAGGGGAAGCTGTTGGAGGGCTTGCCATCAGGACACATGCATAGACAATCTGGAGGTGGGGCAGTGCATCCCCCCATGTCGGCGCACAGGTACCCGGTCACCCGGCTCGCTGGCTTCCTCTCCCAGCACCCCCCATCCGACCCAGCATTGCATTGGGGACGCAGTGTTTCATTTCTACTTCTTTGTACTCCACCCGGCCCGGCGCACCCATTCAGTTGGTCTGGCAGCTGGCCCCCCCCTGCAGCGTCGCCCGTGTCCTTGGCTGACCGTGCGGACCCGAAATCAGCCACCTGCAAGCAAGGCATGGGGCAAGGTATGGTACGTTTATGCGCCTCTTGCTCGTAGCACCCTTCGTGGAGAGCCCGCTTTCATGTACATAAAAGCCCTTACGGACCTGACATCTCGTGCCATCTTCCCCCGAGCACCATCGAGCACTCCCTCTCTCTTTCCTGTTGGTCTGCCTGCCTTCCTAAACCCGCGTTCGTGGCGGGCCCCCCCGACTGCCGCACCCTGCCCCCCTTCCGCACCTTGAGCACCCTCCGCCCCTCTGCCAGCGTGAGCAGCAGGTTGCCGGTCTTGATGTCCCGGTGCCACACGTTGAGGCCGTGGAGGTACCTGCAGCCGGGCAGGGGAGGGAGGGGAGAAGGGGGGGGTGAAGGAGGGTGTAAGGGATGAGCTTTAGAAGGGTACTTGACGTCGGTACTTCAGCAGGAGAGAAAAGACATGGCAAACAGAACGGAGGCATGCCCATTTGCCTGATACTATTCATCTTTTCCCCTCCTCCCTCCCACCTTAGCGCGCCCAGCAGCTGCCACATGAGGCTGCGCACCTCGTGCTCCGGCAGCTGCCCGCGCATGTTGAACAAGTCGCCCTGGGGAGTACAGCAGGGAACCCAGCAGGACCCAGGCAGGGGGTGCAGGAGGGCGGGCAGGCAGACAGGCGGGCGGCTGAGACATCCATGCGTGCGCACGTTACCCATGTGCGACTGCAGTGCAAGAGCGCTGTGTGGATGCAGTGCCCAGCAAGCCATCCGCGGACACCTCCTGCGCCATGCGGCGTCGGCAGCCCGGCGGCCCGGACCCTGCCGCGCGTCATGCAACTCTCTAACCCTACCAGCCCCCCCACACCCCATCGCGGACACACCTCCAATCACAGTACGTTCCGACTCGCGGCCAGTTTTCTTATCACACCTCCTCGCGATCAGTTAGCTTCCACCCCCCCCACCTGGTCGCAGTACTCGAGGGCCAGGTAGCAGTCGAAGCTGGTGGGCACCAGGCGGCCCCCGCGGAACACGTACTTGCCTGGGGGCGGAACGGAGGAGGCGGAGCAGGAGGGGCGGGTCAGTGGGGATCGAGGGGGGCTGAGCGGGGGAACGCGGGGAAGGGTGTCTGCGTGATAGTCCTGATGGGCGTCAGGTTACTAGAGGGAGGACCGCACCGCGCGGGAAACTGCGCAGCGCATTGACGAGGCCAGATCAGACTCTGTGCCTTTGGTAACGCCCAAACGCCGGTTGCTGATGATCAAGGAATTGCGCCATGGTGCTGCATCTGGCCCGTTATTCGCCAGCTTGACCCCGTGTTCCTATGCACTGGGGGTGTGCTGGCTTACCCCGTGCGCAGGCTTACCCCTGGGCGAGGGCTTGAGGAAGACGTCACGCAGGCGGATGATGTTGGGGTGCTGCGGGGGCGGGGCGGGGTGCGGAGGCGGGGGTGTTACGAGGCGGCTGGACGCACCAGGGCAGTCAGGCAGAAGGCAGACTGCAACACAGCGCCTGTCTTAACGCCAGGCCAAGCAACAGCTTCGCCCACTAGCGCAACCCCACTTGGGCAAGAGTGCCCACCCTATCGTGCCCACCCTAGCTGCCTGTCAACCCAATCCAACCCAACGCCCTCTCCTCCTCTTCCTCCACCCGCCCCTCAATCTCCTCACGCACCTCCAGCCGGCGCATGATGCACACCTCCCGCAGCACCCGCTTGGCGTAGTCGGGGCTGGCGAACACATCGCCCACCCGCTTCAGCGCCACCTGGGGGGGGAGAGAGGCAGGGCCGGGCGGAGGCGGTGGGCTGAGCAGCGCGCATACTGGTGCTTACTGGTTGGGCGCCCGTAAGGCCCGGGCTTCGGGGCGGTTGGGTGGCAGAGCCTAACAGCCCAGCCGATAGCGGGAAACGGGGCCGATACAGCCGGGGCATCGACAAGCATGCATTTGCCGTGGGCTGTTGCATACAGGAGGGTGTGCTGAACACCGCGTTTGGGGCGGAACGGGCAAGTCACGAGGTACATATAACGTCGGTGTCGCCCCTGGGTTGAATGTGCGGCTCGCAAGTAGGGAGGTCTGCACCGCAAAGCGTCGGTCTGCAGACTATGGTCTCAGAAGCTGCGTGCGGGCACTTCCGACGAAAGACACGGTAGCGGCCCCCCAACTGCCCCCATGTCGTCCCATATTTTTTCTATAAAACCAAATGGATTTGCACGAGTGTTGGGGCAAGCGTTCGGGCATTGAGCAACATCCGCATGGCCACCAACTGCCGGTCGAAACTCTCGGAGGCGTACCTTCTCTTCCTCTACGCGGTCCCATGCCAGGCATACAGCCGAAAAGGAGCCTGCACCTAGAACCTTTAGGACCTCATAGCGTGTCCCAACCTAGCGCGAAAGGCGTCGGCGTCAGCGCCCAGGTCAGCACCAACCGAAGTGCTTAAGCAAAGAGTTTGTCAGGACTCGCCTGCCATGTATCACGGTCCACATAGTATACCCCAGGCTCGACTGGGCTTGGAATTATACGTGGATTATTAGGTTGTGCCATTTGGGAACGAGTTCAGGTAAGCCCTAGCGTTTCTAAACAATGCATTAGCATGATTTGCAAGGTAACCGGCATACGACCTTTGTCTATTGAATACCTTGCGAACCGGAAGCCGTGTACAAGAGGGCGTTGCTTGGGCCGTACAGCATGTTTGCCGTTGCTTGAGTTGTGAACTCAACAGTCAATTCGACCAAAAGCTTTGATCACCGATCACGAGCAACAGCCGTTTATGTCTCGTTTGAGCTCGTTTTTGGGGTTTGGAGTCTTGCCATCGTTGGGAAGCTTCGGCAAAGCCGTCTGCATGTAAGACTATACATAAAGCGTTTGCAAGGTTCTACTTCAATTGATGCCGTTAAATGTCACAAGATCAACAGGCGTGGCCCAACCGATTGGTGAGGAAATGTTTACCTGCGCACGACTTCCGCACTTCCACGAGTGAAAAACCTTACCCGACTAGCTGGTATGCTGCAAGCGCAGGAGGGCTTAACTGCTGGCATGGATGCCAATGGGTCTTCGTTTCAAGGTACGGGTAAGGGCTGTTGGCGAAGTGAGGCCTTCAGACTGAGGAATTTAACCGTCCTGGCATGCTGCAAGCAACTATCATCCAGTCCCGGCTCATGCATTCATCCCCGTGCTCTTGACCACGTCTGCGACGGTTACCCCTGCAGCCAGCTTCAGCCCCCTAACTTCCGGCCTTAAGCGGCAACCCTCGGGGCCATCCAACGGTTGGGTCTCCTTCGACGATGACGGCGGCAGCACAGGTTTTGCCGCCGGTGCACCCGCTATACCAGCTGCACCACCTGTTGTGGCGCCCACAGCAAACCAGATGCCCATCTTCCCAGGCCCCGGTGTCAGCGGTGCGCCCCACCTGGTTCGGCCACCGGGCCCCGCCGCACCCCTGCCAGCAGCGACGCTCGCCAGCCTCACCCCCTTCTCCTCAGCTTCCCCGACGCCTGGGCCCCAGAACTTCTCACCGCTAACGTCCTCCGCCGCCAAGTCAACCTTCCCCACCTTCGCCTCCCTGGCCGGACCCTCCCCTCCTCCTGCTGCCGCCAAGAGCCTGTTCGGCTCAGCCCCACACGTGGAGCCGGACGGCGTTGCCGTACACCGCCTGATGCGGCCGCCCTCAGCCACCGCTGCACGCCCCGGCACCGCAGCGGCGCCCAGCGCTGCAAGCAGCAGCAGCACAGCCCCCTCCTCTGCTGCTTCCGGTGTCGCTGCGTTGCAGGGCCCCTCCAGCAACCCCTTTGCCGCCAGTGCTAACCCTCAGGGTGCCACCGCCGCGGCTCGCAGCCTGGATCCCTTCGCGGACCTCGCGCTGAAGCCGCACCTGCCCAGACCGCCCCCCATGGCGGCTGCTAGGGGGCAGCAGGGGGCGACTGCGGCGGGACCCGGGCCTGTTACGGGCGTGGGAGCAGGCGCCCCGCCTGGCATTGGGTCCACAACCCTGCCCCCTGCATGGGCCCCTCCCGTGGACTCGGCGGCGCTGTCCCAGCCGGCCGCTCCGGTGGCGGGCATGGAAGCGCGCGTGGCTGCTTCGCCAGGCGGCTACCAGGGCGCTTTTGATGTGGCCCACCTGCAGGGCCTCACGTCGCCTGCCAGGGCTGGTGTCGCAGGGACCGGGGGGACAGCACCGGCCACGTTATCGCCGGCGCCGCAAACACAGCCGCAACCACCTACGTACACCGCGGCCGTGGATATCTCAGCCGCACACTGTCCGTCCCCGCCGCCGTACGCAGAAGCGCTGGCGTTGCCCTCCGAGGCACAGCCTGCGCCATCCGCTGCGCCCCCCTACTCCGAGGCGCTAAGCATGCCGCACGCGAGGGGCCCACCGGCCCCCCCGCCGCCGCCCCCTGCCTACGAGCAAGCCGCAGCGATGCCATCCGCGCAGGGACGGCTTGCCGACCCATTCGCCGGCGCAACTCCGGCTCCCGGCGGAACCCCATCCTGGGCCACCTTCGACGATCATCATGCGAGCCAACATGCAGGCGTCGGGACCGCAGCGGCCACCGCTGCCGCGCCCCCTGCCTTGCAGCAGCCCCTGGCCACCCCTCAACTGCAACCACAGCTTCAGACCCAGGCTCCGCAGCCGCCGTCACAGCAACCTCCGCAGCCGCCTCTGCCCAGTCAGGTATGTGTGGAGGTGCGGCTGCCGCCGCTGAAGCCCAAGGAGGCCGCCTGGCCCAAGCGCCTAGCCGCCGGCATGGGCTGCGCCTTCGCGGCGCCCGGGGGGGATAGCGTGGCGGCCCTGCAGTGGTGCCTGCACCCGGGAGGGGGGCACGGACCGGGGCCAGCGGCTGCAGCAGAGGGGCCGGTGGGGCCGCGGTTTGAGCTGCCGGCGGGGCCGGGGGTGCAGCGCGCGGCGGAGGACTGGGACTCTGCGCCTGCTGCGGCGCTGGTGCTGCCGCCGGGGGTGTCGGACTCCCCGGTGACGTGCATGCTGGTGGACCCGGCGGGGGGGAGCATGTGGACGGGTGAGGGGCGGGGGCGGGGACGGGGGTAAGAGGGCTACCTGTTGTAGCGACACCGGTGCCATGCTGGATCCGTAGGCATGCCTGTAGGAGCTGCTATGCTATGCAATGGATGCGGGTATGCGGGAAGGGGAGCTGCTTTCGTACAGTTCAAGTGCGGGGCGTGCAAGGGTCCGCGCGAGGGTCCCGTGCTCTGGCAGTCGACGTGCAAACCACGCCCCGAACTATTGACGCGACATGCTGCTCCTCAACCACTCCCCCGCCAAACACCCCCCATCCCGCAGGCCACAAGGACGGCAAGGTGGTGCGCTGGAGCGTGTGGCCGGGGCGAGTGGCCTCGTACGAGCACCACTGGAAGGTGAACCGGCGCGGCACCGGTAGCCCCCTCATGCTGGTAGCCCCCTCTCCAGCTTTCTTCCTCCCCACCCACCCAATCAATCAACGCAGGGGTCTTGTTCTTTTCCCCACCCACCCCCCACCTCCTCCCCTGCTGCCCCGCAGGCTCACAACCGCAGCAAGGTGACCTGTCTGGCGCTGACCCCCTGGGGCGAGCTGTGGACGGGCTCCGCGGCGGGCTCGCTCAAGGTGTGGCAGTACCTCACGGGGACAGCAGGTAGGAGGAGGAGGGGGCAGCAGCGGGGCAGGCAGCCGAAAGGGATAGATGGGTTGCTGGCGGACAGGGCGACAGGGCGGGTGGGTGTGTTCGCTCTTTGCAGGCGCTGTGTGTCGCATGCTGCAAACCTTCCCTACTCTTCCCCTTACTGCGGCCCATCCCTTCCTCGCCATTAACCTCTGCAACAACTCCTGAAGTCCACTGCAGCCAATGCCCCCGCCCCCTCTGCGTTGCATCCTTTTTCATTTGTCCCCCCCCCCGCCCCGCGCCTGCAGCCTCACGCCCGCCCGACCGGCTGCTCGAGTGCCGCCGCTCGCGCCTCACGCTCGGCCCCGCGGCCCGCGCCTCCGCTGCACGCGCCCACAGCAAGGTGCGGCTGCTGGCGGTGGGGCCCGGCGGCCGGGTGGTGTGGTCGGCGGGGCGCACGGGGCTGGTGCTGTGGGGCGCATACGACGGGGAGTTCTTGGGCACGCTGACGCCGGGGCAGGGGGCGGCGCAGCAGCAGCCGGGGGGAGGCTACGAGGGCGGCAGGACGGGGGGGCTGGGGGCGTACGCGGGCGAGACGGGCGCCGGCGGCTTCATGCTGAATGGCGGCGTGCTGGAGGGCGCGGAGATCAACCCGCAGACGGTGAGGGAGGGTGCGGCGGGCTGGGGCGGGGGCTTGGGTGGATGGCGGGGTGGAGCGCTGGGTAGGGGCTAGGGAGGTGGGTGTCCCTGGGAGCCCCTAGCCACCCGGTGGGGGAGAGGGTTGGAAGCCGGTGTGGTAGTTGGGAAGTCCTGGCTGGGGGCTGGGGACTGGAAGGTGCGTCCCGCCCGCTACCATAACAATCTAAACGTAAGGAGCTGCAGCCTTGGTCGTTTCGCACCACGTCTCCAGCTGCGCTGCTGCCACAACCGCCTTGAGCCCCACCGTCCAACCGCACCATGCAGCCACCCTCCTGCCCCCTCACCGCCGCACCCTCATCAGTCACGGCCCTCAACGCTTCTCTTCACTTTCCCTTATCCCCCTCCCCCCCCGCCTCCTCCTCCTCCTCCTCCTCCTGCTCCTCCGCAGGGCCTTGAGAGCGGGCTGGTGAGCCGCCCCTTCGTGCGCCGCGCCGACCCGGAGCGCTGCGAGGACCCCGAGGCGCCCGAGGTGCCGGTGCCGGCGCAGGTGTTCAAGGGGCTGGCGGGGGCGGCCAAGTTCGCAGCCAAGCTGGGCAAGAAGATACGACAGAACTTCGCGGTAGGCAGGGTAGGGTGGGGCGGGGCAGCACTGCTGCTGGGTGCTGGGTGCTGGCCCGCAATCGGTGTCAAGGAAACTGGCCGCGAGTAGGAATCGGTGTGTGTGCGGCGTGATGGGAAGCGGGTTGTGGGGAGGAATGCTGGCAGCTGCAGGTTGCTTGGTGATCCTAGCTACCCCGTGCCTGACAAGCAGCTCCTGTATGCAAAGCATCCAATGCTCTTTCACCTCCGCATGTACCCTTCTTCCCCAACCTTGTCGGGCTTCCGAAGCCTACAGTAGCAGCTTCCCTCTCTTTCCCCGCCCACCTTCAACCCTGTTTCCCCCCCTTGCGCCTGCCGCCCAGGGCGAGGCCCCCGGGGGCGGCTCCGACGCCTCGGGGCTGGGCGGCGGCGCGGACCTGTCGGGGGCCCCCGCGGGTGGTGCGGGTGCGGGCAAGGTTGTGGCGCTGGTGGCGGGGGTGGACGGGGCGGTGGTGGTGGCCTACCAGCGGGGGCTGCTGGAGAAGTACACCGAGTGGGGCAGGTGGGGGCGGAAGGGGGGAGGAGCGGAGGAGAGGGGGAAGGTTAGCGCCGCGGCGCAGTGGGATTGGCAGGGAAGGGCGGAGGTGTGCTGGTTGGGGAAGCCGGGGCAGCTGCAGGCTACTGCGCTGGGATGTGCTGGTGCGGGAAATGATGCGTTGAGGAAAACATGCGCAGCAGCAACGGATGCCCTTCACTTTCCATGGGAAGTTTCCAAACCCATACCGTTACTCCTCCTCCTCCTCCTGCCAGGCTGCTCTGGAGTCGTGACTACGGTCGCGGCGTGCGGCTGCACAGCGCCGCGCTGGTGGGCTGCCTGCTGTGGCTGGGATGCGGCGACGGAGTCATCCGCACCGCCGCCGCCGCCTCGGGGGAGCCCGGCAGGTGCTGGAAGGCGCACGACTTCCCCGTGGTGGGCCTGGCGCACGACGCGGCGGGCGGCGGCGGCAGCGGGCTGGTGTACAGCCTGTCGGAGAACGGCAGCGTGCGGGCCTGGCCGGCGGTGCCGCCGGGGGAGGCGGAGCTATTGGCATGGAGGGTAGGGGCGTTGCTGGGGTCGTTGATCTCGAATTACCTCCCCCAAACCTATTGCCTCCGTAGGCATGGTTTGCATGCACCCACCCTCACCTCACCGCAGCCCACCCACCCTCCCCCTCCCGCCCCCATCCCTGCCACCACCTCCCCCCGCCCAGGACGGTCTGCTGCCCAGTCTGCGGCGGCAGCCCCTGGTGGTGCTGGCAGCCACCTGGAACGTCAACGAGACGCGACCCGCGCCGCAGTCGCTGCGCACCTGGCTGACACCCCGGGCGGTGGGGGCGGAGATCGTGTGTGTGGCGCTGCAGGTGGGGCGGCGGGTGGTGGGGGTTGCGGTTGGGGGGAGGAGGGGTGGTGCGGCAGGTGAGCGGAGGTGTCAGCTCCGTGCGGGGTACCGTGCTGAAGGCCCCCCGCCCCGGGTTGCGAAGGCAGCCGGTGGCCAGTCGGCGCGGCTGCAGGGGTGCTGCCTGGTGGGGAAGTACCGTAGCGTAGGAAGTCGTCTCGCTGCCGCCGCCGCCCACCACCTCGCTTCCACTGTCACTCCGGTTGCCGCGCGTCCGCTCACCCTGCCTCCCCTCACGAGGGGAAGCCCCTCACCCGCCCTTCCCGCCTACCCTCACCCGCCTGCACGCCTGCACCCCTGCAGGAGGTGGAGATGGGCACCAGCAGTGTGGCGCGGGATGCGGCCATAACGCTCATCTCCAAGTCCATGCTGGTGAGGAGGAGGAGGGGGAAGGGGACAGGCAAGGAGGGGAGGGGAGGGGAAAGGAGAGGAGGTCTGCAGGCTTGGCCACCGTGGCTTGCACGGTCTACACCCTTTCAAATCCTATTTTTACAAGCAGTACACTCTGGCGCAATGGCTTAAGCGGCCTCATGGACCTAAACGACATGGCATCAGCAGTTTCACACTGTCCAACCTGCATCTCCCTCAGGTCTCCCACCCTACTCGATTTAGTCTCCCTTGTCTGGCCCCCCGCAGGAGCGCGGCAACCAGAACGCGCAGTGGTGGTCCGCCGAGCTGGCCGCCGCGCTGGGCGACACGGGGCAGTGCTGGGTGCGGGTGGCGCTGCGGCAGATGTCGGGGCTGGTGGCGGTGGTGTTCTGCCGGGCGGAGCTGCAGCAGCACGTGGGGGAGGTGGCGACGGCCAACGTGGCGTGCGGGGTGATGGGGGTGGGCGGCAACAAGGGAGCGGTGGCGGTGTCCATGTCGGTGTTCAGGTGGGGGTGGGGGGGGTGAGGTTGTAATGTTTATGGGTACGACTGCAGGGTGTGCGGATAGGGATGTCATGATCGGCATCGCCAAGGTTCGGATTGCCTTGGAGTGCTGCGCAGGAGGTTAGGTACGTGACGGTCCCCTGTACAACACAGTCCTCGGGGCAGCGTGTGAAACCATTAGGGCTGCTTCCCCTGTCCGAACCCCTGTCCCACCCGGTCTCACCCACCTCAACCCCACCCACCCCACCCTCCACCATGCCCCCTCTCAGGCGCCGCGTCATGTTCGTGTGCTCCCACTTCGCAGCGCACCAGGAGCGAGTGGACGAGCGAAACGACAACTACAACAAAATCGTTCGCACACTGCACTTTGACAACACCAGCAAGGTGGCGCAACAGCAGCAACAACAACAACAACAACTACCCTCCACTGAAGGCGGCGCTGCTGACTACGGCGGCAGCACCACAGCGGACCTCTCCGACCCGGACTCCACCACCCCCACCACTACCACACCCTCCCAGGACGCCCCAGAGGACGACGGACACGGTCCCGGGCTGTCTGACGCGGCGCTGCTGGTGTGGGCGGGCGACTTCAACTACCGAATCAACGGTGGCTACAGGGAGGTGGTGGAGGCGGCGCGCGCGGGGGAGCTGGCGGCGCTGTTTGCGCGCGACCAGTGCCGTGCCGAGATGGAGAAGGGCGTCATCTTCCGGGGCCTGCGGGAGCCGCTGCTGCTGGGGCATCCCGTGTTCGTGCCCACCTACAAGTTTGATAAGCCCAAGCCCGGGGGCGAGATGGTGGCAGGAGGAGGAGTGGGTGCTGGTGGTGGTGGCAGTGGAGGCGGAGGCAGGGGCGGGGCAGGGCAGCGGCTGGAGTTGCAGTACGACACGAGTGAGAAGCAGCGAGTGCCCGCGTGGACGGATCGCATCTTCTACCGCGGCTCTCGGCCTGGAGGCCTCGGTAGGGCGGGCGGGGGCGGGCGGGTCTTGGATGGGGTTTGTGGGTTAGGAGGATGAGACACATGTCTGTGGATTTGTTTGGGTAGCAAGGGACCGTGGGAGTGACGGAGCACAGTAAGAGGTGGTGGTCGTACCAATCCGGCCACCTCGCCCTCCGCGCACTGCCGCTGTCCAGCGCTCCCTCCCCCTCCCTTTTGGTGACGCTCTACTTGACCTCCCTTCACCAGACGTGGCGGAGGAGGAGGTGCAGGTGAGCCTGGCGCGCCCCGAGCACTACAACTGCGTGCTGGAGGTGCAGGACTCGGACCACAAGCCCGTGTACGCGCTGCTGCAGGTGCAGCTGCCGGCGTACAAGCAGGTAGGGGGAGGAGAAGCAAGCACGGGAGGGCGGGGCGGGGCACGGTAGGATGCCAGCTGGAGGCGGTGGCGAGGAAAACGAGTTGCGGCCGTGCCGGAGCTGCGTTATCAGATTCCGCCCCGTCTTGTTGCTGCCCTCGAACCGAACCGGGTGATAGAGTCTGAGGGCGCAACACTCACACCCGGCTTGCAGGACCAAAAGCGGCGGCACAGCCTGGCCTCCGCCTTCGCCGTACACCACGCCGCACTGGCGGGGCCCGCTGCCGGTGCTGCTGCTGCGCCGCCTGCTGCCAGCCCCGTGCAGGCCTCCACCTCGCTCCTGCAGGTCCGCATGAACGGCGGCGCCTTCATCGACCTGCGCAACAGCAGCGCCGCCGCCTTCCTGGTCACTGTCGCAGCAGAGCGGCCGGCAGCTGGGGCGCCCGGCGGGCGGGCCGCGGCGGCGCCCGGACCCTTGCCCAGCTGGCTTGAAGTCAGCCCCACCACCTTCGCGCTGCCAGCCTGCGAGGAAGCGGGCGGGGAGGCAGAGGGAGCAGACGCGGCGCATGGGAGGGCGCGGGTGTTGGTGCGGGTGCTAGGAGGGGACAGCCACCGGCTGCCGGAGCCCGTGCGGCTGCACTTCAGCTTGCGGCCGCTGTGGGGTTTGCAAACGCGCGTGGGTGCGGCGGGACCCACGGTGACCGTGGCCCTGACGCATGAGGTGGTCAGAAGTTAGGGGGGTTGGGAGGGCTGCGGCGCGCACCGTTGCGTGGATCCTGCAGTTTTGGCTTGGTGGGGTTCAGGGTTGCTGGGAGCAGTCGAAACACTGTGAGCGATCTGTTTGGGATTCCATGCTAGGATGCTACTACTACCACCAGCAAGGTGTGCGGCGTGGGTGTGTTTTAAAGGTGGGGGTGCGCTGTTTTGTCGTGTGTGATACTAAGGGCTTGAGTTGAGAGGTGACATAGGTGTGGCTGTAGAGTCAGGCCACAACGTGCGGCTGATATGGTGTTGAGCGCTGGAGCGTGTGAGAGACCGCAGGTATCGCACGGGAGTGGGAGAAAGCGGTGCAAAAGCGGTTCCAGGCACAGAACAGAGCGGCTGGCATCCGCATATTGCGCTTTGGGGGATTGCTACCGTATCTAAACTGAGGAGGGATGTATCACCCGGGTACTTGGTAGCCTTACTTGGCTCGTGACGAGTTGGGACCGTTCTACTGACCAAAGGCACTCGATTGGTGACGGCTCAGGTCGGCTGTATGACTTCCTTCATAGTCAGGGTGTATCGCCTGGGTGTAGGGGCTAGGCATGTGAGGATACTTCCGGTATGGTTGTCCGCTCAACGCGTCGTTTGTAGCGTTCATGTCGGGACCATACACTGGTGCGATGCAAGGAGTGTAAGGGTAGGGTGGTATCCTGTCCATGGTATATATCGCAGTATCTGTAGCGGCCTGCGGGCGAGTCAAGATGCCGCCATACGCCACAGCGGGGTTCTGTGGTAAGCAGGCTTTGGTACGTGGCTTCTGTGGTAAGCAAGCCCATAGTTTTAACCAAGCACATCCTGCGCGCGATTGTCCCTGCGGTCGCGCGACTGCTTCGGAACAAGGAGCTTGAAGGGCGACTAAAGCATGAGTAGGGCCAGGGTTAGCAGAGGCCTCCCCTTTGGAAATTAGCCAGCGACTGATGCGCATGCCGTTGCCCATCACTGGCATAGGATGATCAGGTCTGTTAAATTCCAGTATTTGGTAGCGGCACGTGACTGTGTATGTTGCCTGCACTTTGTGCCTAGGGTTCTATGGTGCTATTGAGCAGCTCTTGGCAGTTGTCACCGCTGACACGTACGATTACGAGCGGCTGACCAAGCTGTTATCAGCCAGCATGCATACTACAGCAATTCCATGCCCAATAGTGATACATGCCGCTTCAATTGTCACATGCAAGGCCGTAGACAGCTAAAAGTACGCTTCTCTTACGGAAAATGAAAGTGAGCATCAGGGCAGCACAGACATATAAAGCATGCTACTTGGTTACTGCATAGCAAATCTTTGCGTAAGCCTGTAGCGAGAGGGGGTTTGAAGACTACCTGTACGGCAACGAACGACACATTCCGGAGGCATGAGTATTTGTAGTTTCTGACGCTCATAGTTCTTCCTCACAGCTAAACTTCTTACAGCAACTCCTGTTGCACACGTACTGTCTTTTCGGCGTCGTTCCTTGTCCAATCAACGGAACATAATGGCCACCTTCGCTGACGCCCCCGCCGGCAACCTTGCCAACGGCGAGAAGATCTTCAAGACCAAGTGCGCACAGTGCCACGTTGCTGAGAAGGGCGCTGGCCACAAGCAGGTGCGCGCCGCCTGATTGAGTTGCACTTGATTATACTACGCCCACTCTATGCCCGGAGTCCACGTAATCCGCTAATAGCTGGGGTCTGCCAACTGACAAATACTTGCTTACATTCACTTGCAGGGCCCCAACCTGGGTGGCCTGTTCGGCCGCATCTCGGGCACTGCTGCTGGCTTTGCCTACTCCAAGGCCAACAAGGAGATGGCCGTTGAGTGGAACGAGCAGACCCTATACGACTACCTGCTCAACCCCAAGAAGTGAGTTGGGTCGGTGGTTATAGTGACGGAAGGTCGCGTTGTCCTGATGCTCGACGTAGCCAGCTTCAAAGCCAGACCATGACCCATTACCCCATGTAGCACCTTGCTTTCACAGCTATTCCTAGTTTACTTGTCTAAGACACGCCGTTTTATTAACGCCCGCAGGTTCATGCCCGGCAACAAGATGGTCTTCGCCGGGTTGAAGAAGCCTGAGGACCGCGCTGACCTCATTGCTTACCTGAAGCAGGCGACCGCCTAAATTCACCGCTGGAGCGTTGGAGAGGCTAATATTCATCTAGCTGTTTTGCGTGCATCCAGTGTTCGTTTTGACCCGAACAGTCGTGCGTGGAAGGTCTTGTGACCCGGCGGGTGCGGCGACTGTCGTTGACTGAAACTTGACGTGACCAGACCAGTCCAGTCGAAGTTGGGCTTACCTAACGGGACACATATATGCCAAGTTTTGCTGTAACCCAGCAGTGGCATGATCCCACAAGCCAGCTACATCAGATTATGCTCGCCTGAGACGCAAAAGGAGGGGTAATCCCACTTTTCGGCGAGCCGCGGACTTGTGTAACAGATAAGCTTGAGTTCTGTTCCTCTTGTGGTTGAGCCTGGTTCTCCTGTGGATGAGCATGATGGAAATCAATTCGCAACAGGTGTTCAGCTCCGGGTGCTCAGCTTTAGGGCCGGGGTTATTGTAGCTGCAACTCTAGGGATGCGACCAAAACGCACAACCATGGCCAGGCGGAGTTCAGATGGGCCGCTCAAGCTGTTACACCCAAGGGGGTTTGGCAAGGCACACCTGCTCAAGGAGCGTGCCAGTTGAGTATGTAGTCGTAATATACAGAACCGCCTTTTAGGGATGCTGCATCATAAGTCCCCACAATAAGAACACGACCCACGGGTCCATAGAAATTTAAAGCCTGAAGACATTTATAGTTTTATATTAGTTATGCAAGGAGCGAAGACACATAGTCACCTGCCCTTTATCTTAATGGTGGGAAGTAATGCCGCTAGCAACAGCAGTGTCAGCTGTATCCCCTGCCAAACGCACGCTTTGCATGCAAATGTGTGTTCCGTTTACACAGAAGTCGTACCGACAGTCCCCATTCCTGCCAACGTATGCTCCGTCCTACAGGTCCTGAGCCCTCCAACAGGCCTGACGTAATATGCCACAAGTGGCAGCACTCAACGCTACCCTGTACATCTGCGGCTCAAAGCCACAAGCCTACCTGGCCCAAGACCACCCTCAGGAGGTATACACCCGCCTGTCCGGCGAGCCTCAAGCTTTGGCAATCCTGCCATACACTCCTATGCCATCCTCGCTACCCGTTACTGCCACCAGCCTGCACATATAACTACCCTAGCATTTTGGGACGCCTATCGCGTCGCCTTGACTCCCTTGCGCGCTGAAGCTGGTCGTTTCTTCGCCGAGTCCGGCCGCTGCGCCATGTTGGCGGTGACCTCGCCCAGGTGCACGTTTTGCTCGGAGCCCACGAAGATGAGCTCTCCGTCCTCCGCGAAAGCCGCGTTAATGGCCGCCTGCATGCGAGACATTGTCGCGTGGTCTGTATTCTATCGCAGAAACAAACGTCACCAAATGAACAAACACCGATTTCCTTGCTTTCAAGTTGCAGCTGCCTTGCTGAGGCCCGTATGGTCGCCTCCCGTTGGGCGTCCGGGCCAAGCATGTCAGTAAGGAACCCTTTCCCTTACGGCTACCAGACATCAAACTCCACCAGCTGTCCCACCTGCACGCGGGGATCCACGCCGGGGCCCTCGTAGTCGTACGTGGTGCGCTCCGGTAGGTCCAGCTCGAGGTTGAGGATGTTCTCGGACTTGAAGCGCGGGTTCATGTCACCCATGGCGTTCGCCAGCTTGGCAAAGTCTGAGGTCGGCCGGCGCTGCCCCGACGCCGAGACCGGCCGGCGCGCGTTGCCCGATGCCGACTCACGTTTGCCGATATCGCTGAGCCGCTCTAGGACCCACACCTCGCGCTCATCGTCCCAGTGCGCGCGCTTCATCACCTGAGTGTGAACAAAAAAAGAGAAATGAATCCATCTTCACACGGAGGCTACTCGCACACATGCCCATGACGCCATGTGCCACAACAGAGATCCCTTTGCTCCCCATTTCTGAATGACTACCTGATCCCGGTCCGCACAGCAGCACCTACCTTTTGTACCTCCTCCGGCGGGATGAACGCCTCAATTACCATGTCCTTGAGCTGCATCTGGTCCTGCAGCATGCGGATGCTCTCCAGCAGGTCCTCCTGCGGTTGTCGGGGACAGCCGGAAGCAGTTCAGAGCCCCCCCTAGTAACCATGTAAATGCGGTGCATCCCCGGCTAGGGGCATGGACAAGGGTACCGGTATGGTCGTGCTCCCTTTACGCCCCACCTGCCCTTTACAGGTGCAGCACTACGGTTCCCATGACCGCATGCTGGTTCCGCCACCCCTTCCGTACCTTCTCTCGCTGGAACTCCTTGTACATGTCCTCCACCTCAGCATTGACCTCCTGGAACTTCTTCCACAGCTTCTTGAGCTTCTTGGTCTTCTGCTCCGCCTCGTCCGCCTTGTCCTTGTACTTCTCCTCAGCTGCTAGCTGGGCCTCCTCCATGGCTGCGATCTTTGCCCGCCGCTCGTCCTCCTCCTTGCGCCTGGAAACCAAATGGGGCGGGGAGAGCGGAGAGTACAGGCAGGCGCCGTCAGTAGAGGCATGGTACGCGCTGTCAGGAAGGAGGCGCTTGTGCAGCATCGCAGTATGCAGCGAAGGTGAGCTCGAGAATGGTCAAAGCACCCGCCACAATGACGTACCTGCGCTCCAGCTCCTGTTCTTTCCGCTTAAGCTCCTCCTCCTTCTTCTTGGTGACTTCAGCGAGGCCGCCTGCTGCGTCGCCTTTGAGGATCTTGGACTCCATGGCTTTAAGCTTCTTGGCCAGGGCCTCCTTTTCGGCACGGATCTGCAGGTAAGGGCAAATGAGAGGCGCTATCATGAGTCTGTAATCGCGGCACGCCATATGGACGCAAGGACGAACGTGGAAGGATAAGCTGCCTCTAGGAGAGCGAGGGCATAGGCGCACGCTAGTAGCGCATCCCAGCACCAACCCCGGGCACGTCCACCAGCCAAGCACATGGCATGGTCGGCATGTGTACCTTCATCCCGCCCCTACCCACCTGCTCCGCGTCTTGCGACCTCTTTGCCACCTCCTCCTTCATCTTCTGCTGCTTGCGCTGCATCTTGGCGGCCTCCTCCTCGGCCTTCTTCTTCTCCTCTTCCAATCGGGCAGCCTCGGCCTTGGCCTTGGCGGCAGCCTCCTCCTTAACCTGTGGGCAGGTGCGTACATTACGGCCGTCATATACCCGGCAGGAGCAAACCGAATCCCGGCCCAACCACAATCGCACCCAAGTTGCGAAAGAAAGCGCGAGTTACTCAGATCGGCATCCCATTCAGGCGCACCTTTTGTAGCTGCTCCTCGTTGAGGGCTGCTGCCTGCTTCGCCGCCAGCTCCGCCTTCATGCTCTCCTCCATGTCGCGCCGCATTTGTTCTAGGAAGGCGGCGTCCAGGGCCTTGGGCACCGTGACCACCTTCTCTACCACCACCTCGCCGCCTGGGCCCGCAACGGCACCCTCTGGCAGCGCACCGCCCTCAGCCTGTAGGTTGGACAAGGGGAATCAACATGTGGTGATTAACAGCGGAAAGGAAGGACCCAAAGGTAAATCAACGTGGTCATGCAGGGCAACGCATGCAAGCAGCATAGTACGCCTTTCCAGGGCACGTCGAAAGACGAATGCCAGCAGTGGCATGTGGGTCAGGCATGCTTCCGCAGTCATCCCTTGCCGCATCTAAACTTACCGCCAGCATGGCCTTGAGCCGCGCAATCTCCTCCTGGAACTCGCGCAGCATGGCGTCCTTGGGGTCCTCGTTAATTTTGGGCTGCGGATGGGTGCATGGACGGGTCACTAGGGTGAGGAGGGCTCCTAATGGTATTGCGAGTGGCCAACGGGTAAACAGGACCTCATGTCCGCCACCGTCACGGCATGTTGCTGCTTGCCCCGATCATACCGCAACCACATAGCTCCATGCGCCCTGTTTCGCACCTTGTTCTTGATGTTCTTGGCGCGGTTGGCGTAGCGCAGGGTGGACAGCGTCTCATCGTAGTTCCAGTCCGCGGGCCCCATGTTGGCGCACATGATGGTCTTGGTGTTGCCGCCCAGCGAGTCCTGCAGCAGGCGGGTCAGCTTGGAGTCGCGGTACGGCACGTGTCCTGCGGGGGTAGGGGTTGTTGGGTGTAAGAAGGCTGCCGAAAACCGAGGAGGGGCATTTACCGCGGCGCTTCAAGTCCCTTCAGCAAACATGCAAGCATGTGTGTCGGCTGGATGGCTCCCACATGTTCGCTCTCTCAAATATACGAAACAGAATCATGTGACCCACAAACCTCCATGTCAATTACCCACGCACCGCTCTTGCCGTCCACCAGCGCCGAGATGACGTTGCCCAGCGCCGACAGCGACAGGTTGATCTTGGTGGCCTCCTTGAGGCGGTCTCCCGTGGCGCCCGTCTTGGACTGGCGCTCGGAGCCAGCCAGGTCCACCAGGTTCAGCTTGCCCACGCGGATGTGGCCCTCGGGCTGCAGGGGAGGCGAGGGAAGACGAAGAGTCAGGGAGAGCCTAGCCGCTAGGGTAATGTCGCCAGAGCAAAGGGTACTGTAGATGGGATGCCGACTCCACCCATGCGCCAAGTTGCATATGTGGGCAAGTATAGCAATGGGTTTCCCGCCAGCATGAATTCAAGGTCCACGACAACCCTGGCAACCCAGGCGAAGGGAGGCATTCCGCACCAACCTGCGCGGTGGTCATCTCAATCGTCTCAATTGTGATGGTGAAGATGGAGTGCGACCGCGAGGAGTCCTGGTTCATCAGGGTGGCTCCCACCGAACGGTTCTTCTTGCCCACCTGCGCACGGAGGGGTCACAGAGCGCGCGAGCAAGGCCTTGGTAAGGGTGTGGTTAACCCAGGAAAAAGGATAACGCCCATACCGTACCAAACGAGGCTATAGCTGAGGTGTGGATTGGCACTCAAACGGCGTGTTGCCATAGAGGGCCCCTACCCAGCTTGCAGTTAGCTCGTCCGTATCTGACAAGTGCCCCGTACCCCACCCCTCCGAGCGCAGCATTCTTAGAAACGGTCATGTCTGACGCACGCGCTCAGCCATAGGAAGAGGGAAAACAGCCCCTAGACGGACCAGTCATACGAACAGCTCAATTGGAAACCTCCAGGCCCCGTTCGCCGGTATTGATGAAATATCATGAAACAAGCGTGAAGGCCGCAACCCCAATAAGCTACACATTCTTGAGTTCTGGCTCCTCCCAGTTTATAGATTGGCGGTGTGCTCTGGGAAATTCGGGTGTAAAACCCACATATGCCCCTCCCTCGCCCCACGCGAACATGAACCCTACCTCCAGGACGTTCTTCAGCTCTGGGACCCCTTTCACCACGAAGGCGTTTAGCCCCTTCACATAGACGCCCGAGTCCTTGTGCTCTTTGAGCTCCAGCTTGTTCTTGGGGTCCTTGGACAACAAGTCCCGCACCTCCTCGTTGTAAATTTCCAGGTAGGAAGCGCGCACCATCCACTGCCGCTCAGCAGCGCTCGAGTTTACGATCTCAAAGATGTGGTCAAAGCAGTTCGGGATGATGCCCTGCAACTCGGGCGTGGGCGCCCCTTCCATGGTATGCGTCTTGCCCGTGCCAGTTTGGCCGTAGGCGAAGATGGTGCCGTTGTAGCCATCTGCCACGCTGTTGACGATAGGTCGTGCAACGACATCATAGACCTCCTTCTGGGTTACGTTCCAATCGAACGCATTGTCGAAGGTAAACGTCTTTGGGGGTTCGTCGCCCTTTGGGTTGTGAAGAGTAACCTGCCCAATCTTGTTGTCAACCTCCACGATGACATCTCTGTTGTCACCTTTCTCCTTGCTATTAAGAGGCCGGCAACGCACTGCGACCTTCACGGTCTCCGCCATTTCCTAAAGATCTCTAGAAAAGAGGTAAAAGTGGAAATTACTATATCTGTTGACTGCGTTCTGCGCACCAGAGTAAGGACACTAAAGACATGCGGTCATTTACAATGTGCGTATGACACTTGCAATCTAGCCAGCACGTTATTTACTTATAAGGACATATATAGGATCACAGAAGGTAACAGACGTGTGCTTGGAGACTTGGGATATGGAGGTGCATGGAAAAGTCGCTCCGAATTCCGCCGGTCCATGCCAAAGCCATGCAACCTTATATGTACCGCACCAAGCTATAAGTCTTGCTGCTAGGTATTTCCTGTTAAATATTTGCTATTTTTTGGAGTGCCTACATGCCTATATGTGAGCTCTAGAAGCGCTCTCTTGTCCGCTTGAGCATACTTGGCCTACAAGCGCAAAAGGGTTTTTGCTTCGTTGCAAGGCAGAAGTACTCTTAGCACAGCAACCAAGCTTCACATCTCTTACCCTCCTACCTATGCAAGGCACTTGACGGACTCATCCTTCCAAACAGAAACCTCGACAGATACCAGTGTTTCCCTCCGCATGCATGCAGTCTACCGAATGAGATATCCACAAATGCCCACCGTGCCTAGGTGCCCCTTCAAGCTGTCGAAAGAGGCATCTAGCTGTCCTCCGGGGCCCCAACCTGAAACCGACTGAGGTACTCTTTACACGCTGCAACCACAGAACAACTTGGCAGCCCTTATTGGCAACGCGTGCAGCTGGGTATTGTGGTATGGCAGAGAATTACCATATGGGTGCGGTATGCCGTCGACGCGGGCTACCCTAACCGCTCGTATCTGTCGACCAGAGCACCCTGAGACGCCATGCACGTAGTATGCCGTTCACAGGTATGCTGGTTACAACCACAGCGTCCACCTGACGCCCTGTGTGAACCCCGACAGCACCAACCTCCATAAAAACCGGCTTCAGATATGTCATTCGAGCCAAGATTTGTGTGTAGAATGAATTTAGTATCGCAACGCTTCGGGGCACCTTATCAGAAGCGTCAATTCCATCTATGACCATGCAGTCAGCCACAGCAACAAGGAAACCGCCTCATCCAAGCCAGACCGTGTTACCGTCGTACCACGGCACCAAGCACCGGCTGCAACTGCTCCTGCCCCAAGCCCCCCGCCGACCCCGCTTGTCCCTCCTCTAACGGCTGCTCCGTGTACCGAAGCCGCGGCCTATGCGAGCTCACCCCTACGACAACGACGCCCTGCAACGCCCCATTTCCATTGCCACCGCCTAACCCTACGCTAGCGCTCAAGCTCTTCTCCTGTGGATCCCCTTCCACGTACCGCCCCGACTGTTGTGAGGGAGCATCGGTCCTTGGAAGCGAGATTCCTTCGCACCCGGGCGCCTTGCCCTCGCTGCCCATCCGCGCGCCGTTGCAGGCGCTGGAAGGTGCTTCACTGCCACCACCTCCTCCACCGCCGGCGCTGCCCGCACCGACTCCGCCAGCTCCCCTCCCGTTAGTGCCATGTCTAAGATGTGCAAGGTGCATGGGACGCGCATGCGCACCCGAGTCGACCTGTGCGCCCCTCGGCTGCCCCCTGCACTGGGACCAAGTTGGGTCAGCCGCCTCCGCGCCACTCCGGCGGTTGCGGCTACCAGCGGAGGCCGCCACCGCCGCATTCACCTCCCCGCATTCCGCGCCACCTCGTTGGTCAGGGCAAGGGGATTGCGAGTCGGGGCGCTGAGAGCAAGGCTTGAGCCGGGTTTCCCTTGCTTGCCGTACGGTAGCCACGGCAGGGACCCCCTTCCCGCAGCTATCAGCTGTGCCCAGGTGCCTCCTGCTCAGCTGTGTGCCTGGCCGACTGCCTTGGGACAGCAACAGGCTTCGAAGCACATGGCGTGGGCGCCCCGGGGCCCGTGCTGCAGCCGCCTCCGGCCCACTTGACAGCCCCGCCGCTCCACAGCCGGCCTGCCCGCCAGGCAGCACGCTAGCTGGGCCACCGCCAGCAACAGAGCCCTGCTGCGGCCCAGCAGGAATACTGCCTGCCGGCGGCCCCAACGACGGGCCCCGAGCCAGCTGGTCTTGGCGCTGGGGTGCAGCTGCAGCTGCGCCTGTGGGCCGCGGACGCTTCCCGTGCGCCAAAAGCGGTCGTACAGCGTTCTTCAGTACGTTACTTTGGCGCTGGCTCGCCCTACTGTGGCTGCCCTCCTGGACTCCCGCCGAAGCTGGTGGCCCCACTGCGTTCGCGGTTGGTCGCAAGGAAGCAGGTGCGCGCCGTCGAGCCACAGCTGCCGACGCCGTGCCTACCTCTGCCGTCACGTGCCCTGCTGGTCTTCTGGCAGGTGACGCAGCAGGAGGCCCTCTTCTTCTCGCTCGCATTCTTCTATACTCCGCCTGTATCTGCAGCCACGACTGCTGCCTGCCCGACGTGGACGCGCCCAGCTGCTGTTCGCGGTTCACACCTGCCCTTACACCTGCATCCTGCCCTGAACTCTCACCACTCCCGCAATTAGGCTCTCTGTTGCTACTGCTGCTGCTGCTGCTGCTGGCTGTACTAGTGCTATTGTCGCTCCTGTTGTTACATGTTTCGGCGCCATCAGGCTGGCCGCTGCCCCGCTCCAAAGCCTCTTCTGCTCCTTGCATCACCCGCGCACTGCTGCCATCTGCGCCTGTGGGGTGGCGCGCTTGCGGACAGAGGCTCGCATGCGGAATGCTGCTAAGTCCACCAAGACCCCCTGAAGGGCCGCATGATGCCCCTGCCTGAATCGGCAGCGAGGAGGTCAGCTGCGGGTGCTGGTACTGCGGGTGCTGGTACTGCGGGTGCTGGTACTGCGGGTGCTGGTACTGCGGCCCTTGCTGAGGATGCTGCTGCTGCCACAGCTGCTGCTGCTGCTGCTGCAACAGCTGTTGCGGTGGCTGCCTCAGGTACTGCGGCTGCTGGGCCGGTCCTAGAGCTCCGGGCGGCGGCGGCGGCACCGGCAACATGCCCATGTGCGGCACCGGCTGCTGCCCCCCGGGACCAGGCACCACACCGCCCGGCAGGCCCCACCTGGCCGCATGCCGCTCCTGCAGCCGCATCGCCAGGTAGCGCCTCCGCCGCTCCAACCACACCTGGAACTCCGGCCATGCAGGCCCCAACGCCGCCGCAAGCCCGTCCTGCCCAGCTCCCGGCTTGCCGGACCCCCCTGCCGCGAGCAGCTTCTCCAGGGCCACGCTGCCCGCCCGCTGCCGCTGCGTCAGGAACACCAGCGCGCTGAGGCTGCTGCGGCGGTTCAGAAGCAGCTGCGCCACTCCGGGCGGCCGAAGCTGCTGAAACTGCTCGCACCAAACAGGCGACGCGGCAAGGCAGCGCCGCAACGCGGAACAGCGCTGGTGTAGCCCCGGCGGCGGCAGGAGCAGCAGGTGCGGGGCATGACACACCATGGCGTACACGAAGCCCTCGCGCTTCCGCAGCATGCCCTGCAGCCCTTCGAACACCGCACGCGCCGCGTCCAAGTTGCAGCGCAGCAGCGCGGGCGTCTTCACCACCAGCGTCACCACATGCCGCTTCTCCTTGTTCATTATGCACATAAGGCCCTTCACCTTGGTATTCATCACCTTGCCGGACATGGACACCAGGTCAGGCCGCGCTTGCAGCATGGCGGCAATGGTGCACCGCGGCCGCTGCAGTACAAAGCCCAGGGCTGTCATGCGCTGCCGTACGGACGAGGGCGTGTCAGACAGGTACTCGGGACCACGTGCCATGATGTGCAGCACATCGAGCGGTGTGCACCGCAACAGCACGCTGTACGCTTGCACACGCCGCTGCACGACTGCTGTGCTGCGGTGCAGGATGGATGGGATCGTGAGCGCGGTGCGGTGCACGGCTGCTGGGGGTACCTGCAGCGCTGCCGCCAGTTCCAGCACCTTTGCGCGCATCGCCTCTAACGGGGTGAGCAGCATGTAGGCGGGCTGCTTGGTGGTCATGAAGGTCGCCTGCTTGGGGGTGACTCCAAGCGCGGAGCAGATGCCCCGCAGCCGCTGCGCCACGTGCTGAGGCTCCATCTGTCGTACAGCTGCGGGGCTGCGCTGCAGCAGCTCCTCCACCCGCGTGATGGGCAGCCGCAGGAGGTGCGACAGCGCAGCCAGCTTGGCGGGTGTTACCCGACCTAGAGACGGCGGGACAGACACGGGGTGGATGGGAAGGATGGCTTCGGGGTGGGTAGGTTCAGCAGTACTCAGGCACGGGGTGTACCTTGTGCGGAGAGGCCACAAAGTTTCAGGATTGTGGCTATCATCAGCGATATGTTTATTGAAGGAGGAGGATTAATCAGGTTGGAGGGACGGTGTGCCTGTGTATGCCGCTCTCGGTGAAGGGGTCTGGCCAGTGTGCTCAGCCGCATGTGGGTTGCTGAACCCCAGCGTGCAACATGTCCAACGCTCCATGCGGTGCAGGCATAAGGTGTTTCATAGTCATTGGCACCATGCTAGCTAGCGACAGAAGCGCCGCTTACCTGCATGGGGTTTCTCAGGTCCTGCTGCTTGCACAATCCGCTCGGGTGGCCGAGCCAACCCGCTTCCGCACGCCAACTGCCGAACCGCCTCATTCGGTAGTACCGGTGGTGGAGAAAGCGCTTTACAGACCAATGCGCAGTTGACTTGCGTTCGTCCTGCAGCGATACCGAGCGACGGGCCATGCACATGAGCTCAGGGTCCAGGGCGGCCGACAAATAAGGATTTAGAGATCAATGTCGCTAATGTGAAAGCAACAAGTCCTTGCGGCTATTCGCTTTGCATACCGAGCGGCTTAGACGTTGTTGTTAAAGGCGATGTCGTCCGCCCCAGGCTGTGAAACATTGCCTCCAATGCAAGCTCACTGCCGCTACCATATATAACGAATTGCTGTGCACATCGTTCATTGGGTCTGCCTACAACGCCATTCCTAGAAGAGAGCGCTGGACCGGGAGGTAGAATGAGCCTCGGTAAAAGCACAAGCTTCCAGCGCCAGAGCAAAGGTGCGCAATTGTAACACGTTGAAGCTATCTCTGATTAGCGTAAGCGTGCTAGACCCCACCCCAGATCTTCTTCGCCGTACAGCACTGATTAACGGCTTAATACCCGAGCATAGCTCCAAACCATTTCCTGTAAGAGTGGACACACATACAAGCTTGTATCACTAAAGCTTTTTTGCGTTTGGACAAGGATACAGTACATGTAGAATGCGAAGGTTACAAGGGGGACCCGAGCTCCTGAAAGCACATGTAGGACCTACTCCTTATCGTACGGACCCTACCGTTACAGAGCATTACAGCCAGGATACTCTGAGGAGGGGGGTGCCACAGCACAGTGGAGACGGGGCCCCAGCAGGCGGCAAGGCGGATGCAGAATAGCTTTTGCCGTCATTCCATATAGTCGCATCCCGTACAGCGCAGGAGGGTACACAGCCCGTAGAAGCGCAATGTTGAGGGGACATTCTGAGCTCAGTGGCTGCACGTGGTTTTTAGCCATGACGAGCAATCTAAATGTCACGCAGGATTGAGTGCCGGGAAACGTTTAGGCTGAAGTTGCACCATAGCGTTGGTGCATGGCTGGCCCTGTAGCGAAGTAACGTTACCGTTCCACATTGTGTGAGGCTGGTATGGCGAAAGGATGGGATAACGTTTGCTGGACCGGTGACTGTAGCCGCCCCGTGGGTCATGGCATGGCCGGTTTGCAACATGTGTCGGTTAAGCATCCCGTGCAACTTCTTCATAGCAGTTACAAAGGTTCCAGCTAAGGCAACACCGATCTCCACAAAACCTGCATAATACACGCCGTCAGCCATCCATGCGCAATCAACAATGGACTCTTTACTGTCATACAAATGGAAGGCCCCCAAACACCGTTATGATAGTAAGCGCTGGCAGAAAGACAAATGTACCGAACTAACGCGCCAGGCAGGTGTGTTGGATCACAAACACCAAAAGCCAAGGCTAACCTCAACATGCTGAAAACGAAAACGCAGAGACGCATGCACCTACGACGCCTGCAACGAGCCTCTAGGACGTCTGCCGCAGCTTAATCATGCGCTTGACTGCGCTGAGCCAGAAGCCGCACTCGTCCCAGTCGGTGGTGGTCATTTGGACCTGGATGTGGTTGGCGGTGTGCCAGTCGCCGGCGTCGATGGCAGCGCAGAGCTGCTGCAGCTTGGGCACCACACCCGCGCTGACCTCCCCGCTGTTCAGCTTCCAGAACAGCTGGCCGAGCTTCTTGGTGTTGTCGTCCATCTCCCGCTTCTTGGCTGTGGGATACGGGCAAGCAAGCAGGTGTCAAGTATGGTGAGTCGCATGGAGTCATTCAGGAGTTAATGCATTGAAGGGCCACATCTGTGCAGTGAATTGAACTGGGACAACCATGATGCCCGGCCCCGACAAACCGCCCTCACCTGGGTTGTTTGCTAGCGGCAAACACGTGTTGTAAAGGTTCTTGAGCGATGCGACCACGGATTGGAGCTCCGCGGGCACTGCGCTCGTGTCCGCCGTGGCGACAGAGATGTTGGCCGGCGGGCCCGGTGGCGGCGCCGGCGCAGCAGGCTTTTGAGTCACGGGTGCCGCCATCATTCCGCCAGACGGCACACTCTGGACTGCCGATGGCGGCGGCGCGCCGCCATAACTGCCGCTACCGATGCTGGGCACCGGTGCGGCACCGCTGCTGCTTGGCACAAAGAAGCTTGGCTGGGGCGCCGCTGCAGCCGCCGTGTTCGTTGGGGCCACGGGTTGTTGCGCAGGCGCGGGAACGAACGGCGTGGGTGCAGCTGCAGCTGGGTACGCCGGCTGCGGCTGCGCTGCCGGGGCCTGAGGCGGCGGCAGCGGTTGCGCCTGCGGTTGCGGGACAACCGGTGGAGCAACGGAGGTGGGTGTAAACGCTGTGGGCGCCGGAGCGACCGGCTGGGCAGCCCGAGGTTGCTGGTATGCTGACGCCGCTGTAGCCGTGCTGTAAACAGGAGCTTGTGGTGCCTGCTGCGGCGCAGCCGAAGGCTGGTAGGCAGCTTGCGGCTGCTGGTACTGGTACTGGCCGTATTGTGGCTGAACCGCTGGCTGAGCGGCATACGCAGACTGCTGGCCATATTGAGCCGTCGGCGTCGCCGCCTGGGGCGCAGGAGCCGCAGCGTACTGCCCAGCGGCCGCTGAACCATACTGAGCAGCTTGAACCTGGCCGTACGCGCTAGCGTTGTATGCTGCCTGCTGCGGCTGTGCGCTATACTGCGCACTGTACGCGGACTGCTGCGGCTGCGCCTGCTGTTGCGGCTGCTGGGCCTGCTGCCCGTACATGTTGTACTGGTTCGCCGCGGCGGCAGCGGGGGCGTAGCCGGCCCCATACTGGCCGTAGGCGCTGCCGGCAGCGGTGGCCTACAGTGGGTACAGACACTTGTTAGAGTCCAAGGCCATAGGATAGTGGCGAGCCTGGTCAGCCAGCCAGTCGAAGATCTCAGTACGCGAAGGTGCAAAGCATTAAACCAGGCAAACGTAAAGATTGGACCAGCAAGCGACGCACACCACCTACGTCGTACGATGCCGTAGTCGCTTTCTCGGCAGCTGGCTGCGCAGCGGGTACCAGCTCTTCGCGCACAAACGGGAATGGCGGAGGGTGGACGCCAGCGGGAAGCTGAGCCACGCCGCTGCGGTAGATGCGGTCCTTGAGCACAGCTACGGTGGTGGAAGCCTGGGATGGAAGGAGAGACGCACCAGGGCTCAACGGACATACGAAGAGTACCGATAGGTTTCCTCGCAAGACGTGGCTCATCGGGAATGCGTTCAAATGGCCAATCCAGCAACAACTCAATGCTACCATCGCGGAAAACATCTGCTCTGAATCCGCGCACTACGATACACAAACCTGCCTAGTAGTGCTGACTGCAGCACCGCAACCCATGGGAGACACCCCCGCTCACCTCCCCGGGCACATGCTCCAGGTAGTCGAGGGCGGTGGCCATGCGGCCGTTGGACGCCAGCAGCGAGGCGTACGCGGTGACCAGCTCGGACAGGCTCTGGGAGGCCTTGTTGACGCCGTCCGGAGAGGAGGAGGTGGTTGACACGCCCGGCGCCATGCCCATAACAACCGCTTTCTCGATCACGTTCTGCAGGTACAGCAGGGAGGTCATTGCGGATTATTTGCCGAGCTGAGGGGAAGAGCGGCATCTGCGGCGGTGCCAAAGCTATTGCTGCTTTGCGTTGCAGCACTGTTACGGCATGACAGCGAGCTGAGGTTTCAGCAGGTATAGCCCACGCAGCCCGAGAGCCCCACCTGCAGCACCTCCACGCCAGAGGAGCTCGCGCAGTTGCGCGCCCAGTACGACACCGCTTGGTCCGTGTGGCCTCCGCACACCCAGCACAGCGAGGCCTCGTGGTGCATGCCGGCCTGCATCAGGGAAGGCAGCAACAGCAATCGGGGTTACAAGAGCAGACTCCAGTACAGGATAGGCTTGACGGCAAGGTTTGGCCCTGGTTACCCTTACGGCAAACGATTAGCAATTCCGCGACAGGGATCCTACGCTTTCCGTGATCGCATCCTCACTCTACCTGTGCCAGGCGGTTGGCAAGCGCGTCGGCCAGGCCACGGAACTTGTCACGGTCCGTGTAGGTGACCAGCATGGCCAGCGTCTCACGCCACTGGGCCACTGGGCGAGTGCGTATGAGCGCGCTGTAGTCGCCCTCCAAGTTGGCGCGAATGATCGCCTGCAATCAGGGCGCACCATGTTACCATGCGCTGTGCGGGGCCAACAAGCTGCAAGTGCACCAATTCTCCCGTATACGTAGCCCATGCTAACCGCCCTCTAAGTCAATGCAGCCACTGTGCATGCCACCGAGTGGGACGCAAACGGACCGGTATTTTGAAATCATACTGAAACCTAGCATGGCATGCACCATACCTGGTAGGGGTGCGGGCACCTCTGCATGTACGTGTGCATGGTGCGCTGGTACAGCTCCCGCCCTGCCGTGTTGGCGATCAGCAGCGCGTCCGCGTACCGGTGCACTGCCAGGCAGTGGTCCACCGCGGTGGCGTAGCAGCCCACGGTGAGCGCCTTCACGATCTCCGCCTCTAGCTCGCCGCCGGGAACGTGGCCAGGAGCATGGCCGTGACCGTCGCCCGTTGCCTTGGCTACAGACCAGGTAAGGCAGCATCTCTTAGGACTACAACCACGTACCCGAGCCGTCAAAACCGACCAGTCTAAGCCGCTCACCTGCCTCCTTAGCCATGGCGTCAATGGCACCCGCATTCAGCGGCTGCACCGCGCCCAGGTCGGGCAGCTCCTCCGGCACCGGGCCGCCCAGCACCACGTCCGAGTCCTCCAGCTTGTCGAAAAAGTCCGGGTCGTCCTGCGACAGCAGCTGGTGCGGGCTGGCGGCGGCCACCGCGCCACCCGCGCTTGCGCCCGGCACCTCCAGACGCGGCACACCTGCGGGCCGGGAGCAGAAACATTGTTGCGTTCGACGTGGGCAGAGAGATGGAGGCGGTTACTCGTATGACCCATATTATGACCCATATTGTGACCTCTCTTATGGCCCATATTTCGCTAAGCACAACAGGCAGCAGATACCATGCAATTCTTACGGCATGTGATCAACGTTGGCCGTTATGTAAAACACCCATCCGCCCTACCGTCGGCGTTTTGGAGGTTCATCTGCTCCAATGCCGCCGCCGCGCTGTCGACGCCGTTCTCCCCCGGCAAGCTGGTGGTGCTGTTCTCCCTCGCTGGCAAGTCCTTGAATCCCAGCGTCTGCAGCAGCACGCGCCGGGCGTCCTCGCCCTCAAACAACACCGACAAGAACGCCCACGTCTCCGCCTCCTGCTGCGCCTCAGGCGGCAGCTGGCCCTCCATGGACGTTAGGGCGGCCCTCTTCCCGCTGCAGTACTCGCGCAGCGTCTGCAGGTTGCCGCCCTGGATGGCCGCCTCGAAGCCCTCAGAGCGCGCCACCAGGTCCAGCTCTGTCACCACCTGCTTCACCGACAGCACCGCCGAGTCCTGCATGCGCACCGCGCCCGTGGCGGGGTCCGTGTGCTGCGAGCGGTTGTGCGTGAAGGACACCAACCGGCCGCCAAAGCCAAAAGTGGCTCCCACGGGCCGCCGCATCCATGCTGGGGCCTTGCCGAGCGGCGTAGCTTCCCCGACCACGGACTTGGTGACGGTGAAGTCCGCATTGACCGTCTCCGTGACCTTTGAGCCCGTGCAGGTCGCCAGGTTGCAGATTGCCATCTTACCGTCAAAAGAGGAGGTTGCGAAGATGCCCGGAATCGTCGGGCTCCACTGTGGTGGATGGCAGTTAGCAGTTCGCAAGCTGGCGTTAGCGTAAGGAATAGGAGGTGGGCGTCATGCGGCATGCCGTTACCGGCCTTCCGCCCGAACCCAAGACGTTGCAAATGGAACCTTAGACCCACTCGTGTTTCCCCGCCCACCGACCAGCCCAAACACACGTGCCTCACCTGCACGTCAAAGTTCCAGTGGGAGCCGGTGAGCTCGCAGACAATGTCGCCGCTGTGAACGTCCCAGCAGATGGTCCGGTTGTCCTTTCCGCTGCTTAGCAGCAGAGACGAGTCATGGGGCGACCAAGCCATGCCAAGCACACCCTGGGGAAGAGGAAACACAACGGCGCATGGAGGCGATGCAGGACGGCCCCGGAGCAAGGGGAAACCAAAAGGGCATTCCGACGACAGAACGCTGGAGCAAAGGGGCTCGGTAACCACAGGATCCAGTCTCCCAGTGCCGCCGTACCTTGTGGTGCCCAACAAACTCTTTCAGCGGCGACACGCTGTTCCTCAGATCCCACATCTGCAGCGTGGGCGAACGATCATCGTCCGACGCAACAATGAGCTGCGTGGCGATGTCCGGGTTCCACTGGATGGCCGAGGCACGGCGTTGGCTGCGATTGGGAGGGAATGGAAAACCTGTAAGACCCGAATTAGGACCTCAGGGTTTATGGGTATGCCGTACACTTTGGCGTGTTCTATGTAAGGCGCCCCTGGCAACCGCTACCAGGTTACCAAGCGGAGGCCCGCACGCGCTCACAAGACGCCCTGCTTTGCACCCGCACTTAGCCTTTCTTGCCCACCTGTTGGGATCCCTGAAGCTGATCACCGGCTTTTGACGCTTCAGGTCCCACACCACCGTGGTGCCGTTGGTGCTGCAGGATGCGAGAATGTGCTGCACCTTTTTGTTCCATGCCAAATACGTGATTTCGCCGCCGACCGCTGAGCCCGGGGCTCCCGCTCCTCCCTGTCGCGCAAAACCAAGAAAGGCATAGGTCACTTGGTGTGGGCAAGAGCAGGGACTTCAGCGACAAGGAGAAACAGGGCTTCCTGCACTATCTTAGAGTTCCAGACCTCGTCACCTTAAGGGCCGGATACAACGATGGTGTTGACGGCTTTGCCAGGTCCCAAATGCACAGGTCGCTGTCGGCAGCACCGGACGCCAGTAGATTGGGACTGAAACCGTTAAACTCAAGCCCCTTAACTGCGCCAGTGTGTTTCTGCATTTTGGCTAGGAGCGGCGCCCTGTGCTGCTCCTTCGCCGTGGGATCGATGAGGGCGGTTGGGTCCCATAGGCAGACAGAGCCATCGGCCAGGCCACCCGCCAAGAGGCCCAGCTGTATAAAGAGAACATTGGAAGTGTTTAGGAGACGCTCTGAAGGGCGTTGCTTCTATCAGAAGGGACAGCATGGCACACCTGCGGGAACGACTGATCCGACAAGTGTTGGCCCCAGGCAAGCCTGTTGAACCGCTCCGGCGCTGCAACACTGCCACATGACACCAGGTATTCGCTGCTGCTTGCAAAGTCTAGCGGGAATATCTGCAGAAGTGAGTTGCAGACCAGCGATCAAGAGTGAACTGGAGAGAACACTTATGATGTTCCAAAACGCAGTGTGTCCCCTACGCTAGGATTGCTAGAGCTGGTGCGCAGAACTGTCACACCTCAAGGACTGAGGAAGTGGAGAAGCTAATGTCAATCGCGCCTGCAACCGTCCCTGCCGCAAGGAACGGGGCATGGGGGCAGAAAGCCCCTGTGGCAGACCGGTCTATTTGCCTGAGGTAAGGCATTTTCACTGCTACTGTGCTCCGTTGGAGACAGCTGGAAAGCAGACTGTCTTTATGCACTCGGCATGACTTCTAACTATCAAGCCAGTATTATTGCGTATGATAGACGTTTGATCGCTGAACGAGAAGAAAGGATACTGAAACGGACAGTCGTACATGGCTGTGCTTACTCTGAGACTGTACGCCGAAACTGCGAAGGGATGCGACTATTGGTGTTTGATCAACAACACGATATAAGTACAAGCTTGTCAGCCAAAAATGTCTCAGCTGGCGCGAAGTACGCTTTGACGTCCCTCAGACGCAACACTACCCACGGGTGCCGCTGTCGTTTTACCCCTCGGCACGCAAGGCTGTAAAACTTGCCGAATGCAACCGTATTTACTTAGAGAGCTTTTACCTGACCATTTCTCACAGGGTATGCTGCTGCCCATGTGCAAGTTAGCATTGCAGCAGCTGCCAATTGGAAGGAGGCCACCTTTCCCCGTAACGCTTGCTGTGCCTTGCCTGGCTTACGTCCCTAAACCAGGTCACGACTGCGCACGTATGCACAGTATGCACTACTGCACTCGCATGCACGGACGCCGGGAAACGCATGTACAGATTTTCTGACAGCAACGGCTGGGTATGAGGCCCCCTAATGCACCTCTTTCTGTACATAGCTGCCTCCGTTGAGACATCTATTGTGCCCCGTTAGATATGGTCTTACATCTACGCCGTTTTCGGGGCATGTACGGCAGTGGCATTGAGTCATCAGTTCTGCAAGTCATTGCGTTTGCTGAGCCTGGCCCGCCGCCGCTTCCTTTATGGGAAGGCTGCTCTGGTTGTGTTAGGATGGGCAAGCCAATATCTTTCAGGACAGCATGCGCTATAGACTGTAAGGTAAATGGCGCTACATCTATTCCCACGCTGGAGCGGCTAGGCGGACCGGCACTTCCAATAGCCTCAAGCCGAGTGTGGCAGTTGTATGGACCAAGTCCTCTGGTTCAACTAGTGCATGGTCTGTCCGGAGGTGCAGAAGCTCAATCATTCCGGTTACAAGTTCGGGTCTCGGCTACCGCCGTACAGTGCATAGGAGTGGTACTAATCAGCAGTCCAATGAATAACCCCAGGGATATCAAGATGAGGTACAATACCGGTCGCAGAGGATCTCCGAGCGGATAGATAATAGGCTGAGCAATGCACAGGTGCTGGTAAGCAGAACATTGATGCACTAATAACAGAAGATATACAAGAGGGCACAGCCCATGTGACAAACTCGTGCGTAAAACCAGGCATGGCATTGTTCTTTATGCGTGAAAAAACCAACGAAGGATAAATAAGGAAACCCTGGGCACATTTGCGAGACTGACGACAGTCCCAGCTAACGCAATGGCATTCCACCCACCATCGTCCCCCGCCATTTCAGGCAATGCATACCCAAGCACAGACATTAGAGTGCCGTAGGGCAGCTGGGGGTTTAACAAAAAGGCCCTACACACAAAAGCACCAACCATAGCCGCCATGACATGGCATCCCCGGCATCAATAAATATACGTTGGCAAAAGGGGCCTCCAACTACACTGAGATGCTGAAACGGTCCAATCAAAACTCTTCCAACCCCACACAATCACGGTCCTAAGATGAGGTCCATGCTATCATTTCTCCAACACAGACGACAACAGGTTGCAAGACATTGCATGTAATTCACCCGTAATGATTGTAGTACAATGTGTAGAATAGCGCCTCGTCAGTTAGGGTTTGTTGGCCCCGGCGTTCGCTTTGCCATCTCGAAGGTCGTTGAGCGTGAGCACAGGGAAAAAGGAGGACATGGCTCGCTGCTGGGGTGCGCCCACAGGCAGCTTGGGCAGCGCCAGGAGTGGCAACAGTCCCAGAGGGTTGTGTCCGCCTAAAGGGCCCGCCAACGGCGCGGGCCGGACAACGCCGGTGCCGCCGCCCTCTCGTGCCACGTCTTGCATGGCGCCCGCGCCACTCCCTCTTGCAGGCGGCGGGTGTGCTGGTGTGGGCGCGTTGCCAGGGCGGTAAACCTCCACTTGTGCGGCTGTGAGCGCGCTTTCCAGCGCCGGCGGCAAGGGCACGTGCGCGAGAGCAGGCAGCTGCTGTGCCGGTGGCAAGGGAATTGGAGCGGTCATCAGGGGTAGCGTTGAAAGGGCCCCCAGTGCTACAGATGGCAGCAACGGCATGTTCTTGCCAGCAGCCATGGCCGCATTGCCCTTGGTGGGAGGCAGTTCAAGTCTTGGAGGTGCTAGAAGCGCGGACATGGGGAGCGCAGACTCTCCTCCGCCAGCAGCGCCGCTGTGCAGCCTGCCCGCATGGCCTGCGATGGAGAAATGTCAGGGACAGGTTATTCCATACAGTCTTGAGAAGGGTTTGGACGGACCATCAGCGCATAACAGGTCGCCAACAGTTGTGGCCAGCCCTGGTTCGAGCATTGGCTCTCGTGCAGCAGCAGCAAGCCCGAAACACGTTCCTTGCGCCCTTGCATGCTCCAAGCGTTGATAGGCAACTGCAATGTACGGCCCACAACTACAATGCCTACAGGTGGCCGGCAACGCAGCCCTCCACACTCACCGGCTGGCCGGGCGACCGAGAAGCCCAGTACGGTGCTAGCAGGTGCCGGTGCTTCTTCGCCCTGCCGGGTCTGAGCCGGCTGTACGGCGAAGCTGATGCCCGGCAGGCTCCCCACGTAGCCGAACCCTGTCTCTAGCGCACCCATACGCTGCTTCTTGCTAGGGCTGCAGAAATCAGGCAGCAGCCGGCCATGGGACGCCATCGGTGGGCGGCATGGGCTCACAGCCGCAAAGCCCGCCATGTGTGTTGTGCCTGCCGCAGTGGTTTCTGTCATGCCGGCATTCCAGTGCTGTAGGACTGCCTCGTCGGCGGAGGCACGACGCGAGCGTGTGCGGCCGGGGATGGAGATGCTTGGGGAGGTGAACGATGGGTGCGTTGTGCCTTGACCCTCGCTGTCGCCCATGGCTTCAACTGGAAGGGCAGCAATCATCGCAGGCATAGCAGAGTAGGTACAGTGCTTAACGAGGCCTACAACAGCACGCCCAAAGGCCAACCATACACGGGCCGTACCAAGAACAGGACTTACTGGCGTCGTGGGCTTGAAGCTGAGGCTGCGGAAATCCAACGGCTTGGCCCATGGGCCGCACAAACATGTCTCGCCGTGGCGTCACGTTGACCCCGCAAGTCCCTGCAGGCCATTGTAAGGACGAAGGCGACATGAGTTGCATGCTTAAAGTACTATTGAGCGTGTAGGTCTTAAAATTCCCTGCACAACACTAGCAAATTGACTACAGGCAAGAGATAGGCAGTGCAATGCGTCGCCTTGCCGCACCTTGAGCCCGCTGTGCGGCCTGCGTGTTATCTGGCGTGCCTTGGCCGTTGGTAGCAGGGTGCTGGGCGACGACGCCGAAACCGCCCTTGCAGTTCCGCCACTCCGACCACGACAGCGCCGGAACGTCAGACCAGTCATGGCTGAAACCCGGCGTAACTTGCGGCATGCCGGGCACGATGGGTGCTCTGAGGGCACTGGGGCCAGGGCTGGCGCCGGGAGTGCCGGTCGGCGTCTGAAGCAGACCTGGCATGGGCAGAGAAGAGGAACGTAAGACACCAACACACCATACAGGCCCGGCATACCGTACAGCTCAAACAGCGCAGGCGGCACCCTTCATGCTTTACACCAGGTCTTCGTGGAGCAGTGCGCATTGCCGTACCTGCTTGCAGCAGCGCCAGGAGGGAGCTGGTGGGCGGTGAGCCCACCTGCTGCCAGTCCGCCGGGTGCTCCCCGGCGCCTCCTACCTGCCCCTCGCTCAGCAGGTGCGCTGGGATGCCGAAGGAGGAGCAGGTGCTGCCGCTGGACAGCAGGTGCCCGTCCAGGCCGGGGACCGCCACCTGCGGGAAGGAAAGGGCGAGCAAGGGCCGAGCGTCGGAACAAGGTACCAGTCGATGGTAAAGGAGGAGAGGTGCTACATGGGCAGCTATGCTGCGCTATGGAGCTGCTACAGAGCCGTCACTAGCCCAATATGCCCCACCTGCAGCGGGTCTGGGCTGCCGACGTTGTCGAAAACGTGGTCAACGTGATTGCCGAGATCAACGCTGTGCAATGGCGCCACCGGTGAAGCCACACCGGCTGCGTGCGGAGGCGGTAGAAGGGCCAGGACGTGCGCCGCAACGTCCCCCTGGACGCCAGCGTCGTCCTGCTGCCGCGGCGCGGGCGGCAGTGCATGGGCGCCATCACCGTTGTCGCCGTGCTGCAGGGCCCCACATGACGTCACGAGATCTCTTGTGTCTTGGTTCTCGAGCGCCGCCGTAGGCCGGGAGGTCGCGGCTGTTGTGGTGGCAGCAGCATGGGCTGCAGCAGCTGCCTTGTGGTCCTCCTCCGTCTCGGTGGTGGTTGCAGCAGGCGACCGACGGCGGCGCTGCGATGCGGCTCCGCCCGGGTTGGTGCAGGTGAGCGGATAGCAACGGCCGCTGCGCGTTATCCGGGTCGACAGTGATAGCAGCGCATCGTCTGAAAGGGCGCAGCAATAGAAGTAGTTAGGCGCAGGTAAAGGTCAGCGTACATGACAGCGGGGCAGCTCCAATGTGCGGAAGCAGTACTGGGTTTTAAAGACAATGCAACTTTCCTCTTGCTAGGGTATTAAGTAACACCAAGTACGGTCGTTTATCCAAGCACGCCATTGCAGCCCACATGAGCCATAGCAGCCGCACCTGGCGTGTATGCGACACTGGCGCTGGCGCAGCCGCCATTGCTTGTGCTGCGTACTGGCGCGGCGTCCCCTCGGTCGCCGGTGCTCTCAGCGGTCACCAGGGGCGGCCTGTCCTCCTCGTCATCGTCGTCCAGGAGCCCGGACAGCATGGCGGCCTCCTCCTCCTCGATGATCTCGAACAAGTCCAGAGTGCCTCGTGGAGGAGACAGCAGCGCCACTGCCGCGACGGCAGCTGAGACGCAGGCGCCCTGCTGTGGGCACTCCGCGCTGGGCGAGTCGCTGGTGCTGGGTGGGAGTACGGCAGCGACGCGGGTGCAGGGCTTGCGGCGTGTGGACCTTGGGCGGGTGCGGAAGGCCAGGACCTGGGTGCCCAGCAGCAGGCGGCCTGCAAGTGGGGTAGGGGGTCAGTAAAGGCGGGCCGTGTACAGATAAGGCACATGCCTTACAACTGTAGCGTTACAATAAGCAAGTGCCCATGCTACTCCATTGGGCACCCTTGTGCACCTTTTGTCACCGCCGATACAGTTGGGGCGCCGCCGTTCCCTTGCTTCTGCGCTTGCGTGTCCTCCTTGTCTGGGCCGCTGCTTTCTGCGTCGGCTTGCAGGTGCTCTGCCGCGGCAACCTGCAGCAGCCGACATGAGTACCGCCGCTGCTGCACGGAAGCCTTCGCCTCCTCCTCCGCCAGATCTTCTTGGTCAGGATCTTCTGGGGTGACGGCAAGTGCGGGCATCCGGCACCGGCGCACTCGCTGAACGGTTGGGGGTTGCATGGTGCCCATGGGTGTGGGTGCGACCTCTGAGGCAGGCATGGCAGGCAGCTCGGTGGGAGCGCCTCTGCGGCTGACGGTGGAGGGGCAGCCTTGGGCGTTGCCTTGACGGACAGCTGTGGCGGCGGCGGCGGCGACGGCGCCTGGACCCTTGCGGTTCTTGCGGAAGTGTGGGGTCTCTGGTGCTGTTGACGGCGCCGCCTGTGGCAGGAGTGCAACGGAGTCGTTAATGCGTTTCCAGTAAAGGCATGAACATCCCCTGCTTGTAGAGCTATCCAACAGTACTGTAGCATGGGCGTCTTTGGTGGAATTAAACTTCCAATAGAGCGGTGTGTCCGCAGGGTGTTCACAGCTTGCCGCGCCTTACCTTGCTTTTGCTGCAGCCTGACAGAATACACCACCTCCCGCGGCATTGCTGGGGCGTGCGGTTTGTAATGCGCTTGGCGATGCAGGACCAGGACGGGCCATACTCGTCGTAGAGGGCCTGCAGCTCTGCGTCCTCTTCCGCCGTCCACGCATCCTACGGGCAACGACACCAGGTTAATATGGGCATTTCATCATCCACGGCGTAACGCTCTAATGGAGCTTCCCGAGCGCCCTCTCCGCTTTCCTGGACAGAAACGCACCTTACGGATGTTTGGATCAAGGTGCCGTCGCCATCGGCCCTAACAGGATTGCGAGGTACGACAGATAAGCAGTATTAGTACTTAAATTAGCACAAAGTTGGATGGTGGCAAGTGGAGGCGGATAACGAGTTAATCTTGGCAGCAAAGTGCTAGCTTAGTCTTTCGCACCATGCATTGCTGGTCTGTGCGACCTGGGAGATGTCGAGCCACCGAAGCCCACTTTCCGACGCCAAGCTCACTAACCAGCTTGACGAGGATACTGGAGAGGAATAAACAGTCTTGGTTAGGCCGGCGAAGAGAGAGGCGTGATAGCCGTTACGGGAAAAGAGGAATGGACATGTCGGGGACCTGACTAGACTTACCTATCCTCTTCGGGTGTCCACTTGTCTCTTACTATATTGGGGTTCACCTGCAAGTCAAAGGGCTTCGAGTAAGCAGTGGGCAAAGTTGATGTAGCCAAGGGCAAAAGCCATCTTCACCTTATGTCGCCATCGTTGCGCGCACTGCTGCCCATTACGCCCTGGGATGTGTTGGCTGACCAAAGACCATTTATTGCCATATACAGCCTGCGCAAAATGTCCGCAGTTCGTGCTGAAATGTTTATGCCCGCGTGCCGGTCAGCGCAGTCACTTGGGCGGGATTCCGCACCTGGAACTTCGTCAACAGCTGGTCTTCTTCCTCTGTCCATGCGCCGCTCTGCATACATTAAAGATAGCATGTCTGCATGAGCGCTGTCGTCGGTGCTACACTATAAGACGAGGAAAACGAACCTTGGACCCGGTCATAGTCGCTCGCTGTTTCTGCCGCCTAACAATCTTTCATAAATCATATGGGTTGCAAGCAATGAGCTATAATGGCAGACAGCGAGCGGGTGCAAATTTCGTCGTCAGTCACGTCTGAACGTTGTTTTGGTTACCTAAGTCTAGCAGTCAGGTCAAGTCAGTTTATTAGAAATGATATAACAGCTGTCAAAAGTTTCCAGTGAAAAAAAGCAGACTATGGGCGCCCGACTACTCTGAGCTTCAGCTGACACTTCGAATGTTTGAACGGCACCGTCGGGCATAATCGGGCATAAGCAAAAATATTCTTTGCTCAGCCTCCTCAACCAGCAATTCAATCACGTTTCACTTATGAAAGGTAAGGATTGGGAAAAGGTGCGTCCCTTCAGCTGCGTTGTAAGCATCCTCCGCCCAATGACCACTGCCACACTGCCATAAGGACGGGGCTGGACTTGCAATATTTTGCTTGTAAGGCATTGCAATGTTTGAGAGGATGATGATCTGATAGCGCTTTCCGCTTCTTCCTGGTTGGCTCTTTAGGACGTCGGTTCCATGGTGCCTCTCAAGAATGCCTATTGCCAAAGAACAAGGACATGGTGGAGAATAGTTTAAGAATATCTGGTTGAGTATTTAACTAACACGGTGTGGCATACAAAAGCCAGGATTTCAGCTTTTATGGGGCAACAGCCGCCAGCGTACGGCCATTGGCTTAAACTCAAGTTGAATACAATTCAAAGTACGTGCGATCCCTTTGCCTTGTGTGCCAATCAAGCTTAAAACCCCAGCGCATACTGCAGGTTTACGCGCATCGTTATGAGTATGTTTGGCCGCGCAGATCCCTGCCAGTCCATATAGATCTCGCCGCTTTGGCAATTGCACTACTCGAATATGCTTTGCATTGGCGTGTGAAATGATAATTTGGTCCACATTACGATTGATCGTTGTTCCTTTGGAGCTTCCCCACTCGGCTCATCATAGAAGCAGTATCTTGACCCCTTACCACGGTCTACGGCAACCTTTCGAAAGCTCGTGGTACGCTAATGCACGATGCCGAAGCTGCCGACGAGAACCTGGATTGCGCTCCAAAGCATAATTGGCCGTCGCCACGTGGGCTGGCAGGGGTTGTTGCCCTTGCCGCTACTTGGCTATGGTTGCACGGCAACGGGTTGCAGACGTAATAAGAGTTCGCATATCGGTTCGCATCAACCACTCCTTACCCTAGTCCCACCCCCCAACAATCACAGACTGCATACCCGAATGTTCCCACAGGTACGGTGTTTCGAAGTGACACTTGTGCAGGCCCTTCCCCTGCATCCGTTGCGTTCCCTACGCGTTTAATCGTCTCGGGATAGCTTAGCTAGAAGGGTGCTTTCCGCCTAGACCTCACCCCGAACCGGTCAGAGTCTACTGGACCTTGCGGTTAGACAGTACGCTCGACAGCAAGTGCGCATCCGTACGTTGCCACAGCCATAACTGCGGCGTCTTGGTTACCCCCATGCTTTGTTGGGCGCATGTCCTCTACTAAGGTACACTAGCGCGGAGTGTCTCAGCCGTTTGTGGAGCTCTTGTCTCCTCCAGATGGCAGTGTCGCTGGGTTTGTAGGCGGTGATGGTGGGGGAAACGCGCATGCCCAAGGAGCCCCTCATAAGACCCGGCCTAACAGCGAACCGCGACCCGTGGGACGGGCAAACTTGTTAGAGTGAAGGTAACAGAATGGACACGGTTCGAAATCTTGCACGGCGTCGCCATGCGTCTCCGTGCACATAACTGCACTGCGGCGTCTTGGGAATACATGTGATGAGCCAGAGCCTGGATGAGCCGTGAGGTTGTTGTGTCCGGGGAACTCAGTACCTATACCCTATTGGCTTGGGGGCTTCCTCACACTCGCTGGTGGAATCCAATAACGGCTGATGCCAATCATGGGTTCGCCGCGAAGGACTTCCCTATGGGCAAGTATACCTTAACCGCGCTGAAACAACCTTGGAAGCACGGTTTCACGTGCCATGAGGGAAAGCCGATGCCGCAGTGGCTAGACTTCGAGAGGTCCTATTCCACACCACTGGGGATAAACTGCACCTGTATCCGACCTCAAGTAAAACGCACAGCCTTGCACTTACACGACATGTTCGTTGGCTTCTGTTGCTTGCAAAGCAAGTATGCCGCGGACAGTTTGGATGCCAGAGCCGCCTGGCCTGGACTTGCGTTTACGTTAATCACACAGACCAATGCTGCCATCGTCACTGCCAAGCACCAAATTGATGTTGTACCTGTACTAGCATCAACGCACGCAGCTCATAAGCCGTATAAGCAGCGGAAGAAGCTGCAGGACTTTCTCTCTCTTTCGCTCTCCAGCTGCTTCATACCCGTCAGCCATCCTGACTAATCCTACCAACACCCATTCCCTACACGGCCCCATGCTTCTCCGATTTGCCCATCCTCTCACACGGCCCCCTGCATAAGCCCTGCCAAGCGCATAAGACCCCAGCATGTTTGCGCACAACAGAGCAGTAACGCACGGCAACCCCACCACTACATCCTGCTAAGCTCAGACCCCCTGCGCTAACTCCCAGCTCCAAGCATCGCTTACTACAGTCGCACCACAAACAAAAGCAGCCAGGGCGCAAACCCACCTAATCCATCACCCGCTCGCCCCCCAGCGCAACTACCATCAGGCACCGAGCTCCACTAATTCGAAGCTGCCGCACTAGCCACCGCCACGCCTGGCTGCCCAAACGCATGGCATAGCCCGCCCTACACGCAGGGCATGGGTCGCACCGCCATGAAGGCGTCCACCACGTCGTCCGTCACCTGCGCCCTCGCGCGCTGGTGGCGGGACACCATGTCCGTGAGCACCGTGATGAGCTCCTTCTTGATCTCGCCTGCAGGCGGGGGGGGGGGGGGGGGGGTAAGGAGGAAGAAACTAAACAGGGAGGGTTGGGGGGTAGGAGTGGCGAGGGTGTACGTGGGGCAGAGTGGGGAAAACAGTGCCTTAGAGGAGCAGTACCGGTACTAGGAAAGCCACCGTACCATGTTTCCAGGCTCGTAAAACTTGTCCTCTACGCCTTGCTCCTAACTCACCAAGTCAACAGCAACTCAACCTTCCGCGCTCCATGCTCATCCGACACCACGCGAACACGGCCCTTACATCAACTGTCATATGGCCATACACGAGAGACTCCCGTGCTGCCAGCGCCACCCTCCAAAACCAAATCCTTCCCCACTCCCCCAGCCAACACCTGACCGCTGCCCCCCCCGCCCCGCGGCACACGCACCCGTCAGCATGCGGCCTGCGCCGTACTCCTGCCCGATGTTCGCCAGCTTGGCGTCGTCCTCCATGAAGAAGTTGAGGTACTTCCAGGGCACGTCCACCGCCAGGTTGGCCCCCTTGGCGCGGTGCTCCTCCACGGTGGCGCCGCCGCCGCTGAAGGCGTACTTGTTGATCTGCGAGGTGGTGCGGGGGCGGCGACTTTGACTTCTATGGGCCATGCCTACAGCATTGCTATTGCATTACCGGTATACTTACGTAAGGTGTAACCAGCACGGCATGTTCCCGACTCCTGCTACGGGAAAGCCTGCATCTCGACGACCACCGTACGCCCACGACGTGGGCCCGTGGACCACAATGCCGCCCATGTATGCTATCCCGCCTAGTCTCTCCGTTAATTGCGCTTTCCAAAGCCTCCGAGCCTTCCTGACCCCTTTAACGTACCTTGTCCTTGATCTGCGCTGGTGTGTCGTTGACGAAGATGGCGGAGTTGGAGTCGCTGGCGGACATCTTGCCGCTCTCGCCCTGCAGCGCCGGGAAGAACTTGGACTCGATGAGCGCCGGCTTCAGGTGGCCGATGCGGGGAGCCACGTCGCGGGTCATGCGGAAGTAGGGGTCCTGCGGGCGGCAGCAGCAGCAGGAGGAGGAAAACAGCGGGCAGGGAGGGCCGTACTGGCAAGACGCGCTAGGAGGGTATGAGGGGAATGGAGGGCGGGTGGTGACCTAGGTAAGCGAACAAAAGGGAGAGCCCCTTGCGCAGCGCTACAGCATGGACAGCTGGTGGGTACAAGGTCAGGGTGTATGGCGTGTTGGCGTGTTGACCAACGCCAAGCGCCAAGCGCATGGGTCAGAGTGTATGTGTACATCGGGTGGGTCCAAGGATGGACCCATATACACGTCCAAGCGATAGAGGCTTGGGCCACAAGGTGGATAGACAGTCAGGCGCCCTGGACCGCTTGCCTGGTCGATGGCGCAGGGGATGAGGCAGCGGATGTCCTTGCGCTGCCCAAACATGTGTGGGAAGCAGTCGGGGAAGGAGGGAGCCGCCTGCACGGCTGGGAAGGCGATCTTGCCAATGTTGTCCTCGGGCGTGAAGCCGAAGATGCCGCGAACCTGGTTCATGGTCACGCATCTGGGGAGAGGAGGGCAGGGGGGCGGCCAGCCAGGGTGGCCAAGGGGTGTAAGAATCACCGCCGCCGGCGGGGGGGGCCAGCTGCCGGCTGGGGTGTGTGCTGCGGAGGCAGTCAGGACCGGCTTGCCGCAGATAGCAGCATGGGCTGCTTGGCGGCAGTTGGGGTCGGGGATCAGGGCCACAGGGAGAAAACATGTACAAACGTATCAGCAAGCACGCTGGTGGACCTCATACAATGTCCGTGGAGAGCCCTGCAGCTGGCTGCCACGTAAGGCGACGTGGGTCTCCCAGGGGCCACCACACCTTTGGATGCGGATGATGTTGCGGTAGAAGGCGCCGCCCACGTACTCGAAGTCGGAGAAGATGAAGGTTTTAGACACGTCGAAGCCGCATGCGATGATGTCCTTGGCGTTCTGTGCGAAAGTGGGTGGGGCGGTGCGTTGCGAGCACCATGCGGGCTCAAGGCCGGAGGCATTATGCAAGGGCAAGGGACTGGCATTCAACGGAGGTAGGCCATGGCGGTATCCTCAACGCGCGTTTGCAACCACCCACTGCGGCACTGCCCTGCATCGTCCCGGGTCATGATTTCCCACAGCTGGGCAGTGTCCTTTCGCTGTGGACGTGCAACACTGGGGCGCTGGACCCCGCTTGCAGCCGCAAGGTAGTGAGTGCGCCAGCGCAGCTTACGGCGCATACAAGCGTTAGGCAACGTAGAACCGGCCCCCGTTGCTGTCACGTGGCACCCAAGCAACAGCCTTTGGCACTTAACAGACCCCTTCCCTCCTTTTCTTCCCCTCCTTCCCTCCTCCCGGACCCCGCTCCCTCTCTCCACCACAACCCCTCGGACCATAAGATTGGGATTCCAGTGCTTCACTCCTTCTTAACTTCCCCCTGCCCCTCCGCCTCCCGCACCTCCCGCGCCAGCCTCCGCGCCTCATCAATGTCCAGTCCGCGCCACAGGCACTTCTCGTCGTCCGTGAGCTGGATGACCAGCGGCACGTTGAAGGCGTCCTGCAGGTACTTGGTGAACATGAAGGGGACCAGGTGGCCCAGGTGCAGCGCCTCGGAGGAGGGGCCCTGGGGGGAGGAGGGCCACAGGCAGGGCAGCAGCGGGGGCGGGGCCGAGAAGGAGGGGGCATGAGGGGGGAGAGAAGAGGGTGCTGAGAGGTAGCATAAGGGGAGTGGGGAGCGGCCATCAGGGATACCGGCGGGGCAGCAGGGCTTGACCGGCCGTTGTACATACATCACTTTTTACACTGGCGTTGATGTGGCATGGCAAGGCAAGGCGGCATGGAATGCCCGCCAAGGCGACGGTGGCTACTGGGCCAGTGCAATCCACCCGCTGTCGTCGCCCAGTCCTCACCCGACCCGTGTACAGGTAGAACGGGATGCCCTTCTCGTAGCAGTCCAGGATCTCTTGGAGGTCCCTGTGCGCGAAGAAGATGCCGCGCTTGAGGAAGGGGTGCGCTGGCCGCCCGGTGAGCCGCTCTACCCTGTGTGGACGGGGGCCAGGCCACACGTGTGAGCGCCGACAAGAGGACTGTAGCACACGCGCGCTATGGACTGAAAGAGGGGCGGGCAGCAGTCCGCTGCCCTCCCTAGCGCGCATGCAAGTCGGGCCAGCCTTCGTTATTCGTTGCACACTGTTGTGCATCGACGAGTGCGCAGGCGAAGAAGGGAGCGTATGCTGCGTTGTGTGTGTAGCAACCGTACGCGCATGGCTGTGTTGCCGTATAAGTGAGTGAGCCTTGCAGGATTGAGCATGCAAGAGAAACTCCCAACTCCCAAGCGAAAGGCAGCCTTCGGTGGTCCAGTGGCCACATGACAGCATTGCACGCTCCTTGCGTGTCCAGCCGATCGCTGAGTTCCCAGCAGGCCCGACCCACCTCTCGACTAGGTCCTCAGTTAGCTTCGAGCAGCCAAACTGGGGGTGGTAGGGTGAGGGTTCGGGTGATCGTTTACGGTGCACAGCGGTTGGAGGGAGCGTACCGGGTAACGGGGTGCGAACGTCATGCACAGTGTCTCTAGCCGGAGGGATGGAGCTGTACCTGCTCTAACAACTTGTTGTAGTCGATTCGTCCGTCCGCGCCTCCAGAGACGCTCCATGGATCGACAACCTGTAGGTACCAAATGCCATGCGGCGGCCGGCTGACAATCCAATCCTTGTTGCGTGTATTAGAACCAACTTTTATCACACCTGGTCTTGCTGTTCAACTTCTTTTGTTTCTACATCGCCGTTTGGTGACTGCTCTGCCATTTGGGAACTCTGGGCGACGCAGAAAGCAACTATAAATTGTTAGGTAGGTATAAATCTAATTGGGTATTTATATAGTGCGGGCCCCACCTGTTTTCTTGTGGGTCACAGGTCCATCATCGGCCCCCGGTTCATCGCTTCATCAAAGCTTGCATGTGGATGAACACACATAGAGGCATAGGAATGCCATTTCCTAACTAAATAGCTGCCCTTTATTATATACCATTACTTGGGGGCATGTTCTGCAGGAAAAGTCTTGCCTTCAATAACGTTTGACTCGGTCCGCTTTCCATGCCTTGACCCCAGTTCCCATCCAGCTAGCGGCCACGTTATAACATTCAGTTATTACTTCGCTTGGGGACAACTTTGACTCTGTAACCGGATTGTGGCTACGTCGAAGCAATGGCTTCACCTCCGCCTCCTGGTGGAGGAGCAGCAGCCCTATCTAACTCGTACCTGAAGATATGCAGCGATATAGGATGTCAGCCAATGCCAGAGCTCCTTGCGGCTTTGTAAGACCGTCCCGTCCGTTCAACGTTCGTTGGCTTGGCCACCTGTCGAAACCGTACTCCGCTGTCACCCACGCAGGACTTCTGGCCAGCGTTACTGCTTAATAAGCAGCCCGTCGGAGAGCCTTGCAGATAGCAGTGTCATTTCGCTCTGCGCGGTGTTGCCCATGGCGCCCTTCGAGCTATGCAGCTTTCACAACCTTAGCCTGGTGCGTATTTTGGGTCTCGTATACAGCTTCTGCCGGGATACTTAAAGCAGCCTGGCGGTAGACATGCGTACTGGATAGCTTAGTGCGATTTGGGTGGGCGGGGGCCGGTGGGGCCTAGGATACCTACTGTCGCGGCTCCCCGTGTTGTCTTTGATTGGCCAACGCATTCTCCCGTTAAGCTCGATACCCCCAAGCCCCACGATGCCCATCGTCGTAACCACCGCAATCCGCTCCTGTCAACTGTTCCTGACTGACTCCTTGTCAGATGTCGTAGACCAGCATACCCGCTATACTTACTCCGTCCCACGAATGGCCTCCATGTGACCGGCCGCTTTGCTCGCTGCCGTTGACTGCAGAGCTCCAACAGCTGGGCTGCCATTGCTGACGCATGCTCCAAAACGCGGCCGCTGCAGCGCGTTGTGTTCAAGGATTGCTCTTTCCGGGATGGTGAGGAGCAAGAGCGGGGTGCTGTTGGGGCATTACAAATTGAGCTCAATGCTCCAGCTAATTGGTCAACACGGCCCGCTTCCCAAGCTCGCATGTGGCGCATTCTGGGGACTGTCGCATAGATGCCAAACCGGGGCACAGGCATGAATGCATAAGCTAACTAGGCTAGGCCCGCAGGCGGACGGCTTGTCCGTTGGCTTATGTGCGAAATAATAAGGGTCACGGGCTATAGCAACAGGACGATTAGGCACCATAGTTCGCTAGGGTAAAAAAGCCCCTAGCGGCATCGCATGGTTTGGCACGCATGCGGGCCTATTGCCTCGAGTATCCTGTATCCTCCAATTCCTTGCGCGTGCCCCCCGCATTCCACCGCCTCGCAGGCCAGGGCATGCATATGTTCTCCCGCGCTCTTTCGGCTGCGGACTTGCAGAGCCTCGAAATTATTAACAGCCAGCTAGTAAGGATCACCGGGCGCCAGGGGACTATTGATAATAGGAGGGGTAAAGGGATGCTAGTCAAAGTTCACGTTTCCAGTGATAGCAATGAGGCGCCATAAGTCCCTCTGCCTACAGCGGTCGTCGTCTCTCCCATGTTAGCCGGCTTGTCTTTTCACCTTCTTCCTGATCCTCCTGCAGGGTGACGAGTTCGTGGCCGGACTGGTGGAGGGGTCGCTGCTAGCCAATGAGAAGTTCACCACCTTGCGTCTGGCGGGCTGCGGGCTGGGAGATGCCGGCTCCGTGCGACTGGCCAAGGCGATCGAGGGAGTCGGTAGGTGGCTTTTCCCTCCGACGGAGTTCAATCCGGGCTAGCCAGTAGAGTCCGAAAGAGTGATGTAAAGGGGGTTGGAACCCTTAAGCGCGGATCTTAGCTAACACCACCACCCGTCTCTCCCTCGCTTCGCTAGGCATGATGTGCTCGCTCCGTGTGCTGGACCTGTCCCACAACCGCATTGGCGACGCCGGCGCGTGCGCGCTGGCCTCCATGCTGGGCATCGAGTCGTCTGCGTCGTCGGTGCCGCTCAACACACTGGAGCTGGAGGGAAACCTGGTGAGGAAGGCTGAGCGCAAGCCTCAGCCGCATTGCTGAACATGAGGGCATGGCTGAGTATCCTGCCAAGATGCGTGTGCTTCCGTCTGCCTTGACTCGCCCCATTGCTAACCGCCCCCAACCGTGCCTCGCGTTCCCGGCCCAACAGCTGAGCGACGTGGGCGGATTGGCTCTGTGCCGCGCCGCCAAGGCGGCCCTCATGCTGCAGCGCCTGAACCTCTCCCTCAACCCCGGACTGGGCTCCGCCACCATGGTCTCCCTGGCAGAGGCAGTCCGCTTCAACACCGGGACGCTGCGAGAGGTGGCGCTGGCGGGCTGTCGCGCCAGCGAGGATGCGGCGGTGGCGCTGCTGCGGGCCGCGGCCCGGAGCTCCACGCTGCAGCTGCTGGACATCCGCGGAGTGCCCCTGTCGGCTGAGGTAAGCAGGCGTCCTGGGACGGAAGAAGGGAAGCGGAAACGCTTTGTTTGACCCTCAACTGTGAGATGTTAACATTCCCTGGTTCCTTCCACGCCTCAGGGTGTGGCCCACCTGTGCACACTTCTGCGCAACACCACCAGCCTCAACACCCTGCGTGTGGACGTGGCCTCCACGGAGGGTGCCGAGGCCATTGCGCGCGACCTGCCGTCCAACCGCAGCCTCATGCACATCACGCTGGGCGGCCCCGTGCCTGACGGGCTGCTGACGGCCATGTCAGAAATCCTGGCCAACAACACCGTGAGGCGCTTGAATAGCACCTCGGGATCCCCACAAGGTGAGACTAGAAGGCCTAGACAGAGTGTTATGAAGCGGACGTTTTCGGTTGTGTGAGAGTTTACAATTGTCATATGGTCTGCTTCCATCGCTCCCGCTCATGCTCGTACAGCGCTTCTTCCATTGCTTAACTCTCTTACTTGCCCTCCGCTTCTGTCCGCAGTCACCAACTCGCCCCTCATTCACGCCTGGATGGACGACTCCAACCATGGTACCTCAGTCGCTGGCGCCCGGCACAGCAACCTGCCCTTCCAGACACCCTCCTCCTACCCCAGCATCTACACGAGCCAGCAGCCCCAGTCGCAGCCGCCGTCGCATGTCGCCAACATACCGTCCATCAACGTCGCAGCGACACCGTCCCAGTCCCAGCAGCTTCGCAGCAGCCGGCCCCACTCACCCATTCCGCAGCATGCGGCGGAGCACACCCGCAGCCCTCGGTCCGAGGCGGGTGCGTCCGTGTACAGCCATGCCACCCACAGGACCAGCCGTACGCACCGCACCCACCGTACGAGCACATCGTACATTTCGTTCGGCGGCTTCACGGACATGACTCGTCGTACCATCATGGTAAGTACGGTGCAAGTGATAGCTAATGATCTAGGCTCTGTGTCTAAGGATTCCTTCCTGCTGATGTAAATACACATTCTGTTGTCGCCTTATGCTAACCACCGGCACGCTGACCCTCCTTGCTCAACAGTTGGGCAGCACGCGGCTGCGAGTGAGCGCTTCGCTGGCTGCTGGAGGCGCCGCCGAGAAGGCGGCCCTCATCTTCCGGAGCCACGACCAGGACGAGGACAACTACCTGAACAAGCAGGAGATGCTGGCAGCACTGGAGGAGATGGGCGTGCTCAACGGAATCAAGGCCAAGCATATTGGTGCGCCTGGGGGGCGTCGAGAGCCGGTTTCGTTCCCTTGCAGTGAAAGCAGCGTCCTCTAGCTCCGTACCCCACGTATTGCCAATGCCCTATCCACCCCAGCTGCCATCGTTTCTGCTGATGTGCTACCTCCCTCCAACATGCCACCCCAACCAGGCCGCTTCCTGGACGGAGAGTTCAAGAAGGCTGACTGGGTAAGTTCCTAGTCGCCATGTAATCCAAAGTTGCCCAATCTGTGTTCCAGTGTCAGGCTAACTGCTACCCTTTACCCGTGTACACGTTCCACAGGACAAGGACGGCCGCATCAGCCTCCAGGACTTCATTTCTTACTACGAGAAGATTGCGTACTACCAGGCGCAGATGGCGCGTGAGGGGCGCATCAAGTCCATGGCCAACCTCAACAAGCAGATGGTGCCGCAAGGTAGGTCAGACGCGTCCTAGGGTGCCCTCACAATGGGGGTACCCCCGCCCTCCGGATGAGAGGTTCAATGCCATGCAGTCTGTCCTCCATGCTGACGCTTTGCTGGCCACCTCCCACGTCGCGTCGCAGGCGTCGAGCACAACGCGCATCTGAAGAGCGTGTTCAAGAACTACGCCCGCCTGGCCATTGGCCAGGGCCGCGTGTACGCGGACGGGCAGCCGCAGATGAACAGTGCGCAGTTCCACCGGCTGTGCCAGGACGCAGGCTTCATGGAGCCCGATGGTGAGCCTTGAAAGCTATCCGACAACATGCCATGCAACAACGGTTGTCCCGTGCGTCCTCGTTTTCTGCGATTACTGGTACTGAACTCCTGCATGGCACCGGAAAGTCTAGCCCAATCCGCATGGGCATCCCTTAAGGAACTCTATGAAACCCTTGCCCCTCTTTCCCAGGCCGCCTGAGCACCACCGCCGTGGACGTCATCTTCACCCGCTACCGCGCCGCCAACAGCCGCCGCCTGGCCTTCAAGGACTTCATTGCTGCGCTGGCGGCCGCCGCGTACGAGATGGGCTTCCAGTTTGACGACATCCTGGAGGTGCTGGGAGCCAACCGCAGCCAGCAGCCGCTCACCCCGACAGAGTCCGGGGTGCGTGGGGGTTACGGTGCCCATGGGAGCGGTGATCATGGTTTCCATGCTTGGGGCTCTCACCTTGGCCTAAGCAGCAGACGATTGTACGGTGCACGCAGCCTGCATGAGAGCTATGTCTTCTTTTCAATGTCTCGTCTGACAGGCTGGCGTCCGTGCCCCCCAACCGCACCCGCAGCGTGACAACGTTAGCGATTCCGGCGGCGCCCACTACCTGCACCCCACGGGCCAACAGCAGCAGCAGAAGGACGCGCAGCTGTCGGCAGATCCCAGCATTGATGTGCTGGGAGTGCCCCTGGCGACGGTGCACGAGGGTTCGGAGGGAAAGAAGGCGACTGCGGTAAGCCGGGTTTGGTTGGGTGTGTTGGGCTAGCACCAGTTGACACCGGTTATCACTTTCTTGCATACGCCTTGACGGGAGCTAACTGGCGTTTGTCGGGACTTCCTCGCATGCAGGCTAAGGGCAAGGCATCCAAGAAGGCAAGCGGCACTCGCTCCAGCGTCCAAGGCGTCCGCAGCTCGCAAGCTTCCGCTGGCCGCGCCAACAACCCCACCTCCATCAGCAACAACCCACTGTACGACAGCCAAGACGCCCCGATCGGCAGCACGGGACCCGCTCACTCGTCCTTCGCTGTAGGCAACGTCAATGGCCAGGGCCAAGGGCAGGGCCAGGGCAACCAGTCGCGCTCCCGCTTCACGGCCGGCTCCGCGTCACCCGGTCGCTTCACAAGCACCGGCTCCGGCCCGGCAGCCCCTTCCTCATCCGATCTGGCCATGCTGGAGACCCGGATGCGGCTCGAGGTGGAGGCGGCTGTACGGCAGCTGGAGGAGCGACTGGAGCGGCAGCTGGTAACCGCGCGCTCTTCCATCTCCAACGGCACCAACGGTGGCAACGGTCTGCCCGCCTCCGCTGACGCGCTCATGGGCGCCAAGCTGCGGCAGCTGGAGGGCCAGGTCAGTGGGCTGCTGTCCCGGCAGGACGAGATGGACCGCGTGGCGCAGCAGCTGGGCGGGCTGCAGGACATCCTCAACCGCCTGGCGGAGGAAATGGTTCGCATCAAGAACCGTGCGGACGCGGCCGCTGCTACCGCGGCATCTGCCGCGTCTGCGGCGTCGTCCGCTGGCGCAAACGGTAACGGCAACGTGGCTGCCTTTGAGGAGCGGTTGGGCAACGTGTCGGCACAGCTGGGCGGTGTTCGCGAGGGCGTGGAGGCTCTGGGACGTGACCTGGGTGCGCTGGGCGCTCGCGTGGAGGCGCTGTCGGGCCAGGTATCCACCTCCCGCAGCACATCGCAGCAGCAGGCTAGCAGCATCTCGCAGCTGCAGCAGCAGCTGTCGCAGCTGGCCGCTCAGGTGGCGTCGCAGCAGCAGAACGCGGCTGCTGCTGCTGCTGCCCCCGCGCCCACGGCGCAGCTAGAGGCGCTGGAGAAGAAGGTCATGAACCGGCTGACTCGCTACGATGGCGCGCTGCTGCAAGTGGCCAAGCAGGTCGACGCGCTGGACCAGCGCCTGCGTGAGGAGCAGGAGGGGAACATCAAGACCATCGAGATGCTGCTCGTGGCGGCGGGTGGAGGCAATGGAGCTGCATCCGGAGCTGCGGCTGCAGCGGGACAGAACAGCGCAGCTGAGATCCGGCCGGCGAGCAATGGGAGTGTGGCGAAGTAAACGGCAAGTGGTTTTTCGGTGAGGCCAGTTTCTTGACCAGCGGCTGCGAGAGAGGCAAGAGGGCAACATGCGATGCTTCTCGTAGCGGTCAGCGGAGGCGACGGGGTCATGTACCTCGAGCCGTGAGCTACCGCGGCGCCCAGTCACTTGAATCGCAGTTTAGACGACTGCGAAGACTTAAAGACTCGTGAACGATGGTGTTGGCAATAGTTTGTTATGTGAGACACATCTTTGCCATGCAGAAATGGGTGTGTTTTCATGGTCCCGCCCTGCGAGCTAGGCATGTGGGGGCAACAACGCTCATGACTGCCCCGTGTGTCGGAATGTGTTGGTGACGTGCGTGCGACCTGCTGCTGTCACCCCGCAAGGTGGTGCTTAGGAGGCGTCCCGGGACGGCTTCTTCGCAGCAGCGCCAAGGCCTGGGTTTGCGCCTTGATGCGTTCTAGACGTTGTACACTTGTTATTATTCCAATTGAGGTGTTGTCCCCCTGGCATCCTGACCTGTTCGTTGTGGGACGCTTGGACAATAAGCCGGGTATCCGGTCGGGCTTGCTGTTGCGACATAACCGTGAACCTCCGTATATAGACAGTTGATGACTAGGAATTCGGTTGAGTTTGTATCAAGTTGCCACCTACGTGTGTATCTTTGCTGATTCCACTTTAGGAACGTTTCGTACTGTACCGTACATAAGGCTCTTCGTACACCACATGCGCCACGTCGGCGACCCTAAAGATGCCCGAGGAAATAAGCCCCCCTGTAACCAGTATGCATGTAACAACATGCCTCCTTGGACCCAGCACACTTTTGCTGAACAGATGCTGCCGTTTACAACAAGGAAGAAGTTGGCGCACCGCCAAGAGCAACCCTGACGGAACTGACGGCGTGGGGTAACATAGGCGTCTGCCAGGCCGGTACGACACAGCTGCTTCTGGTAAGAGCCTTCAGCAACAAGCTTCACAGCCACCAACCCATTATACAACAAAGACAGCCGCAAAACCCCAGTCTGTCAACTTCATTATTAGCGTGATGGCCCGGTAGCTCCTTGAAGCCGGGTAGACAGTGCCTACTGCGCAAACCCCCCAAGCGGCACTCCTGCAGCCAGCCACTGAAACCGCAAACCTAGGAAAGATCTCTCCTACTACAGCCGCGACGGCCGTTTGAGTAACTGTAGAAATCGCCTGCGACAGACGTCCCACCTATTGTACAAAGTTGGAAACGCAAACAGGATATTAGGATTGCTTTTCCAGGACACGGTGTTGGTACTCCTCTCCTCCACGCTCTCATATAGTACATGGGTAGGGCGGTAGCCCCCACGGGTAACGGTTCTATCAACAACTCCTCCCTTGAGCAGAGGCTTGCCCAATCGTCAAACTGACGACAAATCTACAACACAAGTGAATCAAGAAGTACGCATATGTGATGCCAATCTTGCGACTTTGCAATCTAGCAACTGCAGCCATGTATGGAAGACACCCAGCAAACACCTTACTTCAGCATTACTAAGCTGCATCGAACCGAAGAAAGTGTGGAACAGACTGTAACACGTGAACGTCTTCATTAAGGATAGCACCCTGACTCCTCTCCCAACAAACCCACGAACCAGCAAAACCTCCGTACCTTTACGCACGACTGTCAGCCAACCCCTACGAATGATGCAAACCTGCGAAGCTACCAGGCTATTACCTAGGGACACAGCAGCAAGGTAAGACCTCGGCAGACTACTTCTCGGCTCGGCCTGAACACTGATCCAACTCGTCAACTCGAATACTGAACCACAATCGCTGCCACACCTCAACACTAAGGTGCTATATCCACCTGGCAACTATGTACCCACGGGTCATGACCGGAGGAGCCAGTTCCCTACGCCCCTGCCTCCTGCCCCCCCTCCGCCGCCTCCAGCCCCTCCTCCTCCACCAGGTGCCAGTCATCGCTGGAAGCCGACAGGGGCCCGTCAACCGCCGCCTCTCCGAAACCTGCCTGCGACCCCGCCACCCCCACTGCCCCGCCGCGAGCACCCCCTGCGCCGCCACCTGTCACCCCCATCCCAGCCCCCTCGGCCGTGAGCGGGATCATGGTGAGCGGCTCCTCCTCCTCCTCCTCCCCCGCCGCCTGCTGCTGCAGATCCTGATGGGCGCTCCTGGACGACCCCCCGACTGACATCTCACTGCTGGCCATGGCGCGCAGGAAGGCGCTGCCGTAGTCGAAGGGCGCAGCTGGGGGGGTGCGGGAGAGGGACATGATATCACACACTCAATGCGCTACATGTCAAAATCCGATGTCATACCGCACAAGGTGTCTAACCGCCGAGGTAACATCCAACACGTAAACACTAAAGTCACCACCAACCTCGTATCATCCCGCAACCCAGCATCCCGGCTCACCAGGGTACGATGCCGCACCCAGCCCGGATGCCGCCAGCGCTGAGGGAGCCGCCCCGGCCGCTGCACCGCCTGCAGGGCCCGCAGCAGCCAGGGGCACATCAGCTCCCCCCTCCAGCTCCTGCTGCTGCTGCTGCTCCTCCTCCTCTGCCTGCAGCTGCTGCTGATGCTCCGGTGCCACCGGGGGATACAGGTCCTCATCCACCACTGCTCCCGCGATGTAGCGCAGGGAGGGCACCGCGGCGCTCCCACCCGCCCCCTCCGGCACCGCCACCTCAGCCCCCGGGGAAGCTGCGGCGGCCGACGCGCCACCCGGCTCCGCGAAAACGGAGGTCCCGGCTGCTGCAGCTACCTCCGTTGCCTCCGCCGCCGCCGCCGCTTCAGCAGCAGCCCCCGCCTCCTTCTCCTCCTCCTTCCCTTCCTTGGGCTCCTCCACCCGGAGCTCCGGCAGCACCTCCTCCTCCTCTTCCTCGCCCTCCTCGCCGCCGCTGCCCACCTCGTCGATGTCCGGGATGCTAGTCCGGCTGTGCTCCGTTGGCAGACCCCCAACATCACCCAGAGCGGCAGCACAGGCACCAGCGGCGCCGTCAGCCTCAGCCTCAGCAGCCGGCGCCGCCGCTGCGGTCGCCTGCTCTCCGCCGCTACCGTCCCCCTCCTGCTGCCCCAGCTGCTCCTCCTCCTCCCCATACGCCGGCTCCTCGCCTCCATACACCTGCTCCTCCTCCTCCCCACCCTCCTCCTCCTCATACACCTCCACTTCATCCATCAGCCCCGCCGCGCCGCCCGGCACCGCCGCCTCCGCCTCCCGCTGCGCCGCCTGCACCCGCTCAGCCAGCCCCTCCAGCCGCCCCAGGTAGCCCTCCACTGCCGCCAGCGCGGCGCTGCGGCTCTCCGCGCCGCGACTGCTGGCGGCCAGCGCGGCGGACATGGCGGCCAGGTACCTGGAGGGGGGCAGGGAGCGGGGGGCAGGGAGCGGGGGGCAGGGCAGCGGAGGTGGGGTGGGAGAATATGCGGTGGGTGAAGCATGGAGAGCGAGTGGTCCTCCGCACGTAACCGGCACATGCTGGACAGCCTAATAGTCCAAGTCACAAGCGACTAGGAGTGCCTTTACGGACGTGCCCCCGTCTCTATTGCCGAGAGAAAGATCAATGCCGCATGGAGGCGCACGACCCGGTTCACATGTGCACTGCCCCCTGCCGTACACTCCCTTCCCCCTGTCGTACCTGTCTCCGTACTCCCTGATCCGCTCCCTTGCCGCCGCCAGCTGCTGCTCCACCAGCGCCCCCACGTAGGAGCCCAGCGCCTGCTCGCTGGCGGTCACCGCGCTGTCAACGAGACCTGAGCCCGAGGGGGGGAGGTGCCGTACATAAACACACGGGTTAGGGGTGCCGTACATGAGGAGGCAGGCGAGGTAGGGTAGGGTGTGGGGTAAGACGGAATGAGGCGAGGATGGCAAGAACCGCGAAGAAACGCGAAGAGTGATGCAGGACATGGAGAACGTGCAAATCCGCATGGGCCCGGTTTTGCTGGTTTACCGCCCATACCTCCGCTGCTGGTTGCCTGCATGCCCAGCCACACCGCCCCCCACCCAGCCCCCCAGCCCCCCTCCCCCTCCCACCGATGAAGTGGTTGGCTATCTCATCCGGCTTCAGCGAGTACACGGTTGCGGTGTAGGTCTCCACCACTGTGCGGCTGCGCGGCACCTCCACCCAGTAGCCCCCCCAGCGGCACAGCGAGGGCGGGCCGGGCGGGTGGCGGAGCACGCGCTCGGTGGTGGTGCGGCTGCCCACGCGGATGTGCTTCTCGGTGCCCTGCCGGATGCCTGGGGGGCGTGGGGCCGGGGGGCGGGGTGGGGATGAGAAGCAAAGCGAGGAGGAGGGTGGGGGCGGATGGGTGCGGATAGGGAGGGGTGGAGGCGCCGTAAGGGGCATGGGGCGAGCAACAAGGGTGCGTTGGGTACAAAGGATGGACGGGTGTGATGCCGCAACCGCTGCTCCCTCCACCAAGCAAGCAACCCAGTACGCAGCCCCCACTCCCCTCCCCCCCCCCCTCGCCCCACCCTTGTCGATGAGCGCCTGCACGTCCGAGTGCAGCTCCTCCGCGGAGGGCGGCCGCAGCCGGATGTCCGCGGGGGCCAGCGTCACCTGCACAGGGGGGGGGGGCACGGGGAGGGGTTAGCAGCATGGGGGCGAGTCAGCAGCATGGGGGGTCACACCGCAGCATGGCAACAGGGTGAGAGGCGCAGCACGCTAAGAAAGTAGCGTTATGGTAAGCCGCGATGCACCGCAACGCGGTGACCGAGTACGACTATACGATGGGCGCGGCGCGGACTCCTGAGCCACCCCCTCCCAACCCGTCTCCTTTACCTCCCCCCCATTCCGTACCTGCAGCGCCTCGCTGACCGCCCCCTCCACCCGCCCCGCCAGTGCCGCCAGGTGGGAGTTGAGCGCCCCCAGCAGCTCCGCGTGGCGCGAGGCGGCGCACGCCTCCAGCACACCCCAGAAGTCGTACACCTCGGAGTGGATCTGAAGAAGGAAGGGGTAGGGAGAGGGCGGAGGGGGGGGGGTTGGTTTGGATGGGGGAAGGGGTGTGAATCGGTGGGTAAAGGCAGCCATGTAGGCAGTACGGTAGCGCGACAGCATCTACACTGCCAACCCCCCCTGCATGAGTCGGGATATGGGATTGGGATCCTAGTTGTTTGCATTTATTATATATCCCCCCCACACACACACCTGCCCCATCAGGTCGTCATGCAGCTCCCGCAGCAGCGCCTGCAGCTCCTCACGACTGCGGCTGCGAGCCTCAGCAGCAACCCCCGCAAACACCCGGGGACCCCCACTACCGCTGCCGCTGCCCCCCGCCCCACCACTGCTGCCCTCTGCAGCTGCGGAGGGGGGTGGCGGGTGGGGCGGCAGGCCGCTGCTGGTGGCGGTGAACATGGACAGGAACTTCTCCCTCACACGCGCCCAGGTGTGCTGCATGGGGGTGCTGCTGCTGCTGCTACCGGAGGAGGAGGAGGGAGGGGAGGAGGGCGGCGGCGGGGCGCGTGTGTCGGTGTCCAGGGTCTGTATGATGTGAGTGAAGAGGCGGCGCCGCAGCGTGTTGAGGTGCGTCTTGATCTCCGCCACCACCTCCGCCTGCACCGCGTCCGCGCGCTGCCGTACCTCCTCCACCGCCCCCGCCGCCTCCGCCAGCTCCCCCCGCAGCGCCTCCGCCTGCGCCTGCAGCGCCGCCACGTTGCGGTGCAAGCAGCTGCGCACAGCCAGGGCGACATTGCGGACCTGGGGGGGGGGCAGCAAGGGGTGAGGAGGGGCAAGGTCAGCAGGTACATGCACATTTCTCCCATCCCTCCCTCGCCCTCTCGCTCGTTCGTTCGTCGTTTCCTCTTTACCTCCCTCAACTTACTATGGTCTGGCAGGGTATTCGGCCCCCCTCCCTCGCCCCCGCGCACCTGCACCAGCAGCCGGGCGGTGTCGTCCGCTGTGGCCAGCGCCTTCACTGACGCCGCATGAGCCGCCAGGAAAGCCAGCACGCGTCCCTCCAGCTCGCACACCCCGCTGCCCTCCAGCAGGCACCCGGCGGCGGCGCGGAGCTGGCAGGGGAGCGGGGCGGGGGGGGGTGGAGAGGAGAGACAGGAAGAGGAGGGTGTTAAGAAAACTGGCCGCGAATCGGAACATAATGTGATTGCCGGAAGATGAAGTCCCCACAGAACAGAATGTGTATAGAATGTGTATGTGAAGACAAATAGTGGGTCCCGAAAAGGTCATAGGACGAGCAAGATCAACGCACACAAGGCTAGCTGTGGCGACGTCAAGAGAAAGAAAAACAAGTCTACAGGGCTCTGCTGCCGGCGCTCCCCCCCCACCTGCTCCTGTGACGGCCCCGCACTGCCTCCGCGCCCCCCGCCTCCACCACCAAACCCCAGCGCCCCAAACGCCCCGAACGCCAGCCGCTGGAAGCGCTTGGCTGCCTCCGGCGCCGCCCTGCCGCCCAGCACCAGCCGGGCCAGCAGCGCGTTGCGACCCGACAGCAGCAGCACCTGCTCGGGACGCAGACGGAAGGGGGCTGCGGGGGCCGGGCTGGCGGAGGGAGCGGGGGAGGCGGGCGGGGGAATGGCGGCGGTGGCGGTGGGGCTGAAGGGTGTGGCGGTGCCGGCACCGCGAGTGGGGGTGAAGGGGCTGGCGGGCGGGGCGGAAGCGCTGTTGCCGCCGCGGAGGGGGGAGGTAAGCAGGGAGGCTGGGGCGGGCGGGGAGGAGGCGCAGACCGACACCAGGCCGGATGCGGCGGCTGAGGAGGAGGGCGGCACGGCGAGTGGTGACGGTGGTGGCGCCCCTGCTGCTCCCAGCTGGCGGGTGACGAGGTCCGCCACGTAGGCGCGCACCTCCTCGGGGTCAAGACCCTCCGAGGTCTCGCAGGCGTCAACCTGGGGGGGTGCGGAGACAGGGTGTGGGAGCTGTTGGGAGAGGGAGAGGAGGGACAGGACCCTATGTGGATGGAGCAGGGGTGCTTGGAAGCGTTGTATGGGGTGCATCATCCATCAGGAGGCGGCACGACCCCTCACCTTGTTGATGACGAAGAAGAGGCGGCTGCTGAGCCTCTCCACCAGCTGCGGGTTGACCGCCCGCAGCCTCCTGAACAGCCCCTCCTCCTCCGCCGTCTTCAGCTTGGTGTAGTCCAGCAGGTACAGCACGCAGTCAACTCCCTCCAGCAGCCGCTCAACCTGGGGGTGATCCGGGGAGGTGCGAGAGTGATAGTGTCACCCCGAAGGCCAGTACTTTATGTTTACCGGTACTTTGCCCTAACCTGTGGTTATTGGTATCTCTTTGACCCCGCCCCCCCCTCCCCACCTGGTACTTGAGCTGCTCCTCCCCCGCCTCGTTGGGCCCCGGGGTGTCAAGCAGCGTCACGCGGCCCAGATCCGCCCCGTAGCCGCCCTCGCCGCACAGCGCCACCAGCGGGGCGGAGATGGTCAGCACCGCGGAGGAGGAGCTGCCCACACCGCCGCACAGTCCCTCACCCATGCCGCCCAGGGCACTGCTGGCTGCAGCCGCGCCGCTGCCGAACACGTCCCGCTCCGGACCCGAGGGTTGCGGCGATAGCGGCCCCGAGCCGCAGCGCTGCTGCCGGGCTGCGCTGTTGAGCTGCTGCAGGCAGGACCGTACGGCGGCCTCGCCTCGCGCCAGGGTACGACCCGCCGCGTCGCGCAGGTGGGGCTCCCGCGCGGTGGGGTCGTGGGTGATGCGGACGATGCGGGCGGTCTCGGGGACGTTGTTCATGGGCAGGACCTCCGCGCCCATCAGCGCGTTGAGGAGCGTGGACTTGCCTGTGGGGAGGGTGGGGTGAGGGTGGGGGTGGAGGGGAGGGTTGGAGGAAAGCGGAAAGGGGGGAGGCTCGGTTATTGGTGGGCGGAGGAGAGGGAAGGATGAGTGGTGGTGGAGGGGATGGTGGCATGGTCCGCTGCTGGGATGGGGTATCGTAGCGAGGGGGGGGCAGAGCGGCTTGCGGCTGATGGTGAGAACGGGCGGACGACTCGAGCAAGAGAAACGTAACATGGTTCTGTTGGATTCAGTCACATAAGTGTGAAGTACTACATACTAAAATGATCGGTAAGCATGTAAATATGATTGGTAAGCGAACGCCCTAGCTTGAAAACTAGGGTTTTGCCGGTATCGCGTTAGTTACAAGCGCGAGACCCACCTGACTTTGTCAGCGCTAGGACCGCGACTGACAGCGCGTTTTCTTCGTGCCGGCGCTTTAGGTCATAGTAAGAATCCCAGAAGCTATGAAGAGCGACGTCGATGGGGCGACGAGCTTCCTCATTCTCCTCATCCTCGGCCGAGCCCGTGGGGTGCTCTTGGGAAGTTAGGTCCGCCAGAAGGCTGCCCACATCAGCCAGAAGGCCATCTATTGTTCTACGGATTGTTGCCAGATGCACACCAGCAGCTGTAGATGCGGAAGCCATCACGCCTTCGGGCGCAGCGGGAAGCTACCCAACGACGATGGCCCCAAGCTCAAGCCTTTGTGCGCAAGTTGTGGTTTCGCCACGGGTCCTTACGAGCACGCTAGGACAGTATTGTCTCACAGAAATTTCATTCCAAGGTTCACACGTTGCGCAGTTGCCTCAGAATTGGCAGGTCATAACCCGGAGCGTTTCCTGGAACGCACAAGCAAACTGTGATACTTCAGCGGCAAAGGCAAACTTGGAAACGGAACCGGTGCATTACGTGCTCCCCTCGGCTTGTGATTTCCAGTACGAGAGTACGGAATAGGCGTTCGCGGATGTCGCGTCGCTTTGCTGTCGAGAAACCATTGTGTAGGATTTTATATTGTGTTTTCAGACCCAGTTGATAGCGCTACCGTACTTTACCCTGGAAAAAACACTTGAGCGCGGCCTTTACGTGGGAAGCTTGCATACACGATAGGAAGTTGGTAGACATATTTTACTCGCCTGTTTAATTTTGCTTCTGGGTTCTCAGCTGGGCACACCGGCCGCGGTCAAAGCCTACAAGGATAAACCATTTTGGACTTGTGCTTCGGAACACCCGTTACCTATTACAGCTAGGCAACAGGCCTTGATCACATCAGGAGTCTGCACCACGCGCCCTGGCTCGTCCAGCAATTGCCCATGCAAGCCCTGTCGGGCTAACCACCCGTCAGCCAACAGCAGTAGACGCGGACATGGCCGCACGACGGCGCTACAAATCATAAAAACCCTTTGGGCTGCACGCCAGCCGTTGCCGTGCGTGACAGATAACCGGCAGCGGTTGGTCCCGCGGCATCGCCATGTTGCGGCCCCAAGCAGACCATGTGAGGGAGCTGATGGGAGTGGTCGACCCCACTTCCACAGCGGAGCGCAAGGTAGGATAGAAGGAATCGGCAAGCCTACCGGTGCCCCACGGTTAACTACGCCGACCTGCGGCACCCATTTCCACGTAACCGGCACTTCGCTGCGAGAATTTCAGCAAAGCTGGACCTAAAGTGATAGCCCTGCCTTACACGTTAGCTTCCGCATCGTTAGCATCTGCTCTGTTCTCCTCCTCCGCATCCCCTCCCTGCAGGCCGCCTCCAAGGCTGCCAAGGCCAGCTACGCCGCGGAGCTGCAGGCGCAGATGCGCGCCAACGAGGAGGCCAAGCAGCGCGAGCGGGCGGAGCGGATGGGGCTGGTGCGGCCGCCGCCGCTGCAGGCTCCGCAGGCGCAGGTGCCGTACGGTGCGGGCAGCCCTGGCGTAGCCCCCAAGGACAGCAGCCAGGGCGGCGGCCTGCCCAGCTACGGAAGTGCGCCACCGCCCTACGCGCCAGCGCCAGGTGGGTATGCAGGGCGAGCGTAGGGGAAGGGATGCATGTGGGCGGTGGTGGGTGTCCTGTTGCAACCGTTTTGCCAGCAGTGGACCTCACAACGCGATGTGGGTCCCGCACTTCCTGCAGTCTACTCGCCCACGGGACCTCCGGGAGCTCCGGGGCTGGCAGCGCCGGCCGGACCGTGGAGCCAGCCGCCGCCCTACCAGCCGGCCCCGCCGGGACCTTCGCCCTTCCAGCAGCCGGCCTACCAGCCTTCAGTCGCGGCGCCGCAGCCCTTTGCCGGATCCTTCGGCATGCCCTCTCCGGGCTACTCCGCTTCCCCGCCGGCGCAGTACATGCCACCCGGTGCCGCAGGCGGCTACGGCCCTCCTCCTCAAGCCCTCAATTACGCCAGCAGCGGCGGCTACGGCCCTCCCGCCGCACCCCCGCTCCAAGCATTGCCGCAGCCGCCGCTGCTGCCAGGCCCCGTGCCGCCTGGGGGCCTGGGCCCTAACACCATGCGGCGCATGGAGCAGCAGGCCAAGAAGGACCAGTACCGACTGGAGCTGGAGGCGCAGATCCGCGAGCGGGAGGAGCGCAAGGCGGCTGAGAAGGCGCGGCGCATGGAGGAGGACATGCGGAAGGAAGCTGAGATGGCGGTTTACGCCATGCACGGCGGCATGGGCGGCGGCCGGGGAGGCGGCGGCGCGCCGCTGCGGGACGCCGCGGGCAACATTGTGGCCAATCTGGGCCAGTTGAACCGCGTTAACAGCGGCATGGGGCCGGGTAGCCCGGGCAGAATGGGCGGAATGGGCATGGGCGGCGGACCGCCGGATTTCGGCATGGGCGGTGGTCCTATGGGCGGCCCGCCGCCTGGCATGGGCATGGGCATGGGAGGGATGCCGCCTCCAGGGATGGGCATGGGTGGCATGCCGCCGCCAGGCATGGGCGGCGGACCGCCCATGGGCATGGGAATGGGGATGGGCGGACCGCCCGGTATGGGCGGCGGCGGCCCCATGGAGGGCGGCCCGCCGGGTGTGATGCCCAACTTCCGGTTCCGCAGCGACAACGCCTACCTGACGCCCGGGGAGCTGGACAACAAGCAGCGGCAGGCGCGTGAGCTGCAGGAGGCGCTGGAGCAGCAGATACAGGTGTGCCGGGTGGCCAGGTGGTAATCATGGGGTGTGCGCCCTTGCAATGGCGTTGTAGTCAGCCCCTCAGGAAGCCGTGAACTGGGGTTGGAGCTGTAGCATAGGCCGTCTCCACTATGTGTGCAGGTTAGCATGGTGCAGGTTAGCGTGATGAACACGGTCTTGTGAGACAGTGCATCCGCTCTACGGAATTTCCTATCGCCCCGCAGGAAAAGCGTCGTGCCAAGGAGCTGGAGAAGCAGCGCGAAATACAGGAAATAGCGCGCGAGGAGGCGCGCTTCCAGGCCAACGCGGGGCCGCAGGCGGCTAACGCCGCGGCGGACGCGGGAGGCCGTTCTAGGGACTCCAAAGAGGTGGTGGTGGACGCCTGGGAGAAGGCACGGCTCGAGGCGGAGGAGGCACGGCGCAATAAGTTCGCCGCAAAGCGTGGTGCCGGAGGCGCAGCGCCGTCGGCAGGTGGCGGAGGCGACGGCGGGCCTTGGGGCGATGGCGGTGGTGGCTTTGGTGGCGGTTTCGGTGGTGGCGGAGGCGGCGGTGGGCCGGGGTACGCACCGGAGCCCCCACCGCCGCCGCCGCCGCCGCCTCTGACTCAGCCGCTCCAGCCTCCGCCAATGCCGCCTCCGCCACCACCTCCGATGCCCATGCCGCCACCGCCACCCTTATTCCCGCAAGACCCGCTGCTTCCACTGGGCGGCGGCTCAGCATTACTAGATGCGCTGCCTAGGGCCACCGCCACAACGTTGCCCCCGGCCACGCCGCTGGTGGTGGAGAAGGTACGGCAGGTGGCGGCGGCGGAGCTGGCGGCGGTGAAGCAGGAGCTGGCGGCGGAGGCGGCGCAGCTGCGGGAGGTGGTGGCGGCGCAGGGGCAGCAGGTGGCGGCGCTCAAGTCGCATGCGGAGCGGCTGGAGGCGGAGGCGGAGCGCGCGCGGGGGCACGTGGCGGCGATGCGGGTGGGCATGCTGCAACGAGCACTCAGCGGCGCCGGGTTCGCGCCGCAACCGGAGGAGCCCGAGCCCTTGATGCGCGCAATGGCGGATTACGACCGCGTCGTCCTGACGGGGGCTCAGGCGGCGGCGGCGCCAGCAGCGGCGCCGCCGCCGGCACTTGTGGACATCGGGCTGGACTTGCCGCCGACGGCGGTCGAGCTGCGCCGCCAGGCGGGGCCGCCGCCGATGTTCGACATGGGCCCTGTCATCCCGCCCATGAACAGCGCCGCGCTGATGATGGACAACATCGCCGCCAGCGCCATCAACGCCAGCGCCGCTAACGGCGCGGCGGCGGCGGGCGCTGCCGCCAGCGACGGCGGCAATGGGCGGCCGCTGACCAGCGGTCTGCGCACCATCAACCCCTTGGAAGCCTCTATGGCGGCTGAGAGTGTGTTTATCTTCCCGAATGGACGTGAAATGGGGAGGTACACGAACGCCGCGGCGGCGCGCGGCCAGCCCATGCCTTCAACAACCAACATGCCGACAGCGATATCTCCCGTCCAACCGGCAGCGTCAGCAGGGCCGAGCTCCGGCGGCGGTGTTAGCGGCGGCGGCGCGCTTCCCTTCCAGTCACTGCACATGACTACCGGGGTGGGATCTGCGGTCGGCGAGATGCCCATGGTGGCAACCACGCAGGAACTGGAAACGGGCCCTGTGCCGCAGACTCCCTTGGACCGCAGCATGGCGCAGTCGGCGGGCGGGGCGCTCCTGGGGGCCTTGGGAACCACCCACCCTGCGCCACCACCGCTCGAGCCCCAGGACAGCAGTGGCGGCGGCGCGGCGGGGGCACTGGGTGGCGGTGCGGCGCCGCGGCGGCAGGCCTCGGGCCGGCGGCGCAGCGCCGTGGCTATGGACCCTCTGGAGGTGGACTTGATGCTGAGTCGCAACCAGGATAAGCTGGCACTGCTCAAGGTGGGGGTGGGGGAAATGGAAGAGGAGGTGGGCGTAGGGGTGGGCAAAAGATGAGATAGGGCGGGGGGCCACCGTTCTCCACCGTCCTGGACTCCTCCTCCTCACGCCCCTCCCCAACCCTCCTCCCGCAGAGCATGACCGACCTGCCCGGCGGCGCCACCAGCATTGAGGCCCTGGACGAGTTCCTCTCACGCTACGCGGCTCAGCGCCCCGGCCTGCCCGAGCGCACCGCCACACCCGTCCTTCGGATCAACACACCCGACCTGGAGCTCGGCCGCCCCAGCGACGGCCCCGGCCTCGCCACCGCCACCGCCGCTGCGCCCTTCTTCGCCTACCCTTCCGCTACCGCTGGAGCCCGGGCTAGCACTCAATCCCAGGACGCAGCAGCGGCGGGAAGCAGCGCCCAGCTCCCTGACGCAGCCATCGCTGGAAAAACCGCTTCCGAGGCCCAGCCTCAAACTGCAGCCGACCGGCCGCCCAGCCAGCCCAACAGCCGACCCACAAGCCAGTCAAGAAGCCGGCCACCCAGTCAGCCCACAGCCGTACCCATCTACTCCTCAAGATCCAACAGCGAGGGGCCGCTGCCCATGGGTGGCGGCCGGGTGCTGTCGACAGGCGGAGGCGGCAGCGGTAACGGCCGTGCTGCTGCCGGCAGCCTCCCAGGCACCCCCGACAAGCCGGGCACGTTGGCCATGACTCGGCGGAACTCCTTCACCGGGGAGCGGCCGCCCCAGGAGGGGGTGCTGTCGCAGCACTTTGAGCCGCTGCTGGTGGGGTCGCGGCCCGCCAGCGGCGCAGGAGGCCTGGGCAGCACCGGCAGCGGGCTGCGCAACGCCAGCCCCCGGCCGCCCATGCTGCCCAATACCCGGTACAGCAGCAGCGGCGCCGGTGCCGGCAACGGCAACCCCAGCACCGGTGGTAACCCGGGCAGCACCGGTGGCGCCGCCGGCCGTGCCGAGAGCGGCAGTCGGGCCGGTAGCGCAGTCGGCGGCCGGCCACCCATCCCCTCGCACACCCCACTCGCCACCTCCTCGCGGCCGGTATCCGGCGTCCTGGCGGGGGGCGACACCGAGCGGCGCACGCAGACGCGGTCCGTACGGCGCCCCAGTCGCGAGCTGATCGACGACAGCGGCCTCGCGGACTCCTCCACGTTCCCTAGCTACAGCCCCTCCGCTGCCGGCTCGCCGGGTCAGGGGCGGCCGCTGCTGCTGTCCCGATCCCGCTCGCTGAATGCAACTAATGGTGGCGGGAAAGGGCCCGGCGGCGGCGGCGATGGGTTAGAGCCGCTGCCGGCGCCTCCCCCAGAAGACAGTCTGGATGTGGAGTTGCGCAAGGTGCTGAGCATGTCCGGGCAGCAGGGGGGCCGGTCTGGCAGTCAGGCGGGGGGGCAGCGACAAGCGGGTGAGGGGGCGGCAGAGCCCCAGTTCCAGATACCCCGCTCACCGCTGCTGTCTGGGGCGGCTCGGCCGGGCAGCATCAGCGGCCAGCGGGGGATCACGGGCGTCAGCGGGGGCGGGACGGGTGCTGCTGGGGTGGCGGCAAGCAACTGAGTCTGGGTTTGCTCGTCCTAGATGCCACAGCATTAGTCGGCATCTCGTGTCTTTCTAGACGATGTATACAGCGTGTACCTAGAGCCTTGTGGTGTACGGTGCCGAAGTGGCATTTTTTGCGCCTAGCTTGTGCTTCCGTATGTAATATTGGGTACAGTGGATACAGGATGCTGTGTTGTTATGACTGCAGACTGAGCACGCTGGGGAAGCGCGGGGAGGCAGTAATAAGAAGCGTGCAACCGTTGCAGGTTATTGGTAATCGTAGTGGGCTATGGATAGGGTACCTTGTGAATTTGGAGTGGAATGGGATTGCGAGCAGCACGGCGCCTCGCTGAAGGCTTTCCTAGGTGCATCATACAACTTGGGCGCTGTGCAGGCCTCGAAGAATACGGTATATGCTCCTTGATATACTTCATGGCAACATCGTGTCACCTGGCATGCGGACCTGACCCCGGGGTTGGTGCAGCGCATCCGGATGCGAAGGGACTGGGTGTTGCGGCGAATTGTCTGTGCCTCTCGTGCGATTATTATGGGGGAGTCAGAACGACTCAAGTGCGACGCACAACCCTAATAAGGTCCTTCTAGGCTATGCCGCAAAATTAAGTCAGTGGGATCAATAGTCCATCTTCATGTAAGGGTTAAACCTGCCTACTATCCTGCCACACTGCTAGACACCGCTACTTAGTTTCTGTCGACCAATTCGTATGCGTTTCGTTTCATTTCGTGGAAGAAGGGTGAGACCCTCAAAGGAAACCTTTTCCCGAAGAAGACACTGGTTCTTATATTGTCCTGTTGTTTGCTGCTATCGTGGGGGTTCATTCTGTCCGCTAACTGTCTTCTGACTTCAGAGATGCTGGCAACCAGTACCTACCTAATATCGCTGGCGCCCCACACAGAGATGATTTTTGCACATTCCATCTAGTCTGTGGTATTTAGCCAACTGTCTCGTCTTGAATTAACGTGCTTCCCCTGCGCAAAATGCGCTACTTCCCTTCCATCCGTACATACGGCACCGGCCGACACCGTCATTTGGCAAAGGCTTTAAGGAACATCACAGAGATTTTATCTACACTTAATTGTTCGACTCGTAGCCTCTACTGCTGATGTCGAAACTACCGGTAGTACTTCTTAGCTATGGCAGCCAGTCAGCGGCTGTTCAACTTTCTGGAGGAAGAACCCCAAGTTTTTTCACACCAGTACTCAGCACAATATGCTCTGGACTCGCTGGTAAGCCGTGTCTGGTGTGCCTTTATTTGCCAATTGTCGATGGTGCGTACCCATGCTGACCTCTTTTCGGCATTTGCAGGTCTGCGAACAGCTGCCTAAGCTTCCCGTAAACTATGTGATGGCTGCAGCTTATGTTGGACCCACGTATTGGCTATGGAGGTAAGGTTTTGCAAGTGGAATTACCGGTACCAATGTAACGTCTTTATACAAAATGTCACTGTTTATTCCGGTAACCATAAATGCATGATGTATGCTAGTGTCACTTACCTAAGAGTGTATCAACAACGTCGCGTGTTCGCGCCGATGCACGCCCAAGTTTAGTTATTGCAAACAACGTTAACCTAAATTGCCCCGAATACCTGAACTAAATGCAGGTCGGAACAAAGAGGAGTTCTGTGGAGAAACAATGCTTGGCTACGTGAAGTCGACAAGGGCTCATCATGACTACCTCAATTGAAGACTCAAGCGCGACCAAGGGCTCCTCTAGATGACCAAGACTGAATATGCCAACACGACCAATGGCTCATCTTAACGGTCAAGACTGAAGACGCCTGCCTAACCGGCGGGTCCGGGAAATTGTGAGGGCGCATGGCCTGGCAAGCCAAGTAAGAGTAACATGAGGAGTGTACGATAAGCGATGATGTGAGCCCGCATGGCCTGGCAAGCCAAGAGTGGCATGAGGGGTGTACGATTAGCGATGATGTGAGCCCGCATGGCCTGGCAAGCCAAGAGTGACACGAGGGGAGTACGATTAGCGATGATGTGAGCCCGCATGCCCTGGCAAGCCAAGAGTGGCATGAGGGGTGTACGATTAGCGGCGGTGTGAGCCCGCATGGCCTGGCAAGCCAAGAGTGACACGAGGGGTGTACGATTAGCGATGATGTGAGCCCGCATGGCCTGGCAAGCCAAGAGTGACACGAGGGGAGTACGATTAGCGATGATGTGAGCCCGCATGGCCTGGCAAGCCAAGAGTGACACGAGGGGTGTACGATTAGCGATGATGTGAGCCCGCATGGCCTGGCAAGCCAAGAGTGGCATGAGGGGTGTACGATTAGCGATGATGTGAGCCCGCATGGCCTGGCAAGCCAAGAGTGACACGAGGGGAGTACGATTAGCGATGATGTGAGCCCGCATGCCCTGGCAAGCCAAGAGTGGCATGAGGGGTGTACGATTAGCGGCGGTGTGAGCCCGCATGGCCTGGCAAGCCAAGAGTGACACGAGGGGTGTACGATTAGCGATGATGTGAGCCCGCATGGCCTGGCAAGCCAAGAGTGACACGAGGGGTGTACGATTAGCGATGATGTGAGCCCGCATGGCCTGGCAAGCCAAGAGTGACACGAGGGGTGTACGATTAGCGATGTTGTGAGCCCGCATGGCCTGGCAAGCCAAGAGTGACACGAGGGGTGTACGATTAGCGATGATGTGAGCCCGCATGGCCTGGCAAGCCAAGAGTGGCATGAGGGGTGTACGATTAGCGGCGATGTGAGCCCGCATGGCCTGGCAAGCCAAGAGCGACACGAGGGGTGTACGATTAGCGATGTTGTGAGCCCGCATGGCCTGGCAAGCCAAGAGTGACACGAGGGGTGTACGATTAGCGGCGGTGTGAGCCCGCATGGCCTGGCAAGCCAAGAGTGACACGAGGGGAGTACGATTAGCGATGATGTGAGCCCGCATGGCCTGGCAAGCCAAGAGTGACACGAGGGGTGTACGATTAGCGATGATGTGAGCCCGCATGGCTGTCATGCTCCAGCGATGAAATAGCAGGCTGGTGTGCTAGATAGGTGCTACGCGATAGGGCTGGCCAAGCCGGCTATTGCGACGCAGCGGTGGTAGCGCTATGCATGGTCAGTATAGTAGGCTTTCGTTGGACTCTAACAACGATTACGGACTGTAAATGTTGCCGTGCGGTGTAGCACTGTGAGGCCCCGAGAAGCGCCGAACCAGGCGCTCTCGGGAGCAAACAAGCCGGCCCAAGATCTACGACTCCAGGGAAGGCAACGAACTAACGACCAAATCGCGAGATACGGGCAAGCGCATCGCAAACACTGGCAAAACAAGCGGATAACCAATAAACCGCTATACGTAAAGCAACCAATAAACCCCGCAGGCGTCTCTTCTTCCAACTTCGGCAAGACAGTTGGACGGTTGGTCCTAGGAACACGACTTGCACACGACATGGCCTGGCAAGCCAAGGGTGACACGAGGGGTGTACGATTAGCGATGATGTGAGCCCGCATGGCCTAGCAAGCCAAGAGTGACACGAGGGGAGTACGATTAGCGATGATGTGAGCCCGCATGGCCTGGCAAGCCAAGAGTGGCATGAGGGGTGTACGATTAGCGATGATGTGAGCCCGCATGGCCTGGCAAGCCAAGAGTGACACGAGGGGTGTACGATTAGCGATGACGTGAGCCCGCATGGCCTGGCAAGCCAAGAGTGACACGAGGGGTGTACGATTAGCGATGATGTGAGCCCGCATGGCCTGGCAAGCCAAGAGTGACACGAGGGGTGTACGATTAGCGGTGGTGTGAGCCCGCATGGCCTGGCAAGCCAAGAGTGACACGAGGGGTGTACGATTAGCGATGATGTGAGCCCGCATGGCCTGGCAAGCCAAGAGTGACACGAGGGGTGTACGATTAGCGGTGGTGTGAGCCCGCATGGCCTGGCAAGCCAAGAGTGACACGAGGGGTGTACGATTAGCGATGTTGTGAGCCCGCATGGCCTGGCAAGCCAAGAGTGACACGAGGGGTGTACGATTAGCGATAATGTGAGCCCGCATGGCCTGTCAAGCCAAGAGTGACACGAGGGGAGTACGATTAGCGATGTTGTGAGCCCGCATGGCCTGACAAGCCAAGAGTGACACGAGGGGTGTACGATTAGCGATGATGTGAGCCCGCATGGCCTGGCAAGCCAAGAGTGACACGAGGGGTGTACGATTAGCGATGATGTGAGCCCGCATGGCCTGTCAAGCCAAGAGTGACACGAGGGGTGTACGATTAGCGATGTTGTGAGCCCGCATGGCCTGGCAAGCCAAGAGTGACACGAGGGGTGTACGATTAGCGATGTTGTGAGCCCAAATGGCCTGGCAAGCCAAGAGTGACACGAGGGGTTTACGATTAGCGATGTTGTGAGCCCAAATGGCCTGGCAAGCCAAGAGTGACACGAGGGGTGTACGATTAGCGATGATGTGAGCCCGCATGGCCTGGCAAGCCAAGAGTGACACGAGGGGTGTACGATTAGCGATGACATGAGCCCGCATGGCCTGGCAAGCCAAGAGTGACACGAGGGGAGTACGATTAGCGATGATGTGAGCCCGCATGGCCTGGCAAGCCAAGAGTGACACGAGGGGTGTACGATTAGCGATGTTGTGAGCCCGCATGGCCTGGCAAGCCAAGAGTGACACGAGGGGAGTACGATTAGCGATGATGTGAGCCCGCATGGCCTGTCAAGCCAAGAGTGACACGAGGGGAGTACGATTAGCGATGATGTGAGCCCGCATGGCCTGACAAGCCAAGAGTGACACGAGGGGTGTACGATTAGCGATGATGTGAGCCCGCATGGCCTGGCAAGCCAAGAGTGACACGAGGGGTGTACGATTAGCGATGATGTGAGCCCGCATGGCCTGGCAAGCCAAGAGTGACACGAGGGGTGTACGATTAGCGATGATGTGAGCCCAAATGGCCTGGCAAGCCAAGAGTGACACGTGGGGTGTACGATAAGCGATGATGTGAGCCCGCATGGCCTGGCAAGCCAAGAGTGACACGAGGGGTGTACGATTAGCGATGATGTGAGCCCGCATGGCCTGGCAAGCCAAGAGTGACACGAGGGGTGTACGATTAGCGATGATGTGAGCCCGCATGGCCTGTCAAGCCAAGAGTGACACGAGGGGAGTACGATTAGCGATGATGTGAGCCCGCATGGCCTGACAAGCCAAGAGTGACACGAGGGGTGTACAATTAGCGATGATGTGAGCCCGCATGGCCTGGCAAGCCAAGAGTGACACGAGGGGTGTACGATTAGCGATGATGTGAGCCCGCATGGCCTGGCAAGCCAAGAGTGACACGAGGGGTGTACGATTAGCGATGATGTGAGCCCAAATGGCCTGGCAAGCCAAGAGTGACACGTGGGGTGTACGATAAGCGATGATGTGAGCCCGCATGGCCTGGCAAGCCAAGAGTGACACGAGGGGTGTACGATTAGCGATGATGTGAGCCCGCATGGCCTGGCAAGCCAAGAGTGACACGAGGGGTGTACGATTAGCGATGATGTGAGCCCGCATGGCCTGGCAAGCCAAGAGTGACACGAGGGGAGTACGATTAGCGATGATGTGAGCCCGCATGGCCTGGCAAGCCAAGAGTGACACGAGGGGAGTACGATTAGCGATGATGTGAGCCCGCATGGCCTGGCAAGCCAAGAGTGACACGAGGGGAGTACGATTAGCGATGATGTGAGCCCGCATGGCCTGGCAAGCCAAGAGTGACACGAGGGGTGTACGATTAGCGATGATGTGAGCCCGCATGCCCTGGCAAGCCAAGAGTGACACGAGGGGAGTACGATTAGCGATGTTGTGAGCCCGCATGGCCTGGCAAGCCAAGAGTGACACGAGGGGTGTACGATTAGCGGCGGTGTGAGCCCGCATGGCCTGGCAAGCCAAGAGTGACACGAGGGGAGTACGATTAGCGATGATGTGAGCCCGCATGGCCTGGCAAGCCAAGAGTGACACGAGGGGTGTACGATTAGCGATGATGTGAGCCCGCATGGCTGTCATGCTCCAGCGATGAAATAGCAGGCTGGTGTGCTAGATAGGTGCTACGCGATAGGGCTGGCCAAGCCGGCTATTGCGACGCAGCGGTGGTAGCGCTATGCATGGTCAGTATAGTAGGCTTTCGTTGGACTCTAACAACGATTACGGACTGTAAATGTTGCCGTGCGGTGTAGCACTGTGAGGCCCCGAGAAGCGCCGAACCAGGCGCTCTCGGGAGCAAACAAGCCGGCCCAAGATCTACGACTCCAGGGAAGGCAACGAACTAACGACCAAATCGCGAGATACGGGCAAGCGCATCGCAAACACTGGCAAAGCAAGCGGATAACCAATAAACCGCTATACGTAAAGCAACCAATAAACCCCGCAGGCGTCTCTTCTTCCAACTTCGGCAAGACAGTTGGACGGTTGGTCCTAGGAACACGACTTGCACACGACATGGCCTGGCAAGCCAAGGGTGACACGAGGGGTGTACGATTAGCGATGTTGTGAGCCCGCATGGCCTGGCAAGCCAAGAGTGACACGAGGGGAGTACGATTAGCGATGATGTGAGCCCGCATGGCCTGGCAAGCCAAGAGTGGCATGAGGGGTGTACGATTAGCGATGATGTGAGCCCGCATGGCCTGGCAAGCCAAGAGTGACACGAGGGGAGTACGATTAGCGATGATGTGAGCCCGCATGGCCTGGCAAGCCAAGAGTGACACGAGGGGTGTACGATTAGCGATGTTGTGAGCCCAAATGGCCTGGCAAGCCAAGAGTGACACGAGGGGTGTACGATTAGCGGTGGTGTGAGAAAGAATGCCCTGGCAAGCCAAGAGTGACACGAGGGGTGTACGATTAGCGATGATGTGAGCCCGCATGGCCTGGCAAGCCAAGAGTGACACGAGGGGTGTACGATTAGCGATGACATGAGCCCGCATGGCCTGGCAAGCCAAGAGTGACACGAGGGGTGTACGATTAGCGATGATGTGAGCCCGCATGGCCTGGCAAGCCAAGAGTGACACGAGGGGTGTACGATTAGCGGTGGTGTGAGCCCGCATGGCCTGGCAAGCCAAGAGTGACACGAGGGGTGTACGATTAGCGATGATGTGAGCCCGCATGGCCTGGCAAGCCAAGAGTGACACGAGGGGTGTACGATTAGCGATGATGTGAGCCCGCATGGCCTGGCGAGCCAAGAGTGACACGAGGGGTGTACGATTAGCGATGATGTGAGCCCGCATGGCCTGGCAAGCCAAGAGTGACACGAGGGGAGTACGATTAGCGATGATGTGAGCCCGCATGGCCTGGCAAGCCAAGAGTGGCATGAGGGGTGTACGATTAGCGGCGATGTGAGCCCGCATGGCCTGGCAAGCCAAGAGCGACACGAGGGGTGTACGATTAGCGATGATGTGAGCCCGCATGGCTGTCATGCTCCAGCGATGAAATAGCAGGCTGGTGTGCTAGATAGGTGCTACGCGATAGGGCTGGCCAAGCCGGCTATTGCGACGCAGCGGTGGTAGCGCTATGCATGGTCAGTATAGTAGGCTTTCGTTGGACTCTAACAACGATTACGGACTGTAAATGTTGCCGTGCGGTGTAGCACTGTGAGGCCCCGAGAAGCGCCGAACCAGGCGCTCTCGGGAGCAAACAAGCCGGCCCAAGATCTACGACTCCAGGGAAGGCAACGAACTAACGACCAAATCGCGAGATACGGGCAAGCGCATCGCAAACACTGGCAAAGCAAGCGGATAACCAATAAACCGCTATACGTAAAGCAACCTATAAACCCCGCAGGCGTCTCTTCTTCCAACTTCGGCAAGACAGTTGGACGGTTGGTCCTAGGAACACGACTTGCACACGACATGGCCTGGCAAGCCAAGGGTGACACGAGGGGTGTACGATTAGCGATGTTGTGAGCCCGCATGGCCTGGCAAGCCAAGAGTGACACGAGGGGAGTACGATTAGCGATGATGTGAGCCCGCATGGCCTGGCAAGCCAAGAGTGGCATGAGGGGTGTACGATTAGCGATGATGTGAGCCCGCATGGCCTGGCAAGCCAAGAGTGACACGAGGGGAGTACGATTAGCGATGATGTGAGCCCGCATGGCCTGGCAAGCCAAGAGTGACACGAGGGGTGTACGATTAGCGATGATGTGAGCCCGCATGGCCTGGCAAGCCAAGAGTGACACGAGGGGTGTACGATTAGCGATGATGTGAGCCCGCATGGCCTGGCAAGCCAAGAGTGACACGAGGGGTGTACGATTAGCGGTGGTGTGAGAAAGAATGCCCTGGCAAGCCAAGAGTGACACGAGGGGTGTACGATTAGCGATGATGTGAGCCCGCATGGCCTGGCAAGCCAAGAGTGACACGAGGGGTGTACGATTAGCGATGACGTGAGCCCGCATGGCCTGGCAAGCCAAGAGTGACACGAGGGGTGTACGATTAGCGATGATGTGAGCCCGCATGGCCTGGCAAGCCAAGAGTGACACGAGGGGTGTACGATTAGCGGTGGTGTGAGCCCGCATGGCCTGGCAAGCCAAGAGTGACACGAGGGGTGTACGATTAGCGATGATGTGAGCCCGCATGGCCTGGCAAGCCAAGAGTGACACGAGGGGTGTACGATTAGCGATGATGTGAGCCCGCATGGCCTGTCAAGCCAAGAGTGACACGAGGGGTGTACGATTAGCGATGTTGTGAGCCCGCATGGCCTGGCAAGCCAAGAGTGACACGAGGGGTGTACGATTAGCGATGATGTGAGCCCGCATGGCCTGGCAAGCCAAGAGTGACACGAGGGGAGTACGATTAGCGATGTTGTGAGCCCGCATGGCCTGACAAGCCAAGAGTGACACGAGGGGTGTACGATTAGCGATGATGTGAGCCCGCATGGCCTGGCAAGCCAAGAGTGACACGAGGGGTGTACGATTAGCGATGATGTGAGCCCGCATGGCCTGTCAAGCCAAGAGTGACACGAGGGGTGTACGATTAGCGATGTTGTGAGCCCGCATGGCCTGGCAAGCCAAGAGTGACACGAGGGGTGTACGATTAGCGATGTTGTGAGCCCAAATGGCCTGGCAAGCCAAGAGTGACACGAGGGGTTTACGATTAGCGATGTTGTGAGCCCAAATGGCCTGGCAAGCCAAGAGTGACACGAGGGGAGTACGATTAGCGATGATGTGAGCCCGCATGGCCTGGCAAGCCAAGAGTGACACGAGGGGTGTACGATTAGCGATGTTGTGAGCCCGCATGGCCTGGCAAGCCAAGAGTGACACGAGGGGAGTACGATTAGCGATGATGTGAGCCCGCATGGCCTGTCAAGCCAAGAGTGACACGAGGGGAGTACGATTAGCGATGATGTGAGCCCGCATGGCCTGACAAGCCAAGAGTGACACGAGGGGTGTACGATTAGCGATGATGTGAGCCCGCATGGCCTGGCAAGCCAAGAGTGACACGAGGGGTGTACGATTAGCGATGATGTGAGCCCGCATGGCCTGGCAAGCCAAGAGTGACACGAGGGGTGTACGATTAGCGATGATGCGAGCCCGCATGGCCTGGCAAGCCAAGAGTGACACGTGGGGTGTACGATTAGCGATGATGTGAGCCCGCATGGCCTGGCAAGCCAAGAGTGACACGAGGGGTGTACGATTAGCGATGATGTGAGCCCGCATGGCCTGGCAAGCCAAGAGTGACACGAGGGGTGTACGATTAGCGATGATGTGAGCCCGCATGGCCTGGCAAGCCAAGAGTGACACGAGGGGAGTACGATTAGCGATGATGTGAGCCCGCATGGCCTGGCAAGCCAAGAGTGACACGAGGGGTGTACGATTAGCGGTGGTGTGAGAAAGAATGCCCTGGCAAGCCAAGAGTGACACGAGGGGTGTACGATTAGCGATGATGTGAGCCCGCATGGCCTGGCGAGCCAAGAGTGACACGAGGGGTGTACGATTAGCGATGATGTGAGCCCGCATGGCCTGGCAAGCCAAGAGTGACACGAGGGGAGTACGATTAGCGATGATGTGAGCCCGCATGGCCTGGCAAGCCAAGAGTGACACGAGGGGTGTACGATTAGCGATGATGTGAGCCCGCATGGCCTGGCAAGCCAAGAGTGACACGAGGGGTGTACGATTAGCGGTGGTGTGAGCCCGCATGGCCTGTCAAGCCAAGAGTGACACGAGGGGTGTACGATTAGCGATGATGTGAGCCCGCATGGCCTGGCAAGCCAAGAGTGACACGAGGGGAGTACGATTAGCGATGATGTGAGCCCGCATGGCCTGGCAAGCCAAGAGTGACACGAGGGGTGTACGATTAGTGGTGGTGTGAGAAAGAATGCCCTGGCAAGCCAAGAGTGACACGAGGGGTGTACGATTAGCGATGATGTGAGCCCGCATGGCCTGGCAAGCCAAGAGTGACACGAGGGGTGTACGATTAGCGATGATGTGAGCCCGCATGGCCTGGCAAGCCAAGAGTGACACGAGGGGTGTACGATTAGCGATGATGTGAGCCCGCATGGCCTGGCAAGCCAAGAGTGACACGAGGGGTGTACGATTAGCGATGATGTGAGCCCGCATGGCCTGGCAAGCCAAGAGTGACACGAGGGGTGTACGATTAGCGATGATGTGAGCCCGCATGGCCTGGCAAGCCAAGAGTGACACGAGGGGTGTACGATTAGCGATGATGTGAGCCCGCATGGCCTGGCAAGCCAAGAGTGACATGAGGGGTGTACGATTAGCGGTGGTGTGAGCCCGCATGGCCTGGCAAACCAAGAGTGACACGAGGGGTGTACGATTAGCGATGATGTGAGCCCGCATGGCCTGGCAAGCCAAGAGTGACACGAGGGGTGTACGATTAGCGATGATGTGAGCCCGCATGGCCTGGCAAGCCAAGAGTGACACGAGGGGTGTACGATTAGCGGTGGTGTGAGCCCGCATGGCCTGACAAGCCAAGAGTGACACGAGGGGTGTACGATTAGCGATGATGTGAGCCCGCATGGCCTGGCAAGCCAAGAGTGACACGAGGGGTGTACGATTAGCGATGATGTGAGCCCGCATGGCCTGGCAAGCCAAGAGTGACACGAGGGGTGTACGATTAGCGATGTTGTGAGCCCGCATGGCCTGGCAAGCCAAGAGTGACACGAGGGGTGTACGATTAGCGATGATGTGAGCCCGCATGGCCTGGCAAGCCAAGAGTGACACGAGGGGTGTACGATTAGCGATGATGTGAGCCCGCATGGCCTGGCAAGCCAAGAGTGACACGAGGGGTGTACGATTAGCGATGATGTGAGCCCGCATGGCCTGGCAAGCCAAGAGTGACACGAGGGGAGTACGATTAGCGATGATGTGAGCCCGCATGGCCTGGCAAGCCAAGAGTGACACGAGGGGTGTACGATTAGCGATGATGTGAGCCCGCATGGCCTGGCAAGCCAAGAGTGACACGAGGGGTGTACGATTAGCGGCGGTGTGAGCCCGCATGGCCTGGCAAGCCAAGAGTGACACGAGGGGAGTACGATTAGCGATGATGTGAGCCCGCATGGCCTGGCAAGCCAAGAGTGACACGAGGGGTGTACGATTAGCGATGATGTGAGCCCGCATGGCCTGGCAAGCCAAGAGTGACACGAGGGGTGTACGATTAGCGATGATGTGAGCCCGCATGGCCTGGCAAGCCAAGAGTGACACGAGGGGTGTACGATTAGCGATGATGTGAGCCCGCATGGCCTGGCAAGCCAAGAGTGACACGAGGGGAGTACGATTAGCGATGATGTGAGCCCAAATGGCCTGGCAAGCCAAGAGTGACACGAGGGGTGTACGATTAGCGATGATGTGAGCCCGCATGGCCTGGCAAGCCAAGAGTGACACGAGGGGTGTACGATTAGCGATGATGTGAGCCCAAATGGCCTGGCAAGCCAAGAGTGACACGAGGGGTGTACGATTAGCGATGTTGTGAGCCCAAATGGCCTGGCAAGCCAAGAGTGACACGAGGGGTGTACGATTAGCGATGATGTGAGCCCGCATGGCCTGGCAAGCCAAGAGTGACACGAGGGGTGTACGATTAGCGATGATGTGAGCCCGCATGGCCTGGCAAGCCAAGAGTGACACGAGGGGAGTACGATTAGCGATGATGTGAGCCCGCATGGCCTGGCAAGCCAAGAGTGACACGAGGGGTGTACGATTAGCGGCGGTGTGAGCCCGCATGGCCTGGCAAGCCAAGAGTGACACGAGGGGTGTACGATTAGCGATGTTGTGAGCCCGCAAGTGCCGGCCAACCCTGGTGATGATCAAAAGATGCTGCGATGCCTTCTGCTGTGCGGACACGGACGTAAATCCCCCGAGAGTTGGGTGTCGAAATCCGGAGAAGTGGGGTTTTATGCCTGGCCTAGCGGTCAAAACAGTTGACCTCCTACGCACACCGTTCAGAAGCTTTCATGGTGAGGCCAAAGTGGAGAGGGGTTAGGGAAACGCAACGCCTGAAGGACCGTAACGGTGCATGCTGTGCCGCTGCACGGAAAGAGGTGTTTTGCGCGCCAGATTACCTCTGCTATTGGCGACACAGGCTGCGCTAGAGGATTGCCAATTGGCACCTAGGCCTATCCACGATTCCGGTCTGCAGACTTCCAGGACTAATGGGAATGAAGGTGCGTCAGCGAGTCTGTTGCAAGCTTGCAAATTCTGAGCGTCATAACCCTGGCCAGCTCGGTCCGCATAAAGGGCCCCGCATACTTGAAAAGCCCACTCGGCCCCTACTCAATGCCTTGTTTTGCGCGCGCATGCAAGTATGTACACAGCGCTTACGCATGGCGGCACTCCGGCCACGTGTCTGGTGGAAGTAAACACCCATCGTACCGGACGTTATTGCCTCCGCAACCCCCAGCGTCTTCCGCTAGATCAAGAAGCTGCACACCGTACGGCCTGCAGACATGCCCCTGTACACCTCCTAACCGAAAGACAGCGAACAGCGACACAGCAGCTCCCCTACCTTGCCTGCATTCCCGCTCGCAGTATCCGCACAACCACCGGCAGTCCTGCCAACCGCATCCGTTCATGAAAGCGCCGCAGCTAGCGACGTCCGCTTCGCCAGCAGCTCCTGTGCCGCCTCCTACACCCGCCTCCTACCCCCCGCCCCAGCTCCCAGTAACTCAGCCCTCCCTGCAGCGCTCCCCTCACGTGCTCACCAGAGTCCCCGGCTGCCGGTAGTAGCTCACTACGTCCGACGGGAACAGCTCGTTGATGCCCACCAGGTGCGCACGCCCCTTGACGCACAGCCGCCCCTCCAGCTCCTGTAACCGCATCAGGCCCCCGCTCGTCACGAACTGCTGCCGGCTCTTGGCGTCGCGCGCCAGCAGCGGCTCCGCGCGCCGCAGCACATGCTTCAGCACCGCCGGCGGTGTGCTGTCCGCAACGAGCGGCTCCAGCGGGGCCGTGCTGTTGCAGTTGCGGATCAGGGACTTGAGCGCGGCCTTGCAGCGCAGGAAGATGGCGCCCTCGGCTCCATCCGGCGCCACCGCCGCACCCTCCGCTGACGCCACGTAGCCCTCCAGGACCGCGGTTAGCGCGCCTTGGCCGATGAGCGGCATGGTGGTCTCGTCGCCGTGCTGCGACATCTGCTCCAGAGCCCATGCGGCCGCGGAGGGGATGCTCACCACGCTCTCATGCCCGCTGCCGCCGGCGGAGGAGGCAGGCTTGGAGGAGCTGGTCTTGCGGGTGCTGCCTGTAGCGGCGGGACCGGTGCCCGCACTGGTAGCGGACTTGGCGCTAGGGCTGGGCTTGGAGGCGGAGAGCGGTGTGGTGGGGCCGCCCGTGCCCGACGTGTGTGCGGCCGTGGCTGCGCCCTTGACCGCAGAAGGCACACGATGGTGGTGGTTGTGGTGATGGTGCGCAGCCCCGTGCGTGTTGACACCCCGCCCACCCGCTGCTGACGCACCCCCTGCACCGCCGCCAGGTCCGCTGGCAGCGGCGGCAGCCGCCGCCGCCGCCGCCGCGGCTGCAGCCGCCTCCGGCCCCAGAACCGCCCTCCGCAGCGCCTGCACCACCTCCGCCCCCACGCCCGCATCCACCACCGCCTTGGCAGTGGTGGGGCTGTAGCTGGCCAGTGTGCCCGCCAGCGTCACCCCGGTGCTGCACCCCTCGCCGTCCGTCTCCATCTGCAGGTATCTCGCCAGCGCCGCGGGGCAGCCGCCTCCGCACACTTCCGCCGCCAGGCTGGGTGTCTTGCGCCCCAGCTGCAGCAGCAGTGCGGCCGCCGCCCGGCGCACCTGCGGCACCATGCGGTCCGCCAGGTGCGCCACGGTGGGCTCCACCAGGCCCGGCGCCGCCACCTGCGCCGCCAGCTGCTCGTGGTGGCAGGCCAGGTGCGCCAGGCAGTTGAGGGCGGCGGCGCGCAGGTCGGGCGGGGTGGTGCCGCCGCGGACCAGCAGCGACACGGGGGGCAGCGCGTTGGCCCTGGGGAGAGGGTGGGAGGAGGAGGCTTAGGTTAACCGAGCCGCGAGGAAGGTGGGAGGAGGAGGGGCGCCCTTCACACGCAAGCATGCGCAGCACCTCTTCTCCACTCGGAAGCTAAACGACCCGGGGAAGACCGTGCTAACTACGCAGGACATCCACCCCAACACACCCCAACCACACGCTCCAGCTTTCTCAACCCACACCACCCACTTGATGACCGCAGTCGCCATGTCCGCCCCGTATCTGGCGGTGGTGGCCAGCGTGTTGACCACTGCGCGGCACAGCGAGGGCGGCGAGTCCTGCGCCGTCAGCAGCCCCACCAGCAGCGCCAGCAGCGTCTCGTCCGCGATGAGCGCCGCGTGGTCGCGGTGCGAGCCGATGAGGGAGTTGAGGTTGCGTACGGCGCTCTCCTTGACGGCGGCGGTGCCGGCGCGCAGCTGCACCAGGATGCCGGGCATGGCACCTGGGGGCGGGGGCGGGGAGAGGGAGAGGGGCAGGGAGAGGAAGGGAAGCAGAGAGGCGGTGTGGGTCAGTGGTAGAGAGTGGGCGTGCCGCGCGCGAGATAAGTAGTGCCTGTTCCTGTATCCAATCTCCACCCCTTCCCTTCTAGTAGCATCCCCCAGCCCACCTGCCTCCAGCACCCTCCTTGCAAAGTCCACTGAGCTGCCCGCCACCGCCGCCAGCACCATGTTGGCTCCCGCCTGCACCGGGGCGCTCTCGTGGCTCATGGACAGCACAACGCTGGGAGGGAAGGGGGAGGGAAGGGGGAGGGAAGGGGAAGGGAAGGGGAAGGAGGGAGGCAGCGGAGGGGAGTTGACAAGTGATGGAAGCGGAGATAAAGAGGGCGGGAGGTGAGGGCGAGGGGAAAATTGTAAATAAGTGCAAAAACGCAGTCCCTGGGCGATGGGAAGGGGTCAGGGCGAGGGAATGTTGCTCCGGTGCTCAGACGACAGGCCGAGAGGTAAGAGTAGGTAAGCAGGGGTCTGGCGGTGCTGATATGCAAACATGGGCATCTGGGTCGGGTCGCTCGGCCCGTGTTCCCGTGTCGCGACTGTTACCTGTCTAGAACGCCGCATGATACAACTGCTTGTGACAACAGCGGGTCGCAGCCAGCTAGCCTGGAGAGGTTCTGGAGTGCTAGAGCTTGGATGCCTGGGAAACGAGGGAAGGGGGAAGGATGGTAAAACAGGCAAGGCAACACCCCTAAAGTGCCCGTTCTGGAGGCTACATGCATGTCGTCTTACCGGGCACCGGGTCCTGTGCAAGCGGGCAACAGAGAGTTGCGAGCACATCCTTCTTCATTAAAGCTTCGAGCATGACATTCTGGGGGTCAAGTCTGTCTAGGAATCCCTGCGAATTTTGGGTCGGATGGTGTGTTGCATCGGGGCAGGCCGCGATCCTTGACAAGCTAAATGTGGTCCAGGAAAACGATATCACCTGCAGGGTATTTACAAACGTGTTCTTTGCAACCTGGTATGCCGTGAAGGCCTGGTCTACTTGCTTAAGGATTCCGGCCACTTCGGCTACGGAGGTGAGCTTATTAGTTGGTGTTGGCATTTCTGGTGTAAATATTAGTATGTATGGTAAAGGCGTGGGGATTTGGGCAAAAAGCTAGGGGTTATAACTCATTATAAGCAAGCACGAAAGGCAACATTGTCCCTATTGCACACACGCACTGCATAGATCTCCCATAACCAATGGTGAGCGTTGTATCGGGTTGAGGATCCCCTTCGAAGTAGCCGTACCTGTGTACGGCTTTAAAGGGCGCCAACTGATTGCGCGAAGGGCTATGCCAACAAAGCTATGTTTCCACAAATGGTACGAGACGTGTGTGTAACATTGCTTTGACTGAGGTCACAGGACGTCAGAGCCATGTGGTCGGTGCCGGGTGTTGCAGCGCAATTGCAAGCCAGGGCCTTGAGGCCCCTGCTTGCTCCTCCGCTTCCATTCGCTGTCTATAGCATTGTAAACTATAGTAATAATGCAATTATGCTCATATTGCGGCAACGTTTCTCATGCCTACATGGGTACCGGTAACAGAAGTGGCAAGGCCTTTCCCGGATGCAGACGTCAGTTTGCTTGCAGGTATCGTTTCCAAAGGGAGACGGCGTTAGTTCTTAGGCATTTGCCATGCCATTTTCCAACTTGGAGGTTGCGAGTGTGACTAGGATCGCTCAGGGACATGCGCCTGCGTATTTAGACTTGTATACTGCAGTCCTCGTGTGGCAGGTGCCATCGCTTAAGACTCCTCAGTTACAAACATGTCAGCGATCCTTCGTTCCGAGGTCTGCCATGGGGCCACGTCCGTGGGTTTCACCCACGGGATTCGCATGCGTTTCACAAGAAGCGCCGCAAACCTAAACTGGCGCGTAGATTGTCCGTAGGTTCCCCTCCATCCTAGATGCGGCTTGTGCATGCCGTGTGAGTGCCGATATAATCCTCCCAGCTCAGTAACAAGGATTACAATAATCGAGGGCCCAACGCAAGGGTGCCGTGGAGCAAGTACGGTCGTATTTTACGGCGCCGTACAACGCATAGCAGCTACCGTACAGCGTGTCCCAATCAATCGGTATTGCGAACAAGGCTGTTTCTGCTCTCAGGATATCCAATAAACACACGTCTGTCACACTGATGTGCAACGCCAATGCGATTGCTTTTGCGTCGCCCGTACGGCTAGTTGCATGAGCAGTTTGGAAGCGCCATGCGGGGCTGACGGCTTGTCTGTCGCCACCCCTGACATCGGAAGCAAAAGCAAGACCCCTGTCCTGGAATAACAGGCATGCACCTAGATTGCCAAAATATAGAGGCATGTCTATAAGTGGAAATAGCACCCCTAGTTCGTTCCGGAGCAAGCAACCCGCTCTTCCTGCGCAACCTGCTCCGATGCACCCTAGCATGCGCAATCACTCCTCCTGGCGTCTACTGCTCTGTACCAGATGCAATCTCACTATTACGCCTATAACCTGCCAAACCTCAATGCGTAAACCTACTGCATGCATCCATGTGAATTGGTATCACCGCTGCAAAGCACTGTCCATCCGCTTAAAGCACTCCACACAATTGCTCGTACACACGCTTTGCCGAGTAGCAGAGTTTGCCAAGGTAAATCCCTCAGGCAGCATCACGGGTCGTCTGCAAACATCCGCCACGCATGCTCATTACATACAGCTAAAAATAATACTGATCCTACTGGTCTACCTACCCACACTTTCCAACAACAAAGCGCGCATAGCCCCCCCCAGTGCAAGTATGGGGTTCGCTTATGCAAACATAAACAGACGACGATGACTACTCCAGGGCCTGCGACGACCCATGGGTGTGTCGTAACCTTTACTCTTTAGTCGACAATCTAGTAAAGAATTCCGCCTTGGCACCACCGCTACGAGCGAACAAACTGTACGACTATCACCAACCGTGGTACACCACGCTTGGGTCTCTGAACCAACGTCCTAAATCAATATAGTCGAACTCCTTCGTACCCAACAAGAGCAGGGCAAGCAGCGCCGCCACTGCCTGGCCACCCGCCTGCAGCACGTATGCCATGCACGCTACAATCATAGCGGATGTGCGCTTGCGAGGATCACGGATCACAGGACGGATCCACCCAGCAGCAATCATCCTCCTCAACACGCACGCATCACTCCCAGCAAGCACGCAGCTCCCCCACCCACACACCCGCCCGGACTAGCAGGACCACACGGTCACGTCACCGTCACGCGGCGACCATCTCCGGCTGCGGAGGAGCGCCCACTGCCGCTGCTGTTACGGTCGCTGCTGCTTTGCCGGCGCTGTCGGGCCGGGAGGACGGTGTTGCCCCTCCCCCGCCACCATCACCACCTCCTAGTGGCCCCGCTGCTGCTGCTGTTGCCGCGTCCTCCTTCCCCGCCTGGTTCCCCCGCTGCGCCGCCTGCTGCCGGTACTGCCGATGCGCCTCCTCAATGGGATGCCACTCGCCCTCGCCGCCCAGCTCTCGAGGCAGCAGCTGTAGCGGGAGGGGTTGTGGAGGGTGAGGGAAAGAGGGCAGGCGTTGGGCATGCTGTTTGGAAGCATTGGTACGCAAGCCCGAGAGCCCTCATGCAACAGGAACGAGACGACCAACCATGTATCTATGTTACCCAGACTCCAGGTCGCCAGTGCCCGGCCTACACCCTGGCAACAAACTGCATGATATAGCCACGCCGCCCCTCCCAAACCCCAGCACTCACATGCAGGTCAAACACCTTTTCGAACTCATCGTGTGCGTTCTTGGCGAACACAAAGTTGATCTTGGTCTTGGTGACCGGGTCCACCTGGTGACGTGGGGCGGGGAGGGGGGAGCAAGGTACGGCAGCGCATGCAAGTTGCGCAGAGGCAGCAACGATTGTGGCATTCAAGGTTCCGATAGCTGAAGCTCCCACCTGCTATTGCTGGAAAAGGTACTGCGAAGGCAGGCAACCACGTGTATTTGTGCCTACAAAATTCGGAATCCGCAACTCCCCACCCCCAGCGTCACCCGCTTAACAGCAAAACACATGCTCCGCCACTCACAAAGGGGCTGACGGCCCGCCAGATCGCGTAGAAGGCCATGGGCGCCTCGTACAGGAACAGCCGGCCTAGTCGCTCGGGGTCTGCGACGTGGCACATGTGTGTTGGGTGTTGGGGAAGAGGGTTAGGAGGTGTGCATGGCAGGGAGAGGAAGAGGATTCGGGGAGGCAGGGAGCTGGGGCGAGGTGGTACAGCAGTCAGCCCAGGCGGTGTCGCATACCGGTAAGCAGGTCGGAAAGCCATTCGGGCGCCCTTCACGCTGGTCACCCCAGTTAGCGCTTCACATGTCCTATATGCGTGCAGGGTAACCAGGGATCCATCGACACCGACCCATGGGTCCGCATGGGTACTGCGTAGCCCCTACTTACAGTGGTTTTGAAGCAGCTCAAACATGGTTTGTAGAGCCGTCAGGTCCGCGTTCTTAAGGCCCATGTCTGCATGAGCATGAGCGGAAACAGGATTTGAGCGGTTGAAGGAGAGGAGCCCGATTAGCGCATGTGGATAGAGGGGCCTGAATTGCTTAGGCAGTCGCGGCAAGTTCCCTATGTCAAGTTCGCATCCCTTCAGCTGCAACCGACCAACGCCCGGCCTAACCCGAAACCCAAGGGCTGTCCTTCATTTCGTCCCTTTCAGGTTTATTGACTTCCTCATCTCGTTACTTTTACTACTTTTACCACATTCCATCCTCCCCTCCGACTCACTCACTCCGCAGGTCAAACACGCCCGTCAGCTTGCCGTCCCAGCCCTCGTGGGAGTTCCTGCGGCGGCGGATTGCAACAGCAGCATCAGCATGAGAGACGACACGGGGTAGCGCGCTTGCAACTCTTCCTACACCAAGATGACTAGTTCACATACCGCCGTTGCTCCCAATACCGGCACTGTACCACCCCCCCATCACTTCACCTAGCTCTACCCACCGCGGCCCCTCACCTCCACTCCCCACCGCAGTCCCCCCCCCCCACCTCACCCGATGGCTATTGCGGTGTCCAGCGCATACGTGCAGAAGGCCAGTGCGTCCTCCTTGCTGTCGAACCTGCGGTGCCGCGCGCCCACCCCCAGCACGATGGGGCGGCCCTGCTTGTCTAGCCCTTGCAGGAACACCTGCGGGGTGGGGAGGAGGGAGGAACATGTTGGGTAGGGCGGTGGCCAAGCCCTAACGCTTTAACGATAGAAAGCGCAAAACGGTGGCATGGGAAGAGGGAAAGGACCTTGACGTCTAGGTTTCCGCTTGTGCCCGTGCGCACAAGTGTCACAGCCCTTATGCATGCACATGTACGACCCGCGTGCCGCTGTCGTACCTTTTTGTGCTGCAGGTTGACCTGCACGCCGTGGTGCTCCTCTTCCACGGGCCGCCCGGGACCCCGCCGCCAGGTGATGTGCTTTTCCAGCATAGCCGCGGCAGCCTGGGTTGCGGATGGATGGAGCGGGTATGGGGATGCTTGGGCATTACATGGTTGGAAGCTCGAGGAAAGAAACGTGGTGTACGTGAGGACAAGGCGCGGGGCACGTGGAGGATGTTGGCAGAGCGAAAGTGGGTTTCACTTGCGAGCTTGGCGGTAAATGGAGTGTCGGCCAGCCCAGGCCCACCAAACATGCAGCATTAAATGAACAAACAAGGAGCGCAATCATCTTGCATGTGAGTGATAAGCAGCTTCTGCGGCTGGGAATATCCACAGGCATAATTGGCCTGCTACGTGTTGCAATGACTATGTAACCAAGCTGAGAACCTATGTGATTATATTCTTCATATAAAGGTAGCACATGATATGGCATACGTAGATCCTAATTGCCAAAAATGAAGCCGAACCTGTTGGCGGACTTCGTCAGACTGCATGCGAGACCGCCGTAGCAAGCATACCCTGCCCAGACCCTGACGCGCAGCTTACACACCTTTACATCGCCTTTTCGAGCGATTAGCCATCGGGATAGTAGCTTGTCCGTGAGGCCTTCCTCGAAGGCGCTTTTCAGCACCTCTTCAGCATCTGGAGGCATTAGTTTCCGAAGTTCGTCCAGGTCATGTTGCTTGGGGTGATAAGGCGGATGCGGTGCCATTGTTTATAAATAGGCGCTAAGAAGTCGGGCAGCGAGCAACAAGTCACAGGTAAGGTATCCAAGCGTTGGTTACTTCAGTGTTGTTATGTTTAGCGCTTTGCAGACAAATATACCATTACTTTCGAAACACGCTTGCTATTACTCCTTTCGTTGCTTCGCGGACGATGAAAGTCAATGCCGTACTGGGTTACGCGCGTGCCGGCGTAATGGTCGTTGGCGTGGCGCATTCCATGCCTTAAGCCATCGTCAATATCACTTCTTAGCATTTGCTCCTAACCAATTAGTCCTTGTCTTTGGTCAGGAACCAGTCGAAGTCCTAACAAGTCCCTTTATCATGGAGTGCCCCCCAAAGCGCGATGACTCCAGATGCGCTGTGTTGAGCCTGGCCTTAATTCCAACTAACTTCAATGCAATTGTATACATCAGCTGCAGATGCGCTGCGGCGAAGCTTTAGTCATGATCTGTTGAGTAACAGTACTGTACTGTAGAGGGCTTGATGGCGGTGGTAGTAGCAGACGGGCTGCATCAGCAACTTTCCAATGTTCCCACAGCGTTCTATGTCATACCGGGACATCACGGCTGGATGTAACGGATGGAATAGCGGCCCCAGATGCGCCAATCAACAACCGCTGTGAAGGCACCGCCGCTTCACCAAGACAAGACGGCGCTATCAGCCTTCAGCTATCCCACAACGCGGACAAACCAGCCCAAGCAGCCACAAACCGCCTTGTCCACGACTCGCACCCATTCATGGCACCAAGTTGGCAGTCCATGTCACGCCCGTTCCGCCACCGGCCCTCTGCCTTTGCCTGCACGGTTCTACCGTCCTCCGAAAGCCTTGATGCACCCCCACCGCATCCCACCCGGATCCTTGCCTAGCAGACCACAACCCCCACAAGCTGGAGCCACTCAGAGGCCAATTCCAACCAGCTCGGCATCCGGGAAGCTGGCAGAGGTGCAGCGCACGGAAAGATGGACCCCGTGGCTTCCACATGCCCACCGGCATGGGGCAGCAGCTCCGCTCCACCCCCTGGTCCCCTTCCTACCGATTGCCCCCTGTGGCGGGAGCAGTCAAGCCATACCGTATTCGCCCCAAGGGCAGCCGCGTTGCCTCGGCCACCGGATCAGCTCACGTTACCCGGTCCGGCCAGCTGCGACCATCCCTGGCTGTCGACGGCAAGCGGGCATCACAAACTCGGCATCTTGCAGCTCATTAAACACTTGTGTGTGATGCAGATTTAGCAAGACTAGAGTTTTGCGGGTCGTGTGGGGCGATTATGCTTGCACTGGTCATCAATGGTATTCTCGTAGATTAACGGCCATCATCTAAACAAAAGGCTTTCTGCTTACCGTACCGTATACAATGAACACGCAGGAAACATTGGCTTGTCCCGCGATGGCTGTCGCTCCCGTACTACCGAGGGATTGTGTGGAGAGTAACAGACACTGTTGAGCCACCTCTGCCATAACTTCATTGTAAGCTGCTGATCTCTTTAACAGCGTGACTGATGCAGGAAACTTGCAAAGGAACGCGCCAAAGCCCATGGCCGAGCGTTAACGCGCCAACGAAGGGCCCGGCCCCGCGATGCACCACTTTGCACCTATTACATTGCCCAACTACTTCACATCATGTATGTAAAGGCACACAACGTGATGCCACGAAGGCCGTTCCTGACGTCAAGTACGGCAACAGCAGCAGCAACTGCCAAGCGCTACCCGGTGACGCGGACTATGCAGCCAGCAGAAGAAGCCAGAAGCCCATCGCTAAGTCGCGACCCGCTCCCAGTCCGGCCTCCAAGGGCACGACACCGGAAGATGCTGTCGCCGCAACCGCACAGTCTGCCGTTGCTGCCATCCTCGCAGCTGCCATAACACTCACAGCACCCTTCAGCCCCCCTGCCGCGGCCTTCACCCCTCCTCTTGCCCTCAGCACTCCCGCCCCTGCCACACCCCCAGCCCCCTCCCTCCTAGCTGCCTCCCCGGCAGCGCCTGCGCCCCTGCTCGCAGCCACCACCACCCCCGCCAGCGCTGCTACTGCCGCTGCCCTCCAGCCCCCAAGCGACGCATCCCTCACCCCCCTAACCACGTCCATCGCCCCGGCCTCCAGCCCAGCCTCTATCTCAGCCCCCTCCACCTCCAGCCCCATCCCCACCTCCCTGCGCTTCACCGGCCCGGAGGCGCTGCACCTGCTGCCGCCCCTTCCCACCAGCTTCCCGCCCCTGCCCGACCTCAAACTGCCGCAATACACCATGGTAGGTACTGCATGGGTCAGGTACGACACCGCCGAGCATGAGTTGGTAACAGGCCGTTGCTGGTACGCCATGCGCTGCGAAACTAAACACCTGGCCGACCAGCTCCACCCACCTCCTCCCTTGTTCCCCTCTTCCTCACCCCCTCTCGCCCCTCCACCCCCTTACAGACCACGCTTCCGAACGGACTGCGCATCTTCCTCCTCCCAGACCCCGAAGTCCCCCTCGTCCGCGCCACCCTCCTGATGCGGGGCGGGCAGTACGGCAGTCCCCCCGACAAGGTGGGCCTTGCGTCGCTCACCGCTGCCGTACAGCGGGCCGGCGGCAGCACCCGCCACCCGGGGCCCTCCCTGGACGGCCGGTTGGAGGAGCTGGCTGCGGGTGTGGAGGTGGGCGCGGGGGTGCAGGCGGTGAGTGTGGACATGGCGTGTCTGGCGGAGGACGTGGAGGAGGTGATGGGGCTGATGGCGGAGGTGGTGAGGTGAGGGGGTGGGAGGATTGGGGGGGAAGGAGGGGGTAGGGGAGGAGAGGAAGGGTAGGTACATGGTTATGGGTAGGAGGGCGTGTGGACGGTGGGGGTAAGGAGTGGTGTGAGCTACTCACGCTTGTTCTTTCTACTCGAGCCGCTGCACATGCCGCTAACCATGGGCTGCAACAGGTCACACAGCAACCTATTCCTCTTTAAACAAGCAGCGCCTCCTCCTCCGACCTCCTCCTCCTCTTTCCCCCTCCGGAGGTTCACCATGGGTTGCTACCATTTGAAGCAGCCCAGGGTGAAGCCTCGCCATTCAACTCGTCCGCTTCCTCTTATCACTCATCCGTATATGCAATCCTTACTACCACCTTAAGTGGAACACCCGCTCACTGTTTCCCCCCCTCCCCGCCAGGTCCCCCGCCCTTCCCCCCGCCCAGCTGGACCTCCTGCGCGCCCAGCTGATCAACGGCCTGCAGCACCAGAACGACTCCCCGGCAGCCATTGCGCGGCGCAAGATGACCAAGCTGCTGTACGGCAGCGACTCGCTGTACGCTCGTACACCCACACCCGCCAGGTGGGGGGGCGGGGTAGGCGGGGGGGGGATAGCGGGGCGGGGTAGCGGGGGGGTGTGATGGTGGCTTGCGGGTGCCTCCGATTGGTACTTCCGATCAGTACTAGATTAGATTTCCTCACTTCCCCCTCCCCTCCCGCCCCACCCCGCCCCCAGCATCTCCTCCATCACCCCCGCCGACCTGCGCGCCTACGTGGACCGCTGGGAGCGACCCGACGCGGCGGTGCTGGGGGTGGTGGGCGCCTTCCAGCCCGAAGACATGCTGCAGCTGCTGGCACGGGAGTGGGGCGACTGGGCGCCGGCGGAGGGGCAGCCGGAGGTGCCGCCGGAGGTACCGCGGAGCAGGCCGCCAGCACTGCCGCCGCGGGTGCGAGCGGCGGCGGAGGTGGCGGCGGTGGAGGCGGCGGGGGAGGCGGGGGATGGGGAGAAGAGGGTGAAAGAGGGGGGAGCGGAGACGGAGTCGGGGGCAGGGGCGGGGGCGGCGGCGGCGGCGGCGGCGGGGTTGCGACCGGTGGTGTACCTGGTTGACCGGCCGGGTCTAACGCAGGTGGGGCTGGGGAGGAGGAGGAGGAGGGGATACGGTAGAAGGGGTCGTGGTATATGCCCCCTGTTGTGCATGCGGTGCGTCTCAGGGGCCTGGCGGTGTGGGGCTTGCACGGCCCCCGACGAGGAATGCGGCTCTGCGTGAAAGGCCCTGCGTCGACATGACACTACATTACCCCCCCCCCGTTTGCCGTTTGTCAACATAATGAATTAGTCCCCCCCCCACACACAACCCCCCTCCAGGCCACCGTGCTGGTTGGCGAGCCCGGCATTCCCCTCTCCGACCCCGATCTGTTCCCGCTGGATGTGTTGGGCGGCGTGTTCAACTCCTTCGGGGGGCAGCTCTTCGACACGCTGCGCAGCCGGCAGGGGCTGGCCTACTCGGTGGCGGGCGGCTGGGACAGCCCGCCCGACCACACGGGGCTCTTCCTGGCAGGTGGGGAGGAGCGGGGGGGAGGGCCGGGCGGCGGGCAGGAGGAGCGGACAGGAGGAGCGGATGAGGTCCCTGTGAGGGCCAGTGCAGGGCGAAGGGTGTGGCTTGGGACATGAGACTAAAAAGGATCCGTCGCTTTCGGACCAGGTTTGGCACTATTTATCCCCTTGCCTCCCTCCTAACCCCGCCTCCCCCGCCCCCCAGGCGGCCAGACCTCCTCCCCCGGCGAGTTCCTCACCTCCCTGCGCCGCCTGCTGCAGCGAGCCACCGCCGCCTCCTCCGGCCCCTCCGCCTCCGAGCTGGCCGCCGCGCAGGCCGAGACGCTCAACTCCTTCGCCTTCAACTTTGCCAGCAGCGCCGCGCAGCTGCAGCGCATACTGGTGTACGACCTACTGGGGCTGCCGCAGGTACGGCGTACGGTGTAGGAAGGGAAATGGCCGTACGACAAGATGCCATTGTACATTCCGACATGCACGCACATTTGGTCGTCTCTTGAACCATGATCGCTTGATAGTTACATCCTCGCCCTGCACCCTCACACGCACCTCCTCGCCCCCCCCCCACCCCGCAGGACTTCCTGTTCCGCTACCAGCGCGGTATCGCCGCTGTTGGCCGGGGTGCGGTGCTACGTGCGGCCGCCGCCCACCTGCACCCGGGGGCGCAGGCGGTGGTGGTGGTGGCGGACGGGGGCCGCGTGCGGGCGGGGCTGGAGGCGGCGGGGTACGAGGTGGTGGAGCTGGGGCTGCAGGACGGCGGGCAGGAGGAGGAGGAGGAGGCGGGGGCGGTGGAGGGGGTGGTTGGGGAGGCGGCTGTGTAGAGGTGCATGGGGAGGGCTGGCGGTGAGGCAGTGGTGATGTGGAGGGAGGGTGACTGGTGGGGGCAGCATCGGGTGCGGCTGCGGTGCTTGTTTGGGGTGTGATGGTTGGGAGCGGGGTGCCGGTATGTGTCAGGTTGAAGCCTGGATAGGCGCTACCTCTGCTGGGTAGCCACCTCTGCAGGGTGCAGGAGCGCTGCTGTGTGTGTTTGCCTTGCATGGCTGCTTGCGGGCTGCAACGCCGCGGCAACACTGCACCCCCCCGGTGTAATGACATGCTGCGCACCGTTCGTGGTGCATTGTTTCGGTGCGCGAGTGCGTGCAGTGAAGGGTGGGAACTAGCACAGGAGGTGGGTGAAAGGGACTACCCGGTCAGTGAGGAGACGCGGGGGACCCGTCACCGCTATGCCGCCGGCGGGAGGAGGTGCAGCTACCAGTTTCGACGAGGACTTCCCGACGGCTATGCACTGGGCTTAGCCGTTGCTGGTGGTGTATTTAAGGGGCTTATCTGAGAGCACGCGCTCAAAAACGGATGCGCTTTCTTGCTGCTTGATGCAGGAGAGACCACTTCGCCCGACGCGTAAGGCCATTTGTGCAGGTCAGCATGCCGACATGTCGCGACGATGTGCGTCACACGCAAGGAACGACAACCCCACATGCGGCTTCTGGCAATGGACACTATACAATACAGTCTACTCGGTGCTGTTAGGAAGGCTTTGGCAAGGATTTTATGGTGATGCGGGTGCAGAGTTGTAGCTTGTGGGATGCCATTGCAGGCAGGATCCACTGGTGCCGAGCGACCGACTGCCGGTCTTTCAAGTAACTTGAGCAGTGCATGCAGTTGCTACATGGGCTTCACCTGGCTTGACATGGCAGTGCCAGTTGATGGTGATTAGACGAGCGGGAGCCCATGTCATGTGCGAACATCAGCAACACTGCGAGCCGACACCTCTGTGACCTAGCGACTTAACATTGGCATTCGAGTGTGACCCAAGTAGTACCGAAGAAAGAATGAGAATTAGAGCAGACAGCTGGGGTACCAGTAGCAGTAGCAGGAGGTAGACACACCCCTGATACCATACAACATTAAGTTGCTCAGAGGTATACTCGTTGGACTTTATTGTATTTTGGGAGACATAAGCAAACCAAACCCAAGTCATTGCACACCAAAAGGAGGAGTTTGCCCCTGACTTCTCAGCTTCGCATGTTCGACATTGACTAGACCCTAACAGACATAGCTGTGCAAAAGACCACTAGTTGAAGCTGATATACCAAAGTTTCACCCTTCTTGGGCGGACGCGAACCAAGGGGTCCGGTGGTTGTGGAGGCGCTAATGTTGCTTTCGGCAAGCACATCCGGCGAAGCCATAAGCCATGCCAGCGAGATCGTGAAGAAGTGTTTGTCCAACCACCAGACAGATTTGGGGATATCATTGGAGGAGCCCGGTCTTGGCGAGGTGAGTGAGTCGCACCCAGTAAGCAATCTCGGGGGATCTCGCATGCTTACATTTAATGTGTTTTGTAAGGTCACATCAAGAGTTTAGGGAGGGCGTGTGGGCTTGATGCTTTCACGAATTATCCGTAGCACGTTTTCCGTAATTTGCTTTTGCCGTTTTGGGCACACAAGCCATGAACAAGTTATGGTCAGGGTAATCGATGCTTTGGATTTATACACTCGTTGTTCTGCAGACTTTTACTTTAGCTAGACCGATGGACCGCAACATATAGCTGCGCATGGCCACCCAACCTGCCACGCCTTTATTGTAGGGCACGTAGGGTTAACACAGTGGACATCCTATTTACTTCATCTAAAGGACGCACTCCTTTGTGCTGTGCTGTTTCGTAGGCGGAGAGCGTGCCTGTTTCATCTTTGAGCGAAGCTTTACTTGTTCGGCTAAACAGTAACTCAGACGGTTCCTGCACAGATCAGGACCAAAATTCTTGTCCGAGCAAGGACGACTCTTCCCTTGCAAGCGGCCCGGAGTCTTCATCTTCTTCCGCTTTCCTCAGCGTACATAGCCTAAGCCCAAGCCGCTATAACAGCTTAGGTGGTGGATCACATTGCGCATCCGACAACGGCACCGACTTCCACCTTCCCGTCCCTCCAACCGTCCAGCCTCAACCTCGCCCTTCCCCACCGACTCCCACCCAGCCTCGGCGCCCCTTCCTCGCGCGCCCCAACCTTCCCCCTCGCGCCAGCCCCCGAGTATCCCCCTTACCCCACCGCATCCCTCGCCCACCCGGCGCGCGACCAGCCACCATGGACGACCCCAACCCCACCTCCTCCGCCTCCTCCTCTGCCCAGCCCGCTTCCCAGCAGCCGGCTCCGCCCTCGCTGCTGCACTCCCCCAGCCTCCCCTCCGACCCGGCGCTGCTGGGCGTGCAGGACAAGATCATCAAGCTCACCCGCGAGCAGGCCGCCGAGCGGCAGCAGGTGCTGACCAACCTGAAGGAGGAGCAGCGGCGGCTGGCGGCGGTGCGCAAGGAGATTGCGGAGACGGAGAAGGCCAATGCGGAGCTCAAGAAGAGCCTGGCGCGCACGGATCTGAAGAAGCTGAAGGACCAGAAGGAGGCGCTGGCGACACAGGTGGGGGCGGTGGGGCAGGGCAGTGGCTTGTGGCAAGGAGAGTAGGGAGAAGGAAATACCGGGCGATTGGCAGGGGATAGGGGCTATGTACGCTGCTAAGCATTTTCATTGTATTGCATCCTTAGGGAGTGGGAGTTGGAGTCAGAAGAACTAGACCTCCCCCTCGTTTCCTAGCATTACGCACCTCCCCCCCTCCTTCCCGCCTGCACCCCCAGGCTGCCGAGGCGGAGCAGCTGGCCGCCCAGGTTGCCGCCCTGCGCGCCACCGCCAACCGGCTGGCCGCCCTCAAGGCTGAGCGGGCCCGGCTGGAGCCGCTGAAGGGCGAGGTGGCGGGGCTGGAGGAGCAGCTCAAGGAGCTGAGGCAGCTGGAGGCAACCAGGAATGCGCTGCAGGTGGGGATTGGGAGGGCGGCAGAGGGAGGGTTGCAGTTTGGGGGTACTTTGCACCGTTACCAAATAGTGGGCATGTGGGCACACGCTCTGCGCTACGGCATGGCACCACACCTGCTGCTCCTTCTCGACCAGTTCCGTTCCGTAGCCCATGCTGCGTACCCGCTGCCCCGGCGCTCCGTTCCTCAATTCCTCCTCCCCCCCCCCTCTTCCTCCTCCCCAGGCCGAGGTCGCGGTTCTGCAGCCCGCCGCGGTGGTCACTGAGCGCCTGCGCAAGCAGCTGACCTCGCTGCGTGCGGACGCGGAGGCGGCTCACGGGTTGCAGGAGCAGGTGGCGGCGCTGAGCCCGGTGGCGGAGCAGCTGCCGGGGCTAAAGGCGCTGGCCGCCAAGCTGCAGGCGAGCGCGGCGGAGGTGAAGCACCTGGAAAAGCAGCTGGAGCAGCGGGACAAGATGGAGGCGCTGAGGCAGCAGCTGCACGCGCAGCTGGAGGAGATGACGGGGAAGGTGAGGGAGGGGATGTGGAGAGGTGGAGGTATGGGGGATACCGGTATGGCAGGGGGTACGGATAGAGCGGGATGAAGATCTTGGACCCGGGCGCCGCACCCGGCGAGGCGGCTCTAGAAGGTCTCTTCTTGACCCGGTTGACCTTTCCAATGATTCCTTTGCCTACCGTCCTCCTCTTCTTCCCCCTTCCTATCTTGTTTCCGCGGCTCAGTTTACCTAGTCCTCCTTCCCATCAGGTTGCCGACATTGAGGACCTGAAGCACCGCGTGGAGGCGGCCCAGCTTGCCGCCGGCGAGGTGACGCAGCTGGAGGCGCGGTTCGCGGCGCTGCAGAGTGTGGCGGCGCGGCTGCCGGTGCTGCGGGCGCAGCACGACAAGCTGGTGGCGCAGGCGGCGGAGGTGACCAACCTGGAGCACCAGCTGGCCGACCTGAAGCAGGAGGTGGGGGGGCCGGGGAGGGGCGGGGACGGAGGAGGGGTTTGCTAGGGCTTGTGCTACATGCTACACGGCTTTTGCTTTAGTATCTTCGCAGTCATCCTCTTCTTCTATTACTTCGCTTCCCACTTCTTCATCCTCACAACCGCTCTGCCCTGCTCTCCCCCGCCCCCAGGTTGCCCTACGCAACGCGCTGCAGCAGCAGATCAACATCCTGGCTCCCAAGGCCGCCGGCACGGAGGTGCTGCGCCACACCCTGCGCGAGCTGGAGGCGCAGCTGGCGTCCTCGGAGGACCTGGAGCGCCAGCTGGCCGTCATGCGGGCGGTGGCGCTGGAGCGGCGGAGGGACGGGGCCAGCCAGTTCGTGGAGGCGGTGTCCAACCTGGGCCTCGTGCCGGTCTCGGAGCTGCAGCAGCTGGGGCAGCAGGGAGGGGGAGGCGGACTGCATGGGGAGGGAAGCAGGGCGGCGTTGTTGGGAGGAGAGGGAGGAGCCGCTGAGGGTGCTGCGGGGCTTTCGGAGGAGGGCAGTGGCGGATGGAGCATGGGCGGCAGCACGTTGGGGGGTGGTGCTAGCTTTGGCGGGAGCCTGGTGGGAGGCAGCATGGGTGGCGCGCTGGCGGCTGAGCGGCTGGCGTCCAGCATGGTGCCTGCGGGCGGGCTGGCGCTGCGGGCCACACCGCCGGTGAACCGCGTGCAGTCGGTGGCGGCGTCCGTCACGCGCGACAACAGCCAGTTCAGCGAGGCCATCAGCAGCCTGGGACTGGGGCTGCAGCGCTGCGCAACCATCGCGACACCCTCGGGCGCAGCATCGGTGGCAGGCACGCCGCTGCCGACGCCGGGTGCGTCTATGGCGGGAGCTGCGCCGCAGCTGCCTCCGCCGCTGTCTGCTGGCAGCAGTGGCCTCTTCACACCGCGTGGCTCGCCGTCAGTGGGCGGCGCCGCGGCCGCCGCCACTGGAACGACGGCACCAGAGGGCGCCGCCGCCACCACCACTGCCGAAGCTGCTGCTGCTGCTGAATCAGCGGAGAGCCTGGAGGCGGCGGTGGCAGCCATGCAGCAGGAGGTGGCGCAGCAGCTGCAGCAGCAGCAGGCGGAGAGGCTGGCGGCGCTGGAGCAGCAGCTGCGGGCGGAGGCGGAGGAGGCGTTTGCGCGGGAAGTGGAGCGGCTGCGGGCGCGGGCGGAGGAGCTGGCGGCGGCCCCCCCGGCTGACGTGGCGGCGCTGCGCAATGAGATCGCCTCGCTGGAGGCGGCGGCTGCGGAGGCGCTGGCGCTGCAGAAGCAGGCGGAGGAGATGCGGCTGCTGGCGAGTCAGCGGCAGGAGCTGCAGCGCGGCATGGAGGAGAGCCTGCGGGTAGGGGGGGTCCGGCGTGGGCGGTGGGTGCTCCTGTCTTGTGTCTTCCCTTTTTTCCCTCTGGATCCTGTGCAACGTGTTGTAGTTGCAGCCCAAGCTGCTGCTATCGCTGCTCTCCGTTTTCCTTCTCGCCACCGATTTGAACCCTTTCCCCCTTGCCTCCCCCTCCCTTCCCCGTTATGGGATTGGGACTCGTTGCTTTACTTAAAAACCATTTCCCCGTTCCCGCCCCCAGTCCCAGCTGGCCCTGTTGGAGGCTCAGGCTGCGGAGGCCGAGGCTCTGGAGCGGCAGGTGGCTGAGCGCAGCGAGGTGGTGGCGCGCAAGCACGAGCTGGAGGTGCAGCTCACGGAGCTGGAGGCCACTGCAGCCGAGGTAGGGGACAAGGGGGAGGAGAGGAGGGCGAGACGAAGGGAAATTGTCAGGGGTTTGCGGGCGGGCGGCTGGCAATGAGGTTTTGCGCAGGCATCCTACTGTTTGCTTCTAACATCATCATCCCCGGTGCCTGAAGTTATGCTCTGGTCTTGCTGCTCTTTCCCCTCACAGATCTATTTGTTGGACCAGCTGGTTGCGGGGCGCAAGGCCACCGCTGCCAGGCGCCCTGAGCTGGAGGCAGAGCTGGAGCAGCTGCAGGTGCGGAAAGGAGAACCTTTATGCAGCTTGTATAGAATGAAAGGCGTTGCCTGTTGGATGGGTTAACAATACTGGCATATTTGGTTTTCCGATGGTGTCTTAGCCAGTAGAATCCCGGCGACACAACACCCGACACTTACTTACACCCGACACTTAACTTGTTACAAACGATACAGTATGTTGTAATCTTACTACATGCCTTCCTCCATTTTATTCAGGCGGAGGTGGATGAGGTTGAGGCGTTGCAAGCACGGCTGCAACAACTGCATGAGGCAGCGAATGAGCGGCCACAGCTGGAGCTGCGGCTGCAAGAATTGGCACGACAGCAGGAGGAGCTGGATGCCCTGAAGGAACAGGTAAGAGTTGCAAAATGGGGCTTTGGTGCGTGCTTACCGTAAAGCCGGGATCCTGTCCGTCGTATGGATGCAACCGTCGGAAGTACGGTACACCGCCGGTACCGCAAAGCTGGCTGCGCTTACACTGCACAGAAGTAAGGATCATTGATTTATATTTAGTTGCGGGGTTGCACCGAAGAGCTGGATAGGGATTAAGGATTTCCGCAAGAGCTTCCGGTAGTGACTTACCTGGAGGCCTGTCCGCTTGCGCTTGCGCTAGAAGTGTCCCTGGTTGCGGTATGCTAAGATGTATGTTCTAGTAGCACTATAGTGCTGATCTGGTCCTTTCGGGCACCAATTTCCTTGCTGATGTCGCAAACGTTGGGTTCCACGATGCCTGCAAATGGCAAATTTTCGGTTCTAGCAACACACACAATGCTAAATGCCGGTGGCCCAGCCCTCTGGACTGGCGATATTTGGAGCTAGGTACGGCAAAGGTGCAAGGTCTAGCTGGTAAAAGCTGCATACGGCATTTTCAGCATTCTTCCCAAGCTATGGGTAGGGTGCAGGCGCAAGCTCCATTTATCTATCCTGTTACTATAAACCATCGACACCCTTCATTCCCTGCTGACTTGTTTTCCTGGCAGGTTGCAGCGCTTGAGTCAGTGGAGTCGGTGCGCTCCGCTCTCGAGGCTCGTCTCGCACAGCTGCAGGAGCAGGCCAAGGAGGTGGCCTCCTTGGAGGCGCAGCTGGAGCAGGCGCGGGACATGGTGGGTGGGAAATGGGTGGGTTGGGAATGAGGACGGCTGCGCAGGGCCCCAGGCGGGGCCTGAGGTCCACCGAGTGTTGGGGAGTATGGCTGCACAGGGCGTGCATGACGCTAAGCTGCTTGTGGGGCGCCACACGCCTGCATGAAAGGGACAAATGGCAGCACCTCCTCCCTTCATTCCTCTCCCCTTGCCTCCCCCTCCTTCCCTCCCCAACCACACTCTCCCCTTCTCTATCCCCTCCCCTCAGGTATCCCAGCACGCCGAGCTGGTGTCCGAGCTGGGCAAGGTGGCGGGTCCCGCCGCGGAGGCCGCCGAGCTGCACAGCCGCCTGCAGCAGCAGCGCGCGCTGGTGTCGGCGGCTCCGCAGCTGGAGGCGGAGATGGAGGAGGTGGAGATGGAGGTGGCGCGGGTGAGCGGCGGGAGATTGTAGGGTAGCGGATGGGGGTTTCGGGGCGAGTCCCGGCTTTGATCTTCATGTAGCGGTAGTCACCCACTACGCCGTGCCCCAGGCTCTCCGGCATTGCTATGCAGGGCCCATCCTCACTATCGGCACCTCGCTCCTCGCGTTTACAGCATTGCACTTCCTAACCTTCCGGGTACCCTACCCTGCCCTCTCCCGTACCTCCCCCGCCTTCCCCCAGGTCCGCACCCTGGAGGTGATCGTGAACCAGCTGCGCGCCGAGATCAGCAAGGGCCCGGGTCTGCAGGCGGAGCTGGCGGGCCTCAACGACACTGCGGGGCGCCTGCAGACGGCGGAGGAGGTGGGGCTGCGCGAGGAGCGCGACCTGGCCCGCACGCGCGTGGCGGAGCTGGAGTCGCTGCTGGGGCAGCTGGAGCACCAGCTGGTGGCGGCGCAGATGTTCAGGGAGAGCCTGGGGGGTGTGGCGGCGGGCGCGGTGTACGGCAATGCCAGCATGGGGGGTGTTGCGGGGTACAGTTTTGGCGGTGCATGGGCGGCGCGGTTCACCCCGGCGGCGTCCGAGGCGGGAGTTGGAGCTGTGGCAGGGGGTACGGCGGGCGGTGTTGCGCTGCCTAGTGATGCGGGTACGGAGGCGGAGGTTGAGCAGGTGGCGCTGCAGGGTCGCATGGCGCGGCGGCAGCAGCTGATGGACCGCCGGCTGGCGCTGCAGCAGGAGTTCAATGACCTCAAGGTGGGGGGGGGGAGAGGGAGGCTGGGGAGAGGGGCAGTGCGAGAGAGGGAGAGTAGTTTGCTCTGTTTGCGGTTTGGCTCCTGGATGCGCTGGTCGCTTGCCGCATATGCTATTGTGATAGCAGCATAGCATGCGATACCGCTTGGGTCCTCCTGGGGCTCTGTGGACCGGCAGCGCGTGCATGTCAAGATGCCGCGACTCGAGTGTGGCGACGCCCCGCCTCTTCCCTACCCGTCACCGCTGTCTTCACCACCCTTACCCCTCACCCCCCTCGTCTCAGGCCATCGAGGCGGAGGTGTCGAGCCTGCAGTCCGCCATCCGCGCGCTGGCCCCCCTGGCGGAGCAGCGCGCAGCCCTGCAGGCCGAGTTGGAGGCCATGCACCTGCAGGCGGCGGGCGCAGCAGCCGCCTCCCTCACCTCGCAGCAGACCCACCTCCTCTCCACCACCTCATCCACCTCATCCACCGCTGCTGCGGCCGCCGCAAGCGACGGCCCGCTGGGCCGCGGCGCCCTGGCCGGCACCCTCAGCGGCGGCGTGGGCGGCCGACTGGATCCGCAGGCGCCGCTGCCCTCAGACGCCTCCGCCGCTGCAGCTGCGGCCTCGGAGGCGGACGCCATCGCGGCCCTGGCGCAGCAGCGCGGTCTGCTGGCGGCTGAGGTGGAGTCCCTGCGCGCGCAGGTGGCGGAGGTGGCCGTCCTGCGTGAGGAGCGCGACGCGCTGCGGGCCGTGGAGGCTGAGGTTCTGGAGCTGACGGAGGAGATCCCGCAGCTGGCGCCGTACGTGGAGCTGCTGCCTGCGCTGCGGTCGGAGCATGCGCGGCTGAGTGAGGCGGTGGCGGAGGCGGAGCGGCTGCGCAGCGGCGTGGAGAACATGAGCCTGCAGCTGGACGTACTGCGGGCGCTGAGGGAGGCGGCGACACCAGGGAAGGGAGCGGCGGCGGCTGGGGTCCATGCGGACGGCAGCATGGGTGATCATGATGATGATGAGGAGGAGATGAAAGAGAAGGAGGATGAGGAGGAGCAGCAGAGGAGGTTGCTGGAGCGGCAGCACCTGGCTGCTCCTGCGGGGGCGGTTGACAGCGATGGCGGTGTGGACGAGGAGGATGTCCTGGCGGGCAGCAACGGCAGCCACCACGCCAGCAACGGCAGCAGCCCCAACCCCAGGAACAAGCCCACCTCCGCCGCCTCCTCAGCTCCCGCCAGTGAGCCGCGCACCCCCGCGGGCAGCAAGGGCAGCAGCAGCACCACCACCGGCACCGCGCCCAGCCCCGGCCCCGCTAGCAGTGCCGCCGCGGGCGAGGTGGAGACCTCGCTGGCTGCGGTGTTCAGCAAGCTGCGGTCGCTGGAGGCGTCCAAGCACGAGCTGGAGGCGGAGAACGGCGGCCTGCGCGCCACCATTGAGGACCTGCGGCAGCAGCTGGAGAGCAGCGCGGAGGCCATGCAGAAGCTGCGGGGGGTGGCGGAGGCGCTGAGCATGCTGCGGAGGGGGCACTGAGGGAGGGGAGCGGGGCGGGGCGGGGCTACTAGGGGTGGGGTTGGGATGATGGTGGTGAGTCGGGGTCTGGGTCGATTCGGGGATAGCAACAGTGGAGACCAGTCGGGGGAGCAGGCAGGCAGGAAGACGGTGAGTTCGCCTCTTCGCTGCCCTGCATTGCGTAGCTCAGGCTTGGTTACTGCCCGGGCTGAGCGCTAGGCAGCATGGGAAGGAGGAGCATGACGCGGGGGATGTTGGCACACGTCGCATATTGCATCTGAGTCGGCTCCCTGGTATGGACGGAAGACCTGCAGTGACTTGCGTCCGACACGTGTGGACTGCTGTTGGTGGTGATGTTGACGCGGGATGGTGTGGTGAGGATGAGGATGGAGATGTGAGGGACGCGACAACGACGGTAGTGGTTGACAGCAGGCGTTTAGGACGCGGCACTTGCTGGAAAGCTCGTTGCTGCTTGGAACGGTAAGGTAGGTAGGTATTGATGGAGAGTGCAGTTCTATTCATGTACCTTGTGCCACATGTAGGAGGAGGAAGGGGGAGACAAGGAGCTGCTGCTTGATTTGGGTCGGGTAGGCAGCGGTGGTTCTAATGCGTTCTTGGTGTGTTGTTGGTGTGGAGGAACACCGTGTATCGTAAGCTTGATACTCTTGACAGTTGACACTTTGACTGGTAACTTGGTAGGTCCATACACTAATGGGCGCCTAGCTCGCATAACCCTAGTATTAATTATTAGTCCTGAGTGGCGTTGGGGTTGATCCTCTCGACGCGTGCTTATAATCACGGCTTAGTTAACAACTAACGTTACCCTACCTGACGTTCAGTCACGGGTATTAGAGGGCACCACGTCCATCTAACTTGTTAAACTTCTAGACGTTTGTAATGACCCCACGTCCCACCTTCCAAGAGCGCGGCCTCCCTACCTCCTTTGCACGAACCCGACATTAAGCATTGACAAAGATACAAAGCCTTTCCAATCATTGTAAGGAGAGATGCACTGACGCAGTAAAAGAAGCGATAAGGGTCGGACTAGGACGTCTGGAAACCGTCAACCTATCGCAACTGCTCCAAATGGGAAGTTCGATAGTCATTGGACGAGCCCGTGATGCTTAGCCGTAAAACCGCTAAACGTTTGCAGTAGGGAAAGTGCACATATTGCGTATTATTGTTGCTGTATAATAAGACAACCATTAAACTTGGCACGAACGGAATTACTTGGCGCCAAAGTTTTGCACCGCATTAGTACCGTTTGGTATAACACAGGAGCCGAGCTAGCTTACGAGGTTTTCATCGTCTAGTGACACTAGGATGGCGCCCGGATCAAATGGACTTTTATCGCAAGGAGCGGAGTTAGCACTTGGGGTCAGTGGGCCAATGCGCGAAGGCGCGGGCATAAGTCATAACTTGAATGGCGAAAGGGAACTGCCCGACCTTGGTTTGGAGGACATTAGGCAATCCAGTTTCCCAGCTTCGCAAACCTGGGCAGGCATCCTCCAGCTTCCCGGCACAAAGTGTCAGGGGTCATGTCCATTTCCTTTGGTCAACGAAAAGCCCATGTTACTAGAGCAGATAACGCAATTCAGCAGTTCCATGTACGCGGATTCATTAGCAAGCCAGCAGAGGCGGACCCTTACGGCCGCCTGCTCGCCTTCTCAGCACATTCGCGACGGCTTGCTCGGCCAACCCGCCTCCGCCCAACCCGTGCCTCCTCTATACATTCCAATCGCTTTTCATATAACGGATGTATTGATCGAACCTTTCAACCGACCCTGTCCCCTTAGTGTCTCGTCCTCTCCCCGGCTCCCCATGTCGCTGTGCGTGCAGTGCACCGCCATCCCTGGCATTCCAGGACTGCCGCCCTCCTTACCCCCCCACACACCGCTTCTGTCCCTCCCAACACTGATGCCATCTCCTTCTTCCCTCTTAAGTCCACCTGCTCCTCTTACCACATCCAACCTCCCAGCGCACTACAGTTGCCCTCACTTGCCCCCAACTCTGTGCGCCACTTTCCCCTCCCATTTCCTCTCCCTCTCCCTCACCCCGCCCCCCCCCACGTCCGCTGCATGCCGGGCTCCTCCCCCCCTCCCCCCCGCCAGCCCGCCAGTCCCACTGCTGCGGCGCAGGTCATCACCGCCACCCCCACTGCCTCCCCCAGCGGCCCGGATGCCACCACCCCCACCCCCACCGCCGGCAAGCCGCTGTCCGCAGCAGCCAGCCGGGCTGCCAGCATAGAGGGCATCCAGGCGCGACTGGCCCGCAGCCACCTGCACCAGGTGGGGGCGAGGAGGGGCCGGGAGGCTGGTGGGTGGGCGGAAGGCTGGCGGGAGGAAAGGAGGGAACTGCCCCGGTTCTACGTGTCGTGAACTCGTGATGCGAGTGTAGCCGAGGACCAGCCATCCCGCCAGTTCTGTTACGTTTCCTGCACCCATCCTCCTCCCCTTCCCTCCTCCCCGCCCATCAGGCTGAGGTGGATCGGCAGTACAAGGACGAGCTGCGCTGGCTGCAAAAGGTGAGGGGGCCCCATGACGTGGGGGCGAGGGGGCCGAGCTGGCTCGACGTCTCTAGACCGGCTGCCTGCCTCCTTGTCTTGGGGTCGCTGGCAAACCCTCCGCGCGCGCTCCTTACACCAGGTACCCCATTAACGCACCTCCCCTCCCCTCCCTCCACCCGCCTCCGACCCCCCCCCCTGACCCCAGGAGGTGGAGCACCTGAAGGCCGAGTTGGAGGTCAGTCGCCGCCGCCGTACGGAGGCGGATGAGGACATTGCCTCGCTGAGGCGGCGGCTGGAGGAAGCTCGGGGGGAGGCGGCGGCGGCGCGGGCGGAGGCGGCGGAAGCGAGGGCGCGAGCGGAGGCGGCGCGCAGGGACGGCAGCCGAGCGGAGGTCGAGAGGCTGAGGGGTGAGCTGGAGGCCGCGAGGAGGGCGGCGGCGGAGGCGGTGGAGGTGAGCCGTACGGCAGCGGCGGCGGCGGCGAAGGAGCTGCGGGAGGTGCAGGCGGAGTGTGAGGCGCGAGGGACGCGGGCGGTGGCGGCGGAGGCGGCGGCGCGGGTGGCGGAGGCGGAGTCGGAGGCGCTCGGGGAGCGGTTGAGGGAGGCGGCGGCAGTGCGGGAGGAACTGGAGCGGGGCTTGGAGCAGATGCGGGGGCAGGCGGCGGAGGTGCGGGGGAGGCTGGAGGCGTCGGAGAGGGAGGTGGCCGAGGCGCGGAGTGACGCGGCGGCGCGGGCGGCGGAGCTGGCGGCTGCGTCACAGCAGCTGGCGGCGGCGGCGGAAATGCGCACGGCGGCAGCTGCTGCGGTGGAGGCAGCGGAGGCGCGGGCGGCGGCGTTGCGAGGGGAGCTGGAGGCGGTGAGGGCGGCTACGGGGGCGTCTGCTGCGGCTGTGGAGGCGCTGCGAGTGAAGCTGGGTCGGACGGAGGAGGAGCTGGGGGAGCTGCAGGGGCAGTACAGGTGGGCGGGGGGAGATGGAGGGGAGGAAGTGACCCGTGGGTCAGCCGCCTCCCTCTTCCGTCGCTGTTGACCCCCCTGTTCGTTGCGGATCCCTCACTACCCGGAAGTCCCGAATCACACGTTGTTTCTCTCTGCTTCTTCTCCGCCTTGCCTCCCCTTATCTTGCACCCCTCCCTCTCCCCGCACTGCGCCTCCCCCCCCCACACACTATAACCCCCATACACATTACCCCCGTCTTCCCCCCCAGCCGCGTGGTGTACGAGCATGCCAAGGCGCGAGCCGAGCACACCGAGATGAGCGGCAAGCTGGCGCGGGTGCGGCGGGCTGGGGGGATGGGGCGGGGGGACATCAGCAGGTGCGGCAGACCTTGGATGCTGTGAGCGACTGCGGCTTCCACCGCCCTTCACCTCGAACCCTCGTCCGTTCCTCCCTCATTATCCCCCTCCATCCCCCCCCTCCTTCAGGCCCAGGAGGAGCTCTCCCGCTTCCTGGCCTACCACGAGGAGGTCAGCTCCGCCCTGCGCCGGCAGCTGGCGGCGCTGGGGGCGGAGCCGCCCGCACTGCCGGAGCCGCCGCAGCTGCCCACCCCCACCCGGGGCCACATGCACTTGGCCGCCACAGCGGGGGGCGGGGGTGCAGGGGCGGGGGGTGATGGCGGGAGGGGGCTGGTTGGGGGTGGAGGTGGCGGGGGTAGCTTTCGGCGACTGAGTTTGACGAGTCGGGGCAGCGCAGGCGGCAGCAGCGTTGGTGCAGGGGATGGGTGAGAGAGCGCTAGGCGGGGTGAGGGGAGGGGAGGGGCTGGTAGCTGTGTGGTGAGGCAGGTTGTGTGAGTGGGTTGCGTTGGGGGGTAAGGAATTGGAGGGGCTGAGGGAGGCGGTGGCAGGGCGCTGTGGGGTGCGGGTGCTCCTGTCAGCGGCGGGAGAGTGCTCCGAGGGGCGGGACACGCCACATGTCATGTCGCGAGGTCGTGTGGTAATAAGGAGCCGCCCATGCACTACGACGGTACGACGGGCAGGGAGTTCTTACGGCGGACAATGGCAGCGTTAAGGGAGAGGGCTAGCACGCGTAAGATTGTCGCGCGCAGTGGCGCGCAGAGGTTTCTGTACTAATAAGCCATATGAACTCCTAATTCGCATGTACGAATTACACTTTCTACGCTTTCTGTGCATTACCGGTATCGTCCTTGTACTTGGCTAGCTGCACTGTTAGTTGAGGTGTTACGAACGAACAAATGATGGGCCACCTTGGGAAGGCATCTTGCTTCCTTCGGTTCCTCCCACTCTGGGGTCCTTGGGGGCTGGCGGGGCCCTGCATGCGTGTACGACATACACATGCAGGCTTCCCCGCGTGCTGATGCTTCAAGGTTTCACGGTTGGCGGGTGTGAACAGGGGAGGACTGGCCTCCCGCTGATAAGCAAGGATGCCATACTCGAGGAATGGCCTGATGGACGTTCTTGTCATCTTGTGTATTGCGTGGTGCTGGGTCTCAAATGCTGCAGGCTGCGAGCACAAAGACCTACCGGTATATCAAACTCTCTTTAGGCATATACCGTTTGGAAACCGTCGCTCGCCACACGGCAGGCTCTGCCAGATTCAAACATTCAACACCCTCTTGTTAACAGCCTCGCTTTGTAACTTCACATGCATTTCTGTAATACCTAAGCGCACAGTTGCGTTGGTCTGTGTGCTCAGGGGTCCACCTGCCGTTGCGTCCATCGCATGACCCCTCAGCACCGTAGGCAGGACCGCGCATGATACCCCCTGCCCCGGCGCGGCGGCTCCACAACGGGGTTGTCGTCAGCATGCCCACCGCGTGCCCTAGAAACAACGCCTAAACCTAGCTAAGTAGCTATAGCCCGTGGGGGGTAATAGAGATACATAGCTGGGTTCCTTTCACCCCGGCAAGCATATCGCCATGCGGTGCGACAGGGCCCAGTACACAAGAGTCGAACTTACACCGAAATAGGGCCCATGCCTAAAACCACCGTCTAACTACCGGTATGTTCAAGTCGTGATAGCCGTGACTATGTTGCAGTGACAACTGCAAACATGCCGACCCCAACAGCAAGGTCACAGGCGCCAGGATGCAACGTGCCCCGCACCAGCGAACCGCTGCCTGCACCCCTTCAATGATTGCGTCGGAACAGTAACGCAATGTGACATGCCTGTACCCCACCCCCGCCATTTAAACTAGCCTGGCGTCATGGATATCCTACACACTTCCCCACCCCTTCCCACCGCTCCACACGCTTATCATAAAACACTACATGGGCGGGGGCGGAGGCGGCGGGTACTGCCCCGGCTGCCCCGGCCCCGGCGCCTGCGCTGCTAACCTCGCCGCTATCGCCTGAGCCGCTGCAATGGCCGCCGCCGCTGCAGAGGCCGACATGCCTGCCTGCTGCTGCTGAGGCGCCGGCGGCGGCACCGCTGCGCCTCCGCCGTACATCCCTCCGCCGCCGCCGCCTCCAAAGCCCCCCCGTCCCGGCCCCGACCCGCCGTAGCTCCGCGGCGGGGGTACGGCATTCAGTGACGGCGGCGGCGGCATATTCCGGTAGGAGCTCATGCCGTACGTTGACGACGACGATGGCGATGACCGTACACCAGCATCACCATCAGCTGCCGTACTAGCGTACGACGTTGATGTTCCGTACGTTCCTCCTGCCGTACTACTGCCTCGCGGGGGTCCGAACCGGCTGCCGGCGTACCCCGATTGTTGGAGATAGTGCGGTACGGCAGTGACAGGCACGGGCGGAGGCGCGACGGGTCTTGTTGCCCCTGCTGCCGCTGCCGCTGCCCCCGCTGCTGCTGTGTGGCTCTTGGGCATGATGATGGTGGGTCCGGCGTGCAGATCCCCTCCGGTGATGCCTGAGGATACGAAGGAGGACCTGAAGCGACCCGCATGCAGGCTCTTGACTGCATCCGCTCGCGTGCTGCCGCCGCTGATTCCGCTGCCACCGCCGCCGCCGCTGGAACCGCTAGCGATGCCGCCGCTGGGCAATGGTGGCGGAGGCGGCAACGCACCGGCTGGCGCCGCTGCCGCTGCTGCTGCCACTGGCGCCGCCACCCCCGCCGCCGCGGATGGCTCATGTTCGTAATCCTCCGTGGACTTTGCGAACCCGGGTAGCTGCACGAAGCTGCTGTTGCCGCCGCCGCCGCGCGCCCCGCCGGCGCCTGCTGCCCCGCCGGCCACCCGCGGCGCGGAGGCGAACGTCCCGGCGCCCGAGGTGCCGCCCGCACCGCCCCCGCCGGCGCCACCGAAGCCCAGTCCCGCTCCGCCCACCTGCGGCCTGCGCCCCTTGCCGCCGCGACCGCCCTTGGTGCGGCTGTTGCCACGGCGGAAGTGGGGGTCCTGGCAAGAAGGGGGGAAGGGTCGGGGGTTGACGTGGAAACGTGCGAGGTGTGGTGTTCAAGCGTGTGCAAGTTCAAGAGCGGCAGATCCATGCAGGGGCCTTGGTCTGCACCACCGTTGTTGCTTCCTAAAGCCCCTGTCGTCATGCCCATGTGTCGTGTCCCTGTCTTCCCCATCCGCCCTTGCATGTTTCCGGACCCCTTCATCGGAACTAACGCCTGGTGTGTTCGCTGCTGGCTGCTGGTGCCCCCTGCTCTGCAGGTCAGTCTACGGTAATTTTTGCACATAGTGGTCTTGCACTTGCTTTGCCTGTCTTGCTTTACTCGCGCATGCACTGCGACGTCTCCGCATGTTCCCCTGTTTTGCTACCTGTCCAGCGGCAGCTCCAGCCTACACAGCTACATTACTACTACACGATACGTAACAGCCGACATTACTTACCTACAAGGTTCTATTGCGGTTACTGCTTCACCACTTTACGATACGGCTAGCCACTTATGCACTACAGACTTTCTCTTTTACTGCTACTACATGACTACTACATTCCTAGCTGCTTTCACTTACTTACGACGTTGATTACAATACTTCGAAGTCAGGAACACCATCACGCAATTTCTGCTAATCTACGGTCAGGGTCAGTGTTTCCGCGGCTCAGTTTATCTAAACCCCTCTCTTTCTAACTCCTCTTTACCCCCCTCCTCCCCCTCCCCCTCCCCCTCCTCACCCTCATAGCCAGCTCCGCCAGCTGCTGCGGCACCTCCTGCCCCGCCGCACCCAGGCTCTGCAGCAGCGCCCCAGCGAACCGCGCATCCCCCGGGCCCAGCAGCGTGATGGCGCGACCCTCGCGGTCGCCCGCCCGACCCGTGCGCCCCACTCGGTGGATGTGGGTGTCCAGGTCGCGAGCCGCGTCGTAGTTGACCACGGTCTTGATGGTGCGGATGTCCAGTCCGCGCGCTGCCACGTCGGTGGCGACCAGCACGTGTATGGATCCGGATTTGAAGGCCTCCAGCACCCCCATGCGGGAGTACTGGGGGGGCGAGGGAGGGAGGGGGATGGGTGGGGCCGGCGGTGCGTGGCGGTGATGTGTACGAACGGCGGCACTCGGGAGGTGGGGGAGTGGGTGGCAAGATGCAAGTAGCAGCTGACCTGGTATGAATCCGTACAAGCAGCTCACAGGTCCCTACTTCCGCGCATACCCTCCTCTCTCTCTCCGGCCTCAAATTAGAGTTGCGTGCTTCTAGGATAGTGTCTCCGAATGCGCTCACTGCATGAGTCGGGATATGGGATTGGGACTCGTTGTTTCACTTATATAATTTCCCCCGCCCAGCGCCCCCCACCTGGTCCATGTCTCCATGTATGGCCCCCACCCGCACCCCCATCGCCCTCAGCGCCTCCGTCAGCGCCTCCACCCGGCTCCGCTGCCCCGCGAACAGGATGACGTCCCCCTCGTCCACCAGCGCGGGCAGCGAGGAGGACAGCCAGGCGGACTTGGCGGCGTCGTCGGGCAGCACCTCCACGGTCTGGTGGGGGGGTGGGGGGAGAGGGGTAAGGGGAGGGGAGAGGAGAGGAGAGGGGGGTTAAGGAGGCACACCCGCACGTGTGACGTGGCACGCGCTGATGCGTCCACGAACATGAAGGACTGCAAGGCTGCTTGCCATGAGCAGTAACACTGCTTGCGACGCGTAGGCAGTCTTGGAATCCACACTCACTCACAGCCTTCCATTCCGAGGTGTAGCGAGAGAGCGGGGGCCCGCCCCTGCACCCCCCTCATCGCTGCCATGCTACCCCCCTCCCTCCCCCCTTCCCCCTCCTCCCCACGCACCTGCACCACATCCGCATTCGCCACCCCCGTCTGCCCCACAGTGATGCGCACGGGGCTGCTCAGCGCGTCCAGGACCAGCTGCTCAACCTGGGGGGGGGAAGGGGAGGAGGAGGAGGGGAGGAGGAGGAGGGGGGGGGAGGGGAGGAGGAGGGGTTGTGACTTGCTTGGACATCAGCACCGGACTACCAACACCGTACAGGCATTTCGAACACAAGAGGACATCGCCAGAGGGGGCAGGGGGACACTACAGGGGCGGGAGGCGCAACCAGTAACGGCTATAAACCCCCCTCCCTCCCCCCCACCCCCCCACCTTCCGCGGCATGGTGGCGCTGAACAGCAGCGTCTGCCGGTCGGGGCGCACCTGACCCAGCAGCGAGCGAACCTGGCAGGGAGGGGGCGGTGAGGGGGGTGAAGAGGAATGTGGGAGGGGAGGCGGAGGACGCGGGGAGGGCGGGAGGGCGCCGGTGCACCCACATCAGCCACACACGGCTCAGTTCATATACCTCGCCGGTCAGTCGGCTTGGCGCTTGGCTCTCGGCTAGCCAACGCCCGGGTGCGGTAGGGACGGCAGGTGCCTAGTCAGCAGTCATGGCACCACTCGCCTCCAGCCTCCCCCCACCTGTTGCTCGAAGCCCATGTCGAACATGCGGTCCGCCTCATCCAGCACCAGGTAGCTCACCCGCCCCAGTCCACAGGCGCGCGACCGCACCAGGTCGATCATGCGGCCGGGGGTGGCCACCGCCACCTCGCACCCGCCCCGCAGCGCCTTGAACTGCTCGTACTTGGACAGACCGCCGAAGGCAGCGGCGGCACGCAGGCCTGGGGGCAGGGGCAGGGGGAGGGGGATGAGGTAAACTGAGCCGCATGCAAGCCAAGTCGCCACACGCAGGAGGGTGGCGTTCGGTGCTCCCGTCGTCGTCGCCGTGTAGCAGCATCTCCGGCCATGGGTAGCTCCCCCCCTCCCTCGCCCCCCTCCCTTCCCACCGTACGGCTTTGCGAACCTCCGTGCCTCCCGGTGTATCTGCTCCGCCAGCTCGCGGGTGGGCGCCAGCAGCAGCGCGATGGGCCCCTCGCCCCGCCCCAGCTCCGGCTGGTCCATGATGTGCACCAGCATGGGCAGCACGAAGGAGGCGGTCTTGCCGCTGCCGGTCTTGGCGATACCCTGGTTGAGGGGGGGGAGGGGAGTAGTGTAACATAAAACAGGCATAACCCGGGATGCCTTTCGACGCTACAAATAGGACCCAGGGGAGGTGAGGGATGAGGAGAAGGAAGGGGGGCGGCTAGGAGAGGGGAGGACGAGGAGGAGGGTGTGGAGGGGTTAGGATGGGAGTCAGGAGGTTCGGTAGGGTTAGGCCAAGAGGCAGTGCTCATGTAAATGGCGAAGAGAGGGGTTGAAAGTTTGGTAGATGGGCAGGTGGGGAGGGGGTGGGAGCGGCTACTGGGTGCCGTGTGTGTCCCCTGGGAAGCTGCATGCCCTCTTCCGACATGCTTCCCCCTGGCTCCTCCCTCCCAGCCCTCCTCCGCCCTCTTCCCCCCGCCCCGCCCCGCCCCCCCCTCATCCTCACCAGCACATCCCTGCCCGACAACGCCACCGGTAGCGCCTGAGCCTGGATGGGGGTGGGCTTCTCGTAGCTGCGGGGGGAGGGGGAGTGAGGGGGCAGGGGTGGGCGGGGGAGGGGAGGTGGTGAGGGGAGGACAGCAGGGGGCAGGTAGCATGGGCGAGGGAAGAAAAGAACCCGCAACAATCACTGCTTCAGTGGCAGTCCGTGTCTCATCCTGTACCTACGTGCGGTTGCTGCCCCCCCCCTGCATGACCGGGCATGCATGCCTGGCAGCCCCTCCCTCCCTCCCTCCCTCCCTCCCACCCTCCCTCCCTCCCGGGATCCCCTCCCAGTACCCGACATGGCATCCAGGGCAACACTCCCGTCTCCGCCCTCTGCCCCTCATCCCCCCTCCCCCTCACCCCCTGCAACCCCCCCCCGCCCCTCCTCACCCCCCCCAGTCAGTTAGTTGCTTCCTCTTTACCTCCTCCAAACCCCCCTGCCCCCCACCCTCCCGCCCCTCACCCCGCCCTCACTCCGCCCCCCTCACCCCCCCACCCGGCCCCCCTCACCCCCCCCACCCGGCCCCCCTCACCCCCCCACCCGGCCCCCCTCACCCCGCCCTCTTGATCACCGCCATCAGCTCCGGGTCGAACCCGCACTGCGCGAAGGAGCGCAGCGGCCGCGGCACGTCGAAGCCGCTCACCCGCACCTCCAGCTGCCGACGGTAGGCGCACACCTGGGAGGGGGGAAAATTATTATTTAGGGAGGGAGCAAGGAAGAGGGGGGGAAAGCAAGTGGGGCAAAGGAGGGGAGCCGACGGGAGCAGCAGGCGCCGGCCCATAAGGAAGCCAAAGCAGCTGCGGCATGCAGGCTGCTGGCGTGCAGCTCCCCCTCCTCTTGCCCCCCCTCCCTCCGCCTCCTCCCACACCTCCGCGTCGCTCATGGCCGCTATCTCCGGCGCCTCCTCGTAAAAGTCCTTGGCGAAGGGCGCGTACACCTGCGCCCCGTGGTCCACCGCGGGGAGCGGCTCCACCGCCCGCCTGGCACCTGGGGCCCCACCCGCCTCCTCGTCGTCCTCGTCCGGCTGGCCCGCCTCCAGGGCCCTGCAGCGGGATGGGTGGTAGGTGGGGGTGAGGTGTGAGGGGGTGAGAGCCAAGGCCCGCACCCACCCCCCCGCTCCGTCCTCCTAAGCCCCGCTCCCCCGCCTCCGCCTCGAGCCAGTCAATTCTCACCCCAGCGCCTCCACCCACTTTGCGGTGGCGTACACCTCCTCATCGCTGTCGTACTCCCCCCCACCGCCACCGCCACCCCCGCCAGCCGCTGCTGCCGCCCGGGGCTTGCGGACCTGCACGAGGGGAAGGGGGGCAGGGTGGGGAAGAGGGGGCGTTGCGACAAGAGTACATGACACCGGAGCTGAGGGGAGGCTGAGGGCAAGGTGAACCAGAGGACAGAGGGCAGCAGGGGCGCGGCCCAAAGTGGGTGCGCGGGAGCTGGTGGCGCACCTGCCCTGGCAGTTCCTAGCTTGCCCGCCGCCCCTCTTCCGACCAGCCAGCCCCCTCCCACCAACATGCACCCCCGCAAACCTGCCTGAAACGCTTTCCTCCCTCCCCCTCCCTCCCTCCCTGCAACCCATGTTGACGCCTTATCCCTCAGTCAGTTAGTTGTTTCCTCTTAACTCCCCCCCACCCCCCCCCGGTAAGTTTAGCTCGCTTTGCTTTAACCACCATTTCGGCTCGACTCACGGTTGATTCCACCAGGGATTGTCAGCAACTTGTATCATTATCACACCACACTTTGGAATTTCTTTTTTCCCACCACCCCCCGCGCACCTCCATGTACTCGGTGGCTGGGTCCGCCTCCTCATCGCAAGCCAGCGCCGCATCGTCCCTGGCGCGCCGCCCCTTGCCGCCTCCCCCTCCTACTCCCCCCGCCCCTCCCTCCTCGCCTCCTCCTCCTGCCGTGTTGGCAGCCACCACCTGGTCTATCTCCGCCATGAAGGCGTCCAGCGGGTCGTACTCCTCATCACCGCCTGCACCTCCGCTGGCAGCAGCGACAGGGGCAGGGGCAGCAGCAGCAGCAGCAGGGGCGGTGGTAGAGCCGCCGCCGCCGCCACCACCACCACCTCTTTTCTTTGTCGCCGCCGCCGCCGCTGCTGCCTGCTGCTCCAGCTGTTGCGCAAAGTCGGGCCGCTCCCACTCCTCCAGCTCGTCCCCTGCAGCACCGGGCCCGCCGGCTGCTGCTCCTGCTGCTGCGGTGGCCGGCCCCCCGCCCTGTCCCTCCTCCTGGCCGGGCCGCACTGCGGGCCCAGTGTTGATCTCCACCTCCACCGCCCGCTCAACCTGCACGGGGCCGCGTGGGGGAGGAGCAACGGGTGGGAGGTAGGAGGGAAGGGTGCAGAGGGAGGGGTTGGGAGAGGGGTGGAGTGTGTGTTTGGGGCGAAGAGTGAGGTCCAGGCGGACGGCGGCATGCAGGCAGTCAGTCGGGTGGGGTACACCCTCCCAGGCATGTTGTCAAACCCATAGCGGTCTGCCGCGCCGTACCAGCTGTTCGAAGGTTGGGCAGTCATCGTAGTCGCCACCCCTGCGGTCTAAGAAGGCTTTGATTTCATCTGGGGTCCAACGGGTGAAGTCCGTGCTGGTGACCGGCTGTGGTGGCATTTGGGATGGCGGAAGGGTAAGGGGTCGAAGAGTGTTAGGATGGGTTGGGAAAGAGGTGCCCAGAAGACTTGCCAGGATCATCTTGGAGGTACGCGGAGGATAACGTGTGCCCCGGCGATTGACGTGAATAGACCCGGTCTGGCATGGTCGTCGATCGCCATGACTTACCGTGTCATAGTCATAGCTTGGCTGCTGGAATACCAGAGGATCGTTATACTCCGTCCCTGGATTGCATCCTGGCCTGCGCTGTTTGACTTCGAACCCTGCAACTTCGCTATGATATGGGAACTTGCGCTTATGCCCGCCGCCGTCCATACCGATACAATAGAAAAACCTAACGTTGAGGATATTCGCTAAGTTGGAAACGTGAGCATATAGTCGTCAGGGACAGAAGCAGATGACAAAGTTTGTTACCGGTAGGCGAAACCTAGGCAGCGCAATCAATCCTTCACAGAGCATACGTACGAATCCTGAATCACAATTAAAGATGCAAACGAGAGGCATGAAACGGCTAAGGCCTGCGTTTGGAGAGAGCTCCGAAGCCCGTACGGTTTTCGTTGGAAGTCTCCGGCAGGCAGCGTTATTGCTCCAGAGTTTATGGGCGGGTAGCTTGACTACGACATCTAATTTGATGCAGCATGAGTTTGACAAGGGCGAAAGTCCTCTCACTGTTTAGGGCGTTCCTAAGGGAAGCACGCCAAATGCCAACAGAGGTCCGAAGAACACACGTTCGCAAAAAGGTTCGGGCGGAGCTAGAAGCAAACCGCCATGTAACCGACCCAGAGCAGCTAAGCTTCCTGGTTGGGTTAGCGGAGGTGCAGCTGGAGAATGCCAGCCTGCAAAGAGCTCACCTCGTCTCCTTGCAGCGAGCGGGGCACCTAAAGTGCTGGTATGTTGCGATACGGCGGCCAACACGTGCCAGGGAGATATGCGGCCATGCGCAGCCATTCAACCCTAGCCCCCAAGCACATGCGAGGTTAGCGTTGCATGCAAGGCCCTCCTGTGTCCTGTCCCACTATGCTGGTCCTTCCCTGCCAGACCTGCACTCAAGCACAATGCACGACGCCTGCGCCTCGACCGAAGGAGGAAGGGAGCAACAGGAGGAGCGGCGAGGAGCAAGCTACCGCTGAGGAGGACAAGGGAAAGCTCCCAAGGAGTGCTGGAGGCCACTGCATCCCTCAAGCGCCCCGGGGGGCGAGCCCCTCCTCCCACCCTTCTGTCGCTTCCCAACGCAGCAGCACCGCACCCGTAGGCCTATTGCCGCTTGGAGGTGGGCCCCAGCCTGCAACCCAACCACGCATGAGTTCGTCTCGGTGCTGTCATCGGCGCAGCTGTAATGCAGCGCATGCATGGTCCCCAGGATGACCCCGCCACATGACAGCCCCGGGCGAGCAGGCTGGCAGCTGCCTTCAGCGGCTGTGTTGTGTCGCCGCGGCGGCGGGCAGGCTGGGTGCAGCGGAGTGGGTGCTTGCTGGCTTGGGCTTTGGTAGTGTCGCGAGCAGGGGGAGCTGCGTGTCAGTGTTGTGTAGCACTATGCCAACAGGCGCGATTGCCAGTTCACCGCAGGGGCTTGCGGCTGCGTCTTGGGGTGGAAGTGGATGTTATTGCAGCAGCTGAGGTTGCAAGGGTTTACGGAGCGAGGCTGCGGATTGCGCTGGCTTGGTGGCAGTTGGTGGAGGTGGCAGGAGGTGGGAGCTCGGGAGGCGGTTGAGTTGCTTCCTAGTGGCGACATGGTCAATGCCGATTTTCGAATGTGTAAAAGTGAGGTGGCGCTGTAATGCAGCGACCTTAGTGGTTTTGGTTTTGGCAGGTGAGGTGTTGGGTGACAAGATCCTAGGCTGCGGCCTAGGGGTTAGGCACTAGTGCGAAGCAGCGCATGATAATGCGCCTAACCGCCATTGATCGTCGACAATCAATTTTTATTCTGAAAGCGAGTGAACCTGGCTTAATTGTCAGTGGTTGCGCGAGGCCGCATTAAGCGCCTGTGCCGCGTTCTTTGGCGGCTAGCAGTCAGACTTTTAGGAGGGGTAGGGTCTAGAGGGCTATAGGAGGTGTGGAACATGCAAACACGTCCAAGTACTGCAAGACAACATGCATACTGGGCGAAGGGTCGGTGTGTATGTCAGCGTGCACGGAAAATGGCTTTGAGGTGATCCGGGACTTGCATGCCCGGCACAACGTCGTCGAAGGGGAGTTGGTGTGCTGTGAACGTGCGGCGGTGTTCCTCCCGTCAAGATGGACTCATTACTCAGCGTATTGCCTTCGAGACTACAGCTTTGGTACAATAAAAGCCATGCCCTAGTTGTAGTAGAAACTTGTTTTGGGTAGGCTGCCTGGTACTTGTAGAGGGTTCGAGGAAAGCCATCCACGGATGTTACAACCTGTAACGACTGGCAATCTTTCTTCTGCCATTATTAACCTAAGGTAGGATTATGAGGGATTAAAGCGATGCTTCAATTAAGTTGGCATACTGAACGACATCAACAGCTTTATCCCAGGAACCATCCGGTGTTGTACGGCAAGCATTTTTTAGGCGGCAAAAGGTCAAATGGCAGCTTTCATTGAACGCAGACAGCGCCTTTCCGCATTCGGGCATAGTTGAGTGGCCTAATAGTATTCTGCATACGCTGACGGTCACCACTCCTCAACGGCACTTGCACCATCCTCCCTCACGCACCTTAACCTCTTCCGCACCAGATACTGCAGTCAGCCCTTTGTATACATACCTATTCAATAAACGTCCTTGGACCTGGAAATTCTGGGAGGTGCTTTGATCCCGCTTTTTGAATTGCAAGCAAGGATGCACGCAACAGGACCGGCCGCTGGGCTGCGCTGCCAGCCAGTTGCTTTGCCTACTCTGGGGCAACGAGTCAGGTGATCGTTTTTCGCATTTAGGTCTAGACCACAGCTCTTTGCCGTGCACTGTCTCGGCTTCAAGCGCATGTCTTCTGACACAGGGGCGGGCCGGCCCAGACCTCTGCTGTGAGGCCATCATCGTCTACACAGGTGCGGACAGCGTGCTAACCGTATGTCGATCCTGTTTCTTATGGCAATCCTGTCTGTCGTTGGTTAGGGTTGCCTTAGTCGGTAGAGCCGAACTCCCTGCAACGACTTTGGTGCAGGCACCGGCCTCTTGCAGCCGGAGGTGTTCTTCCTCTAGCGGGCTTGGATACCAGCAGCCAACCCGTCGCCTTGTCCATGCGCGCTCCGCTGAGACGGAGGACGATGGCTTCACCGCAGCACCCAACGACATGCAAGAGGCACGCATTATCGTGATCACCTCGGGGAAGGGTGGTGTGGGAAAGACCACGTCATCCGCTAACCTAGGCATGTCCATTGCGCGGCTCGGCTACAAGGTACGCCCTTTGCCCTGATGGTCCCGAGAGGGGAGTTAGGTGTATGGGGTGTTACCCTAGCAAGCTATTGTATAAGGGGGGGGGGGCGCGCGTTGTTGCACCCGAGGGATGGATAAGGGCACTGCAGCGCAGCCTAAGGCAATGGGGATTCGGGTAATTTAGGGTTTGGGGGTTGGGAGACGCACTTGTTGTTTGGACACCCAGGCCGGTCCACACCAACGTCTTGACAAGAAGTATACCACACGCTTGCAGGTGTGCCTTATCGACGCGGACATTGGACTCAGGTGCGAAAGCAGCCCGCCAGTTGAATGAGGCATTCGTTACCTCCGATGCGGGGCTTGTTAAAACTTTACCACACCCTGCTGTTTGAATCTCCTGACAATTCCCTCTCCTTCCTTACCTTACACAGGAACTTGGATCTTCTACTAGGGCTTGAAAACCGAATCTTGTACACCGCTATTGACATCCTGGATGGCGAGTGCCGTCTGGACCAGGCGCTCATCCGCGACAAGCGGTGGAAGAACCTCTCGCTGCTTTCCATGAGCCGCAACCGGCAACGGTACGACCGGGGCGCACACTTGTTGGCATGATTTAGTCGGATGCTCTTCCCACGTTCGGCTTGGAAGGGTGTGGGTGTCTGAAGCATGCCCGCTATCTAGGACTGTGTACAGCTACCATGCGTTGCAAAGGCCATCCCAAGGTTCATCCGGCAACACGGATTGATCTGCTGATTCTGCCGTATGTCCCTTCCCCTTTCGGTATTCTTCTTTCCCCTTCTCCTTGGCAGGTACAACGTGACCCGCGCGCACATGGTTCAGCTCTGCGAGGCCATCATTGCGCTGGGCTACCAGTTCATCATCCTGGACTGCCCCGCCGGCATCGACGTGGGCTTCATCAACGCCATCTCGCCCGCCAAGGAGTCGCTCATCGTTACCACACCGGAGATCACCTCCATCCGGTGCGAATGAGCTGGGTGCCGTGGAGTTCGGGGGAGATGGGGCTGCTGGGTGGCGGCAGCCGAAGCAGCGGGCTGCTACTTTGTGTGTTGACGTACGCGTACACAGCAGGGATCGTGTACGGTGGTCAGCTTGGAACGCCTAGATCCCTTGATGTGGCCCCTTCCCGCTACTCCGCTCCGTTTGCATGCATGCAGCGACGCCGACCGTGTTGCGGGCCTGTTGGAGGCGAACGGCATCTATAACGTGAAGCTGCTGGTTAACCGGGTGCGCCCCGACATGATCCAAAAGGTACGACGGCAACCGCCGCAGCGGGCTGCTGCCTAGTGCGGTACTGTTGGCTGTGTCAAACGGTGTGTTTGGGTTGACAGCATGTTGGCGGCCATCACTGATGCGCGTGTGCCGCTGCTTGACTTTGGGGCTCATCACACGAATGCCTGAGCTGGTTACATCACATGGTTATGGCTTCGTATCCTGTCCCGCACAACCCTCTTCCCCAGAACGACATGATGTCGGTGAAGGACGTGCAGGAGATGCTGGGCATCCCTCTGCTGGGAGCCATTCCAGAGGACCCCCAGGTTGGTGGATGAGCAGCAACACACTTGCCCAATATGCAATTGCATGCGATTAGGGGTTGCGTGTGCTGCCCCCAATCGCACGGCATCCAAGCATGTGCCGTATTGGAGCGGCCAAACGCTATGCGTCATCATGGCATCCACCTTTGGTCATTGGCCCTTGATATATCACCCACATCATCGCAATTCACCACCCTCGCCATGGCCGCTCACGATCGCCCCTCTGGCGCATCGCCTCCGCGCAGGTGATCATCTCAACCAACCGCGGCGAGCCGCTGGTGTTGCAAAAGCAGCTGTCCCTCAGTGGCATTGCCTTTGAGAACGCGGCTCGGCGGCTAATTGGGAAGCAGGACTACTTCGTTGACCTGAACAACCCGCACAAGGGGTTGTTCCAAAAGATTGGCGAGATGTTCAGCAACTAAGGCTGGAGGGAGGCCCATGCGTGATTCATGTGTGTGTCCTATTTCATCGAGAGAATTAGCCTGGAGTGCCATGCCAATCCTGTATGTAAGCTACTAGGGGCCAGTTCGCTAGATCTGTTGGGAATAGTGTATAACCCAGGGGCAAGCAGTAGGACAAAGAAGGGCCGAAGAGGTAGGACAAAGAAGGGCCGAAGGGGTAGGACAAAGAAGGTCCTGAGGGGAGGGTTGGTCGACGGGTTGCAAGCATTAACAGCATGGCTGGCTGTATGGCAGGCGTCAGGGCAAGTGGCGAGGTTTCCCTAGTCCGACGTAGATGCCTCGGTAAAGTGCTTAGACAGGCATAGTGTGTTGGCCGTAGTCGGCAGGCACGAAAGATGTAGCGCATGGCGTTTTCCTCATCGTGTACCATTCATGCTGCCGTGTTGTAGAGGATTGCGATTGGATTCATCGTGTGCCCACATGTGCTGCTGCTGTGATCCTAATTAACTAGTGAAGGATCTTTTGTTTACAACACCGTAGGGGTACGTATGCTTCCCCCACTGAATGTGACTACTACTGTGGAGATGGGGGTGAATATTGGCAACAAAACCCAATGTTACCGGTTAATGTCCTGCCGTGGCCAGCACCTTGAGCATTGAAGGATGCGGAGATCACACTGGGGGACAATTGCAGAGATCGCCTTAGATCAAATGTTGTGTACGGCAGCAGCCAGGACGTGTCACCCGCATGGTATCCACGGTCCGTCAGAACACTTAGTAAGGTTTGTGTGAAGCCTCTTGCATCTGAACTGCCCGGGCAGCGGGACGGTTACCACAGGCGGTATTGAGGCAGGGATGACAGCTAGGCCTGCCCTTAACCGTTGACAGACCGTGTGACTGCATCTAGCTGCAAACCTATCGCTACCACTGGCTACCCATGCTTGTTAGGCCGTAGCACGTGTCGAACTGCGCATGAACGGGATACGGTACTGCATTTTGCCTTTAGAGTGACGGCTGGGGTCACAAGATACAGATAAATTTAAGCACGTACATTGCGATGCCTGTCCTATCCTGTGTCACTTTTAGATAACTTGACAATACTGCTTCAACTGAAGCTAGTAGGACCACTGGACCAGCACCCTAATCCGGTTCAGTTGTCGAAGCACGTGCAAGTGAGGCTTCCTGCCGCCCAGGCAAACCGCGCAAAAGGGTAAGCATGCTTTCAGTGAACGAGCCCAAATTTGTAATAATCGCTGGGCGCCCACCAAAAACATGGTCTTCAGGTACCGAGCCGCGAGCGCCTGCATGTCCAGGAATGCCATTTCTGGATTATTGAAGTTTTGGGTAGCGTTTGCACCGATGAGACCACTCTTTGAGCTTTCCAGTTTACAAGAATGTTGTGCCCCCTGTCCAAACAAGAAGGCGATTGCCTGTTCACCGGTCGGACGCCGACCAAATGTTTCCATCCCCACAATGCTGGTAGTGGGAAGCATCAAACGCTGTGCACAGGCGACGACTTATCAAGTTGACGACCGACGTCAAAGCTGCAGACGGTTCAAGCTAAAGGGCAGGTAAAGCTGTCAGTTTATTATCAACTTAAGGAAGATTTACTGAAGCGTAAGAATTATTGTATGCGGTTCGCTCTAATCACTTTTTGTATACGAAAGCAAGATGACTGACTGGCCGGCTGTTCTCTGGCAGGGATGCTGGGTTCATAAAGTTTAGTGTCCCCTCCAGCGTATGGCACAATCATACGAGCATTAAGCACTGGTAATCGCTGTTTCTTCTAGGTTCGAGCCCTCGACGAAGCTACCTCGTCAGAAAACTTGGGTGTTGTGGCTCTGTTGATCGTATGCCAGAAACGCAGATCAGCGTGCAATGTGCTGTCAAAAGGAAGCCTGTTAGATACTTCTCCTGGAGCTGCGTACGGGCCGTACCTATATGGCACGTGATCCATGTGCTACCTGTCCTAACGTACATTCTATCTTGCCCCTGCCCACTTTGGTTCTGAGATTTACGTTATTAAGGTTGCGTGGTTTTCCCAAAGGTTAAAGCCCAGAAAGCTGGCCCCTTAGGGCGCAGTTCTTATTGTCGTCCCTTAGGCTCCACGGGATAAAGGACAGTGTACCCAACCATCGCAAAAGCGCACGCCGGGCGCGTGGCCCAACTTCTATTAGGGCTACTTGGCCATCAACCCTTATGACATCTTACACCGCAGCACCCGCTGAGGGCACCGAGGCCGGCGAGGCCCCGCAGCTCGCTGCTTACAATCAGGCAGCTGGCCTCATCTCGTCACTTACTAGTGCAAGCCATCACCCCCAGAGCATCGGCGCCAACAGCTATTCTCCGTCCCTCGATTTGCTCACCCAACACGGTATACAGGTGCCTTTAGGTTCTGGGCAACCTCAGGCACAACAGCAGGCCCAGCAAGGCCCGTCGGGCGGTTTGGCGTTCAGCAGCTTGGGTCTGAGGCCCGCCGGCCCATTCAGCGCCTCTGTTTCTGACGCGGGTCGAAAAGCTGAGACCGGCGAGAAGCAGCTATGCACATTTTTCCTAAGAACCGGCACTTGTGCTTATGGAGATCGCTGCAAGTTCAAGCACCCTCTTGACCGCCCTCCACCCCAACTCAATAGCCGAGGTGCGAAGCACGTGACTTGGTCCCCCGTGTTTGATTCTAAGGCCTTCACGTGAATGATATGCACTTTTAGCTAGGAACGGGTAACATGTTGGGGACCTAGGCGTTCGCTGTCATAAGCATAAATTAACTTTCTTGTCAGGGGGAAAGCGACTTTATGGTTCGGTCGCAAAGTTTGTATTTACATATTTGCAACATTAAATATGTCGAAAGATCGAGCTTTGCAATTGGACTTCGCTGACAGGCCACGTCTAATGCCTTTTGATGCTTGCCTACTTGCAGGCTACCCGGTCCGCGCCGAGGAGCCCGACTGCGCGCATTACCTCAAGAAGGGCTGGTGTGCATTTGGTCCCACTTGCAAGTTCAACCACCCGGAGATCCAGCCCTCCATTCTCAACTCCTACAGTCTCAGCCAGCCCGCCGCGACCTATGTCGGCCTGCCGACTACCACCTTCCCGACGACCACCGTCTACTCCGTCCCGCCCGCCATGCCCACGCTCTACTACATCCCGCCCGGCATCACGCCCGGCCAGCTCGGCGGCAGCACCGTCAGCCTGCTGCCCTCAAACGTGGGCACCGTTACCGCGTCTCAGGCAAGCCAGCTGGCTTTCCAACAGCAGGCCGCGGCGCTTGCGGGTGCAGCCCCCGCGCAGCTCTACCGCCAGCCAGCCGGTGCGAGCCCCTACGGCCCCATGGGGGCTGCCATGGGGGCCGGCATGGGAGGCGCCATGGCTGGCGGCATGGGCAACAGTGTGACAGCGCTTGAGGCGGCCTTTCAGAGCATGGCGCTGGGACGGGCCGGCGGTCTGGGACGAGGCAAGTAACGGATGCGATGGATGGAGGGAACGGTTGGTGAAAGAGAACGGACGGCGCGGGTGGCGTTTATGGCAGTGCGTTTTCCACGTCCATGCAACAAGATCTTGATGCTTATGCGGTTTTGGCTAGCTCGCTTAAAAGAACTATCGCTCCTACGGTACCGGTACGCTTTGTTGCCGGCGTCTGGCGCGACCCTTCGCTGCGCATTCGAAGCACTGTTGGCATTTTTTGGCAGTTGTCAGGGCTGCAAGTGACGCACGCAATCCAGCAAGTGGGATGCTTCACATCATCTAGATTCTCGCAACCCGTGTGGCGCATGACGACTGTGATGACAACAACAGCATCTGTGCCTGACATTGGTGAGCGTTGATGCACGGCAGCAGCTCTCGACTCATGCCGGCCTCGTGGAGATGAGATTCCAAAAAATAATTCAAAGCTGGTTGCTCGGAGGGCCTTGCGATGTTGTGATCATGATATGCAGTTATTGATGGATGAGGAATTGAGGATGGAATGGCTAAATGGACTTCTCTGCGGTTGCTTGCATGGCTTATCCTTGTGCGTGAGCCCCTTATGGGCGTATACTGATAAAACCGATTTGAGATAAGTTTGCAGGTGCTGCTTGGTGATCCATTCGCGGGAAGGGGCTACACCCTCCGAACTTCGTTAGGTTCCCTTCCCACGCGGGCAAGCACGTTAATCGGTCTCTTGCCGCGCGAGTGCGTCTCCCCCGTGTGCATGGAATGCTTGCCCGTCTTACGGTGCACTTTAGGATTTCCCTTGGCTTGATTTGTTGGTAGCTTTCGCGTTGTGATTAGATCATAATTTGGGACATTTTCCGGCATCTTTTGAACTCGCCTTTGATATGTCCCCTCTTCTCCGCTGCTTAAAAGGAGCAGGAGGGCAGCAACAGATAGAAAGGCAGGTCAGCCGCGCGATGTGACATGCGGGTCTGAGTGTGTGTAGGGAGCGACATATGGCAAGTACTCCAACTGTGAACTGACATGATGTAGTGACCTGAGCCGGCGGCGGTTGCGATGAGTTGCGTACACCCTGCGTGCTGCTACGCACGGGGCGTGTGTGGAGGAATTGCGCACGTGTGGTTGTCAAGCGGTTGATCCCCTCGCATGTAGGTCTTTTGCGGGGGTCTTCTGCGATGCGGAGATGGCGGTTACGTGCCGATAGCGCTGTTGCAAGTCAGGATTGATGTTGCCCGACCAGCAGCGTTGAGTTGTGGGGAAGACGCAGGTGGTGTTGTCGGTTACTGGTTGGCGCGGTACCGCATTTCCGCGGTGCGTTGCAGCCCTGGCAGCGGCAGTCCTTCCACTGCCGGTGCTGTGAGCATCATCACGGCACTTTGAGGTGGCATTACTTGGCCCTAGGAAGGTGCAGAGCCTTGCGCAAGCCTTCTTGGCTATTTTGGAGGTGTGCTGCTGTGGACTTCTGGGTTGGGTTTACTATGTGTATTAGCCGCCTGGTGGTGTGAACGCACGCGACAGGTGTTGCTTGTTTCGCTTCCTTGGTGGTTTTCAGGGCGGCTTTGATCCATAGGACAGAAAGTGTTGTTGAGTTTGCATTCTGCAGGGGAGCGGCTGTGAACAGTGGCAAAGTTTATGTGGCAAAAATAAATGTTGACAGTCAGTCTTCAAGCAGCAAAGTGATTTCTAAATCATAAACCCATCGCGATTTCATTCGTTGTGGCTTCCGTGACGTTGTGAATCATGACTACTCCGTTTGGAATGTGTTGAATCACGTTTTACCTGAGCCTGCTGGTGGTTGGTTACTCTGCGATGCTGGTCTTGTAGCAAGGACGTTCAAACCGGATTGTGGTGTGGGTTTGGGTTGGGAAGCCTTTCGTGCGAAGAAGGATCGCTGATCATGCACACTGCGTCCGTTCCTGTGCTACTTTGGTACTTAGATGGAGGAGGTAAATTCGTTGTTGGAGTGTGTGGACCGTCCAGACCCGCAGATTCCCGTGCGCTGGAATTGTCGAGGCGTTGCGCTGAAACTTGGTCCAGGAAGGTATCGACGCCTTTGCTCACACCACCAGATGGCGGTTTGCGGCGACAACGCCAGCTGCGACGTATTGCAGCCCACGTGTGGGCATGTCGTTCCGATGTCAAGCCTGCATGAAGCTGACACCTTTACACAAGTCCTGTTGTTATTATTAATATTATTATATGTAACATTAATATACACCTTGAGCAATTCGTTTCCTGGCTCGTGTAGGCGCCTTCGTTGTTGCCATACAAGGCACGTGCACCTCACTTCATCCACGACTACTCAGCGCGTGACAGCTCCTCTTGCGCCCTCATTCTGCCTCTTCTGGGCCCCTACTCGCTCACAAGTCCAGCACAAAGACACCCTTGTGTTCCTTAACTTCCTTGCAAGGAGATTCCACAGCAGTAGTGGTTTGGTTATAGGGTTTGGGCCCCATACTAACAGCTACGACGCCAGACACTAAACCCCTTCTCGGCCCGGAGCAATTACACACCGCGACTCAGCTACCTATGCACAGCAAACGTCAGACACATACAGCTTGTTGCAAAGGACGCCGCAGCCCCAGCTAATGATGCAACAGCTCCAATATTCATCTGCCGCCGTACTTCTAAAGTACATCGCCGCCATGCGACCCCCGCACAGCCTACTAGGTCCCAACCTCGCCAACCACCTACGTAGCCACACGTACCGCGGCTCCCCCAAGGGGCCTTGCCGCCCTAGGCCCTCCTGTCCTCTGTGGCTGTCTGTGCGGCTCCTGCGCCTAGCGCGCCCCCCAGGCCCCGGCCAGCAGCAGCAGCGCATCTGACCCGCTGGGGCGGCTAACCCCGCTGCACCAGACAGGAGAGACACAAAAGGAAGCCACACACAGCCGTCTTCCTATGGTATGGTCTTTCATCCCTCCTGCCCACGGGTATCTCCGTCACCAACCCCTCCACGACCGTAGAGGCCATAAGCCGCCTCCCGGCTCCTCCTCCTCCCGGCTCCTCCTCCTCCCGGCTCCTTCTCCTCTATTACCAACCCCAGCCCACCACCACCCCGCCCCCCTTCCCCCCCTCCCTCACGCCACCGCATCCGGGTCCCGCGGCACCTCCGCCCCCGCCGACCCCGGCACCGCGGTGAAGTACTGCTGCATGGCGGCTCGGAAGCGGCGCATGTACTGCTTGGGCGAGATGATGGTGGGCTCCTTGCCGTTGCCGCCCAGCATGCCGCTGCTCTTCACCCACGTCTCCAACTGCTTGTCCCACGTGTACTGGGAGGCGGGGATGGGGGGGTGGGGAGTTTGGGGGGTAGGGGGAAGAGGGTAGGGGGGAGTGGGGGGAGGCAGCAGCAGCAGTGTGGTCACGATGCTGTACCGGCACCGTATGTGAGCCGGTAGCACGCACATGGCCAGGGTAGCACGCAGATGAAGCATTCCGGCCGGAATACGTTGTATGGCACACAGGCTTAAAGTGCCGCGCAGAAGCCAAGCTGCCACTGACCCATGACCCATGGGTCACACGTTCAACCACAGGGGCTCCCCCCTGCACCCCCCGCCCCCCCCCTCTCTCTCACCTGGCGTATGAAGTCAATGATTGCCAGCGCCAGCACCCCGTTCTCGCGGTCCACCCCCACCAGCAGCGAGTAGTCCATCACGTCCTGAGCCGCCAGGAAGCCGCTGTCAGCCCACACCGCCGCCTCCATGGCGGCCCGGCTGCGCGCGTCCACGAAGATGGGCGCCGTGTGCATGGAGCGGCGCAGGTTGTCATCCAGGTGAACCTGGGGGGGAGGAGATAGGGTCAACCGGGAGGCGGTGAATGGCGGGCTACGCATCCCTGCCTCCATCTTCCTTCCTTTCCCCTTCCCCTTATGATATTTGCCCCTGCATGGTATTCGTTTTTTCCCTCCTCCCCCATTTATCTATATTTTCCTCCCTCCTTCCCCCTCCCCTCCCCCTTTCTTTACCTCCAGCCGGTCCTCGGGTCTGCTGGCTGCGTCCGCGTTGAAGCGGTTGCGCTCGCTGCCCTTGAGGTCGTAGATGCGCGCCACGGGCCGGTCGTAGAAGCAGTTCTCCATCACCAGCAGGTCCTGCACGAACTCCTGCGGGGGGAGAGGGGGGGGGGAATTATAAATAAATGCAACAACGCAATCCCAATCCCGAAGAAGAAGCGCCGGAGAGGAAGCGCCGGAGGCGGGGCGGGAAAAGAGGTTGAACACGTGGATGGCAGGGGCAATTGGAACAGAGTGTGTGTTCCAGACCCGGGTTCAAAGTGTTCCAAACCCTTCAAACAAGGAAAGGGCAAGGAGGTTGGGCATTTGTGGCGTTGGAGAGGAGAGCGGCATGGAGTTACGTGGTGCCCGCTGCCCACCCAGGCACCCATGGTAACCGCCACACAGCCGCCACACAACCCCGCATGCATGACCGCTGCGACATGCGGCCTCCCAGCTGCTCCCCACACCCTACCCCTCCTCCTCCCCCTTATCACCCCCCCACCCCCCCACCCGCACCCGGTCCTTGAGCTCCTTGATCAGCGCCGCACTGGCCGCCGCGCCTGCCGCCCCCGCGCCGCCCGCCCCCCCGCCCCCGCCCTCCATCAGCCCCGCCCCGCTGCCCGGCTGCGGCTTGAAGGCCACCGAGTAGACCCCCAGGATCTTGGCGAGGCAGGTGGGCGCGTCGCGGTTGAGCAGGTGGCGCCCCATGTGAGCGAAGTAGTGCGGCGCGAAGTTCATGAAGGAGGCCTTCTCGGACTGAGGATGGGGGGGAGGGAGGAAAGGGAGGAGGCAGAGGCGGGAGGCAAATGAGGGGCGTTAATGAAGGGCGCGGCGAGGTGGGGTTCTGTTCCGTCACATACCCTTACGTTGTCCGCGTTCCCGGCAAATGCCCCCCCCCCTCACTCACTCACTTACTCACTCCCAACTCCCAACCTACCTTGGACAAGCTCTTCACGATGTAGCGGTCATCCCGCGTCTTGGCAAAGTACGCATTGCTCTTCCCGCCGCGGCTCTCCCAGCGCTTGCAGCGGCACATGCTAGCCACGAACGCCGCCTCCCCGCCCGCGATACAGCGGCGCCGCAGCTCCGCAAACTGGGGTGCGAAATGCGCGGTTACGCTGAACTTGGCGCGAGCCCAGGGCATGCCGCGAGCCTCATCCTCGAAGCCGACGCGGACGTGGCAGGCTTCTTTTGAGGTGAGGACCGTCCACCAGTCGGCGTCCGGAGCGGCGGAGGGACCCGGCTGCGGCGGTGGTGGAGGTGGAGGTGGGAGGGGGGTAGAGGCAGCAGCAGCAGCAGCAGGCGCTGCTGCTGCAGATGATGTCGCAGAGGAGGAGGAAGGAGGAACGGGAGGCAGCGAGCCGGTGGTGCTAGGGCTAGCGGCAGCAGCAATGCTGGCGGCCTGGGGGGCAGCAGCAGCAGCAGCAGCAGCTGAGGCGGCAATACTACCGGCGTGTTGCGGCACTGAGCTGGCGATGCTCGAGCCGCTGACAGAGCTGCCAAAGCTTCCTGCAGCTGCTGCAGCTGCTGGCCCACAGGCTCCCCCAGCCGCAGCCGCCGCAGCTAGGGAGCCGCCGCTGGTGGCAGATGCACCGCTTGGGAACACACCCGCTGACGCGGCGTCATCGAACCCGCCGCCACAGCTGCTGCCGCGCAGACCGCCCTGCTGCTGCTGCTGCAACAGCTGCTGCTGCTGCTGGGCTGCCTGGGCCCCGTCCAGGAACTGCAGGGGCACCAGCTCCCGCTCGCCCCCGCCAGGTCGGCTGCCGGACGACGCCGACTCAGCTCGCGCCCCCCGCCCGAAAATGGCCTTGTAGCCCGCATTCAGCTGCTGCTGGAAGCTGCGGGTGGACAGCGCGTAGGCGATGATGGAGGTGGGCTCGCCGTCGTAGATGGGAATGACCGTGTCGTTCACACCCGGAGGCAGCAGCGCGCGACCCGGCAGCGGCACGAAACCGCGGGCGGCAGCGGCGCCGGACAGCGCCGCCGCCGCCGCGGTGGCGGAACCGGGGTCGCCGGGACGACGTCGTACGTTGGGTAGGAGCTGACGTCGGGAGGTGCCCAACGCGACAGAGGTGCCGAGGGTGGCGGCGGCGAGGGTGGGTGGCGGGAGGGTGTCTGGGAGCATGAGTGTGGCGCCGCCGGGGGCCCAGGTGCCGGGCATGTGCGCCGGCGCGGCGGCGGCGGCGGCTGCGTTGGTCAGGAGGCTGTCTGGGTAGCGCAGCGCGAGGTGGCTGTTGGCGGCGGTGGCGGCGGAGGGGATGTTGATGGCGCCGGTGGGGCTGGTAGTGGCGCCGGCGGCAGAGGAGGGGTGCTGAGAGGGCGGCGGTGGTGCTTGAGCAGCCGAGGGAGGCATGCCGAGGCGCGACCTGGGTGACAGCGCGGGGTAGGCGGTGCCGGCAGGGCCGCCGCCGTCGGCTCCCATGCCGCCGGTGGCGGCGGCGGCCGCGGTGGTGGTGGGGGTCGAAGCGCTGGATGCAGCGCCGGCGGCTGCCGCAGTTGGCGACGGCACATTGACGACAAGGCCGCTCATCCCCGCCAGCCGCTGCTGCCCATGTGGGGGCTGCGGGTGAGGGTGCGGGTGCGGCGGGTGCCCCTCCTCGCCAGCTGCCCCATGGCTAAACAGCGCGCGGTAGTAGTATGCGCCATCGTTATCCTCTCCCTCCTCATCATACCCGCCCACGCCGCCGGCGCGCAGACCGCCCCCACCGCCCACGCCACGGCCCACGCCGCCGCCTGTTCCCGCACCTCCTCCTCCTCCTCCTCCCTGCCGGGCAGTGCCGCTGGCCTCCCTCGGCCCCCGCGAGCCCGAGCCCACGAAGGCCAGGAAGGTGTCGTGGTCGGGCTCCTCCTCGTCGCCCTCCTCGCGCGCGTCCGCCTCGTCGTTGTCCTCGGGGCCGCTGTCGCCCGGCAGACCGCCTGGGTGGGGCAGGAGGCGGGGTGGGGGATGGGGCAGGGGGTTAAAAGGGGTGATAAAAAGGGTGAGTGATAAGAAGGGAAGATCGAGGAAGGTGAGCGAGGTTGCGCGCGAGGGCAGCTGTGCCTCAGCAGGAAGAGGTGTGGAGCAGTCAGAGGCGCGCTAATTAGGGTGAGTAGAGAACAACAAAGCAAGACGTCTTGAGAACACAGATCGCAGGGGGTACCACGGACTTGAAGCGCCCACAGCTTTGCACCTAGCTATCCATTATGCCCCCCTCCCTCACCCATGTACGACAGCTCTCCCAGGTCTCCAATCGTACTCGTAGACGCGGACCGCGGCAGGCTGCCCATGCGCCCCAGGCCGCCTCCACCACCACCACCTCCACCTGCCGCCGTCACCGCCTCCACCGCCTGACCTCCCATCGCCGCCACCCCCGTGTCCTCGCCACCCACGCTGCTGCTGGCTGACATTCGCCTGGCCGCCGGCACACCCGCCGCCTTCTTCCCGCCGCCACCGCTGCCCACCAAAACCGACGCCGACGGCGTCATTGCGCGCTCGCCAGGCACCGCCACCGGCTCCGACCCGTGGGTCGGCATAGCCTGCAGCTCTCCACCAACCGCAGCAACGCTCGGGGCCGCCCCGCTGCTGCCACCGGGAACAAACGGCTGCGAGCCCATCCGGACGAGGCCACCTGCCCCATTGCTCGCCTCGTGAGGACTCAACCTGTTGCTGCCCACACTCGCACCTCCTGCTGCGGCGGCAGGTGCTGCCGCTGCAGGCACTGCTGCCCCGCCAGCCAGCAGACTCCGCGTGCCCTCCAGCATCAGCCCCCCGCCCCGCAGCTCCTGCGCCACCAGCAGCTCCGCCAGCTGCCCCACCAGCAGCGGCCCGTGCGGGTGCGGCACGATGGGGATGGGCAGCGAGTGGGCGGCGGGCTCTGCGGACGGGAGGAGGGGGAAGGGGGGGGTTAGGCGAAGAGTAGTGAGAGGAGGCGAGCAGGAATGAGGTGCCAACGCAATGGAAGTTATGGAACATGCTATGACCTGGCATGCAGTCCGTACACCGCCTCACCTGAGCTCGTCTCCGCACTCGCCGCCACCAGCCCCTGCTGCCCCTGCTGCTGCTGCTCTGCCGCCGTGGCGGCGCTGCTGGCCTCTGCCAAGCTGAGGGAGGGCTGCGAGGCCAGCAGACCCGGCCGCAGTGCCGCCGCCGCGGGGGGCCCGGCGCTGGAGAGCGACACAGACGCCTCACCAGAGGCCGATGCAACACCGGCGGCAGTGGCAATGGGGTTCGCCCCTGCGGCGGTCGTTCCAGGCTGCATTGCCGAGACGGTGCAAGCAGCACCGACAGCAGCAGTAGCAGTTAAGCCTGCGGCTACCGTGAAGCCCTGGATGGTTGCTGTTGAGGTGGTGGTTGTGGCGGTTGTAATAGTGGTTGATATGGTGGTCGCATTGGTGGTGGTGGTGGTGGTGGTTGTGGCGAGGGAGGCGAGGGAGGCATTGCTGGCGGAGCTCAGGTTGGAGAGCTGCCGACCGGTACCGGCAACACCACCAGCAACACCGGAGGATGCTAGCAGGGTAGCCACCTCCGATGCGGTGGTAATGGCGGCGGTGCTGGTGGAGGTGGGAAGCAAGGTGGCGCCCGCGGCAGGTAGGGACGGCGAGGCGGTGGCAGCTGCTGGGGCAGCAGCAGATGCGGGCTGCGGGCGGAACGCCAGGCGGCCTGTCAGGCGGCTGTAGTGCGCCGCGAAGCCCGCCGGGTCCTGCAGCCTCGCCGCCCACTGCAGCACCGAGCGGGCTAGCACGGAGCGCAGCCGGTTGAGCTGCCGTACACCCTCCAACACCTGCTCGTCCCACGGTACGACATCGCATGTTGCTGTTGCCGTACAGGTGTTGCTGTTGGCGTTACCAGCAGGGGCGCCGTAGGGTGTGGTGGTGGTGGCGCGTGTGATGCAGTCCGCCACCAGGGTCAGGAAGGAGGTGCGGTCCTTGCGAGCTGCGGTCAGCAGTGCGGCCAGTGATGCTGCTGCTGCCGCTGCCGCCGCTGCAGCCTGTTGTTGCTGTTGCTGTTGCTGCTGCTGGTGGTGATGCGCTGCTGGCCAGAAGCCCCCTGCTCCTCCGGGGGAGGTACCCGGAGCGAATGACGCCGCCATGTGCACCCCGCCCCCGCCTCCTCCCAGGTACTCCTCCCTCTGCCCTAGCACGCCCCCCGCAGCTGCCACCGATGCGGGCACCGACGACCCCGGCACGAACCCAGCTGCTGCTGCTGACATCCCCTCGCCCCCACCCACGCCAGCCCCCGCAAAGTACGGGCTGTCCGCCAGCAGCCCCTCAATCGCATCGAACGCGTCATTCGCCTCCGCCGCCAGCTCCGCCGCCTCCTGCTTAAGCCACTTGGCCTGCGCCGACTGGCTGTACGACATCACCACGTCCGGCAGCTGCATGACGTACACCGCCGTACGCTCGGGGAACATGCAGACCAGGGTGCGGCCCAGACCAAAGTAGCGCACGTGGTCGTAGTGGAGGGAGCGGCCGAAGATGTCCAGACCGTCTGGGGGGGTATCGGTATGCGGGGTTGTGAGGGGAGGAGGTGAAAGGTGGAGAGGAGAAAGGAAGTTCATGAAGTGCAACCCCGCACGGCAGCCCCCTCCCCAGTGCCCCAAGCACCAACACCCCCTGTCCTAGCCGTCTTGCCCTCCCTCCCCCCAACCCGCACTCTCATTTAATGTTTCCCTCCCTCCCTCCCTCCCTCCCTCACCCGCTGAGAATGACAGCTCCAGGAAGCGCCCCATGCTCAGGTAGCACGAGTCGGGAGACAGCGGCACGCGGCGGCAGGCGGCGGAGCCCTCGCGACCGCGACCGATGGGCCGCGTCCAGTGCCAGATCTGAGCAGCAGAGGGAGGGGGAGGGGAGTACCGGTGCTCGTCAGTGCAGGGCAGCTTTCGGCTTTGTGAAAGTATGCGACAAGGCAGGAGAGGGCCAGCGATTGGGCCAGCAGGATCGCTGTTGCCACTTCGTCAATGACCCCTTGAACACCCCTAACCGCACCCCTGCATGCTTTGTTTGCAGCTACCCCCTGCCCACACCCACACCCGCACATGCACTGCGTTCCTCTTCGCGGCCAGTTTCTCAGCACACACACACCCACTGCCCGCTGCCCCCCACCTGGTTCTTCTCCTCCCCGGGCAGCGCCTGCACGGGCGGCAGGGTGGAGTAGAAGATGGTGAGCTTGTGCGAGCCGAAGAAGAAGACGCTCTCGTGCGCGGTGAAGGGGTCAGGGCAGCCGGCCTGCGGGCGGGGAACCAGGGGGGCGAGCGGGGGGTTGGAGGCGGCTGAGGCGGCTGAGGCGGCGGGAGAGAAAGGAGCGCATGGACAAGCAAGCGAGGGTCCCGGGTTGATGTGCACAGCATGTACACTCGCAGGTGCCCATTCCCTGTGTGTAGATCTCCCATGTCGGTGGCCCACACGCAACCACCGCGTGTGTCCCCCCGCCCCGCCCCCCGCCCCGCCCCCCGACCCCGCCCCCCGACCCCGCCCACTCACCCCCGGGCAGCTCCATCCCTGCTGCGTGCACATCTTGATGTAGCGGATGAGCGGCACGTCGGAGGAGCGGTGGTAGTAGTCAATCTGCTTCACCTGGAAGGGGTCGCACAGGTGGCGGTCGCGGCTGCGGCGGAACATGCAGGTCACGAAGATGCGCTGCTGCGAGTAGATGCGCTGACCCTGCAGCACCGCCAGCGCCGCCTGCTGCTTCAGGGCGGCGCTGCGCTGGCGAGCTAGGTACTGCTGCTGGGGGTGCGCTGCCGCTTCAGAAGGCTGCGGGCCGTCAATGCCGTCAGCGTCCGTTTGCCGCCGAGAGGTGTTCAGCCCTCCCGCCGCAGCAGCAAAGGCAGTGGTGGCGGAGGCACTGGCGGACTGCTCTCCGCCGCCTGCAGCAGCAGCCGCAGCCCCTCCACTGCCCGGCTGCTGAGGCGGCTGCTGCTGCGCCCCCTGGCATGCCTGGCTTGCAAAAGGGGACTGCAGCGCCGAGGCCGAGGGCGGCGCCACCTCAGCAGCAGCAGCTGCAACCCCTCCCCCGGCACCACCTTCCCCGCCGGCGGCGCCAGCAGCGGGAGGGGAAGCACACTCCCCCGCTACGGTGGGAGCAGCGGCCTCCTCCCGGCAGCCGTCAGGGCGCTCCGCTGCTGCAGCGGCAGTAGCAGCGGTGTCAGCTGCCACCGCCCCGGCAAACGTGGGCTCACTCTGCAGGGGAGCACCCGCGCCGGGGACAGCAGCTGCTGATGCCGCTGCTGCTGTCTCGCCGCAGTCCGCCCCCTCCGCTGCTGCTGCCCCGAGGCTTGCAGCAGCCTGGCCTGGCAATCCCGCTGCTCCTCCTCCTGCCACATCGGCCACCAGCTGCGGCTGCTGCTCCTGCATGAGTTGCGCCAGCTGCCGCTGATCCGCCTCCTGCTGCGCCGAGCTAACCAGCCTTAGCTGCCGCCCTTGCTGCTGCTCCTGCTGCTGCCGCCCCTGCGTTGCGGCCTCGCCACCTAACATGCCCTGCTGCGGCCCCAGGTGCGGGAAGTTGAAGCCCTGCTGCAGCCACTCCGCGATGAGGGAGTCGTCCCAGGCGTTGCAGTGCGGGCTGATGGACAGCAGGATGCCCGGGATGCCCCGCTCGCAGGAGGCGGCCAGGGAGCGGCGGATGGAGGAGGCGGCGGCGGCGCGGAAGAAGGCGAGCGAGGGGACGGAGAAGGAGGGGGAGCTGGAGGAGAAGGAGGAGGAGGAGGTGGGTGGGAAGTGGGTGGTGCTGGTGTTGCCGCCAGTGGGTGGGTTGCTGGCGCTCAGGTAGGCTGCGGTGGGAGGGAGAGAGGGAGGGAGGGAGGAAGGGTGAAAGAGAGGACGGGTGGCGGTGCAGGCGTATTGCGGTGCGCGCCGTCCTCCCAACGCCCCCTTGAAACCCTAACACGCCAACCGTCCCCCCTAACACCTTCCCGCCCCCAGCCACGCCCCTCTGCTTGGAGCCACCCCTTCTCACATCGCCACTATAACACATCTTTACCCCGCATTCCCCCTCCCCAAGCGCCCCCCCACCCCCCCTCACCCTCCTCCCCCGCCGCCGCCACCGCCGCCGTGAGCAGGTCCGCCAGGAAGGCTGTCTCCAGCCGCTGGTTCCACGCCGCCAGCAGCGCGAACCCCAGCACCGCCTTCAGCCGCCGCAGCAGCTCCAGCGGGGCGCCCTTGAGCAGCACGGTGCAGGTGGTGGGCCGGCAGCCCTCGAAGTACATGAGGGTGATCTGGGGGGCGGGAGGGGGGCAGGCGGGCAGGGCGGCGGGGGCGACCTGGAGCGGGGGGGAGAGGGAGGGGGGGAAGGGAGGGGTTAAGGAGGGGTGCGGGAAGGAAAGGGAGCGTGGTAGGGGGGAGGAGGCATGGCATCATGCGTGTAAGGAAGCCAAGAGGTGTCACGGCAAGAAGCGCACACAGAAGCAGATGCGAGGGGCAGCATCATGAAAGAGGTCGCAGCATGCTCGCATGACGCAGGCAGCCCCCCTGTATGTGCCTAGACGCCTTTGTGTCATGTGCAGACGCTGACGGGTCTCTGACACGTGCAGCGCTCCACCCGCCAGCTGGGGGCCCGCGGGGGGGATCCTGCAGGCTAGTGCACCCCTCCGGCACCTCCGCCCTCACCCACCCACCCACCCACCCCACAAGCTGAGCCACTCACAGTCTTCCCCACAGCGGCTCCTGATGTCGCCGACCCGGCAGCAGCACCCGCACCGCCGCCCGCCGCCCCCGGCCCTCCCGCCGCCGTCCCCGGTCCCATGGCCGCCGCCGTCGGCGTCTGCGCCGCTGGAGGCGCCGAGGCCGCCGACCTGACCATCACCGCCGCCCCGCCCGCCCCCGCGCCCGCGCCCGCCGACACCGCCGCCACCGCTGCCGCCGCGTTGGGTCCCGAGCCCAGGTGCGCCATCATCATGGCGGCGGAGAGGGAGGTGTAGCTGCCCCGGTCGTTGTCTAGCAGCAGGCGGGAGCGAGGGGGGGCCTGCTGGGGAGGCTGAGAGGGCGGATCTGGGGGAGCGGCAGCTGCTGCTTCTGCTGCCGAGGAGGTGGAGGTGGAGGTGGGGGTAGGGGTGGTGTCGGCTTCCCCCCCGCTGCGGAGGGCCTCCACCGAGGCGGGTCGCGGCAGCAGCACCCCGCCGGGCTGGGAGGCGGTGCTGCTGCCAGCACCGCCCTCCACTGCCGGGGGAGCGGAAGCAGCGGGGCCAGCTGCTGCTGCCCCTGCCCCTGCTGCTCCCGCCAGCCCTGTCCTTGCAGCCGTCTGGTCCTCCGCCTGCCCCTGCCCCCCCTGCTGCTGCCCCCCCTGCTGCGGCACATTGACGGTCTCCGCCTGCACCCTGAACACCTTGCAGTCGCCCAGGTAGAGGTGCGCGGTGGCGGGCGAGAGGTGCTCCACGGTGGGCGCCACCCGCACGCCCATGCAGCGGGCCAGCCGCTCCAGCAGCTTGGAGCGCACCTTCTGAGCCACGCTGATGTTGCGGGACTGGGGGGGGAGGGGGAGGGGGGAAGAGGGGGAGGATGCCAGTTACACAAGGTACACACAAGCAGGGGGTTCGTGAAGATGACCTGCAGTGCCGCCAACAGCTCCAACACGGGACATGGCCACATGCCACCGCTGTCCCCCCCCCTTCCCCCACCCCCCACCATGAGGTCCTCCTGCGCCATGCGCGCCACGCTGCCCTCCACCAGCACCACATCCGGCTTCAGCACCGCCAGCCGGGCCACCGCGTTGGCCAGGTACTGCTTGTCCTGCAGGGTGGGGGGGGGATGAGGGGGGGGGCGGGAGGGGGTTACCGTAGTGGGAGGGAAAAGGGGATAGGGAGCGGAGCGCGACGGGGGGGCGGCACCGGTGCATGGCTTGCCGCATGTGAGCCCATCCAGGTGCACTCTGCGCTGTGTATGCTGTGTCTTCTCCCGGGCACCTCACCCCGCCCTCTTCCCACCCCTCTCCCCACCCTACATGGTCCATGAGGTCGAAGCTGGACAGCTTGTTGGTCTCCCGCTGGTACTCCAGCGAGCCGGCCAGCAGCAGCACCTGGGGTGGGGGCCAAAGCACGGGTTAGGGCAAAGCACAGGGGATAGGAAGCGACAGGGGGGGGATTGAGCGGAGGGAGCGGACAGCAGGGCGGGGTCGAGTGTGGATGGCAGGGGGCAGACAACACCGGTAACGCCGCCTCCTCCGGCATGTACTGAAAGGAGGGCGTCTGCCCCCACACCCCCCACCTCCCTCCCCCTACGCATTGGGACTTCCTCCCCCCCCCCCGCCCCCACCTTGGGGTACTCGATGTACGACCGCATCCGGCGGTGCAGCAGCCCCTTGCGAACCACCACCCCCGTCACCACACACGTGTCGCCCGGCCGACCCACGTCGGCAACCTTCTTGATCTGAGCAGCGAGAGGAGCGAGGGGAGGAGGGAGTGGTGGGCGGGGCGGGGTGGGGTGGAGAGCAGCAGGGCATGTTATCAAGCCATCCCCCGTGTGTTAAGGAAACTGGCCCTGGCGTGTGCGTGGAGCCAGCAAGGGGTATCAGCAGCTGGGAGGCGGAGCACAGCATCCCCCTGTAAGCCCTTCACTCCTCTCCACCCCTCAACCTCCCCCCTGCCCGCACCTGCAGCGCCTGCCTGGGGTCGTGCTGTCCGCTGGCGTACATGAGCGCGGGCGCCAGGTAGGCCGCCACCGCCTGCGCGGCGCCGCTGACGATGGGCGCCCAGAGGTCGGGCTGCGGCACCGCCTCCACCCGCAGCAGCTGCGATACCACCGCACGCAGGTGGGCGTCGGCGGCGGCGGAGAAGAGCTGCCTGCGGGGGGGGGGTCAAAGACCATATCAAACCATAGGAGACCACAGGTTAGGGCAGACCAATGGGGGTAGGAGTTGGCAGGGTGCCACAAGACAAAGTGGGGAGGGGCGAGGGAGGGGAGGTAGTGGTGGGCAGGGGCAGGGGAGAAGGCCCACGCAGGCAGCCATGTGTTGGTTGCGGTGTGTGGCGCCATCCGGAGACCCGGCTAGGAAGACCCGGATGCACGCAGGGCCATGCTCCGACCCGACGCATGCTCCACCCCCCCCACCTGTGCACCTCCCCCAGGCTGTGCGCCGCCTGCTGCGCCCCTGCCTCCCCCGCCCCCGCCCCCGCCTCCAGCTGCTGCTGGTGCAGCAGGCGCGCATCCCGGTCCGCCAGGCTCATGCCGAAGTCCTCCTCCAGCGGCGGGGGCACCACCCAGGACAGGTCGCCGCTGGCAACACGGTGCGCGGAGGACTGGCCGCGACCCTGGGGATGGGGGGTGGGGGGGGCAGGGTGAAGCGGGGGGGGGGGTGGCAAAGACTGTACCAAACCATATGATACCACAGGGTGGGGCAGGGTTGAGGCAAGTAGCGTGACTGGTGTACCGGTGGTGTGGGTCAGGTAACCCCTGCAGCGGGCCCCTGATGCCGCCCTCAGGCACCAGCGGGGGAGGGGATGCGTCCCATGTCCGTGACTCCCTTCCGCCACCGGGGGCCAGCACTGGCGGGGCCAACCTCTGCCGTGCTTCTCATGACCATGACCATCACCATGACCACGAGCAGTGCTAGCCCCTGGGGTAGCCAAGGCACCCCTGACGCCCCCCACTGCTGCCACCTCCCCACTCCGCACTCACCCATCGCCCGCTCCTGGTTCGCGCTAGGCTGCCCCGCGCGGCTGGCAGGTCGCTGCCGCTGCCGCTGCTGGCGGTGCCCCCGCTGAGGGCCGGGGCGGTCTCCGGCTCCAGCAGCTGCCTGTGCAAGCAGCCGACACAAGGGCAGGGTGTGGGGGCGGTGTGAGGGTGGCAGGGAGGAGGAGGGGAGAACCTGGGCTTGCACGGCCGACAGCCGCAGGCAGACGAAAGGCTCCGTTGGGCGTTGTACACAGACAGCTGCGTGTGGCACCATCCAGGGCCCAGCTGGGGCGGAGCGGACGGTGCAAGCACCCCGCCCTTTCGGTTTAATGCTTTGTTGCCACAGCGGCTTGGGACAGCGGCTTGGGCTTAAAAACCCTGGTAGCTAGGTCGTACTAAGTGCCGAGGTTACCCATACCTGATGCTCCCCGTCCTATCAAGCCCGGCATTCGGTCCATTCCAGGAATTGTTACGCTGGTGGTGGGTCCGCGGGGTTGGCTGGTCGCTGCGCTGCCGGACGCGATAGCCTGCAGTTGGATTAAAGTGCAAACTTTTGGCACGTCCAGATAGCGCCATACACAGCACAATAAGTTATCAAGCAGCTAGACAGCCCTGGTAATTCATAAGCACCCAGCCTAAGGCAGCAAATTTGGGACGCCAGACAGACCAAACTCACAGTAGTTGCAAACGCGAAGCCATTGCTGATCCGCACTCTCCCGAGGTGGTGGTATTGAATTCCGCGTGCAGTTTGCGCAGAACACGCGTCCGCATATCCGACAGTGGTGGCGTCGATTCCACTGACTGAAAGCTGACTCGCATTCATAGCATGCTTTACATTTGCTGTCGTCGATCCAGTAATCTTTGCTCACACCTTTGTCACCTGAAACTATCTTTATGACTTTGCCTAAAAAGTTCTCCATCGCAACGTTGAACAACAAGATACATTGAGGGCAAGCAAGCCACCTAGGTTGATGGCGGGGACGGCAACATGGTAACTAAGCTGTGGCGAAACGAACAAGGCAACCGGAAGTTGCAAGGCGCTTGTACAGCAATCATGCCGTACGTTTGATGTCGATTCCTTGTTCTTTGGGCTTCGCGGTTTGCTGCATGCTCCTTTCCGATATTGCATATATAGGAATTATCTAGATTCGTGCCGTGCGCGGAGAATCATCAGCGCAAAAGGTCACCCCCGTGACCCGGTGACTACGTCGTAAGGTGCAGTGGCGTCCAGCACGTCGCCGCCTCGGGCTGAGGACTAGGAAGCAATCCTATGGACAAGGAGCTCTTACATGAAGAGTGTCTTGTGTTACGAAGCCACGCCAGCCGTTGTGTAAGCGGTACAAGACTACGGCACATGCAAAACACACACGAACGTGGTGCCGTACAGTGCAACAAAAAGCTAAGTACCGGCTGGGCCGCAGAGCCTGCCGCACACGGCAGCAATTACATGTGGCCAAAAGGCGCGCTTTCAATACACGTTGGTGCAGCAGAAGCGCACAACAAACTGCCACCTGCTAGCATACCAGCAAACTGGTAACCTTAACGGTTAGCGGGGTCACGGTTTAAGGTCTTCCTCTCGTGCTAGGAAGGAAGAAGTCATCGCCGTATGTATAAGCGCCCAAGCAGCGCAGGTCGCATCGTTCGCAGTAAACTCTGTAAACGAACTCGCTGTCATTCCAGCCAATCGCACAAGCACAGCCTAACACAGTACCGGTAGTGTGATCGCCCATCCAGTAAACAGTGATAAACTGGTCCAAGCTTGGAGTGCCCCCTCATGCCCATATGCAGTGCACACCCACCCCACCCATCGCGCACACATCCATCCACTCCCCCACTACTCCTCAGCTCCTCTCGCCCCCCGCCGACTGCTCGCCGCCGCATCCGACTTCTCCGCCAGCTCTAACAACCCCGTCTCCTCATCCTCATGCAACGACCCGTACCCCTGCTTGTCCCGCACCGCTTTCTGCAGGTTGCTGGGCGCCTTCTTGATCGCCTGGATGCCGGTCTTGGCAGCCCGTTCCGCGCGGTCAATGATGGACCGACCCAGCCCCGTCTGCCCCAGTCGGGGGCTGGCGGGTGCTGAGCCCGAGCGTATGATGGCGGGGCTGCTGTCGGCGGAGGGATGCACCAGCTCCGCCGCTGGTCGCCCCAACGTCAGACTGGCCGCGGACCTGCGCGCCTCCAAGTCCTGCAGGAGTGGCGCAGGTGCATGGGAGGATGACCCATGGGTCGATCTCAGCCATGGGTAACGAGAATCGTGGTTGCTACTGAAGATGCGCGTAATAATGCCTCCCTCCTTATTCGCACGCAGGTTTCTTTTAGCATGCTCTCCTCATCCCGTGGCCTTGCGGCCCTGCGGTAGCCAGCATAGGGAATAGAACTACCGGCGCCCACACGGCAGACGGTACCTCCCACCGTTATCCTCCCATATACCACCTAAATTTTCTTACCTCTACGACCGCATTGCTTCCATGGCTTGCATCCCGGCTGCCGCTGATCTCCTGCAGACACCGTTGGGACCACATCGTCAGCATCGACACTCTAAGCCACCAAGGCAACGCCATCAGCGGGTCTGCAGGGGTCTGCAGCAACCGCCCCCTGCCGCGCACCTCTTTTGAACTCATCACCGGCGACAAGAGCGAGTTGGAGAAGCGGCCAGAGGGGTTCACCTGCGGCACCGAAACACAAGGACATCAACCACGGTGTTCAGCCCTTGGCAGAACCCCACCTAAACCCCAACCTATGTCCGACTCGGTGGCGCTACTGACTGGAAGGTTTATAACCGCTGCTAGATGCTTTTCAGGCCCCGACCCCGACCCCGCACCCACCGCCTTCGCATAGTCCAGCATCATGGGCATCGCAAAGAGGCTGATGGCGGGGATGCTGCTGTCGCCCAGCCCCATGGCTAGTCGTACACCCTCGCGCGTCTTCACGTCCACCAGGTCATGGTTGAGTCGATCCTGCACGCTCCGGATGCGCCGCTTCATGTCATCCAGCCTGCGGGAGGGACCAGAGGGACAGAGGGAAGGCGTCTGGGGTCCGGCATGGCCTGCGTTAGGGAGGTGGCCTGCACAGGCTTGGGGGAAGGATGCTGGTGCAATGCACATGGGCATAACGACTGGCGTTTTGCATTAGCAGCTGACCCACATGGATTTGCGGTCCGTCTGGTCATCCAGCGGCGCCTGCTTGGTGGCGCTGCCGGGCAGCGCAGCGCGCGCGCCCTCCACCTCGGCTTCTGTCCTCGACGCAGGGTGGTATGCCTTAGCTTGTGGCGAGGATGTGGCGACCGCTTGTACCTCACGGTCGGCATCGTCGGACAGCTCGGACCGGGCAGCCGCCTCAACCGGCAGCGCCGCGCCTGCGTACAGGTCCGTACAGCAAGGGGTTGCTTAACAGCGCATGGCTTAAACGGAAGGCCATTGCTGACTTTATTTTCCGTGCAGAGCCTTACGTGGGATTTGCCGTCATGTGTCGTGTGCGAGTGCGGAGGACGGGTGGGGCAGTACCTGACGTGCTGCGATTGGCGGTATCACCCAGCAATGCAGGCAGGGAAAGCGGGCAACAACCCGTGTGATGCACCGCCTGCCCACTGCAGGACTCACCCTCGGGGCGGCGCAGGTCCACGCTGTCCTCTCGGCCCGCCAGCTTGCCCTCGCCGAGCGTGCTGGACCCAAACGCCGAGTTTGCTGCGTCCTGCTTGGCGGCCTTGGCTGCCGCCTCCTCCTCCATCTTCTGGTAGGATGCTTGCTTGGAGGAAGCGCTCTGGGTCAGCAGGAACACGCCCACGAAGACAACCTGCATGCATGCCCAGCGGGTGCAGGAGCAGCTTAGCAAGCCCGCAAAGCACGACTGCATCTCCCCCCTTCCCCTTGTCGTCCCCAGCACGAAACCCGCTTTCACGAAAATCAGCTTCTAGGCCCCTACTTCTCCCACATCGCCAGCGACATTGCAGATGAATCTAAAGACACAGGGTGGGAACAAGGAGCGAGGACATAAGAACTACATGGACGAGCTGCAAAGCCCCCTGCCCCGGGTACAGGCTGCCTGACTGACCAGCACGCCGATTGGGAACATGACGGACTTGAGCGGCGTGAAGTCGGCGTACTCCTGGAAGTAGAGCATGCCGGAGATGATGGAGAAGAGCGTCCAAGAGATCTGCATCACCGGCACGATGATCATGGCGGGGAACATGCGCAGACCCTGCAGGGGGGTGGGGGGATGGAAGGGTGCGGGGCAGGCCCGCATGGCATCAGTGCACTGGAAGATGGTTTCTCATGGTTTCCCATGTGGACTGGAAGGGAGTTGCCAATAAGGGTGGCATTCACGGTAGAAGCAAAGGCGGAGAGGCATGGCCCCGGATAGCCCCCCTCCAGCCGCACCTTGTTGAGTCGGGTGATCCAGAATACTGCCGTCAGGAAGAACAGCGGCAGCACCAGCCAGGTGTACCAGTTGCCCAGCTGCACAGCGGGAAGCAGGTGTGTTAGGTCAGTGGCGCCAAGCAAAGCAAAATAGGTAGATGCCAGGATGCGTCTTGCATGGTTAGGCACGGTGAGGCAGGTCGGTGACTGGCTGCATGCAAGGGTCAGACAGAGTGGCGTTTCATAGGAGCCGAGAACCAAACCCACCCCACCCCCACCCCCACCCCAGCACAGCCCAGCCCCCCGCCCCACGCCCACCTGGTTCTCCCCGCTGAAGGTGAGGCGCAGGATGACGGACATGCTCTTGCTGAACAGCACACTCTGCGTCCCTATGAGCGCCGAGAACACCGAGTAGGCCACTGGCAGGATGGCGTACCAGAACCCCCGCGGACCCGTTTTGCTGCGGGTAGGGTAGGGGGGCACAGGGGAGGTGCGGTTAGTGGCATGAGCATTACCGTCACGACCGGGAAGTCCAACCGCCGTACCTTGGTGATTGGGTCGTACATGACAAGCAACACATAATCGTGTACTATGAAGGTCCATAATCCCCATGCAGCCTATTACGCTGTTAGATTATGCTATGTTTCTACGTACCCAGTCCAAGAAGTGTATGTTCGCATGTATACCAAGCTGCTATGGTGTGTTACGAAAACTGGTATGGTGTGCTAGTCGCCTACACCCCGGACGGCCTGCCGGGTGGTGGTAAACTGGTCGTCACGCCAACCTCCCGGGCCCTCCGCAGCCCCAGCCCCACTTACTTGACCACCTTCTGCCCCTTCAGGTACAGCAGATAGCCCCCCACCACACCCACGCCCAGCAGGCTCAGGTAGGTCACGTAGCCGGCCCTGCACACGGGGGGGTGGGGGGCGTGCGCGGACATGCAGGAAGTGAGTTAACACACCGCTGCTTCCGGGGCCACGCGAACAGGGGGGCCAGCAGCTTGGCGCCCTGCCGTACGTGCGGCGCCCGCTCATGCAAGGTGAAAGCGACATCCTGAAGATGTCAGGAACGAACACCAGCAGCAAACCGGGACAACCGGGGACAACGGAAATAACAGTAGTAGTTTCAGTTGTTTGGCCAACTGCCGCCACTTACTTGGTGTAGAGCTCCGTGAGCTGCTTCACGGTGTATGTTGCTGAGCTCTGGTTGCCGAACACCACCAGCAGGATGCAGCCGCCCACGATGCAGGTGGTGGCGATCAGGATCATGCGGTTGATCTGCGGGGTGCAGCAGGCAGCAGCGGGGGGCGGCACGGAGGCCATCGTGATAGGTGTTACGCATGAGCCACCGCACCCGCAGCGTGGAGTGTGAGTTCAGGGAGGGAGCCACAAGGCGGACATGTGGGGCCTCTACTACATGGGTTATTATGCATCGGCACTGGCAGCACTGGGATCTCCGAGTACGTTGGGCATAAGCCCCCGAACGCGGCCCGAGGCAACGTAACGCCGCTGACCTTGTGCTACCCGCTTACCCGCTCGTGAAGCACAAAGGACGCGAAGATGACGTTTGACACGAACTGGATGCTGCCCAGGGCGGCCAGCAGCGACTGGGCAGCGAAGCCTGCAACGCCGTGTGCAGACGCCTTGAGAGAAATGAGGGCTACGGTGCCCAAGCGGTGGCAAAGAGGTCAGCGGATGGTCAGGAAACCCAAACGTCCTACTCACCGAAGGAGACAAAGTTCAGGATGTTGCCCACAGAGAAGAATGACATGCCGATAACCCATTCCTTAAACTTCCGTACTGGGGGTTTCTGGTCATCCGGCAAATCCACCTTGGCCCGCTTGTTGTGCCCCAGCTTCATGAGGTTCTGCGGTTGCCCAGTGGAGGGTGTCAACACTGGGTGTGTTCTTCACACCAGTGCCCCGTCCCTCCCTACGCCCATGCATGCGTCAGTATCGCTTGCCTCACCGTTCCAAGGTTGATCGCTATGCTGCCAATCTGTCGCGGTTTCACAATCGGCGTCGGTTGTTAAGCAGGTCATACCATGTCCGGACTGGCAACGGCAAATGTAACCTACCACGTTAATTATAGCTCCTACATACCACAGATCCTGGGACTCGCCCTCCCCCGACCCCGTTGGCGGAGGCGGGTACGCCGCGTCTGAGCCCATGCTGCTGCTTAAAGTCCTTCCAGCTCTAGGACATGCCTTTTATCTATGTTCGCCGACAGCGTGGAAATCGTTCGGACAGATAACAAAAGCGTTACGATTAATGAGGAAAGCAAACAGGCTTTGTCGAGTGCAAGTTGACCGAAACGCAGATATATCTACCTAAGCAAAAACAGCTCAGAGCTTACGAGTATGAAGTTACCCAATTGGATTGTACTTGCAAAAGTCTGCATGTATGGTACCTCTCCCGCGCTGGACTGTTCGTACATTCCGCCGATTGCGCATGCATCTGAGCTCCGCAGCTCCCGGCAAAGCATGCAAAGGCTTCCTTGTAGCAACGACTGTTGGACAAAGGTGAACTAGGTAGCCCATTTCCTGTACAGAACAGTTACATTGCTTTGCCATCTCTACCGCAGTGAACTTACCGGCGCATCGCTTATCAGAGTATACGTAAACTAACCTTAGGAGCGATCACACGTATCGGGTGACATGCCGCCGAAAGAAGCGGCGGAGCCCATCCGCCTCGAGTCCCTCGCTCCGCAGCAGCTAGCGGAGTTGAGGGCAAACCTGAACAATGAGATCCAACGCCTTTCCGAGGGCGCTGCGGCGCTGGCGCGGGCAGCGGGGACCTTCAACACCTCTAAGAAGTCTGTAGAGCAGCTTGCCGCGTCTAAAACAGGTAGAAACGCTACTCTTAATAGGTTTCATGCGCCCAGATGGCGTTGGCCGGGGGAATAGTTTGGAAGGGACATCGGCGCTCGGTATCCGAGCGCCAACCACCGGTTACCCGCCAACTACCGCGCCTGGGTTGGCACCGCAGGGCAATCCATCATGATGCCCCTTACCAGCTCCCTGTACGTTTCGGGTGAGGTGGACGATGTGGAGAAGGTGCTGGTGGACATCGGCACGGGATACTACGTCGAGGTGGGTACGGGCAATGGGTTACACACGTTCGGGAAGTACTGATGGCCTAGGGCCCTTCTTGGCTTGAGGGTACGGGAAGGCCTCCTTAGGCCAAGGAGCATAGAGCAACGCCACCAATGGATGCATTGCGGTATGCGGCCGATACTGGAGACGCCCTAGCAAGGCACTTGGTGTGTCCTTCCTTTCGAGCGCGCAACGCCTTCCTTCTTGCTCCATGTAGATGACCACTGCGGACGCTGCCAAGTACTACGAGCGGCGCATCAAGGTGCTGCAAGAGAACATCAACACCATCCATTCGGTGGGTGCTTTTAGCTGGCAGCCCCACGTTTACACAAGCAGCCATCGCTTGCTGTCTAAAAGGCCGCCGGGTCCCATGCATGCACCGTTACTAAAGGCATCCTGCCCCTTTCGACCGAACCATTCCCGCAGACTCTCCGTGAGCGGCAAAACGTGCTCATCCAAGTCCAGTCAATCCTCCAAGAAAAGATCATGGCCGCCCAGGCGGCCAGCTCGCGGGCATAAGGGGCGGCAACACACTTTTGCACGCCACAATATTGGTTCGAACAACGTTGGAAATTGCAGCCTCGGATACTCCTGCTTGGATACTCGCAGTGGCGGCTCCAGTACCCACTAAATGTTTGTAACAACTGCAACCGCTCAACGCGGTAACTCACCAATGAGCTCTTTTTGCCCTAGCCCCAATGCTATGACAAGCACTGCAAAACCCCGCTCATTCCAGCGTCAGCTATAGTCTTGTTGCTACAGCCAGTGTCGTATACTAGATAGATCGTTACAGCCTCGAAACTCCCTGTCTTTCGTCACTTCCCTTCGGTCCTACAGCACCAACAACCAGAAACCCGTCAAAGCTTTGTGTCACCCGCCTTCACCACTTCACACATCGTCAGTATCATCAAGGCAGCATGTTGTCGGCCTCCGGCTCCTCGTAGATGTTCGAGGCCATCTGCCAGATCTGCGGGAACGAGGACGACCACAGCGTACGATTAACCATCAGTGTCATGCTCGCAAGTAGTGTCACAGGCAGAACACGTAGTTGCCATGCCTAAACCACACATATGCGACAAGCATGCTTGAAGGGGCCGGTGTTATCGGCGGAACCCAGTCGCCTCGCTTGCTCTTCCCGCCAGACCACCCAGCACATTCCCAAAGCCCTCACCTGCAGGATGTTGTCCTCCGCAACGGACGCCACCACCCAGTCGTCATTGGAGTTCCACGCCAGATCCGAAATCTTCGACGTGTGCCCGCCGTGGATGAACAGCAGCTCCGGCGGACCGTCCTCCGCGTCCTCCGGTGTCTGCATAGGAGAAAGAGATGGCAACAGACGGCTCTCGGCCTTATAAACAGTACCTACTGGAAACCCAATCCACCTACCCCCTCATGCAAAACGAGTGCAGCGCCAGACTCTGAAGCCCCTGCCCACTCTGCAAGTTTCACCAGACTACCCACTCCTCACTCCCACCACAGTCGTACCTGCTCGTCGCCGATGCGCGAGAGGTCCCAGACCATGACGCGCCGGTCCGCACCACATGACGCCAGGACGGTCTCGTTCTTGGGGCTCCACCCAATCTGGAAGACCTCGTCCTGGTGGCTCTCAAAGACGTGCAGCCGCTGGCTCAGGTTGCGCCAGTCGTGCAGCGCAACCTGCGGGACAGTGGCACGACGACCGAAAGGTCCCCAGAACAGGTTGGTGCGGGCTCGCGGCGTAAGTGACTGGACTAGTCTCACCAGCTCAAATTTACACGACAAATACAACCATGACCATTAGACAGGATGGTCCTTATGGCACACCATTGGACTCGTGCTTACCGTCTTGTCGGCCGAGCCTGTTGCTAGGATGTTGGGGTTCAAGGGGTTGAATGCAATGCAGTTGACCTCCGCCGTGTGAGCCTCGGCGGCGATCATGACGCCTGCGAAGCAGCGGGTGTTAACCTGTTTACATTGCCAGCCTCTAACAAACAAGTAAATGAGCATGTTACGTGGACAGTAGATGCGGCTTACAGCAACGAGGACAACAAGCAGCAAGAATGATGATAAACACACGGCCCCTTGGTACAGTGTACACCGCTTTATAGAGCAACCCCATGCTGCGCCCGCAGCCTTACCTTGGTTGGGTGGCCGGCGCACATCCCACAGGATTAGCTGCTTGTCGTCGCCCACGGAGCCGAAGATGTCCGCGTGGTGGCAGTGCCACGCCACATCCTGTTGGGGCAGTGCGGCACACAAGAGGTTTTCTCGCTCAGCGTCACGTAGACTTAGCGACTAAAATGCGTGGACACGACACGCAACGTCGCCCGGGCATGCGGAACTGTGTAGCCTCGACCCCGTACAACGACTTCCGCCAGCGCGCAGTACGGTAACACTGTTGTGTTTGTTGCTGTAACCTTCCAGAAAACCGAGGACCGCTTGCCTAACACCCAGGGGCGCAAGCGGATGCTTACCTCCACCACGCCTTGGTGCTCCTGGTATATCGTCCGCGCCGCAAGTTTCTGCATTAGGGAGTAAGCAGTCTAACTTAGCGGTCTTCCAAGTGCAGAATGACGGGTGGCAGGAGGGTAAGGCCACGCATAACAACGCAGGAGGTCGAAGAATCAGTAAGCCCTGCTCTTTCTCGTACGCAGCCTTGCACCCGGACCCACATTTGCTGTCTTGGGCCCGGCCTGGATGTCCCACAGGCAGATCTGGGCGTCATCCGAGCCGGACAACAAGTGGCCCGGCATGTACGGCGACCATGCAAGGCCGTACCCCTCCGTTTTGTGGCCTGTGAGGACCAGGTTTGGTCGGCAAAGGCCGTCTGGGTGGGGCTTTGAGGGATGCTTTGAGTAGTCAAAGACGTAGACGTCTGCGCTGACGGTTTTCGTTGCAATGATGAACTTGTCCTGAGGCATGTGGCGTGCACGGTTGACCTCGCCGTCGTGGTTAATCTGCTGGATTACGTGCACCTTGCCGTGAGCGCCACCAAAGCCCCCAACCTCGTTGCGCTCGTCGTCGTACCCACGCCCATCCAGCTCTGACTCCTCCAACGGCAGCTGCACCTCCGCAATCATGAGATAGTTCTGCTCATTATCCGACGTGTGTGTCCCCAGGATGAGCTTCTGCTTAGAGTAGTCTTTGCCGGACGCGATCTCTTTATCCTGCATGGAGACAACATGGGCTTGGGCACATGCTGCAGCACTATCGAGCCACAGACGCCAGCTTCCCCCATCAAGAGGCCCCTACCGGTAGCCATTGGACTGTAAGGCTGGGCCACTCAAGCGCATGGGTCACCACAAGATCTGCGCGGGGATTTCCAAATGTCACGAGCTCAAAAACCATTCTCCAGGCCTCATGATAGCCAAAACCGTAAACCACATACCATATAGAAAAGGAGTGTTTTTCTTCCAAATTTTGTACTCCTCGTTGGTTAGCCGCTCCTCAACCTCATCAGGATAGTCTGCGCAAACCCGGCCCAAACTTGACCACGATGCACTCCAACATGTAAAAGTGAGGCAAGACCAGCGTTAAAGGCCTTGCCTTCCTCGTCCCGGCCCATCTTTGCCGCCGAGTAAGGAGTGGCGTCGCAACTAGCAGTCCAGGAGCCTTTGCGGGCTTAAAAGCAAAGGCAAAAAGGGTTGGCAAGTTCAGGCCCTGCTAAGTTCCTTCCTTCGATTAAAGGATGGAGACGCAAGTGTCAAAGAGAGAAGGAACTAGGTTTGCGCAAACAAGAGACAGTTGCGCAAGCTAATAGTCAAAGTAAGATATTTGAATTTACTAACGACTACAGCGTCCCAGGGCTGAGGTTTTGGCGTTTGATGTAAAAATTTATGAACGGACCCTATGGTCTCGGAGCTCCATAACCATAACGGTACTCATTAGTGCATTAAGGCTTTTGCTCTTCTGCGTCGAGCAAGGAACAATGGCGACACACCAAGACTCGAAGAATGAACAGGCAGGCTTGCAGGAGCCATTCCTGTCAGCGCGCGAGAGCGCGGAGGTTGGAAATGGGCAAGGAACGTCACCGGCGAAGGAAGCCGACGATTTGGGCGGCTTCAGTATTGCAACCGCTATTAAGGTGACCAGCTACATGCTACAGCGGCGGCAAAGCTGACGTGCTGCTGCCATGGATGATATGGCCGCAGCGTGGCTCGCAGCCACCCCGCGGCACATGTGTGAGCCCATGTACCATAGTTTAAGCACGATGCTACCGTTTCGCGCATCTCCCTTCTCGCCACCGCACTGGGCACTTCCGCAGAACCTGCCTGCAGTGCCTCTTGCATCTCACGGCCGGGCCCTTCAACTTCCGCATTTCACGATGACCCCTGTTGCCTCCTCTGCCCACATCCCATCAGAACCTGCGCAACATGAGCGCCATGTTCATACCGCTGCTGCTCAACCTCACATGCGCGTACGGCGTTAACGTTGTGACGCTGGCTTTCGTGGGGCATCTGGGCAAGAACGAGCTGGCCGCGGCTGCGCTGGGCACCTCGTTAGTGGGCATCGTGGGCAGGACGGTGCTGTTCGGAATGGTCGGGGGACTCGACACGCTGGCCTCCCAGGTGCGTCATGGAATGGTCGGGGGACTCGACACGCTGGCCTCCCAGGTGCGTCATGCAGGCGCGAATGAGGCCAGCTTTAAGCCAACAAGCGGCTGTTCACCCGCCCACTCCGGCAGCCGCAACCCCACGCACCCACCATCCCATACATCATACACTCCCACCTCCGCCCGCCCGCCTTCCCCACCACACCACCACCAACAGGCCTACGGTGCCGGCAACCTGGGCGCCATCAGTGCGCACTTCCGCACCGCCCTTACCTTCCTCGCGCTGCACGCTGTGCCGCTGTTTTCGCTGCTGGCCGCGGCGCCGCTGCTGCTGAAGCGCGAGGACAGCGACAGCGACCTGGGCGTGATGGCGGGGCGCTACGTGCGCTGCGTGCTGCCCGCCCTCGCCTTCGATTGCCTGAACAGGCCACTCAACAGCGTGCTGGTGGCGCAGCGCATCACCTCGCCGCAGATGACTGTCCAGGTGGGTACGAAGGGCACGGCGTGTGTACGGTATGTTAAAAAACTGCCACTGTACGGTACATGTACGGCAGGAGCAGCTTGGTGTGTATGGGAATGATATGACAGCCAGAGGACTGCTGAGCAGAAGCGTCTTGGTGCGGTTGGTTTTGCAACGATACGCGCGCATGCACTGACCTTGCCCTGGCCCCCCAACCTGACTCTGCGCGCAGATGATTGTACTGCCGCTACATGTGGTCACGAATTACGGTGGGTTGGTGGGCGAGAGCTGGAAAGAGAGAGAGACGCATCCACATGCGCACACTCCCAACCCCCACACACGCTTTCTTCGGGCAATCACAGTACGTTCCGACTCGCAGCCAGTTTTCTTAACACACGCTTTTCATCCCACGTCGTCTCCCTTCATCCCGCCCCCGCCCGCCCCGCCCTGGCCCACCAGTGTTGATCCACGTGGCGCGGCTGGGCTACCTGGGGGCCGCGGTGGCCGCCTGCTGCAGCGGCGCCTACGTGTCGCTCATGCTGTTCGGCTACTGCTGGTACAGGGGGCTGGGGCCGCGGGTGTGGGGAGGCGAGGGGAAGCCGGCGCACGAGTCGACGTGGCAGGTGCGGGGCGGGGCGGTGTGGGGTAGCAGCTGCACAGTAGGCATGCGTTGCGCAAGCCTCCGTCTAGTATTAAGCCATCAGGCCGTCCACTTCAGCTAGTCGCACTCACACTGGCCTGCTCATCAGAGCTTTTGCATATTAAGGTGGCTCAATGGGTACGGCTCATTGGGCACCGATATTACCCTGCTATTACCCTACTATTACCCTGCTACGTACCTTTGGCTAGCCCGCATTTCCACCACATGCCCATGGACCCCCATCATGCCTCCCTCCACGCGCCACCCACCCGCCACCCGCCAGGCGCTGCGCTCCTTCGGCCGGCTGTCCTACCCCGCCTGCGTCATGCGCTGCGCCGAGTCGTGGGGCTTCAGCCTCATGACCCTGGCCGCGGGCAGGCTGCCGGACCCGGGCACCCAGGTGGCGGCGGCCAGTGTGTCGTTCAACATCTACGGTAGGTCATGTGTGGGGGCTGGGACGAGGTGCTGTGGGGCGGGGGGGCGGACTGCTTGACGCATGCTGCGGGTCCAACATAGACCAAAGGAGACTTTAGAGAACCGCGAACAAGGGTAAAGCAATGCTGAGTGTGAAGGTGTTGTTGTGGCGAAGTGGCGTGGAGGAAGTGTGGTTTGATGGCTTGGGTAGTGTTGGACGGCTGGTCGCTCTTGTTGGCTGGCTGCGCGCAAAAACTGCAGGGCGCCGATGTCACGCTATGCGCTCGGTTGTGCATGGTGCATGGTGTGTGCGCGGCGTCTGAGCTGCGCCTGGTGTTGGCCTGCGTGGATGGCAAACGTCTTGGTGGGTGGGTGAACAGCAGCTGCCCTGATGCCCTGATGGCCTCTAGAGTGATGGGAAGGCCCCTAGTGGCGGCCATCATCGCTCCTCCTAACCCCTTTCTGTCAAACCCCTTCCTCGCCACACCCCACCCCCACCCGTACCCCCGCCCCCAGGCATCCTGTACATGTGCTTCGCCGCCTTCTCCATGACCACCAGCACCGCAGTGGGCAACGCACTGGGCGCAGGTGGGAGGCGGCGGGCAGCAGCAGCTGCTGCAGGCCACACTCACACTGCCAGGCCCTTGAGCCCCGACCCGCACTACCTCTCGTTTTCTCTCATAATCACAGCCTAATACCCAGTCGTCTGTTCCCTGCGTCAGCTCAGCTCCATGCTCCTCCTTCTCGCCCCTTAGCTCCTCCCTTCCCACATGCTCTCCCCCTCTCTCCCCCCCCCCCGCAGGCAGCGCCCGCGCCGCCCGCCACGCCGCGCTCACCTCGCTGCTCACCGCGCCCCTCATGTGGGTGGCCATCGCGGCGCTGCTGGTGGAGCCGCACAGCCAGCGCTGGCTGGCGCTGGTGTTCACGGACGGCGGCGACCCCGCGCTCATGGCGCACCTCCACCGCATGCTGGTGCTGGTGGCGGCACTGGAGCTGTTCGATGGGTCGCAGGTGGTCATGACGGGTGTCATACAGGTGCGGTGGGGGGGGGAAACGGGGAGGGAGGGAGCTGGGTGGGTAGGTGGAAGTGATGTGGGTTCGGGTTTTGTGCGGTGGGTGACCCGAGGGACGTCGCGAGGGGTGGTGGCCGGGGCGGCGCCTGATGAGGTGTCCTGTTTGCTGCATGTGAAGCAATCCATGGGGACTTTACCGGTGGTCGGCGATGCCTGGTCTAGAGGGTCATCCTGGCTGACCGGCTGCCTGACGATGTTACGGGCCCGTGTCTTTGACCCTCCCTGCGCAGGGCGCCGGCAAGCAGAAGCTGGGGGTGCTGGTCAACGTGGTTGCCTTCTACGTCGCCGCCATCCCCGCCGCGCTGGTGCTGGCGTTCGTGCTGGGGTGGGGGGTGGAGGGCATGTACGGCGGCATGCTGCTGGGGCCGGCCATCCAGGCGGGCGCGTACGCGTGGATTATATCGCGGCTGGACTGGCGGCAGGAGGCGGGCAGGGTGGCGGCGAGGGCGGCGATGACGCGGCGGATAGCCGCGGGCCGAGAGGAGGGCGAGGAAGGGGTGTAAGGACGTGGGGCGGAGCTGTGGTAGTGGGGAATATGGCGTACTGGTATACCGGTATTTATGTATGGAGGAGCGAACGCATGAGACGGAAGTGCGGGGCAGAGGGTGCTGTGGGGCCGCCCAGCCGCCGCGAGCAGCACCTCCGTGGTCAAAGGTGATGTGAGCAGTTCCCACGGACAGTGCATGCAGGTGTTATTAGGTTTATAGTGCATGAGCAGCTTGCGGGTGCCGTCCTACCGTACTCTTCGTCCTATCTGTGGCCAGCTATATTTCAGGCTCTTTATTTTCGCGTGTACATCTTAACAAGTGTCTTTTACTGTGGTTCAGGTGCTTTAGGCTTCCTTAATCTTTTGCATGTCGATAATGTTGCGCGGCTGCGTGATACATTGGCAAACCTAACTACAAAGCCGGTGCCTTTCGCGCGATCCCCACCCTTCTAGACTCCGACATGGCTAGGGATTCCTGTTGACAGCAGTGGCGGGCTGGCGGCTAGGCCGGCCCTGGTAGTACGCTTCTTCCCACCTAATGTGTTATGCCGCTGAACGTCAAATGGGCCTTACGAGCAGGCGGACCCGTGGGTCTCTGCGGTTGGTGATAGCCGGCCGGGTGATCAGGTCGTGTGGGTCCCCGTTGTTGCTGCACGCTGATGATGATGCGGCTCCATGTACCGGTGCACAGGCAGCTAGGATAACCTCTGCTACTTTGGTACTTCGACCGATACCCCCGTGCACGTTCCCTGCGTCGTGGGTTCGTGTCAGCTAGGGATGGTGCAGGTTAGTTGTGTGCAAGCGTCTATCGGCGAACGATGACCAACGTAGGCTGCAAGGGAGGCTACTACGGTAACTTGGAGAGCTTATGAAGCAGCCCCTGCGCGGCTAGGTGCACCCGTCCGGCGCAATACCCTCCATGTGAGAGCTGCTTGTATGCTGCTACTGCTTCACTCCCACCAGCGGTGCCGTTGCCTACCTGGCTTATAAACACATTAGGTGAACACAACTGAGCGGTAAGAGCGACAAGGGGGCACAGGGCTGCCCCAACCTGCCCCTCGCATGACCTCGGCTGTCTGAATGCGGTAAGGTAGCCATGTGCTATGTGTATCCCTTGGCATGACGTGGCGTGGCAGGGCCACTCCAGCAGCCAGAACCAGCCAAAAGCATTCTGACACCGAGGCCTTTGCGAGGCCTGACCCATGCCAAAAGAACTCGTGCCTAAAAGAAGCTTTCTTCACTGTCGCTATGGTAAGGTAGCAGGAAGGGGTGGGACGTACGGGAGGGGCGGAGCGGACCAGGCGTAATAAGGAACTCCAGGTACATTGAAGGGAAGCGCTTTTCTTTTCACCCTCCGGGTGAAGAGCACGTACGCAAGTACCAAATGGTCACGGCAGTCCGAATTAATTTATGACAATGCCTTGTGCCTGCGCCGGATGCGTCTCTCGGAGCCGGACTTCAGAGTTTATGCAGGAGTGCCATATTGTGTATTGCCTGCACACTGTGTACGAATATGTACGACCGATTGCCTCCTTGCCAGAAGGGCAAAGGGCTTGTAAACGCTAGCCTTTACAGGTAACTTACCGGGACGAAATGCGGCGAACAGTCATAGCGCTTGCCACGCTGCTGGCTCTTGCCAGCAGCGTAGCAGCGGACAACATTAAGTTGCAGCAAGTTGATCGGAAGGTACCAACATGACCAAGGGATACTTGCTGATCGTTTGTTAGGTTTAGTGACACGAGTTTGACGAGGAAGCTATCGCCGTTCCACTTCTTGCCGCAGATCAACCTGAACTCTCAGCTTGCACGAATTACGGAAAGCGTGAAGGTCAAGAACGTAGGAACTGAGCCCGTTTCTGATGTTATTTTCTGCCAGCACGTCGGTGCGGGTGCTGTTCTCTCGTTCTATAAGGTAAACTGGCGATCCTCGCCGTCCTGCCGCTTCCGCCTACTCTCACCAGTCCCTAACGATAAGAATTTCAATCATCCTATGTAGGTCGCAGATGCGTCCACCAAGGGGAGCCTGGTGGTAAGTCAGAACGATGCTTGGACACCTGGATGGTCCATCTCAACCTTCTTTCCAAACAATCCCCTTGCAATTCCCCACCGACACGTCATCACATCCCTTTTCCCGCCATGCTCAACAGGTGTCTCCTACCACGGTGGCAGGCGCGCCACCCGCAACTGTCTGCCATTCCGCCAAGCTGGCGAAGCCGCTGCCCGCCGGCGAGCTGACCAGCTTGACCGTCAGCGCGGTGCTGGCTCAGGCACAGACCGCCCACCCCGCCGAGGTGTCGCAGATGGACACGCAGCTGATGCTGTTCAAGGACAACGTGTACGTGCTGTCGCCGTACCCGGTGTCGGCACAGACCACCGAGGTAGGGCTCCACAACTTGGGGGTAGACAACTAGTAAGCGTCTATCTAACCAGAAGTGGGGGCACGATAATAAGGAGAGGAGGCGGCAGGCTGCCGCAAATAAACAAGGGGAACGTAGCGGGCCAATCGAGTTCTACAGCGGGGTGTGGTGTGGGGCCGCTGTGGTGGACTGGGAGCTGTGGGTAAAGGGCAGCACGCGTGTTTTGGGTGGGTGCAGCAAAGACTGCTGCGGCGCAGCCAGTATTGTCACCACGCTTGTAGGGTGGCGCCGTTCCGCCTGAGGCCAGGAAAGACAACATAGGTAGCCGCCTAGGCCCCACGAGGGGATTGGGGTGTGCCGAACAAAAAGCGCACGTCATTGCTTCCTGTGTGGCTGGCTTGCGAACCCGGGCATCCATGTGCACCCGGGCATCCCACTGCATGTGCGCCCCTTCCTGCATGCAACAGGTCACCACCCCCACCAGCAACGTCAAGTCGTACACCGACGAGAAGCCGGTCACCAAGTCCGACAACAAGATCAAGTACGGCAAGTACGATCTGATCAAGCCCTTTACCGTACGGCGGCTGTCCGTACACTTTGAGAACAACAAGCCCTTCAAACATGTGAGTGGGGACGAGCAGGGTTGCGGGGGGGAGGCGGGGTGCACGGGCACGACGGAGAGGGTGGAGAGGACCTTAGGCAAGGCTGTCCGGAAGGAGCCCCCTTCCACGCTGTGGCCCCCCCCTTGCCCGCACCCTCTCCTAACCCCTTCCTAACCCTCAACCCCCCCCAGGTGCTGACCTACGTGAAGGAGATCGAGGTATCGCACTGGGGCAACATCTACGTGGAGGAAAAGTACGAGATCAAGAACGCGGGCGCACGGCACGCGGGCTCCTTCTCGCGCCTCAAGTACGCGCACGCCTACAACGGCAAGGGCAACTCCTTCAGGGTGGGTGGCGGGGGCTGACGGATGGGTGGCGGAGGGATGGGGGCTGAGGGATGGGTGGCGGAGGGATGGGGGCATGTGTGTTGGAGCGGTTGGGGGGATAGGAGTGGAAGGCAGGGGGAACACGCGGGGTATTTGGGCACGTGGGTGGGAAGTGAGGAAGGCGGGATGCGCATGTTTGCTTGTGAGTAGTGTCATTGTGGCGAGCCCCCCAACCATGGTGGTGCGTGCGTGTATTGATCAACAACATGTCACCAATCGCCTCCGTAACCCACTCCGCAAACCACTTCGCAGCCCACCCTGCAACGCATCATAATCCGCACCCACTCCCACCCCCCCACCCACCCCGCTCCACCCCCCTCAGGACCTGCGTGCGGTGCTGCCCCCCTCCGCGCACTCGCTCTACTACGTGGACCTCATCGGCAACATCTCCTCCTCCAACGTGCGCAAGACGCCCGCAGCGGTGAGGGGGCCGGGGGGGGGAGGGAGAGGGGAGGAGATACTGGGCATGGCTTGCGAGAGAAGTGAGAAGAGGACGTTTTACACCTTTTTTACACCTTTCCAGATTGGCTTAATTCGCCCCGCCCCGCTGCTCCCTCCCGCCCCCCCTCCTGCAGACCTACCTCGACTTCGAGCTGCGCTACCCGCTGATGGGCGGCTGGAAGGAGGACTTCACCATTGGTGAGGGGGAGGGGGAGGGGAGGGGAGGGGAGGCGAGGGAGCAGCCTCCCAGCTGTCACATCTAAGGGCTACTGGAACTGCGGCTCGCCTCCCAACCCCGGCACAACTCGGCCACACGCCATGCCGCATGCGCGAACCCCATACCCCCCTACCACAACTCCCCTTCCCAACTCCCCTACCCCTCCCTCTTCCCCCCCCCTCCCCCCCCCAGGCTACAGTGTGCCCCTCACCGGCTTCCTGTCGTACACCCCGGCTGGCAAGCGGCGGCTGACCATGGAGCTGGCCTCGCCGCTGGAGGAGGTGTATGTGGAGGACATGGTGGTGCGGGTGAGTGGGGGGGGGGGAGGGGGGGAGGGGGAAGAGGACGATACTGGCGCTGTTAGCAGGGTGGTGGCGTAAGGCCCATCACCTTGTGTCCATGTATGGCGCCCCCCGCCACATGCAAGGATTACTTACTGGTCTGCTCCTTCTTAGCAGTGGGCAGCTCAGTATACGCCCTTGCAACAGCAGCAGCACTCGCCTGCATGTGACCCCTGCGCTGCTCGCACAGCCGCACAGCCCTGCACGCTGCAACAGGGGTGTGGCTGAAGCAGTTGGTCGCACATGCACCCGCACGCACATGCACCCGCACATGCACCCGCACATACACCCGCACTCCAGGCATCACCTCTTCATGTGGCTTGGCTGGCAGCCTGTGCCGCTGCTGCCGCTTGGGGAGCAGCAGCAGGGCAGGGCTGGAGGCCGGGACACTCCGCATGCTGCTGCTGCTGTTGGTTCTGCGATTGTGCGCTCTGACTCCCCCCTCCTCCCTCCTCACCCCCTCCCCCAGGTTGTGCTGCCCGAGGGCGCCTCCGACATCCGCGCCATCCTGCCCTTCGACATGGAGCAGAGCTTCGACAAAAAGTGGGTGCTGCGGGGGTGCTGATAGGCCCCCAGCGTCTCCCTGCGTCACTAGGCCAGCCTGCGCACTACCTCCATCTTGGGCGGTGGTGGCGTGGCAGTGGTGTGTGATATGCCACTCGGCCCAAGCCTCCCTCCCTTTCTCCCCCTCCCCTCCCCCCCTTCCCCTCCCTTCCCCCCCTCCCCTCCCAGGTTCACCTACCTTGACACCAGCGGGCGGCCCGTGCTGGTGCTGCACAAGGCCCACGTGGCGGCCCCCGAGCACTCGGCGCGGTTCAGTGTGGAGTACAGCTTCGGAGCGCTGCACACGCTGAGGGAGCCGCTGCTGCTGGTGGGGGGGGAGGGGGGGGGGAGGAGGAGGGGAGGGTGGGGTGACGGACTAGCCCCGTAGTCGGACCTAGCTCACCGCGGAAGTACCCATTGCCGCCGCTGTTGCTGGTGGTGGCGGGGGTTTGCGGGGTTGCCAACCTACAATGGGACACAACCGCCTATAACTGTCAGAACCGAGTATATGTAGTGCTGGCAGAAGCATCCCCTGCCCCCTTCCGCCCCCCCTTGCCCCCTCCCCCCCCCAGATCGGTGTGTTCTTCGGGCTGTTCGTGGCGGTGATCGCGTACAACCGGCTGGAGTTCACCATCAGTCGGGACGACAAGTGGGCGGCGGCTCGCGACAAGGAGGTGCTGGCGGCCTACATGGAGCAGATTCAGGCGGCGCTGGAGGGTGGGTGGGGGGGTGGGGGTAAAGAGGAAAGAACTGGGAGTGGGTGTTTGCGGAGCGGGGTTTGAAGACTTGGCAGTCCAGCCTGTTACCTGGCAGAGCATGTATACCCCACTGCGCGCTGTGCGCGGAAGGCGTGTCAGCCCGGTCTGCCCAACCCACATGCCCCATCAGTTCGCTCCAGGGCCAGCCCCTTTAGGCACCCCCCCCTCCTTTCCCCCTTCCCGGAGCTTGTCATCTGGTTTGCATCCTCATTGAACAGTTTGGCAATCCCCCCCCCTCCTCCCCCCCCCCCCGCGCAGACGAGGCCTCCCTGCTGTCCGATCTGGCCAAGGCCGCCAGCCGGGTGCGTGACACGCCGGACGTGGAGGTCGCCCAGCGGGAGCGGGCGGCGGTGGAGAAGCGGCTCAAGGGACTGGAGGACAAGGTGGGGGGATGGGGGGGGAGGGGTACGGTACGGCACCAAAGAACCCTCGGTCTGATCAGCACAGCAGGGCACGAGCAGGGCAGCATTGCTCAGTGGGATGCAATGGGACAGCCGCCCCCACAGCGCCCCCAGCGTGGAGCATGTGCGCGTGTTGACCTGTCCCCATTCCCCCCTGTCGCCCCTCTCCCCCCCCCCCCCCACACACACAACACCCCCTTCTCCTCCCTCCCCCGCAACCCGCCACCAGGTTGCCCCGCTTGTCGCTGCGGTGGAGTCCCGCTCCGCGCGTGTGGGCGCGCAGGTGCGGGAGGTGCTGGAGCGCAGCCGCGGACTGCAGGGCCGCCACGCCAAGCAGCTGGCGGAGCGCTGCGAGCTGGTCAAGAAGGGAGTGGCGGGGGCGGTGAGAGAGGGGGGCAGCGGGGGAAGGGAAATAAATGAGAAGTGCAGCAAATGGAGCCCCAATCCCATATCCAGACTCATGCAGTCATGCCGTGAGGGGGGGAGGGGGTCAGTGAGGAGGTTGAGCTATGCGGGTCGGATGTTTGCATGGGGCTGGGTAAGGTCAGGGCCGGTCTTGGGCCCCAGCACCCGTGTGCAGCTCGCATCCATGGCAACCCCCCCCCCTCCGTCTCTTCCCCCCGCATCCGCCCCCCACCCGCAGGAGCTGACTCGCAAGCTGGCTGCGGGTCAGGAGGCGCTCGCGGCGGCTCAGCGTGAGCTGGAGGCGGCCATTGAGACGGTGTTTGGAGCCTACTGAGCGGCTGACCGGGGGGGGGCTAGGAAGAGGAGGGGGATGGCTTGGGCAGTGGGGCGATGAGGGGAGGGGGGGGCCTGTTCATGCGGTTTGTGAGGCAGTGTGCTGTGTAGCATGTGCGAGGATACGGCAGTCGCCCTTCTTGCGTGGTGCTGGAAGCAGGAGAAAGGGTTGAGGAGGTGCTGAGGAGGTTGCCGTACATCCCCGGGTGGGGATAGGGCCTTCTGGGGGTTTAGGTACAGGGATTTGGATGAGGTGTGGTTGAGGTTGATGGGGTTCGTGGCTGCGGTGAAGAACGTAGACGCCTGGAGCGGCGCTCGAAGCTTCCACTCTGGTTGACAGCGGGGCGCGCGTATTAGCCAGGGTGCTGGTTACAACGTAGGTGCTTTCCAACCTTGTAGTTGGGTTTAGTAAACGAATCGGGTGTGCGATCCCACATCTTTCTTGTGTATTGGCCGCGTCCCTGGGAGGTGGAGTGCCCGTGCCGAGCCCTCATGCTGTGACCCAAATCGCTTTTCCTGCGAGTCTTGCAGCACTCGAAGTTTCGTCCCCACCAGCAGCAAACAACTACAACGAAGTCCCTGTCCATCCATCCATCATGATGAGTTGATGACCAACTATGTGTGGTTGTTGCTTCAACGGCACGAGGCGTTGTTGTTGGCCGGCCGAGCAGGTGACCCGCGGGTCGACGCAGCCGCACGCATATCTGTACACCCACCTGCGCGTTGGCTTCGGCCGTTCAACTAACACGTTTTCAGTACAAGATCGTGCGCTGTGTGTTATAGCCAGGAAGCTTTGTCTGCTCTCTGCTTCCCAGTACGAAGGCAAGCAGTACCACTTTGGGCAGTGACGCTCCCGGCCTTGGGACGAGGGGGCCGACAGACTGCACAAGCGCCCAAACGCTGCCAAACAAACGTGTTGCAACGACACGCGCAAGTGAAAGGAGATAATTCCATTCTTCCCTAGACAAACAAAGCTACTTGACCGGAGTCAAAGGGCGTCGACCGAGGAGGCGTGCGCGCGTTTGCACGCCTTCCCCTTGGAAGCCCAAAGCACCGCATTACTAGTTCATTCCTTCCTCTTTTGCCATCAGCTGTGCTTGCTCCCAGCGCCGATGTTCGGCCCGGTGCTGTCCACCGCCAACATGTTTCGCAAGATGGCGACGGGCGAGGCGGCGGCAGTGGCAGGTGGGGCGTGAGGGTGACGTAAGGGGCGGCGCCCTCTGCATTGCCCGAAGGGTATAGCTGCTGGGGTAGCAAACATGACGTGCGGTTGGTGACTGTAAAGGTTGATGTGAGGTGACTCACCTTGGCTGAAGGTCTATCGTCCTGTGTCGTCTTCCGGCACATCGCGACGCCGCAAGACGCCAAGCACTCCATTCGTTGCCGTCATTGCAAGCGCTTCAAATTGTACTGTTAGTGCATGCCCCTTCCCAAGTACCTGTTCTTGCCTTGGAAGCGCGCTGAATTTCTGTCCAAGTAGGCCGCCTGACGATTCCCTTTCCTCCCTTCCCTCACCCTCCCTTCACCCCGCCTTCACCCTTCACCCTTCACCCCTCCCCCTCCCTTCACCCCCTCCCTCCCCCCCCAGAGGAGCAGCAGCACAAGCTAACTGACTACCTAGCCACGCTGGTCACCTACCCCGCACTCTACATCTTCGCAACCGCCACAGCAGCGGAGCCGCACACGATTGTGCGCGGGGGGGGTGCGGGGGGGGGGACCGGGGGGGAGCAGGGACGGGAGGTGCAGGAGGGAGGGCCAGGGGGGCGTGTAAGGGGGAAGAGAGAGGAGGAGGGGTTGTAGCGGTAGAAGGGGCTGCATGGGATGTGGACGGGCAGTGCAGAAGCTGTTTGGGCGGCTCCGTCGCACTGCAAAATCACAGGGTAATGCATTGTCCTGGGCCCTGACCCACGGGTCACTTCCCTGCGTGAGGAGTACGGACATGAATGTCTCCGCGTATGCCCGCCGGCCCGCGGCATGTTATATACATACACCATGGCATGCGCATTGCTGGACACTCCCACCCAGCCGCACCGTACCCCTTACCCCCCTGCAGGCCCCCGCCGGCGCTCCCCCTGGCGCCAAGGGTCGTGAGGCCCCGCAGCAACAGCAGCTGCGGGGGCCGCAGCAGCAGGGGCCCGCTGCACCACCTGCTCCCGGCAAGAAAGTTGGAGCAGGCGCGGTGGAGGAGGCGGTGGGGGCCGCTGCCGCAGCTGCAGCAGGAGGAGGAGATGCCGCTGCCTCCGCCCCGCTGATGGCTCTGGCTCCGGAGCCCAAGTACCGGCTGACGGACTTCCCCGAGGGGCGGGCGCTGGTGGTGCTGGAGAGGTGGGGGCACTCGTACCACCCACCCTGAGGGGTGGAGGGGGGGAGAAAGGGGGTAGCATGGCAGCTGGCAAGTGCATGAGGGTAGGATGCAGCACGCGCAGCGCGTTATGTCTTGAGGACCGCGATATGACGCCAGGCCTCGTCCTCCCTTGTACGCAGTGCTCTCTCCTCCCTGCCAACGCACGCCCTGCCTTCTCACACACACCGCCCCCCGTCCCCCACCCGCCCCCCGCAGGTGGTGTCGTGAGCCGGTGGTGTTGGGTTTCGGCGGCGAGCTGTGGGCCCACGTGCGGGAGTACGGCAGGGGCTATGTGGCCTCCGGGGTGGCGCCAACATGGTGAGGGAGGGGAGGGAGGGAGGGGGAGGGGAAACATTATATAAGAAATGCAAACAACTAAGAGTCCCAATCCCATATCCCGACTCATGCAGTGAGTGCATTCGGAGACACTATCCTAGAAACACGCAAAGAAACGTAACTTACCGAAGGCTTGCTTACCAGAACCTTTGGCGACGTGCGGGAGGAGTCGCCTTGCGTAGGAAGACATGTGCAGCGCCGCCGGTCACTAAGTCTTACGAAATGCAGTAAATGGACAGGAAAGCATACAATGCATGGAAACGCATTTTGGAAAACGTACGTACCTGAAGATGGAGGGGAGGGGGAGGGGGAGGGGGGGCTGCGCTGTTAGCGAAGGTGGGGCGGGGAGCAACCGGGTCGGCCCCCGCCTGTCTTTCCGTGCACAGCATGTTGCAACGCCCTGCAGTGCATCGCCCACCTCACACCCTTCAACATCCTCCTCCACCTATCCCCCTCTCCTCCTGGCCCTTCCATTCCGCTGGCGCCTCTGCGACGTCCGCCTACTCTCTTACCTCGCAGCACACCCTTTCGCCCTACTCCCTGCCCACTGCCCCCCCCATTGTTTTGCCCTAACTTGTGGTCTCCTATGGTTTGGTATGGTCTTTGACCCCCCCAGGCTGTCCGGCACGCTAGGTCCCTGGCTGGAGTCGTTCCCAGACGCCGCCCCGCCGCTGCCGCTGGAGGGGGTGGTGGAGGCGGCGGCGAGGGACGCGCGGGAGGGGGCGCGGGCGGAGGAGGAGAGCGTGGTGGCAGGTGCGGGTGGGCGGGGGCGCGGAGAGGGGGTGTAAAACAGTAAAGAGACACTGGCACTGAGGGGGGGCCGCGGGGGGGCAGGGTGCACAGACGCGGACATGTGGCGCGTGTGACGTTTTGGGGTGTAAGATAAGGTTGCGGTGCACAGCCCTATGCACCGCTAGACCATACCAGCAAAGTCCCCCTCCCCCCCCCGCCCAGGTGCCGGCCCCACCCTGCCCGGCGGCCCCCCCGCTGCCGGCTGGGAGGGCGGGCTGCCCCTGCGCCGCCTGGCCGCAGCCGCCGCGCCCAACCTCACTCACATCAGCCGCCAGCTGCAGCAGCGCTACAAACTCACACGCGGCAGGACCTGGCTGGAGTTCACGCAGGTGGGGGGAGGGTGGGAGGGGGGTTTAGGGGATTGCGACACTGCACGAGTGTGGTGGTGTTGGGATGAGGGCGGCAGCGCCGGGTTACGTGTGTAAGTGGACGCATGCCTTGCTGCAAACGAACCGAATACACAACACACGGACTTTACTTCACGTGTGGCGTATCTGTGGGGACTTCTCCTTCCGGCAATCACGGTACGTTCCGACTCTCGGCCGGTTTTTATGAGCACCCACTTACCCCCCTCCCTCGCTCCCTCCCTCCCTCCCCCCCCTCCCCTCCCGCTCCCGCCCCAGATCTTCCTGGGTATCTTCCGCGCCTGGCTGCGGCTGGTCGCCACGCTGCTCTCCCTCGCCGCCTCCTGTCTGCGCCTGCTGGGCACGGGCGCCACGGTGCTGAGCGGCGCGGTGGCGTTCACGGTGGTGCTGTCCATCGCGCTGAGTGTGCTGGCGGCGCTCATGACGCTGGCGGGCACGGCGGCGGATATGATTGCGGCGCTGCTGAGGTGCGGGGGTCAGGGGGAGTGATGGGTGGGGGGAACAGGGGGGGCCGGGTTAATTGGTGGTAGGGAGGTGGGGGTGATAAGGAGCAGGGATGTGGGCGGTGTGAGCCACAACGCACTGCTGCTGGCATCGCACGGCACCCGACACACACCTGCCCCCTCCTCCCCAACACACACCTGCCCCCTCCTTCCCAACACACACCTGCCCCCTCCTTCCCAACACACACCTGCCCCCTCCCCCGCAACACACACCTGCCCCCTCCCCCGCAACACACACCTGCCCCCTCCTCCCCGACACACACCCGCTCCCCCCCCCAAACCACCTGCCCCCTTCCCCCCCTTTCAGGCGCCTAGCCAGCATGACTGAGAGTGTGACGGCTCGCAGTCGGGGGCCCTACGTGCGGCAGCAGCTGGAGGGGGACCTGGTGGGGGGGGTGGGGCGGGGGGAGAGGGGGGGAAGAGGGGGGGTGGGGGGGTAATGAGTGGGGTTGGGGGGGTTATGATGGATGGATCCATGCCGTACGGGTGGAGGGGGTGCGTGCGTGCAGGAACCGAATGTATGTGTGGTGGGAAGCCCAACCTGCCTACCTACCTAGGGCACTGGGAACACAGGTGTTTCGCAATCCCAGCTCAGCTTGACAGCTTGACCTCGCCTCCTCCCCCCCAACACTCATCTATAATCCCCCCCACCAGGTGGGCCCCCGCTTCCTGGACGCCGCCTCCTTCGAGGAGCTGGAGGACCTGTTCGTCAACCAGCTGGCACCGCGGCTGAGGCTGAGGTGGGGGAAAAGAATTCCAAAGTGTGGTGTGAGGTGGGGGAGCGTGGAGGAGCATGCCATGCTGGGGGGGGGCTGGGGTGAGAGGGAGGGAGGGACACGTGTAAACGCCTGGAGGTGAATCGAGTAAATTGGTACGGGTGTCTCTAGTTCCTTTTCAAGTCACTCTTCTCACCCTCCCTAACCACTCTCTTCTCCTCCACCTCCTCTCCCCCCCCCCCAGGTCCCGCCCCGACGCCGCCCGCCTGGCCGGCGACCCGCTGCTGCTGCGCGCCTACGACCTGCGCCTGGTGGACGGGGGCGGGGGGGTGGTGGCGGAGGACCCGGCGGCGGTGGAGGCGCGGTTCGAGGCGGGGGGGTTCTTCGGACTGGCGCCGCCGGCTGTGAGGAAGGTGGGGCGGAAGGGGGGAGTGGGCGGGAGGGAGGGCGGGAGGGAGAATACCCGATTTGGTGTTTCATAATGGTGGACTAGGTGAAAAGTCCTGGGGAAACAACCAGTGAGGCCCCTTCCCCGGCTGCAGGCCGGCGCGGTGCTGCTGCTGCGGCTGCTGGCGTGGAAGCGCGTGGGGCTGTGCTGCTCGCCGCCCTGCCCCGAGGCGCTCAAGTACGTGTTCGTGATGGGGGCGGGGCGGGGCGCGGGGCGGGCCACCGCCTTCGCACGACTGGCGCACCTGCCCGTGGATTACAAGGTGGGAGGGGGGATGGGGGAGGGGGGGGAGGAGGGGAGGGGTGAGGGAGGGGGGGTTTGGGGTGTCGCCGTTCTTGCCTGCTTCCCTCTTATCCCCGCACGTTCCATCTCGCACCCCCCTCCTTTCCCCCTCCTCCCCCCCAGGCCCCATCCAGTGTGCCCGCCGAGATCCGCCCCATCCAGCGGCTGCCGGGCTCCTTCGCGGTGCTGCCGGCGGGGCTGGACTCGGACGACCCGCGGGTCGCTGCGGCCGCCTCGCACTTCGCTAGCCTGGAACACGGTGGGTGGGTGGGGGGCGGCGAGGGGGGCTGCAGTAGGCCGGGCGGTGCTGGCGGGGAGGAAGGGAGCATGGGGGAGCGAGATGCAACTGGCAGGTCTAGCGGAGAAGCCAGGGGGAAGGGTTGATGTGTATGGGTTCCTTCTCATTTCGAACTCTCGAACTTCATTCGTAACCAGCCCCCAGACACATCCTCCTTGTTTCCCTGTTGCTGCCGCCCTCAGTTCCCCCCTCTTCTCCTTCCGTATGTTGGGCTTTGGGCACCCGGAACCTCGTTTAGCACTTCCAGCCCTTTCCCGGAACATGTATGTATCCCTATTAATCCCCCCCTAATCCTCCCCCCGCCTCCATGCACCCCCCCCGCCCCTCCAGGTGTGTTTTCCGTGCTGGTGTACGCGGTGAGCTGCGAGTCCGCCCCTGCTCCCGAGCTGCTGGCGCCGCCCGTGTGGCAGGCGCTGGCGGCGCACAAGCCGCTGCTGCTGCTGGTGGGCAAGGGGGTCAAGATGACGGAGGCGCTCAAGGTGGGGGGTCAAAGACCATACCAAACCATAGGAGACCACAAGTTAGGGCAAAACAATGGGGGTAGGAGTTGGCAGGGTGCCACAAGACAATGGGTTGGTGAGCTTTCCCTACCGAGGGATGGGGGGGGGATGGGGAAGGGAAGGGGAGGTGGGGTGCGCGGGGTACGGGGGTTACCTCCCATGCGGAGAGGAACGTAACGGAATGACCGGGCTTACTACCGGTACTATGTGCCGTATAACTGTGTGCACCATGTATTGTAATTTATGGTGGGCGTAGGACCTCGCTATTCCAACACCAGCCCTTCCTTCCTCCTTCTCCTCTGCGGCTCTGCCCCACCTCCTCTACCCCCCGCTCCCCCCAGGCCGACCCCCGCTCCGCCGAGCTGCTCGCCGGCGGGTGGCATGCGGTGCTGCAGGAGGGGGCGGCGCGGCGGGGGCTGGACGCGGACAGCGGGGCGGTGCTGGTGGCGGAGATGCGGGACAGCAGCCCGCCGCCGGGGGTGGCGGGGCCGCAGCAGGTGCGGGAGTGGCTGGCGGCGGCCATGGAGGGGGCGTCGCTGAGGTGAGGTGAGGTGAGGGAGGCGGTGATGCGCATGGGGCGGAGGGGCGGAGGGGTGGTGGTGGTGGTGGCGCTGCTGCCGGGTGCTGTCTGGGTCGCCTGGAGCTGCTGCCTGGGGTTGATTGCTGGGGTGCATGTGTGTTGAGTTGCTCCGGCCCGCGTGGGAGGCATTGTGGTGCTGGAGGCATGGTCGAGGGACCCAGATGACCCGTGGGTCACAAGCACGGTGGTTGGTGGTGGTATTGCGGGGCAGGGCGCGATGGTTAAAAGGTCAGAGGAAGGGGTGGATGTGGGGGGGGATGCTTTGGGTTGTGGGGCTGGGGATTGTTTGGAGGAGCCGGCAGGGATTGTGCTGTGTTGAGGTGCGTGGGGAGGCCGTTGTCCCACCGTTGCTGGCTGGATGGCGCGTTGAGGTGAAGATGAGGTGGAACGAGGTGGTTTACTGGTCTTGTTGTTGTTGGGAGAGGGAGGGAGGCTCGTAAGGCCGGCTGGTACGGCACTGCAAATGTCGTGATGGGTGCTTTGCGGCCGGCCGGAGGCGGGCGACGCCCCCACGTACTGTGGTGGATGCATGGGTAATGGGAGGGAAGGGCAATTAGGGTAGGGGGTGCTGTTGTTGTTGCTGCTGCTGCTATTGTTGCTGCTCTGACACGATGTCGACGACACTGCCGGGTCTTCTACAAACTTATACCGAATGTAAAGGGCCAAACTCCCGCAGCGCCAGTCACCAGATATCCGGGCTGAACGATGGTCTTGTTTGTTTGCAGAAACGGAAGTGGAGCAGCTTATTAATACGAGTCTTCCAGGTAGTGCTCAACTGTACTCCTTTTGCGGTGACTCCTATTAGCCCGCAGAAGGCAATGCTCCGAACCACGCCTGCCGCCATTGACGTGGGAAAGTGCAATTAGGGAGGGGCTGCTGCAAGTGGCGTCTTAAGGGTTATGGACGTTCTTGGTTAGCAACGAAGGACGACGAGCACAGGGGCATTGTGTGGGGCACATGTAAGAGGCTGGGAGGTGATCGCAGCATGGCCTACGGGAAACACGTGTCCGCGACGGTTGATCAACGCTAAGAGTGTTGCGAGGAAAATTCGAAGCTGTATCGGCATGTGAGTTGAGTTCGTATATATCAGGTTGTTGTGATACATGCTTTCGCGATGCCTTCTCGAATCCGCCAATCAGCCTTGGAATCGTACGCTGCTGTTGCAACGAAAAGAGCTTGACAGGGACAACTTTGTAACTTGCCTCCAGGTCGCAGCCCAAGCGCTTAACACATATTTGTTATCCTTGCTTGAAATTTGGGTAGTAGCTGAGCTCCGAGGCACTTCTGCAGACGATCCCTAGTCCAAATGGCACGAGCACTGCTCGCTGCCCTGCTGGCCTTGGCTATAGCTGGGGCCAGTGCTAAGATCCACCATAGCGTAGTTGATACCGATGACCGGCATTTAGTTCCTCTGACGGACGCGTTTGGTTTTGCCCAGACGGGCGGCAAAATGGACATTACTCTCCGCGACATTAAGCTCTATCGGCTTCAAAATCAGGCTGAACCAGAGGACTACAACTGGGAGAACTTCGGCTTTTTCCTATCTAGGGCAGATGCGGATATGGCGCTGGAGCAGGAGCTTGCAGACCCCTCCAAATGCATCCTAAGGGACATTAGCAACCTCTTTACCTTCAAGGATTCGTCGGTGCAGAACGTTATTAACAAGAAGGCGGACCATTTCACCGTTCACTTTGAAGTCGAGGATGCTGGCCTCTTTTACCTATACTTCGCAAACTGCGAGGTGGATACGCCCGTATCCTTTGATAGCACAATTGAGATGTATAATGTGGACTCTCATGGCCACAAGGATTACCTGTCTGTTGGCGACACCTCGCTGGACACGGTGTACTTCGTAAGTGGGGTCGGGAACGGTGGTGGGCGATTGCAGGGGTTGGGTTGGGTTATAAGTTAGCGATGATAGGATACGGGGAAGGGTGCTCGCGTGGGGAGGATAGGAGGTGTGGATGGGTGTTGCACATGTGGGTTTGGGTTGGGCTTCCAGAGGGCTGGGTTAAGGATAAGGCTGGCATCCACGGGAAAAGTTATGTGTGGGCACCTGCAGGCTACTTGTTGCCCCTCTCCCGGCTTTCATGCCTTAGTAGCTCTCTTTCCCTCCCCCCGGCCATCCGGTCTCGCCGGGATGGGCACGTATACACGCCTGGTCTTTTCGTGAACCTGCATGTGACCTCAACAGCCGTCGAAACACCGGCAGTAACAGTACTCGTATACCCCTTCTGACCCGCTCTCTCCCCTTTTCCCACCTGCAGACCATGTTTGGCGTGTTTGCCGCCTGCACCGCCGCCTGGGCCACCTGGGTGTACCGCAACAAGCAGCACGCACACAAGGTGCACTACTTTATGTTTGCGCTGGGCTGCTTCAAGGCGCTCACGCTGCTCTCCCAGGCGCTCATGATGTACTACATCGAGCATACCGGCTCGGCCGATGGCTGGAACTTCGCCTACTATGTCTTCACGTTTTTCCGCGGAGTGCTCTTCTTCACCGTCATCGTCCTCATCGGCACCGGCTGGTCCTACATGAAGCCGTTCCTGGGCGAGAAGGAGGCGCGGATCATCATGATTGTCATCCCGCTGCAGGTGTTTGCCAACATTGCCATCATCATTACGGAGGAGGAGAGTCCCTCGGTCAAGGACTGGTTCACGTGGCGCGACGTGTTCCACCTGGTGGACATCATCTGCTGCTGCGCCATCCTCTTCCCCATCGTGTGGTCCATCAAGCACCTGCGGGAGGCCTCCCAGACGGACGGCAAGGCGGCGCGCAACCTGGAGCGCCTCACGCTGTTCCGCCAGTTCTACGTTATGGTGGTGGTGTACATCTACGTCACGCGCATCGTGGTGTACCTGCTGAACAGCACGATGGAGTACGAGTACTCCTGGGTCAGTCGGGCGGTGGAGGAGCTGGTGACGCTGGCGTTCTACGTGTGGACGGCAACCAAGTTCCGGCCCACGAATGAGAACCCGTACCTGAAGCTGCAAGTTGATAACGAGGTGTAGGACTTGGCGGATAGTTCGTAGGGGTTGGCTGGGCAGCAGCTGGGAGAAAGGTGGATGCTAAGCTTTTTGTTATGGGGATTGGGAAAGGATTGCTGGGGTTTCATGGCTTTGCGTTTTAGGGTCTTGCTGCTGAGAGTGGTGTGTTGAATGGCCATCTTGTGAAGTATGTTAAGCGGGGTTTTCGTGAAACCATTAACGAATGGAATTACCGTGTGGGGATTGAGTGGTTCGCATGTTACAAGACAGTAGGCTTAACAACACTTGCTGCGCCCAGGTTTAGTCACCCTGACTTGCCCTGATTCCGCCGGCGCACAGTGCCGAACATGAATCCAGCGCTGAACGCGGCCACTGCTGCGCAGACCACAGCTGCTCGCCGTGCAACTGTTGTGCAAATGCTGGATCGCGTGTTTCCGTGGGCTGTCGTGTTGTCTTCCTTTCTCCGTAGCATGAAAGCGGCGGTGCGGTTACGTGTCGTGCCAAGAACCTGCTCCGGGAAGACGGTGCTGCTGCCCACCAACTTCTTGAGTCGATATGACTTGACCACGAACAGGTTCACAGTCGGGAAGGCACGCTCGTACTTTTCAAGGAGCGTTGCAAGGGGCCCTGTGGGGGTGCAGGTGGGCGGGACTGTATGAGAGAGACTCTTAATCACTTGGGTGCTGTGCTGTCGACACTGCAAATCAATGTATTGCGGGGACATGTGTACCCGTGCTTGTAACCGAGGAGATTACTCACCGACGGGTTGGGAGCCGCTGGCGTCATGGTGGCCATGGTGGCAGACGGGAGAACGGGGTTTGGGGGAAGGGATATCACATTAGTGAAGGACAAATGGAGCTGGTGACCCAAGGCAGTGCCATTGGGGGTTGCATGCGAGCCGAGGCGGGTAGGCCCCGAGGTCTTAGGGTACGGACTCGTACAGTGACAACATCAGAGAGATGCAGCTGCAATTGCCACATACTGCGCGGCGCACCTGATGTCCAGGAAGATTTTTGTAAAAGGCCTGTTGAGCTTTTGTATTCCGGAGATGTCAAACGCATCGATTTCGTGGAAAGCGATTTGGGGATACCGCCCCTGGGCCACGTTTACGTTGAAAGGGCTCTTGTCGATGCCAATGACCTGGTCAACGTGAACGGTTGCACACATTAGTCCACGCAGCAGTGAAAACTGGACCCATGAATCAGCTAGGCCCAAATGCTTGTCGGACCTCACCTCAGCGGCATAGTTTGCAACAACTGCCGTTGTGCAGCCTTGTGCAGCTCCTGCCTCCAGCACGATATCTTCTTTTGAAATGTAATGGGGAACGCACTCGCGGTAGTCTTGGACTGCAATGCAGATGATAATAAAGTCGCAAGGCGACACATCCTGGTACCATTTGGAGCGCCCCAACTGCGCACTTGCCCTCACCGTTTTCGACAACTAATACTGGCACGCCGCCAAGATCATGGCGCTGCCCGCGCCCCGGCATCTCAAAAACACCCTATCTTGCTATGCGAATAAGGCCACCAGCAAACATCATCTGCAACTCCTGTAAACTTCCACACCACTCATGTACCTATTTGGTAACCATGTGATGGCCAAGCCAGCTGACGGTTTATTCGTTGACGGTTACTCGATGAACGCGTCGCCGGTGGAAGGGGAGCAACCAATGCAGAATGTGACAGTAGAGCAAGGGTGTTTCTGTACTAACTCCTGATTAGCTGTGCCTGGTCCCCTAATCCTGTACTCTGTAAGGGCCAAAGCGTGGCTTGTGTATTCGGGCGCAATGGTACATGCCTGTATGGACAGCCGGCCTTTTGCCCGTTTACAAAAGCACACACGCTGTGTGAGCACTCGTACACCCAAAGATATATACCCCTCTCCCAACGCGACCAGCGCTGATCTGGTCATGCAGCCGAAGTTTGGCAACAAACCAAAGGGGAATCCGCCGAAAGATTTACCCACAAGGTTGTTAAGCTCGAGCGACATGATCTTGTATCTCATGCCTATAAACCGTTATATTAGGCGGCACTCAGTACCCCTCCCTAACAGCACGGGTTGCCATTGCGCTAGCAACTACGACACCTTTTGTGAGGCGTCCGTCAAAGTGTCCATGCCTTCCAGGGCTCACCAGAGCACCACGACACACTACGAAGCCGGCCACCACCACCACCCTTCTCTTCCGCAACCCAGTTGACGACGACAAAACCTTGCACCTTGATCCATACTGTGCCCTCCGCTGACTCCTGGCGCGCTTAGTAGCGCAGCCAGTACGACCGCCGGCGGAACCAGTTGTAGTCGGGCATGAACTGCACATCGCCGGCGGAGGCCACGGCCATGTCCTGGTCGTAGATGAAGCGGTCCGCAACGGCGCGGATGGTGTTGGCATCCACGGCGTCAATGCGGGCGAACATCTCCGCCTTGGGGATGCGGCGGCCGTACACCAGCAGCTCGCGGCCAATGGACTCAGCAACGTCTGCAAATAGCAGGGGTTCCACGGGCAGAGGCTTAGTCACTGCTGCAAACAGGTGCGCCTCAACGTTGTGCGTTTCAGCTAAAGAGATAACGAAGAAATAGGCCTAAACACGAAAGCACTTACGGTGCGTGGAGTCCTGGAAGAACATCAGGCTGGCCTTCAGCTGGTTCTTGGCGCGGGCCACATCGGCCTCCCGCACGTCGAAGCACATCTTGGTCAGGGACGACATGACGGCGTACGCGAAGTCCTCGCACCGGTCACGGTCGGTCACACCGTACACACCGAACAGGCCGCTGTCGTGGTAGTTGGTGTTGAAGGCCATGAAGGCATCCGCCAGGCCCTCAGATGCCACGGTCTGGGTCAGCATGCTGCTGCTGTGCTTGCCAACGGTGGAGTTCTTGTCCCAGCCGCCTGTGAAGGATGGACAGCGTGGAGGGCGAGGGCAATTAGGGCTGGAACGTAGCCGGGGCAACAACGTAGACCTCCATTGCATACGATAATGCACAATTTGAATTCCTGCTGCGCCGCGACCGCCTTTGCATATTCAGCGTGTCATGTAAACAATTATAAGCCTGCCAATGCCCGACTCACCCAGCATGGTCTGCATGACCATCAGGGGGATGGAGTCGGGGTCCGTCCACGAGGCACCCTTGAACGCCACGGCCATGCAGCACTCCGACGAGTCGGGGAAGCGGTCGTGCACGTACGAGCCAGTGAACTTCGAGGGCTCCTGCACGACATGGACAACCGCAACATGCGATTAGCATAGCACAACCCGCACGGCGCCGTGTTTTGATGAATACCCCCTGAACTGGCTTGTATTGTGTCTGTTTTACCGCTGGGATTAGGCAGCCACGACCCAAATCCTGTGCCTCTTAGGATGCCTCCATGGTCCATTGAATATGCCCCTGGTCAGCTTTTACTAGCAACAAGCATGCTGTGTGCAACGATGTCCATGCTGCTAGGCTTGAACCCCAGGGACTGTTCGGCGCTTTTGGTTACCTTGGTGAGCAGCGAGCGCACGGAGGTGGCGGCGTCCTCATCGGGGATGGCACCGAAGGCGTCGGTGGCCAGCTTCACCAGCTCGTCGTGGTCGACGGCACCGGCAGCGGCGAGGACCTGCGGGGCACCAGCATCATGCAGGAGAGGGGTAACTCAATTAAGACACGTCGTGCTATTATGCTGCAAGGTTCCCGGCTAAAAACAGCTCGGCTCTTTTAACTCATCGTGGGATCCAGGACTTGTGGACGCGGCTGATATATGCCAACGCATGGCCCTAAGTATATTAGCTAAATTTGGCCCCACATCCCCGCACCGCACACAGATAACCCTGCGCTAGCGGCAAGCAAAACCCTTAAGAACCCACCATGCGGGGGCCACGGTAGTGGGTCCGCATGTACTCCACCAGCTGGTCGCGGTTGATGGACTTGATGTTCTCCACGGGGCCCAGGATGGTGCGGCCCAGGGGGCTGTACTGGAACGCGGTGGCGTGCAGGTGGTCGAACACCAGCTCCGAGGTCTGCTTGTTGACCTACAAAACCCAAGCCCAGCCCATTTAGCTTAACATCTTCCCCATGTGACGTTTGCAGCTGTTAGGTCCCAGTACAAGACGCACCTCCTCCATCTCGCGCAGGATAACGTCCCGCTCACGGTCGATGGCGCGGGCATCCAGGTTGGAGTTCAGGAGGATGTCGGACAGGATGTTCACAGCCTTGCCCGTATCCTTGCCCATGACCTTAGCATAGTAGCAGGTCTGCTCACGGCCGGTGTAAGCGTTCAGCTGGCCGCCCATGTTCTCCACCTCCACCTCGAGCTCCTTGACGGTGCGGTTCTGCATTTACGTTTTAGGAGTAAGTGTTAGACTGGTTCCTATCCTTATCGTATTATCATTGTGCTGTTTTTTTCAGACGCGCCTTGGTGCCCTTGAAGAGGATGTGCTCCAAGAAGTGCGCGACGCCATTGTTGGCGTCCGACTCAAAGCGGCTGCCGGAGTTGATCCAAACGCCCAGGGTGGTGGTCTCCGCGAACGGAATGGACTCGGTAGCCACGCGCAGCCCGTTGGGCAGAGTGGTTATCTGCCATCAGAGCAGCGAAAGCGGCGGGACGTTCCAGGAGAAGCCACGCGTCAGTGACAGCATAAGCTTAAATACTAGAAGACTTAAGTATCACGGTACAAAGTCGACTGCAGTCAGAAGGCACCCACCCGGGTCTCCGGAAGCGTGCTCAGCAGAGGCGTATGGTCGATAGGGCTGGGCTTAGGGTTGCTGAACCGCAGGAAAGGGTTGCCGTCGGCAGCAACGACATCCTTAGCGGCGGTGCCGAACGCGCGAGAAGCCAGCGCGCCGGCATCCTGCTGCAGGCGGAGAATCTGCTTGACGGACCGCATCCTGACCCCGCCTACTAGCAAGAAAAGCCCCAACAAGGGCAGTGACTCACTACAATTCTGCAACAGGAGGTGCTACATGCGTAAAGCAGAGTACTATTGTCGGGCCGTATTTGCGTACGACATACTGGGGGTGGTATGTCTTATGGGGCAAATGGATTACCAATCTTAACATTCCTGGTAGCTGAAATCCTATATATAAGTTTGAACCTTGCTGCAACTGCAAAGCCTCCATAAGCATACATTACTGAGACATGCCAGCCACGGAACCTTGGCTCGACCGTTACAAGCTTGAATAGGGTGACAAAATTTGGCATCCACTTAAAGAACGTATCCTTGCATATTGCCAGGAGGACTTGTTATTCCCCACCTACCCTTCACCCCACCCGAGCTGCCAGCCTCTCCCTTTCGCATTCCGGACTCCACCCTCCACGGCATCCTAGGATCCCTTTGCTGCGGCAGGGCCCCCTCTCCCTCCCGCTGCTGCCATCTTCTTGGCCAGTTGCTCGCGAAGAAACTTCTGCTTGAGCTCATCTCGCCGTGAACGGGTGGCCTCCTCTTTGAGAGCCTTCACGGTTTCCGCGCGTTGTCGCTCCTCCCGCGTTTGCTCACCCAAGGAAAGCAGCTCCTGTGCCGGTGGTGCGAGGGAGGGCGCAGGCATATTCAGCAGAGACGAAACAGGACCACGGCATTGCATTCTGGTAACGAGGGCAATTGGGCATTGCAAAGGCATTGCCGACGTGAAGGAAGCAGTGTCGGTATACCGGCTGAGGTTTACGGGGCTTTAAGAAGTACACCGCCTGCGTCCCCAAACGTCACACCCATGTGGGCCCATCTCCCACCCAGAATCATGCTCGCACATAGCTTACTCCCCTTCACATGCTTGCATGTTGACTGTCCCCACATAAGGCCACTACAACATGCTACCCCCCCACACACATGCCATACCGATGCTCCTTCAAGGGCAGTGCATGGCAGCGGCGTGGATAGTGTTAATGAGTACCAGGACCATGCAGCCCGGCATGTGGTAACCTATCCGTACCTCTTTCTGTTTCCGTCTACGTGCCTCCGCCTCCTCATCTGCTAGCGCCCGCTCCTGCTCCTGCTCCCACGCCCTCCGCTCCCGCTCCCGCTGCATGTCCGCGGACGTCATGCCACCTGCGAGGCAGCAACCTTGAGACCTTCACAACAAGCAGACATGCAGTACAGCGGCAACTAGGGAATGCTCCAAGGCTTCATAACAGCTGTATGCAGTCATAGGACTAAACGGGGCGTGTACGGCCTCTGGCACGTGGATGCCGTACGCAATGTCTCAAACGGGCCTCAGAACCCCCGCGGGCCCCAGAAACCCCTGCGAAACGGACGCTTTTCATCACCCAGGTCCCTCTGCTCCCCACAATTTTTCCACTTACAAGGCAACACCCCGTATTGCTGCAACTCGTGCGTCCATATCGGTTACCCCACCACACCTGTCCCCGATACTGCTTGAAGCATGGTATCAATTGGGTCGCTGCTGCCACGGTGCTGGCCTGGGGGGCCCTCGCCTCTATCTGGTTTCCGCAAGAAATCGACCTCGAACTGGTCCTCCTCATCCTCCACCTCACCACGCGCTGCGAGGGAAGGTGGGGAAAAAGGAGGACCATGCGTCAGGAAGGGCGGGGAGGGATAAACGTGCCATGCAGGGCATATATGGAGAGCGGTGTGGAAAGGGAGGAGCTTGGGCTTGAGCAAGGGAGGCCCAAGCGGTACTCATTGGGTTATGTATCATGAATGCTCACCTAGCTTCTCGTATAGCTGCGCCTTACGCTCTAAGGCCGCATAGCACTCGCCGACGCGGTCAGCCGTGGTCTATGCCAAAGCGGGCAGATGGGTGATGGGGCTTAGCAAACCCACTTTACATACAGCCACGTGCTTTCAGACAGGGAAGTCGCAATTGTATCTCAGTACTGACCTTCACTTCAAGCCTGTCTTTTCGGTCTCTTTCTTCAACCCCAGCATTGCGACGCTTCATGAGTGCGCCAACGTCAAGCCCCGATGTTCGCCGATCCGGTAATTCCGCGCCGCTTGCTCGAAGCTTCGCATTTTCTTGGGCTCTGTAGAGCTGCGCTTGAAGCTCAAGGATGCTGCTACCGCTGACACCCTCGATGTCCTGCTTCTTGCGCGGGAGAACTCCAGACTGGGCCAGCCATCCTAGGTTTCCTACATCGCTTGCATTTCTTGCCCGTTTCCCAGACGTAGATGGGTCATTCATGGCCGTCTGCTCTGTCTAAAGCCTGGTGGTCGGTTGCGAAGTGCGAAAGCAATACGACTAGGTTAAGATAGCCTGTTGGTGTGTTGAACTTTAATCTTGGAACTGATTCTTACCTGGTACGTAATGTATAGGGATGTGACATGGGGCATAAGGAGACCCTCGGGACGTTTTGCACCTCCCCCGTTCCCGTACTATCTGCATGCGGCCATCTCGGCCTGGGTGTCACGCTCAAAGAACCACCGAATGCGCTGCTGTGATAGCCCTTACATACATCCCCTTGTGGAGTCCATGCATCATGGGTGCCTGGGGGCTGGCAGACGTTACATTGCGTGTCTTGGTTACATCCGCATCCCGGCCGCTGCAAGGCCCATGAACACGGCACGCGGTATTACTAAAGTCCTCACACATAAAAGCGCTCTTGGGACAATCCAAAAGGCGCCGACTGTTAACACACACATTGCCAGTTATCTGACCCACCATTTTCCGGCACACATGTGCTGTCGTACTTCACGAGTTCACTCCCGTACCTCGCCACCCCAGATCTCGACAAGCCGACATGCAGTCATCGGCATCCCCGCGGTGTGTCCGTAAGATCACCAGCAACTCCCAACTCCTTTCTCCTCTCTCACCAACAGGGCAGCAAGCCCATGCGCCACTCCATCCTGCTCCGCAAAGGTAGCTGCTAGTCGATGCACGGTAGCTCAAGCTAAGGATGAGGACTAGCCCGCTTGTAACGCACGCCAAGGTTACCCGGGCTCAATTCGCACCCAGAAGAGGCATGGGCCAGCAAAGAGGCAACATTGCAGTACCCAACCAAACTCCAACGCACTTGACCTTCTTGATAACGCTCCGGTGTCCAATCAGGGCCCCCACCCGCCACATGGGTTGGGGGCCACAGCGACACACCCACCAGCCCTGCATGATAATAATGCTCACGAGTCGCTTCGCATACCGGTACGCCGCAGCAGCACGGGCGCTTGCTCAGCATGGTACGGCGCCTGCACACGCCCATTTGACACCACGAGAGGGACAGGTCACACTTGATATGTGCACAGCTCACGCACGGGTTGACTGAACACACGGCGCCAAAAGAGAGCACTTCTGGGTTTGTGACAACTTTCCATGCTCTCTAGACAAGGCAATTTGCACGCCAACACAGCAAGACGCGTCCAGAAGCGCTCCACTCGTGCAACATGTTTTGGATACGAGAATGTGGCATAATAGGAGGCGAAGGCGTGTAGGGTCGAGAAGGCCCCACCCCACATGCCCCCCAGCCCCCTCTGCCGGTTATTGATACAGCAGCTGCTCGCAAGTCGCCATTCACATCCCGTCATACCACACTCTGCGGGACGTAACGGCCGAGCGCCTAAAGTCTCATCAGCCTCCCTATCATTCATGCATACCAGCTCAAGCATCTAAAACAATTGAAGGTCACTAACGCACGCCCCCAACCAAGAGTTCCGCGCACGCACATCCCAGTGCCGCGCTTATACACATGCTAACGCGCGGTAACGTGCGTGCGTGCGGCGCCTTGCCCCCATCCACTCCATCCTGCCGCTCCATCTTTGCTTCAAGCAACACTTCAAATGTCAGTCGCAGTCCCGCATCTCCTTACGATGCAGGCTCATCCACCCGCACATGCGGCGCTGTTAAAGTGAAAGCTCCACGCACATGCTGGAAGCGGTTGAGTATACCGGAAGTTCAAGCAGCCATCCATCCTGACAATCATGCATGTCCCACTCCTGCCATCAAGCCACACACCCAGTCATTGCCCCTCCCAGGAAAGCGCTTTCTTTCTGCGACCAGGGTAAGGGTGGTGGTAGGGGACTGGCTGGCTCAAAGGTAGCTTGAGAATTCCACTTAAACCCGAACGACAACCAAGTATGCCATGTAGCTCTCACACCAGACTGACCGGGCAACTCACCTGCTGTCCAACGGAGAGTCAACAAGCAGCCGGGCAGGCTGGTCAAGCAGCCGTCACATGTTGCCACCAACATCGCATCTCTGAACAAAACATTAACAAGACCCCGCATCTCTGCAAAGCACAGCGCTGAATAAGCAGAACGTTAGAGGCTTCTCTGCTTTAGCCCCAGACACCGCCACCTGTGCTCAGCGCATCCTAACTCAAACTACCTCCTCACCTCTCCTACCACCTCGCGACCCCTACAAAGTCAGCGGTCGCATCACCGGACCCCGCATCGCACCCGCACCCGCACCCGCCGCCGCCGCTGCCCTACCTCCAACCTGCTGCTGCTGCGCCACCGCCTGATAACCACCTCCACCTCCCACTCCCACTCCCTCCGCACCCACTTCCGCCCCTCCAGCCGGTGCCGCCCTCCGGAACAAGAACACACCCCCGCCCGCCACCCGCCCCACCCGCACCTCCTCATCCAAGTAGGTGGTGCTCCACTCCGCCCGGCTGCGCAGCACCTCCGGCAGCGGCACCACCACCTCCGGCAGCAGCTGGTCCACCGGCAGCCCCCACAACTCCACTGGCTGCACCGAGAAGGACTCGAACTCCGCAACAGCGGCACACACCGACCCGCCGGGTCGGTCCAGGCTGCTGCCGCTGTGATGGCTGTGGCTGCTGCCGGGAATGCTGCTGCTGTTGCTGCTGGCAGCGAAGCTCATGTTGCTGTTGTTGTGGCTGTTGTTGGGGTTGGCGTGGCTGCGAAAGGCGGGGGACGGGGAGGTGGTGGCGTGCTGCTGCTGCCCGGACGCCTGCTGTCCCAGTCCCAGCCAGGTACCGCGCACCGTCACCTTCCAGCTGCCCAGCGGACCGAAGCGGAACACGGCGCTGTTCTCCGTGACCAGGGTGGCGGCTGGCGGGGAGGAGGCGGAGGCGGGGGTAGCGGCAGGGGCCGAGGAGGAGGCGGAGAAGGAGAAGGCGGAGGCGGGCGAGGGCGAGGAGGCGGCGCGGGGTTGTCGCTGGGGTCCGGAGGTGGTGGGTGCAGTTGCCGCAGCCTCCTGCAGTGTGATGCGCTGCACCACGTGGCTCATGCCGAAGCCCGGCAGGTTGTCAGCCACATGCAGCAGCTGGGATAGCAGGTTGGGGCCGTTGGCGGCGGTCGGGGTGAGGCTGTTGCTGCTGCTGCTGCTGTTGCCGAACCCGGCAGCGGCGGCACCAAGAGCAGTAGAGAACTGCGAGGGAAGGAAGGAGGTACAGAGGGCTAAGAAAGGATAGTTCGGCTTGCTGTGCATATATTTTTGGAAGCCGGGATGTTTGGAGCTGCACACACCCGTGGCAACGGGCTACTGCCGCTGCTGCTGGTCACCGGCGGCGCCAGCTGACCACCAGATACAGGTAGGAGGACAGGGGGCAGGAGAAGTACAGCGGCCACCATAGCACATGTGCTTATTATGCGGGCCTGGCACGCTGATATGCAGGTGCATGCATGTGCAAACACGCCACTACCTCCATCTCCTAACCCTGCATGCGCGCATGCATGCGCGCAACCTCACCGTGGAAGTCGCGCCGGGCGCGGTGGCAGCGGCGGTTGGCGCGTTGGACGCGTACACCAGCTGCCACTCGCCCAGCAGCCCCGGCTCAGCACGCGGGGACGCAGCCGCTGCTGGATGCGTCGCCGCACCCCCCGCCCCCGCTCCCTCGCCTAGCGCCTCCAGCTGCATCACCAGCGCATCCACCTCCCCCCGCAGCGGCTCCCCGCCCGGCACCACACTGCTCACGGGGCCCAGCGCGGCGCACACCCAGCGCAGCCGCTCCTTGATGCTCGCGCGCAGGGCGGCGCGATCGCCGGCGGACCCGAAAGCACCCCCCCCAACGCCCCCGCCACCCAACACGGCACCACCACCGGTGTTGGCCAGACTGCCGGTGAAGGCGGGCAGATGCGGGATGCTGGCGGACCCGGCATTGGCGCCACTGTGGGATGCGGAGACTGCGGCGGCGGCGGTGGTGGTGGCTTTGGGAGGGGTTGATGAGTCGAGGGAGGCGGAGGAGGTGGGGGGACGTGAGGGGGTGTCGTGCAGGCGGGTGGATGATGCCTGGGTGGGTGCCCTCAGCGCGGCGGCGGCCACTGCGGCTGCAGCTAGGGCCGCGGTGGTGTCCAGCACTCCGCCTCCTCCCGCCTCTACCCCCGCCGCTGCAGCCGCGCGGGTCCCCAGCTGGGGGCTGCTGGCGGGGCTCTTAGCGGCGGCGGGGGCGGCAGCGGGCTCATGTAGGCGCCGGAAGGCCGCCCAGGACTCGGCCACAGCGGAGAGCGGACGCGGGGCGCTGTTGCTGCTGGCAGCCGTGGCAGGGGAGGAGGAGGGGGGAGGGTGGGGCTGCCGGCCGGCTGAGTTGGCTGTGCTGACGGCCGCAGCGGTTGGAAGACCGGAGGGTGCCGACTGGGGGTGGCGGTGGTGGTTGTGTTGCTTGGGCGGCTGTTGCTGTTCGACATGTTGCGCTGGCGGGGTTGCTGGCTGCTGTTGTTGTTGTTGTTGTTGTTGTTGCTTGCCGGTGACGCCCCACCAGTCCACCAGGTCATCGTTGTGTTGTCGTTGGGTGGTGGCGCTGCGGGCTCCAGGGAAGGCAGCGGAGGTGAAGAGGCCGGAGGGGGCGGCGGAGGCTGATGCGGTCGGTGCTGTGGGGAGGGCCGAGGTGGGTGGAAAGAAGGGTAAAAGCCGGGATCAGAATGCAGCACATGAGAAGGGGAAAACGTGTCCAATTCCGAGTGAAGCACTTGTCGGGAAAGCGAGAAGGGGCGGCGGAGGTTAGGCATGCAGCATGCAGCACGCCTGCTCTACCGGTGCCGTAATATAACGGCACGCACGCCAGCAGGCCGAGCTGTTGCAAACATGTAGCAAAGACGGTGGTGCAGGACAGCGCAGGGCAGATTGCCCCCACCCCACCCCACCCCAGCCTCAACCCACCTTGAGGGCCGCCTGTAAGCATGGCCCAACCGTTGCCCATACCCAGACTGAACGCCCTGTTGCTGCCGCTGTTACCGTTGCTGCCGCTGTTGCTACCGGTTGCGAATCCTTCAAGCTGCTGTTGCTGCTGTGTTGCTGCTGCCGGCTGCGTCGCCACGCCGTTGCCGCCCAAGCTGCCGTTAGCATTGGCATAACCGCCGACGGCGCCATTGGAATCAGCGGCGTTTGCCACTGCATCCGTCCAGGGGTTGTGGTGGTGGTGGTTGCTGCTGCTGCCGTTTCCGCCGTTGGAGGAGGCGATGGCAGCAAAGGCGGCGGCCGCCGCAGCAGCCGTGGCCGGCCCGTCGCTGCTGCCGTTGCTGTTGCTCGATATGGCCGAGAATGCCGCTGCGGCTGCGGGATTAGCAGCCACTGCCGCCGCCGCCTGCTGCTGCTGCTGCTGCCAGGGCGTGACCACGGCACCATCGCCGTCGCTGCCATCAGCTCCGGAGTCCGCTCCCTCCTCCGCTCCCGCTGCAGGGACCCCACCCGGCAGCTGCAGTCTGAAGGGCAGCTTGGTGGGCGCCAGCAGTGCGCGCGGCAGTCGGGTGCGCATCACGAACAGCACTCCCGCCACTGCAGCCATGTAGGCGATCAGGCGGCCGATGGGCGGGGCGCCGGTCCAGGCCTGGGGGGCAGGGGGAGGGGGGGAAGGTGTTTAGCAAGAGGGGGGCAAGTAGGAGGAGCGATAGCAACATGTTGCGACGAACGAGTGCATTGTTCGCTGCGGCATGACAAGCGGGCGAGGTGTGGGCGTTAAGAGCTGCGGGTCATCGAGAGCCCTTCCTCTCATCCAACCCTGCCCTCCCCCTCTTCACCCAGCCTCCATCCTGTATCCTCGTGTTCCTCCCCGCTCTCCTCCTCCTCCACCTAGCCCCTACCCCCATCACAACCCCTCCTCAGTCCTCACCCCCGCCATGCTGGCCGCCAGGCTGTCCCCCAGCTGCTTCACCCCCGCCAGGAACTCCCGCAACCCGCTGTCCACCACCACCGCGCTGTAGATGCCGTCAAGCACGCGCAGCAGCGGGTCGCGGTACGAATCCGCGCCGTACAGATGCTCCGGACGGATGTACGGCACCGGGGAGGAGGAGGCGGCGGCGGCCACATCGCTTACGGTGTTGGACATTGCGGCTGCTGCTGAGGAGGCGGAGGGTGGTTGCAGCGGCGGCATGGGTTTGCGCGCGGCTGCCACTGCGAGTCGGTCAGCCATGGTGGTGAGCTGCGAGAGCACCTGGCCCATGGCAGCCCGCTCGTCCGCGTCAGCAACCGGGGAGTACTGCTGGTTCACCTGGGGGGGAGGGGGGGAGGAGGGGGAGGGGAGGGGATTAGGTAAGCTGAGACGCAAGGAAACACTGGACGGGAGGAGGGGAGGAGGAGGAGAGAGAGGGAGGTAAGGATAGAGAGCGGTGGAGGAAAGGAGTTGGAACCGCCCCAACCAGCCCAACCCAAACCACTCCACCTACTTCTTCCCCCTTAACCTGCCTTGCGCCAACTCATGCTTTCCTCCGGAGCGGTTCACCGCCCCTCTTCCCCTCCCCCCCTCCCCTATGGTATGGTCTTTGACCCCCCCCCTTTGCCGTACCTGCTGCAGCTGCTGAATGAGCATCCGCAGCGAGCTGGACGCCGCGCGCAGCTGCTCCTGCTGCCGTACAACACCCTCCGCCGCACCCGCGTCCTCCACCACCCGCCCGTAGGCGTCGAACACGTAGGGCCGCGGGTTGCTCCTGACCAGCAGCGAGTTCACCCAGTCCAACACGCCGGTCAGCTGGGGGCAGGGTAGAACATGTGGGAGGGGTTGCGGGGGTGGGGGAAGGGGTGGGTTGCTTGGAGGCCACAGGCGGCTTCCTCCCAATGCTGGGCCTTTCCCTCGGCAGTTTAAGATGCATCGTTCACGGAGAGCCACGCGGCACAAAAAGGAGACGTATACGCTTCCCGCAGAAACAATAAAACCTGGCACCGGTATGTATTCATGGGGCATTCCTGGCAAGGAACAACGGGACACCCACGCCCCGCTGTATCGCAGCAGCATTCCAATCTCCAAACCTCACCTGTTCAAGAATATAGTTATGGTACGCGCCACCGGCTGAGGCGGCGCCGCTAACAGCCTCAGCTGCCGTACCGTTGTCGAGCATCCCGCCAGCCATGCCAGCAACCTCCCCCGCAGCACCAGCAACACCGCCAGCACCAAACGCCTGCTGCTGCTGGCTGTAGCCGTCAATGTACTCTTGTAGCTTCTGTACGGCAGCACCAATGCGCACGTCGGTTTCGGGGCCGTACTGATCTCTATACTGCGTCAGGAACATCTGGAGCTGCCGTGCTGCCGCAACGGGGTCATCTTGTACGGCACCCTGCCCCATCAGCACCTGCTGTGCTAAGGTGGAGTCAAGGATGCTCTGGACATCGCTGGGGGCTGAGGATGCGGCAGCCGGCATTTGTATGGAAGCGTAGGGCCCGGGTGGGACAGGAGGTACGGCAGCAGTAGCTGCTGCTGGTGTTGATGTAGCGGCGGCTGCCGGTGCTGCGCAGGATGCAAAACCGGAGGCTGTTGCTGTTGCTGCTGAAGCGACTCTTTGCGCAGCGGTGGGGGCGGAGGCACCCTGTGGGAATGATTGGGGGGAGTGCGGGCACCGGGCAGGGATGAGGCAGTTGGCAGGTAGGTAGAGTCACGCCGGACCACGGCAAGCACTGCCCTAGTCATTCGGTTTGAGCTGAATTGGAAAGACATATGTGTCGTCGCACCTTTGCTGTCGCCTGATCAAACACGTTGCGTAAGGCGGAAACGAAGTCCATGCCCGATGGCCCCTCATGATGACTACCCGCGTGCCTCCTGGCCAACCCTCTGGCAGCATCCTCGTATACATTCTGTGGGGTGCGATGATATGAGCATCACACAATGGTCCAGTTATCGCGCATATTGTTGTAGTCGAAAAGTCTATCGGGGGTAAACTGCAAGCATACCATGCTGGCTCCCTGAGTCAACACGCTAGGAAACCAGGAGATGAGAATTGCAACGTATCTAGGATGAAAGCCCTTGCAAACTTGACAGATCGAGCCACACTCTTCGCGACGTGTAACGCAAATGGAAGGGTCACGAAGCGCAAACAAGTCCTTTTGCAGTCGCCAATGCTACGTTGCAGTACAAGAAAGCGAATGCAACATGTTGGCTACTGCTGTTACACGCCATCGGCACACTGCGGACGTCGCATTCGACCCCGACAGGCGGAGACAAACAGAACCCAAATGCCAAGAGCAGTGCTGGTTTAAGTGCATGGCTTGATCCTTGTAACATGATGGCATTCATTGCTTAGGCGGTCTTCGGCGGGGATGCTGCCATGGCATTGCTGCCATGCGCATTACCGTCTGTCAGCCCAGCTAAAGCAGCTAGGAGCACGCTCACCCGCGTTGTGAAATTGCCATCATGCTGAGGACGCGCCAACATCCCGTAATGGCGGTGGACCTCCTGATGTGACCTGAGCGTCGCGGACCGACGGCCTGGCCCCAACCCTCCAGGGACTAGAGACTTTTGAGAGTACATTATCTTGTGGCCGTGTATACAATGCTCCTGTGTATATACCTGCTTAAAACAAGCCTCAGTTGACAAGCATGTGGCCGAGTGTTACAAAAAATGCCATAAGGAGCCGATCCTCCTGTTCCAAAACTTCTTACTGACCAAAACCAAAACTTAATTGGACAAAAACGCCACATATAGGCATTTCGGCCTACATGTACGGAGCATGCCGTTCGGCAACCAACTGCTGAGCAACCTTCGTTTCCCTGGCGGCCGGGTTGCAGCATATGTTTGTCTGAAAGCGAGGTTATAAAAGGGTCGGTGAAGCGCCTGCAGCTTAGAAGGATTATATCTTTATATGGCCTGTGCTAGGTAATGCAAGTGAGCACTGATGGAAAGAGCTGTTCCCACACTGGGTCATCTAGCAGGACTGAGCTCGCCAACAGCAGCCTGCATGCGTGCATGGAAGAAGGCCCGAAACACATTGCCTACGAGTGCCATGCCCTGGTGTTAAAAATGGTACATTGGCTATTGAACTCCCAGGCGCTGATGGCCATCATTTCCACGCCATTACCACGGTCTCTGGCACGGTTGGAGTAGCACAGAAGCTTACTTTGTATACCGAATGTTCACCCAGATGTAACCAGTGCATGCCGCACCCGTGACCCATCATCACTTTGTTTGCAAGGGCCGACCCACCAATCGAGGCAAATGGGGGCAGCACCCTCCTATCCGGTATGTAAGCTTGAAGCAGCCTAGAATGCCCACATCCACCCCTTTCCCTTCACGTCCTCCATGCTTACCGAGCTGATACTTGGCCATACCATTGTAGCCGTCAGGCATGGGGCACATATGGAATGACGTATCTTGGAAAGTATAAGAAGAGCTGTCAAAGCTTTTCCGGGAAACGGTCTCCCAATACGATAGCAGTACACACGCGTGTTGAAGGCTGGATACAAGCATAGTAAAAGGTTGTGTATGGGAAGTGTGCTGGAGGGGTGCAAATGAAACTTTGGAGACATAACTTGCCTGCCAAGAACAGATGATGCTTCTCCGGAACGTTCTTCACGACGGAAACCCTAAACCCAAGGCGTGACATCATTCGTCCCAAAAGGGTGGTGTTGAAAAACACCGATTTTTGTATTGATTTGTATTTGTACGAGTCTGCCCTTAAGCGCGCTCGCCACGGATGCGACGGGCCAGCTGGATGTCCTTCGGCATGATGGTGACACGCTTGGCGTGGATAGCGCACAGGTTGGTGTCCTCGAACAGGCCGACCAGGTAAGCCTCAGCTGCCTCCTGAAGAGCCAGCACCGCCTGGCTCTGGAAGCGCAGGTCGGTCTTGAAGTCCTGAGCAATCTCCCTCACCAGGCGCTGGAAGGGTAGCTTACGAATCAAAAGCTCAGTGCTCTTCTGATACTTCCTAATCTCACGCAGAGCGACCGTCCCCGGGCGGTACCTGTAGGAGATTAGCAAATGGAAGAAGTGCATGTAAGGTGGAGTTCACAAACACGGAACGCGGATACTATCAGAGTTACGCCTATGCAATTACATACCGGTGAGGCTTCTTAACACCGCCAGTAGCAGGAGTCTTGCGAGCGGCCTTGGTGGCCAGCTGCTTGCGGGGGGCCTTGCCACCGGTGGACTTGCGAGCAGTTTGCTTAGTGCGGGCCATTTTCAGGTAGTAGTTGTAAAGCTTTTGAGAGTGTTTAGATTACTTTGCTTATTAGCTCCTCTGAAGGCGGTGGACTTATGCTGGGCCGGGCCGTCGTACAGGCACCCATGACCCAGCCGGCCCCGGTGAGTGGATGCGACATTGTTTTGGACGAGCGCTCACCTGGTCAACCGCCACAAACTCGTCCTTATATATACGCTTGGGTTTTCAAGAGATAGTAACACTCTTTCTTAGTATCTATTCAGTCTTATATCAAATACTAAAATGTCCGGACGCGGCAAGGGTGGCAAGGGCCTTGGCAAGGGCGGAGCCAAGCGTCATCGCAAGGTCTTGCGTGATAACATCCAGGGCATTACCAAGCCTGCTATTCGTCGTCTGGCCCGTCGTGGTGGCGTCAAGCGTATCAGCGGCCTTATCTACGAGGAGACGCGCACCGTCCTGAAGACCTTCCTGGAGAACGTCATTCGCGACTCTGTGACCTACACCGAGCACGCTCGTCGCAAGACGGTGACGGCTATGGACGTCGTCTACGCTCTGAAGCGCCAGGGCCGCACCCTCTACGGCTTCGGTGGTTAAGTGCCATACACTTATGTCTTGAATGACTTGGATATCCAACGTGGTATCCTCCCAAACCCGGTGTTTTTCAACACCACCAACCTGGATAAAGTCCAAACCTTATACAAATTGGTCTGTGACGTCAACAATAAACGCCTTATGGGTTAGTCGATTTGATGATTGATGGCAGGAGGAAATGGGACGGTTTACGGAGGGGTCAACATATGAAACGAAGCATGTTGCAAGCTCCGCCACAGCAAGGGAGGCAGGTCCATGTAGCTCCTAGGATACCGCAACGGGGCGGGGCGGCCGACCCACCCCATAACGCATCGAGTAATGCTGTGGCCTGCTCGGTGGGGCTACGGTCCTCCCGAAATGTTAACAAGCTAACTTGGCGTATTTGAGATTAACGCATTATTTTTAGCCTCTAACCGCCTTACTAACAGCAGCTGCATGCGTTATCTGGCATTGCAAGGCCCTTTCCGGCATTACAAGGCAGAAGGCAAGTGCCCTACTCTCGGGGCTTGGTTGCAATCTGTTGCCTAAATCGTTTCCGTACGAGCCCAGGGGACCAACAATCAAGGATGTCAGGATTGAGGCTTCTGCTCAGGGCATGTTGCTATGATTGACCACCTCATTTTGCACTGAGTGTGCTGCATGGCCCGTTGGTATGACACGTGCCCTTCCCTACCTGCATGTGTCAGGTTTTGTGTGTTCCTCGCCCCATCCATTTGGCTTTCAATGACTGTCAAGAACCGTGCACTGGAAAGCTCACATATTGGAGAGTGGAAGCTTTTCCGTAGCTTACAGAATGGATTTGCATGCTTGCGTAAGGGTGGGTGGTATGCTTGGTTGAACGAGGGAACAAACAAACACGACGAACGCTATACTTGGACAGACCACGACCTATGGTGGGCAAACGTTTACTACACGGCAAAGATGTGGTTGATCGTGCCCTTGCATGATACATGCTGTGCCATCCTTCTAAGCTGTGTCCAGACATGGAGGTGGTGTTGAAAAACACCGGTGTTTGGTTGTTAAAAGTAGCATTGCGCTTAAACAGCAGCGGAGCCATCCTCCGCCTTGCCGCCCTTGGCCTTCTTGGGCAGCAGCACGGCGTGGATGTTGGGCAGCACACCGCCGGAGGCGATGGTCACGTCGCCCAGCAGCTTGCTGAGCTCCTCATCGTTGCGGATGGCCAGCTGGATGTGGCGAGGAACGATGCGGTTTTTCTTGTTGTCACGAGCGGCGTTGCCAGCCAGCTCAAGGACTTCCGCGGTAATGTACTCGAGTACGCTAGCCAGGTACACCGGCGCGCCAGCACCGATGCGGTCAGCATAGCGACCCTTCTTCAGGTAACGAGCAATACGGCCAACAGGGAATTGCAGCCCGGCCTTGGAGCTGCGGCTCACGGCCTTCTTGCCGGCGGTCTTGCCCTTGCCACGACCAGACATTCTGTTAGAATTAGACTGGGTAGTTAAGTTAAGAAGCGAATTGTCTATTTATTATATTTATTATTTTATCTATTGGTATGTACCACTTGCGCTTATGTGCAACGGGTCAGGCCCCGCTGAGAACGACCGACTATGGACGAGCAACCGTGGGAAGTTGGCCCCCTGACCGACTACACGATTGCACATATAAACAATCCTAAAACAATAAAAGACATTCACATTTTTATTTACAATATACTACAGTGATCGAAGCAATCGAAATGGCCCCCAAGAAGGACGAGAAGGTCGCTGCCCCCGCCCCTGAGGCCGCTGAGCCCAAGGCTGACGCTAAGCCTAAGGCTGCTAAGGCTCCGAAGAAGGAGAAGGCTCCCGTTAAGAAGACCGTGAAGAAGGAGGCTGCCGAGGGTGGTGCTGATGTCGCTGAGAAGACCAAGAAGAAGGTGAAGGTGTCGAAGGCGGAGACCTACAAGCTGTACATCTACAAGGTGCTGAAGCAGGTCCACCCGGACACCGGTATCAGCAGCAAGGCCATGTCCATCATGACATCCTTGGTCACGGACCTGTTCGACCGCATTGCCACGGAGGCTAGCAAGCTCAGCAAGTACAACAAGAAGCCCACGCTGACGTCGCGCGAAATTCAGACTGCCGTTCGCCTGGTGCTGCCGGGCGAGCTCGCCAAGCATGCCGTGTCCGAGGGCACCAAGGCCGTCACCAAGTTCACGTCCGCTTAAGTGCATGCCAATTGCAGTTCAAAAAACACGGTGTTTTTCAACACCACCTTTATCAGGACTGTCCAACTTCCTTGCAGACCTTGCATGCTTACATATGATTTGGTTGCCGGTACACATCCACACACGCGCCTGGACTGCCAATAGGGTATTTATCAGTAAACTCTTCTGCTTCATGATTTTAAAAGCGCTGGGCCGCACCTGTACGCTTGTATCCTAAGCTTACCGTGCAACAACTGCAACTGAAGTCCTAAGTACGCCTATTGGTACCCCTTGGTACGGTGTAGCGTTCACATGACCCCTGGATTAGCATGGAAGCTAAAGCATGGAGTACATGGACATCTCGCCGTGCTCCGGTGTTAACCTTGGCGTGGCGCAGGGACGCAGCAGGGAACGCATGGCTGCTGTGGGGGTGGGTGCACCGGTCGCAAGTCTAAGGGGCAAATGAAGTGTATGGAGTACAGAGCCTGGGATCTTGATAATTGCATGCGGATTTGTGACATGGGGGCGAGGTGCATGTGGGTGCGCCCAAAATTGCGTCAGTGATCAGAGTTACAGGGAGGGAAGGGAGCTATGTTAACAAACAATGACGTGCCAATTGCCTGGTTGTCATGAGGCAGTACTGGTATGGACAATGGCATCATGAACGCATGGCTGCCGCCCCCTGCTTCCGCTGCTCCTGCTCCGCCGCTGCTCGCCCCAACTAAGTGGCGATGTACATGTCCGTTGTGCTGGTAAATTGGATGGAAGTGAGCTTGGGGTGGCGGGTCCGCAGCTCACCCGTTTCCCTGGGGTGGGGTGGGGGGAGGAGAGGTGGAATTAGTTGGACTTGAAGGTGTTATGTCTTAGGAAGGAAAGGCTGGGGGATGGGAAGGAAGAAATGATGGAGGATAAGGCAGGTTTCCCTTGTCTTCCCGCTACCAGTATCCAAACAGACGTTACACCCATTGTGGTACTTTCCGCTCTGCCTGCGCCGCCCAAACTGTCATGGACTCCACAAGTACCATAAACACACCCAGCACCCCGTCCGGTAGTATCAGGAACGCCTCTACAGCAGTCGAACCAGGTCTTATCCCGGGGTTACCGCCCCCCCTACATTACCAATTTTCACTACCGGGTAACCGACCCTGCCTCCCTCGTTACCCTCTCGCCAAGTCCTCGTCAAGGGTTCGTTTCCTCAAGGGGGGTTACAGGGGTATGACGAACCTCGGTAGCCGAGATACCTAACCCAGCCTAGTTTACCCAGGGTAACCAAATGTGTTCGGCCGCCTGGAGTCTGGGACCACGAAAGCGCGCGCATGAATCCTCCGTGCACACTCAATACTGTGCGAGTTTTGTCATTGTCGTTACCAACCAAACTAATCCTCCACAATGCCATCATATGATCCTACTTCCATGAGATGCCACACACATGCGCACTCCTGTCACAACTGTCACACATGCGCACTCACGTTACACGCCATGCCTCAGCTATCCTCTACCCAGTCATTACCACCCTCTTACAACTAAAACGACATATTTCGCAGTTACGCAAGGTGATGCCCCCCTCCCCTTTTCAACCCTTACGTAAGTTCCGTTACGCTCCCTAAGCTATCCGTACCGAAGCAGCTAGCTACGTTTGCTTGCAAGACTATGTGCGCGTCAGTCTGCCGCTCCGCCGAGCAGGCTCATGCTCCGGCTCTGGACGCTTATCGCCTGCTTGCTGCCTCGCGCCTTTCGCAGAAGGCTTGGCGGGTTGCCGAGCTGTGTTCTGCAAGCGTGGAGCTGCATGGTCTGTCACACACTTTTTACCATATCCAATGGATTGGGTCAGGGTACTAAGGCCACTTCGAGACCCTTCGGTGGTGACATGCCTCAACCCCTTCATGCACCACGCACCTTGGGCCACCGCTGAACCACCAGGGCTATCCCCACGGCATGCCGCCGTCCACCGCGGCGCCCGCCAGTCCATCATGATGGCGGCCTGCCCACTCGCGCGATATTCACTGGGAGCAATGCACAGGTTGGGTCAGGTAAAGGGTGCGGGCCCGGTCTGATAGTTTCCTCATTTAAGCAAAAGCTTCGCACATAGGAGGATGAGAGAGCAGACTATAGGCACACTTCCTACCTAGCACAGCAGGAGTTCCTACCGTCCGCCTACCTGACATGCCAGGTGTTTGTTCCTGGCTGCACTGGGCGCTCAGCACACTGCGGCGGCGAACCGCAGCCTGCTGCTGCTCAGAGCACAGGCGCTCCATGGCCAAGTCCAGGAGCGCCTTGGTGTTCTTCACGATGACATCGTTGTCAACCGCCGGGTCCTCGACCGGGTGGGGCATCTTGAAGGGCTGCATGTTAGCCTGACCACCCCACCGCCCCATGTTAGGAATAACCAGAAACACACCCAGCACCCCGTCCGGAAGTATCAGAAACGCGCCGAACCGCCCCATGTAAGGAAGTACCAGAAACACACCCAGCACCCCGTCCGGAAGTATCAGAAACGCGCCGAACCGCCCCATGTAAGGAAGTACCAGAAACACACCCGGCACCCCGTCCGGAAGTATCAGAAACGCGCCGAACCGCCCCATGTTAGGAAGAACCAGAAACACACCCGGCACCCCGTCCGGAAGTATCAGAAACGCGCCGAACCGCCCCATGTTAGGAAGTACCACAAACACACCCGGCACTCCATTCGGAAGTATCAGAAACGCGCCGAACCGCCCCATGTTAGGAAGTACCAGAAACACACCCTGCACCCCATTCGGAAGTATCAGAAACGCGCCGAACAGCCCCATGTTAGGAAGTACCAGAAACACACCCGGCACCCCATCCGGAAGTATCAGAAACGCGCCGAACCGCCCCATGTTAGGAAGTACCAGAAACACACCCGGCACCCCGTCCGGAAGTATCAGAAACGCGCCGAACCGCCCCATGTTAGGAAGTACCACAAACACACCCGGCACCCCGTCCGGAAGTATCAGAAACGCGCCGAACCGCCCCATGTAAGGAAGTACCAGAAACACACCCTGCACCCCGTCCGGAAGTATCAGAAACGCGCCGAACCGCCCCATGTAAGGAAGTACCAGAAACACACCCTGCACCCCGTCCGGAAGTATCAGAAACGCGCCGAACCGCCCCATGTTAGGAAGTACCAGAAACACACCCTGCACCCCGTCCGGAAGTATCAGAAACGCGCCGAACCGCCCCATGTTAGGAAGTACCAGAAACACACGGCTGCTATGTCGGTGGGTGCTTTGTCGGTGGGTGCTAGGTCGGCGGGTGCTAGGTCAGTGCGTGCTAGGTCGGCGGGTGCTAGGTCGGCGCGTGCTAGGTCGGCGGGTACTAGGTCGGCGGGTGCTAGGTCGCTCGGCGGGTGCTAGGTCGGTGGGTGCTAGGACGGTGGGTGCTAGGTCGGCGGGTGCTAGGTCGGTGGGTGCTAGGTCGGTGCGTGCTAGGTCGGCGGGTGCTAGGTCGGCGGGTGCTAGGTCGGCGGGTGCTAGGTCGGCGGGTGCTAGGTCGGCGGGTGCTAGGTCGGCGGGTGCTAGGTCGGCGGGTGCTAGGTCGGCGGGTGCTAGGTCGGCGGGTGCTAGGTCGGTGCGTGCTAGGTCGGTGGGTGCTAGGTCGGCGGGTGCTAGGTCGGTGGGTGCTAGGTCGGCGGGTGCTAGGTCGGCGGGTGCTAGGTCGGCGGGTGCTAGGTCGGCGGGTGCTAGGTCGGCGGGTGCTAGGTCGGCGGGTGCTAGGTCGGCGGGTGCTAGGTCGGCGGGTGCTAGGTCGGCGGGTGCTAGGTCGGCGGGTGCTAGGTCGGCGGGTGCTAGGTCGGCGGGTGCTAGGTCGGCGGGTGCTAGGTCAGCGCGTGCTAGGTCGGCGGGTGCTAGGTCGGTGGGTGCTAGGTCGGTGGGTGCTAGGTCGGCGGGTGCTAGGTCGGCGGGTGCTAGGTCGGCGGGTGCTAGGTCGGCGGGTGCTAGGTCGGCGGGTGCTAGGTCGGCGGGTGCTAGGTCGGCGGGTGCTAGGTCGGCGGGTGCTAGGTCGGCGGGTGCTAGGTCGGCGGGTGCTAGGTCGGCGGGTGCTAGGTCGGCGGGTGCTAGGTCGGCGGGTGCTAGGTCGGCGGGTGCTAGGTCGGCGGGTGCTAGGTCGGCGGGTGCTAGGTCGGCGGGTGCTAGGTCGGCGGGTGCTAGGTCGGCGGGTGCTAGGTCGGCGGGTGCTAGGTCGGCGGGTGCTAAGTCGGCGGGTGCTAGGTCGGCGGGTGCTAGGTCAGCGCGTGCTAGGTCGGCGGGTGCTAGGTCGGCGCGTGCTAGGTCGGCGGGTGCTAGGTCGGCGCGTGCTAGGTCGGCGGGTGCTAGGTCGGCGCGTGCTAGGTCGGCGGGTGCTAGGTCGGCGGGTGCTAGGTCGGCGGGTGCTAGGTCGGCGCGTGCTAGGTCGGCGGGTGCTAGGTCGGCGGGTGCTAGGTCGGCGGGTGCTAGGTCGGCGGGTGCTAGGTCGGCGGGTGCTAGGTCGGCGGGTGCTAGGTCGGCGGGTGCTAGGTCGGTGGGTGCTAGGTCGGCGGGTGCTAGGTCGGCGGGTGCTAGGTCGGGGGCTGCTAGGTCGGCGGGTGCTAGGTCGGCGGGTGCTAGGTCGGCGCGTGCTAGGTCGGCGGGTGCTAGGTCGGTGGGTGCTAGGTCGGCGGGTGCTAGGTCGGCGGGTGCTAGGTCGGCGGGTGCTAGGTCGGTGGGTGCTAGGTCGGCGGGTGCTAGGTCGGTGGGTGCTAGGTCGGCGGGTGCTAGGTCGGCGCGTGCTAGGTCGGCGGGTGCTAGGTCGGCGGGTGCTAGGTCGGCGGGTGCTAGGTCGGCGGGTGCTAGGTCGGCGGGTGCTAGGTCGGCGGGTGCTAGGTCGGCGGGTGCTAGGTCGGCGGGTGCTAGGTCGGCGGGTGCTAGGTCGGCGGGTGCTAGGTCGGCGGGTGCTAGGTCGGCGGGTGCTAGGTCGGCGGCTGCTAGGTCGGCGGGTGCTAGGTCGGCGGCTGCTAGGTCGGCGGGTGCTAGGTCGGCGGGTGCTAGGTCGGCGGGTGCTAGGTCGGCGGGTGCTAGGTCGGCGGGTGCTAGGTCGGCGGGTGCTAGGTCGGCGGGTGCTAGGTCAGCGGGTGCTAGGTCGCCGGCTGCTAGGTCGCTGGGTGCTAGGTCGGCGGCTGCTAGGTCGGTGGGTGCTAGGTCGGCGGGTGCTAGGTCGGCGGGTGCTAGGTCGGCGGGTGCTAGGTCGGCGGGTGCTAGGTCGGCGGGTGCTAGGTCGGCGGGTGCTAGGTCGGCGGGTGCTAGGTCGGCGGGTGCTAGGTCGGCGGGTGCTAGGTCGGCGGGTGCTAGGTCGGCGGCTGCTAGGTCGGCGGGTGCTAGGTCGGCGGGTGCTAGGTCGGCGGCTGCTAGGTCGGCGGGTGCTAGGTCGGCGGGTGCTAGGTCGGCGGCTGCTAGGTCGGCGGGTGCTAGGTCGGCGGGTGCTAGGTCGGCGGGTGCTAGGTCGGCGGGTGCTAGGTCGGTGGGTGCTAGGTCGGCGGGTGCTAGGTCGGCGGGTGCTAGGTCGGCGGGTGCTAGGTCGGCGGGTGCTAGGTCGGCGGGTGCTAGGTCGGCGGGTGCTAGGTCGGCGGGTGCTAGGTCGGCGGGTGCTAGGTCGGTGCGTGCTAGGTCGGTGCGTGCTAGGTCGGCGGGTGCTAGGTCGGCGGGTGCTAGGTCGGCGGGTGCTAGGTCGGCGGGTGCTAGGTCGGAGGGTGCTAGGTCGGCGGGTGCTAGGTCGGCGGGTGCTAGGTCGGCGGGTGCTAGGTCGGTGGGTGCTAGGTCGGCGGGTGCTAGGTCGGCGGATGCTAGGTCGGTGCGTGCTAGGTCGGCGGGTGCTAGGTCGGCGGGTGCTAGGTCGGCGGGTGCTAGGTCGGCGGGTGCTAGGTCGGCGGGTGCTAGGTCGGCGGGTGCTAGGTCGGTGGGTGCTAGGTCGGCGGGTGCTAGGTCGGCGGGTGCTAGGTCGGTGGGTGCTAGGTCGGCGGGTGCTAGGTCGGCGGGTGCTAGGTCGGCGCGTGCTAGGTCGGCGGGTGCTAGGTCG